GTATACTATTAAATAACTAGCTAAAAAAATCTATATTAGCAAACTCTATTATAAAATCTTAATCTATAATATTAAAACCCCTATTTTATTAAATATTAAAAACAGTTTTAAACTTTTTAGCTATAACTTAGTTAATAGCCTTAATATAATTAGTCTTTTTAGACGTATTTAAGGCAGCTAGACCTTTATTTATTAAATTAGCCCTATAATAGACTAAAAACTCTTTTTAATAATGTAAACAATCTAGATAGGCTATTACCTTATTTGCCTAATAATAAGCCTTATATAAGGCCTCTTAAGCTTTAAGCTCCTAAAAATGCAACTTCTTTTCTTTTATAATAACTTAAAATATTAAAGGAATAGTTAGAAAAAAGAAAATGGAAAAATAAGGAAAACTAAAACTTATAAGTATTTATTAGCATCCTAAAGCTATTATACTTTTTACCTTGCTTAATGTAGGTAAAATAATAGGAAATACCCTTTATTATTTAATAAAACTACCCTTTTATAGAATAAAATAAATAAGGTATAACTTTAAAGCTTAATAACTTAATAAATATAAATAATTAATTATGCTAATCTGATTTCTTAAAATGCGGTTTCTCTATATGTAATAATATAATTATTAGCAGAATAAATATAATAAATATATAGAAAAAAACAAAAAAAAAAAGAACTTATTTAGATTTTTTGAGAATAAAAAAGTAATAAAAGAGGGAAATAATATTATAAATATAATAGGAATAAAACTAAGGGAGTACTATTAATCCCTTAAAAGTGTAAATAAACCCTATAAGCTAGTAAAGCAAGTTTAAAAGGATTTGCTATATAATAGAAGCAGGTTATATAATAAAGTAAAAGGATAACTAAAATAATTAGAGTAACGCTTTATTTTAAATAATCTAAATAATTTAATGCTTTTGCTGCTTTAGGTAAGCAATGCTTTAAGTAAGCTGCTAAAAGCAATGCTTCTATTGCTTTAGTTAAAAAGATAGACTATATAAATTATATTTATTACTAGTAAATAGTATTAGCTTAAAATAGCTTTTTAGTAGTTAATTTAAGTATTTACTTAAAATAGCTATAAAGCTTTTAATTTACTATTATTATATATTGCTTAAAATATTACTACCTTAAACGTTCCCTAAATATAAACCTGCTTATTAGGTTTATTAGCTAGGAACCAGCTGTAATTGTTATATATAAGCTAATAGTAAAGGTAGTTGCTAGTAAATTGCTTACTACTATTATAGCTAAATAAACTATATAGTAAAAAAAGTATAGTAAAAGGGCTATATTAGGGGCTGTCTTAAAAACTATTAAGGATAAATTAACTATTGCTAAATATATAGCTTAGTATATAGTAAAAAATATTAAAAAGGTTGCTAATAAGCTAAATAAAAGCTAAATTGTTTTTTAAAAAAGTATAAATAGCTTAGAAATAGCTAATAATAGTAATACTACCCTTAAAATAGCTTTATTATTAAAAAATACTAAAAGTAATATTAAAATTTTAAAAAGCTGCTTTATTAATTTACTATAGCTAAAATTTTTAAATAAAGTATTAATAATATTAATTATAAAAATTACTAGTATTAAATTTTTTTAAGTATTATTAATAAAACGCTATATTATTAAATTTAATGCTAATTAATTAACCTTTAATATTTTTAACTCATAAAAAAACTTATTAGCTATTATAAAAAAAAAGGTTAAAGTAAAATTTAAAGATAGTAAAAGTATTGCTATTAAATTATATTAAATATATATTAAAGCTAGCTATTAGTAAGTATTATAAAATACTCTTTACTAATTAAGGTTAATAAAAAAATATATAAATTACTTTAAAAAAGTATTTAACTATTATAATTTAATAAAAATATTTTTTATAAGTAAAAGCCCCTTTTTTTTAACCTTTATATATACTTATAAAATAACTTTTTAAAAGTTATAACCAATATTAATATTATAGGCTAACTTATTACTTACTAAATAACTAATAATTAAAACCTTTAATAAGCTATTAAAAATATAGCTTATAGTTAGCCTTATAAATAGTTTACTTATAATTAAACGCTTAAAAAATATTAAATTGCTTAATAAAAGCTTATTACTTTTAAAAATCTATAATAGGTTAACTATTATTTATATATTTATAGTAATATATAGTAATTAAAAACCCTTATAAAAAACTTATAAATAGCTAATAGTATAATAAAAATATAATTTAAATATATATTGTAAAGTTAATTATTATTATTATAATAAAAGCAACTTTTTATATTAATAATATTATATAAAGTAAAATAATATATATATTAATTTAATTAATAATAATTTATTAAAATAGGTAAAAGTAATAATTACTAATAAAGCTACTCTTTATAAGCTACTAATAAAGCTTTTTTTCTAATAGTAATAGTAAGCTAAAAGTAATTAAAGTAATAAAAAATTTAATAATAATAATATTAGCCTTTTATAGCTATAAAAAAAGTAAAAAAAGGAGGCTAAATAAAAAAAGAAAATTTATATAATAATCAACCTATTAATTAACCTTTATACCTTTAGCTTTAGCTATAATTAATTACAATAGCTATTATTAGCATTACTATTATTATTTAAGCTTTTATTATTATTACTATTATTATATATATTATAAGGCTTTAAAAAATTACTAATACTACTATTACTAATAAAGCTACCTTTTATAAATTACTTAAATAGTTTATAAAAAAAATATAAGCTTATTATATTATCCTTATTACTGCTTTAAATTAATAATAATTAAAAAATTTTATATAAAGAATTTATATTAAAAATACTATAAAAATGCTTTTATACGCTTATAAAAAAAATATAATTAAAAAAGCTGCTAAAAGCAATAAAGTATAAGAGTTTAAATTTATAAAGGCTTTATATTAAAAATAATACTTAATTTAATAAAAAGAGTTTATATATAATTATATTAGTTAAAAAGCTTATAAAACTATACTTAAAAGAAAAAAAAAACTTTTTTAGCTTTTTTAAAAAGAATAAAAATAATAAGGTAAAAAAAAACTTATTATAGCTATAAAAGCTATAAATATTGCTAAACTTATTAATAATTATAAAAAAGTATTTAAATAAGTTTTTTAATAATTTGTTTAAAAAAAAAATAATAATAATAATTAAAAAGTATTATAAATAATAAAAAAAGTAGTTTAATATAATAAAAAAAAGTTTTTTAATAAGTAAAATAAGTATAAATAATTAAAAATAAGTATATGTAATAAAAGGAAAACAAATTAAATATATTTATTATAATATAATCTTTTTTTTACTATAATACTTAACTTATACTTATAATTTTAATATTAATCCTTTTACTTTATAATTAACCCTTACTATATTATTATTATTTTAAATTTCTTATACTTTTAATTATTATTAAATTAATTATTAGCTTAAAACCTTTTTATTAGTACCTATATATAGTAAAAATACCCCTATATAACTTTAATATAGTGCTTAACTTCTTTTATACAAAAATATAAAAAATTAGTAAATTTTTAATTTAAATTAAAATTATCCACTTTAAATTAATACTAGCACTTAATATATCTTTTTAAATTATTAAAATAAACTTTAATTAAATTAAAATTAAAAAAATATAATAGGAAATATACTAACTAAATACTCCTTACCTTAATAGTAATATAAATCTATTTATTATAATACTATAAAGTATTATTTATTATTAAAATCAATTATAAGCTTAAATATAAGTTTATTTATAGTAAAATTTTCTTTACTAGCTACTATAAAAAAAACTTTTTTATAATATAGCTTTTATATACTATAATATTAAATAAGCTATTAATTATAATCGCTAGCAGTATATAACAGTAAATACCTTATTTAAAAAAAACTTTCTACTAATAATATATACCCAACTAGCCCTTAACTAGTCCTTTATATACTATCCCTTTTATTAATAGCTAATTTATCATAAAAAACAAATATATTAACTATATATAAAATCTTTAAAATTCTATACAAATAATACTTATAAAAATCTTTATTATATTAATAAGCTAATATATATACTTGCTTATTAAACTAATTGCACCTTTTTAACACTTTAATAATAATACTAACTAAGTACTTAATAAAATAATACTTAGTAAAAAAAACTACATTTTATTAAAATATATATCAAACTTCTTAAAAAAAAAATCTTTAAGCTCTTAAACTATATAAATTAAATATTAATTAAGCTAAACAACCTTATTTTAAAAAAAAAAAACTACTAACCTTAAAAACCTACTATTTAAAAACAACACTATTTAACAACATTAACAAAAGTACACTTAAAACTACAATACTTATAAGGGTAACCCTTTAGCAATATTGCTTAATAATAGCTCTACTACAATAAAATTCAACTTTAAGCTACCTATTAAGCAGCAAGGGAATCAGCCACAAATAAAACTACAACATCTACAATTCAACACTTAATAAATAGCAACCAACCATCATAACAGCCTCTCTTTACCCTAATTAAGCAATTCAAATACATAAGTAACAATAATAAGGGTATTAAAAAAAAGGTTAGTAAATACCTAAGCCCGTCTGCAAATTTTAGTAGTTAGCGCAGGACTAACTCAAGCAACAAGGGGGGGGGCTCATTTTGCTTGCAACAGACAGCAGCTCAACCTTCCCCGGTTAAGAAATCTGCCCACCAGAATCGCTGCAAGGAGCAATATGCCATTTCGTCTATCGAAACACAGGGGCAGGGTCCTGCTGTAAATAGCATCCGTCCGGTCGGACAACCCGCTGCCACCTATTGGAACGCTGTGAGCCAGCATCCCCTGACCTCCACCGTATTCAAAGTTTCGATGTGCTGCAACCAGAGATCAGCTCAAATGGTATAAGCACCTCCAACGTGGCCCCTCATCTTCGTCATGATCATGGAGCACTTCGCACATCTCATCTCAACCCCGTGAGCACGACCAGTCAAGATGGACTCACACCTGTCCTTCAGCGAGAAGGGCGCCGCAGCCCCAGCGTCCAACGCCTCGATGACAACCCTGACGCAGACGGTGTCCGCATCCTCCCAGCAGGCCAACATAGAGTCTCTGCCCGCCTACGTGATCGAATGGAGCCCGCAGCAGCGCAGGGTGCGTTTCCTCCGGACGACGGAGGACCTCAAGACGGAGCTAAATCCGGAGAATTGCGAGCGCCTCAACGACTCGCTCAAGCGCCTGTTCGTGGTCCACGGCAGCCCGCAGCAGTACGTGAGCCTGCTGCAGCGGGCACTATTCATCGACCCACTGTTCATCAAGGCGCATGCCCAGCGGCGCCGGTACTCGCCCGTGCATCGGCGGCCCGGTGACCGCTGGGCGTGCTTCGAGTACCCTGAGCTGTGCTCGTATGGGAAGACCGGTGGTCAGACCGATGAGAAGGCGGCTGCCGCACTGGCTGATTTGCCTGCATATCCACTCTCGGATAAGAGTGCCGATGCGGTGATGTTCTGCCGGGCATCGCTGTGGCTGAACGGCGAGAATGACGGCGGTAAGTGCTTGGTCAATTGACTTCCGGGGACTGCATAGCTAACTTCTCGGCCAGTACTCTTTCTCGAGGACCCACCATGGGCGGGAGCATCACCTCTCATGCGCAAACAAACAACAATGGTCGCCCTGCACGCAGCAGCCACCGATAACACAGGCAGCCGAGACGACGAGAGCGTCGACGAGCACCTCGCCAGCCTAGAGATCATCCTGCAGGAGGCCCTCCGGGACCCAGAGCACATGCGGCATGGCATCCGGGCGCTGCTATCAGAGCTGGTCTATACGCACTGGCTGACCTTCTTCGAGTCACCCCTCATCGACCCGGAGGCGCACCCGGCGCACATCCTCTCGCTGGCGTGGCGCGTGCAGCTGGCGGTCGAGCACAACCTCAACATCACGCGGTACCTCCGGCGCTGGGGCATGGAGATGCCCATCACGGCCATCGAGTGGGAAGGGCTGCTGGACCGCAACGGGCGGCGCGTCGACCTCGCCACCGTTGCGGCCGGCGGGGCGAGCGCCATCGCCGAGGAGTTCCGTGCCATCCAGGCGGGCAACAACCCGAAGAGGACGCTTGCGCCCGGCGAGAAGGACGAGAACTCGCGGGGCCTTGACAGGATCTCGTACCTAGGTGGTATCCTGCTGCCGTTTACCATCGTGCCGTCGATCTTGTCTATGAGCGACCCCTTTGGCCCGACGGGTGGGTTGTTCTGGGTGTTCTGGGTCGTATGCGCGCCGTTGACTGTTATCACGCTGCTTTTCATCTACGCCGACTCGATTCGCAAGGCTACCGTCTGGATCGAGGTCGCTGCCGATGAGGCCAAGGTGGAGGAGCAGGCGGGCCAGTCGGTCGGGGTGGTCGAAGACGATGGCACTGTGGAGCCGAAGCCGCTGCTTGGTAGCAAGATGGACCACCCGGATGATGTGATGGAGGAGGGTGTTGAGACGTTCCCTACGGTTGTCATCCAGAGGCCTCAGGATGGCCGGCCGCCGAGGGCATACAAGAGACAGGAGCTGGGCTGGACTGGTGCCATGAAGAGCATGGTTGGATATGGGTATAATGATCGTTTATCAGAGCCAGCCCCTATGGAAAGTGCGAGAAGGCAGAGTTCAAACTTCCGGCGGCCCCTTAATAGGACATATACAGGCCAATCCAGAGGCTATGCTCGATAGACGCGCGCTTTAGAGGGAAGACAATTAATCATCATTATCAAAAAGGGAACTTCTCTATGATCTGTTTTTATGTCCATGTGAAGTCTTCTCGAGGTGTACCTGATTTTCATCCAGATCAAAATAAGCCCACGAATCCAACGTTCTTATCTTGACCACCCGCAAGAATCCAAGCAGCAGTCCGTCTACCAGTTTGCTTTCTGCGCACGTGTATCTTCTATCAAGCGGCTCAACTCCATCATATCCAATCAACGCCCATGTATCTGAACTGGGTCATAGAAGGCATGAAAGCCGTGTTGCGCCCTATAGCTTTAACTTTGTCTCCACAAACAATGCGTCAGCCTTTGCCAACTTGTTACCCTCGCCATCCTCCATCGACGCCTCCACCCAGATCTTCCTTCCCTCCGCCTTGGTCGTCCTTGCAATAACCAGGATGGTTCCTGGCGTCCTGACAGGCCGTAGGTATGTCGTATTCAGATAAGCCGTGACATAGGATGGCACGGGCGCTCTGGTGTTCTCACCCTCGCCGTGGAGCCGGCCGCCCGGTGCAGCATATCCAAGTACCTCGTCGAAGATGGTAGCTACAATTCCACCGTGGCAAATCCCTGGATGACCATCGAGGTTGTTGCCTAGAGTTATCAAACCCTTAATCTCGGACAGGACGGTACGTGGGTTGGAGGGACGAGGGTAGAAGAGGATAAAGTGCGAGAGGGTTTGGGGTGTGTTGATGGTTTCCGAGAACAGAGAGTCCTCAAAGTTGGGTTTTCTGGATCGGCTGTAGGCTGATGTGACAATGAGCTCTGTGTTTGGTGGTTGCAGGTGTTTCAGACACCATGGGATTGACTTGAAGTGTCTGATCTCATCTTCAGGCGGTTGTGGGTGGTTGGTTGAGGTCATGCTGAGTTGAAATTCTGCGAAGCCTATAAGTGAGTTTTGACTTAGATGGCGTTGGAAGTAAAGAACAAAATGTCATTGGTGCTTATGATCCATAAATCGTACAACCTTAGAGGATATTTAAATGTGTCTTTGAGTGAAGCTGCCGAAAGGTGAGAGGGGTGAAACAAGAAGATGATCGACAACCAAAATGAGCCGCGGCTATTCCAACGGGACGGGAAGAACTATGATTGGACAGATGCAGGTTCAAATGTGGGTCTTTGTTGTCCCCTTCACCTCAAGCGCAAGCTCGCCTAGAAATGTGCATTCTCACAGTCACAATGTGAACAGATTATTGAAGAAAACACACTTGAGTGATATTCTCAATGCTACTTTTGCCTTTTATGGCGCTTCTAAGTATCCCATATATCCCAATTTCCTTTTCCTGTGTTATACAGCCAACCCAAGGAGAATGTTAAAACGTCGGCGCCACCTTCTTCTCCGCCTGCCCATATGAGTGCACCCTCTCACTCAGCTTGAATGACTTCAAAGACCCAGCCCTGATACTCTGCACAGAGGGCGCCCTCGATCTCATTGCCATAACATGGTTTCCACCCGGGCTCATCGGAGGACCAGCTAGGGTGGTCCGCTGCAAAGGTGGACTCGAGCCGCCTGGCATGGATGCTGTGCTTCTCTTCCGGCCATGGAACTTGCCCATCATGGCGGTGATGGCCGTTGTGGCGTCCATCGGCGGAGACGGAGGCATGTTTGACCCCATCGTCCTGCCGCGCGCGTCTCGCCCGTCGACGCTCGACCCCCTGCTGCTCGGCGGAGTGGGCTGGAACCCTCCAAGCCCACCCGGCGGCATGCCCGCGATGCCCAGCCCATTCAGCCCATGTTGAATCTCTGCGACGTTGCTTAAATTCGGCATGACGGTGGGCATCTTGGACAGGCGGCGGATGGACCGCATGTTCTTATCGATGAAGGAGCTCATCCGCGACAAGGCGCCGCCGTTTTCGTACGACTCGAAGGCGCTCGCACCATTCGGCGGTACTCTTGCACGCGCTGCGTCTATCGCGCTAGGCGTCGGCTTGCTCTGCTGTTGGCCGTGGGGGTTGCTCGCGCCTAATCCCTGCCGCACCTGGTTCATCACGCGGTCGAAGTCGATGTTGGTCTGGAAAGCAGGCCTTGGCGCCGCCATACCCGACGACGAAGTCAGAGCAGCGGCAGAATTCATGCTCAGATTCTGTGTCAGCACAAAGAGCGAGCCGTCTCTGATGCTAGACCGGACCAAGCGCCAGCGAGTACGGGCGGGGTTGCGCTCGATGTTGGGCTGGTAGACGGAGTACTGGGCGAGGTTGGCGTAGAACATCTCAAGACGCTTGGCCACACGCTCGAGCAGCTGCATCAGGAAGGTCGCCAGCGCGACGACCCTGTCCTCGGGGTTCTCGGCCTCCTGGGCCATGAGTGCGTCGAAGGCGTCCATGCCCGCGCACGCCTCGCCGCGGATGTCCTCCAGCAGCCCGATGTCCAGCTCCACCGACTTGCTGGCATAGTCGATGATGCCGCGCTCGTGGAACTGTGCCTCCGTGCTATTGCCCACGAACTCGCCGATGCGTGCGATTTCCCTGGACGTCTTTATTGCGCTACTGGATGTCTTTGCCCTTCCCACGATGCCTAGCACGTCTGGCAGGCTGGTTGATGGCCCTGCTGAGGATGCGTTCGCGAGGCTGAAGGAGAGCTTGAGTATGAGTTCTTGGAACTTGGATCCGAATAGGGCGCTGAAGCCAGTCTGAAGCAGTCGTGATTGATACTGGTAGAATGACCTCACGCCTTTGATGTTCAGGAGCCCCGGGCCCTGGTACCACCATTTTGACGGGTCAAGGGTTTGGTTCGTGATCATGGCGTTCATCTCCATCTGATGCGCAACAAGTGTCTCGACTGATGTGCGCAGGTACGATGACCACAGCTCATACAGCATGTCCAGGTCATCGTTGCCATGGAAGTCTGGCTTGGGCGTAAGGTGACCAACAAAGTATTTAGTCAGAAGCGATGACACCTCCGGGTTGGTGGTGTGCGCGAGGTTGTCAAAGGACGCTGAGCAGTCAACACCAGCGTTGGATTTGATGATTAGGGTTCCGCCGGGGTGCATCGGGCAAAAGTCTGTGACATCGTAGACCTTGCCATGCACACCGATCCAGATCCTTGAGGCGCCCCTGTGGCCCGTGTTGAGGGCGAGCTGTGAGAGCGAGATGGTAGGCAGGTTGCAGGGAAGGGGCTTCGGTGTCATGAAGACGTCCAGCATGAAACGACGCTCAGCAAAGGCCGCGTTGACGAGTTCCTCCGCTGAGTCCAGCGTCGAGGTTTGATGGTTGTAGATGGCCTGCCGTATACCTTTCATGACGGAGTCAAAGACAGCGACAGACCCGCAGACGTAGAGGTAGCCGCCTAGACCGCCGTGCTTCTTGCTCATAACCAGGTCGCAAATGGTGGAGCCCTGCTCGGTGATCAGGGTGTCGATGTACCGAGGAGGCGTCGTCTTCTCCACCAGCTCGCGGCCCTGCATGGCCAGGCCTCTCGAGTCTCGTGAGAAGGCTACATGAACCTCCATCTGCCCTTCGCTGACATTTTGGCGTAGTTCGTGCTCGTAGCAGAACTTTTCTCGCGACTGGACACCAAGGTATAGGATATTGCGACCTACTGCGCCGTTCTGGATGCGAGACTGCCAGAAGCTACGGAAGGGCGCGATGCCACTGCCACCGGCGAAGAAAGCGCACGGCGCTGCGCCGCTCAGCGGAAGTTGGAATGCTTGCGGGCGCGACACGCCGATCAGAATATCTTCCTCAATAGGGATCATCTCGTCATTGGAGGCGACGATGGGGTTTAGGAAGCCGCTGCTGACGCCGCATCTTGTTATCCGGGAATCTCCTGCGAAGGTGGAGGAGAGCAGATACTCCGACCGAGAAACACTCAGGTCGACGGTGCTGGGGAGCAGCTCGTCTGGAAAGCTGGAGATGGAATAGGTACGTGGTGTCTCGACTGGCACGAGCTCACACAACCACGACAGGTCCTGCAAGTTGAATGCCGAGTCCCAAACAGCTTGTGGCGTGTCCATGACTGCGGACTGGAGCAGGTCTCCCAGAGAGCCGCGGACGGGCCATTCGTCTGTAGCCAGCACCTGCAGAGCCGTGTTGGAAGATGCTCTTAGCATGGAGTGAATTCTGAGGACGAGGTCCTGCGTAAGCGGTGCGAGATGGCCCCTTCGAAGGATATCTTGCACAGTGATCGGCCCTCGAGGGGATCTTGATGTGGATCCTAGGTGGTCGGCAAACCGAGCCCAGCACTTGTTTACTGGGACCTGGACATTGAGCATATCATCCAGTCCAAGCGAGGCGGCAACTTTGGCACACTCTTCCCAGCTGTTAAGTGGCATCACTGCCAATCGATCGCCAGGTTGGAATGTGATGCCAGTGTCCTGGATGTCCAGTGTCACCATGGCGATGCTCCGGTCAGGATCGTTGTCGACAAACGATCTTCCAAGGATCTTCGCTTTGTACCTGCACTCCGCGAAGCTTCCACGCATCTCGTGCGGCTCGATTGAGACATCTGTGCGGTACGGCTCCAAACGCTCCTTCATCGCTTCGGAGAATTGCTTGTGCGTCTCTTCCCACGGGCGACCGGCGTCTGCAGCTCCTGATGCGCCATTTGTCTCTGTACGGCCCGTCTTGCCGGCAACCTCGAGGATGCCAAACACCTTGTACCTATGCACGCCCATGAAGCCTCTCTCGCCGGTGTAAGCCTCCACGATACCATCCAACACACCCATTAGCCTCGCATCACCGGACTTCATGACGAACTCGGGCACGCAATAATATCCTTCGACGGCGGCGATGAATGCCCGCAGATTTGTGGGTTCCCAGGCACGAAGGTGGATGCCCTCAGCCCCGAGGAACGAGTCGTACTTTTTGCGGCCGAGAAAGGCGTCCATCAATAGATATGGCGGGAACTGCAGCCCGCTCGACGCTGGGCATCGCTTTGAAAGTGGCGCCGAGAACTTTGCCCACCGCACCCACTCGTTAGCCGGAACGTAGTTGTCGCCAGACATCGGATTAGGGCTGATAGTGTGGAAGGCATTGGGCATCATCTCGAGAATCTCCTTCAGCCTGATCATTTCCCTCAGAAGGCCTTCGATGTCCCGATTCATGACGCACTCCTGGCATGCGGCAATGGCGTCTGGGCCGTGCTGAAAACTGGCCGAGGTATCAGCCACGCCCTTCAAGAAGGCCATCTCTGCCTGGTCGCCAAACATGGGCCACCTCATATCCATGTTGTCAAACCGAGCAACATATGGGTAATTTGAGGTATGGTCACGGATCTTGACGTTGTAGCTCGACTGGTCGACAAACGTCAGGTGAGGGATGGGTCGGCCCATGCGCTTGGAGACCTGGAAATATGGCAAACCGATGCTCCTCGGCAGTCCCTTCACCTCCTCGACGACATCGTCGCTCAGCTCAACCTTCGGCTTGTTGGAGCTGCTAAGTGTGACGCCCTCATGGCCGTCGTGCTTGTCCTCGTACCGACAGATCGAGCACAGCATGCCCAGGGCAACCAATGACGCCCACAGTGCCGAGTCCGGGATGACATCCTCTGTGGCCTCGACGACTGGCAGGGCGGCGATGGAATCTCGTACTCGTCCTCGGGCTACGCACCCCGGCATTCGCTCGCAGAGGTCTGACCATATTCGTCCCGGTGAGTTGGCCAGTGCGGCTACGGAAGAGTCAAGAGAATCGGGAGGGACGAAGCCGTACTCGGCTGTCAGGAAGCCATCCCGCCATCCGGTCTTGGGTCCAACCTCCTCGGCTCGGATGATGACTTGCCGTGCTGGTGCGCCAAGTGCTGCTGCCAGGACGTCTTTCTCGCTCGGTGGGAGAGTATCGATGTTGTCTTTGGCAAATCTGTTTAGGTCTCTTGCTGGTGCGTCTGGGAAGAGCAGGGCGTTGATGGCCTTCCTATCCCTGTTTGTTGAGCTGGTGTATCAGTATACTGACTCTTCTGTTAAAAGTGCGTTATATTTGGTTTCAGGCGTACCTTCCCCTCAGCCACTCTTCTGAGTCGACGCCGTGCGGGATATCGAAAGCTGCTCTCAGATCTCCAGGCTGACAGTAGCCTGAGAATGAGCACCCTCGTGGTCCAACCCGGCTGCTGCTCCTGCTCGCCCGGCCGGCTGCTGGACATCGGCCGGCCACCGATTTTGATACTGGGCAAGATCGCTCTGACATTTTGATAGGTTCTGTATGTGTAGCTTGTAAGGGGTATTAAACTCGTAGGGCAGTATGGAGCCGCCGGGGCTAATGATAGAACATAAACAACGCCAGCGCGGGTATAAACTACAATGAAGAATAGAGTGGCCGAACAAGAACGAATGCTTGAGGCTTTCCTGCGTCTCCGGCTTTGGGAGCAAACAAGGCCTACTATTTACCTCACTCAAGTCCGCCACGAAACGAGGCCAAAGCAGGATAGACCTCGTCGCTTGCCCACTGTGATGCCCAGCCAGACATCGCTTGTCCGGCGGCGGCTGAAGCAGAGTAGGCCAGGGAACGAAACATCTCCACCGCGGCGGACCTTCCGCCGTTGATCAACTGGGTTCAGGGTGAGGGTCGGGAGACTGCCCCTCTTTGGAACCTGTTCTATACTTGGAAGGGCATCCCATTGGGGGCAGAAGATTCTGCCATCTCATGGAGCTCCTACTTGTGACGTGCAGATCATGGCAAGTTCGACAGAAGGTGTCTTGCATGATAGGTACTGCCAAGATTTGCCCCGTGTGGTCTGAAGCAGACATATCCACCTATGTGGCCCCTTTTTGTGCCAAGCGCCGTAGGATAGTCCCTGTCTGTGTTCTCCTGTCGTCTGAAACCACATAGGGCGGGCCGAGCCTCGGGATGTGGGATATAGGTCTTTTCTATAGCCATGATTTGCTCGGTGGCTGCCCCATGCGGGTCTTTGGGTGCAACGCCTTAGCTCATCAGAAGGCTTGTCAAGCCAGTGATGCTGGACGCTATGCGCTGAGCTCGAAGTGATGTGTTCTGGCGTCATTCCACTGCGTCGATGGTGCGGCATGCAGAGGCTAAATCCTCCGGTTTAAGCTTCATCCCGGGTGGCAGAATCTCGTGTCATCTCATCGTTGCACCGATTTCATAGGGGTCCATACCACATTGGGAAGTGTGGTTAGAATTGGGTACAAGAATGTGACCATTAATCCAAGGATCGTCCTCGGACGATTATATGCTCGGGTGCTGATCAACATCCTGGTACCTTATGATCACAGCGATTACCGGTCAATCTGATCAGCTCCGAACGATCAGGATCTACGACCTGCGTCCAATATTAGCAAAACCTCAAGCTGTCATGCTCGTCTATGCATCTGTTCTCGCATGGGCTTGCCCAGTCGGCCCCTCTCCTGGCAACATGCCAACTGCTCATGCTTCGATCAAATGCACACAGCACGCTTGGCTGGGCTGCGAAGAGGCCCTGAGCTGTCTTTTTCTGGGCGCCAATTTGAGGCTCTGGCATACCTCTGGCTTTCTATTTGCTACAATTACCCGAGCACACTTCCTTTCTTCCGATGTACAACATTGACAGGTGCTGATGCAAGCTCTAGACCATCAGGTGTCATTCTGAAGCCCCACACCTGTTCCCCGTCCAAACATTGCCAAGGCACGTCTGTGCGGTAGTCCGTCCATTGGGACGGGTTGAGTGATCTCACTATTCGAGGATCATGTATCACTAAGTAATCTCTTTACGTACTCAGTATAAGGGGGTCGCGGGATGACACTACTCGCTTAGGGTTGCGAGGTTTGGTTCACCAGGTCTAAAGAAAGGTACAGCGAGCTCTGGGTGGAGTTTGTCTGTAAAAGTACGGCATGATGGACACTTGCTACATGGCCCCGGTGTCTTCATGTGATAATGAGAAATACAAGAGACAGTATTCTGACTTAAATTTCAGGTGAGATGCCGTATAGGGCCAAATGTTCCCGCTGTGCATCTGAGAGCAATGAAGCCAATTTGCAAAATTACCGATAGTGTAAGCCCGTACCTTGGTAGGGTATGGCTCCGATACCAAAATTCGTCGCCTTAGCTCGGTTTTTTGCATTTCAACCAATAGTCAATCTGAGAAGGCGGCTACTGTGATCAACGATGGCTGGACGGCACATTGGTGGGGCCCAGAGTGGATATAACAAGTTCCAGACGATGGAGCCGCCACGCAAGCTGCCAAGCTCATGCTCGTTGCACAGATGCGACGGTGCCGCTCAGGATTGGTGCAGAGCAAGTCTATAACCGGGCCTTCTCCGAGCATATGGTTGGTTGTGACTACAGTAGAAAGTACTCGCAAGAAATCAGGGCAGTGGTGAGAAGTTGTACCAAAGTTCACACAGCACGTCTTATGAAGGCGGGAAAACGTATAAGCGCTGAAAGACTTTAACAACGCAGCTGCATGGTCCGATCCCATAAAGTTGAATGAGCACAAAAGCATCCCCCAAACCTTGACAGGATTGCCCAGGCGCATTTTGAAGGCGCAACCACATCCGCACAACAGGACTGGCAAGCCCAGCAAGAGCAAGCGAAAGCGAGTTGGCACCTTCGACTCGCTTCATGCAGAGAAGCACGTTCATGTTTCAGCACAGGACATAAATGGGCCGGTGGCATCGCGGGCAAGAATTTTTCTGCCAAGATATGCCACATGGAACTGCCCTCGATCTTTCTGGGGTTCATCGCTGATCTGATACATGTGGGTTGCCCGTTTCTCGTCGGGATGTGGGCCAACACCGCCGAACCAACCTCGCAGATCCATCTCTAGGAATGTAAACAACCTGCGCACACATCTCGTTCAGACATAAGCTGCACGAGAAGCTCCTCAGCACACAAGGATGTCGCCCTGACGATGCTTTTTCAACAAAATTGACACCAGATTCAACAGCACATTCACTATGAGAGCTGCACGATTGCGGCGATAAAACAAATCAATTCTAAACCTCCTTCGGCTGGAAAAACTATCGAAAAGGACACTGATCACATCATCCATAGCAGCACAGGTAAATTAAACTACATTTCTTCTCGGCGCTTAATTATGTCAGGCTGAAATGAACTCGAGAGCCTATTCCGTGCGCCATGATGATACAGCCAAGATATGCTTACGTGCACCCTGGTCAATCCAGCCTCAGACTGACCCTGGCCAGCTGCAAATTTGATTAGTCCTTTCCGCTGGCCAAGAAACGTGAAGCATCTGTGAGCTGAGAGCAATGTTCGTGATGAGAAATTGAGAACGTTGTACAACTTCACGGTCAGACATTTAATTACGCTGAACAGACAACGTGGGGAATCTGTAGAAGCTCGGAGGGGTACTACTCCTGCCGGGTTGATCACATACGAACAGCCCAAGGTCTTCAAACACAGTTCGAGGCTGATTGACCCGGTCCCAAGCTAATTCTAGTTTCTCAGGCCTGCTTGGACGTCAGGTTCAAATTTGGGGGGTTGAAGAAGTATCGGCAGCTAGCAAAGTAACATTTCACGTTTCGTTATCGAAAGATTGAAAACAGATGTTTCCCCGAATGCAAAGGTGCGAGGGACTTTTGGTCATCGTGAGTCTTCCAAGGTCCCCATACTACTCCCCTGTTGAGGAACTATCAAGTCCGCGTGCCTGACATGTTCCAGTAGTGGAACCGTGGTTGCGCTCCATCAATTTCCCTGGAGCCAAGTCGATTCGGATTTGTTCGTTCCCCTTTTATCATGCCACATTGTCCATGATCAGCGACAACGGAAATCGCCGCAATGGCTGGTAACAATTGAGTCGACTTCAGGCTGTTCCAATCCGAAGGGCTTGGGCCCTTTCGATCAGGAAGGGATGTGAGACTGGTTCTGAAGCAGATCGTTGTCTTGCGCCTCATCAAGTAAGCGAGATGATGACCATGATCATGATCATGTTTCTTGGGCAACCCAAGTGAAATGTGTGAGTGCCTATATTCCTTGTATTCTCGTATTTACACAACAAAGGACAAAGAACGTTGATTACATTCTCAAGCCCCACCATCAGCAGGAATGCCGTTGTCCGCCGCCGCCGTGATGAAGCCCTTCGAGAGCGCCTGCTGGATGCCCTGCATCCAAACATTTGCCACCTTCTGATAGCCAACGTCATTCGGGTGCCTCGTGTCGGCCAAGTCGTTGGTGGTTGGGCCCTCTGGGCTTCTCATGTCCGCCAAAACAAACTTGGCTCCCTGACCCGTCAGCTGCGTTGCGAGCGCATTGTACTGGTTGTTCACATCCACCCGACAAGCTTCCTGCGCTGGGACCTTGTTCACCAAGACCGAAGCCAATATGACTGTTGATCCGGGGCTCTGGGTGTAGATACTGTTGATAAGAGACGACACATTGGCACCTGCGTCAGGGACAGCCCCTCCAGAATTGCAGTTGTTGGTGCCTGCGTCGAGAAGGACCAGGTTGGGCAGGAACTTGGGCACATTGACATTCGAGGAGTTGGCAATTTGGCTGATGACGAAACCTGGCGTGGCCTCCACCTGCCTGTTGGTGAAGTTCCCGTTCACGAACTCGCCAACGAAGTTCACTGTCTGGCCCGCGGCCACCAGCTGGTCACGGAGGTCCTTGCGATAGCTATTGCCCGTCGAGGATCCAGTCCCGAACGTCACGGATGCACCGAGGGACATGATTCTCAATGGAACGGCGGCGGCTGGGGCTTGCCTCGCGGCCACAGCACCAGGCGAAGAAGACAGCGCCGTCAGTGGTGTGACGGTGTCCGCAGTGCCTCTCGGAATTACCGTGATCCCACGTGGCAGCGCCAAGGCTACCGCCGCCGCTTGAAGTTCTCACGTGTCAGCTAAATGGGATTCGGACTTGCGCACATGTCCGGGCCTTACCGATTGAGAGGATGAGAATATCCCTAAGCATTGTGTTGGCGCTATCCTCGGACTACTGTTCACGACCTTTGATGCATCATCAATACACTTCTCCCGAGAACGAAAAACGAGCGATATGGTTACTGATGAGGAATTTAGTGTTGGTGACTCGAAACTCGGCTAATGATCTGCCCGGGGGTTTCAAAATACCACCCGATCTTTAGCACTCGGTCAACCCTGTTTCACTTGGCTTGCTTTGAGCTAAGATCAGACGTGCTCTCAATAGGTTTTTGACTGGAGATGTTGGCGGAAATGACCTTGAATGTTGCTCTAATTGAGTTATGGGTATGCAGGTTCGAAGATTGCCGAGTGCATCGTTCGTGACTACTACCAGAACATCATTGTTCTCTGGATGCACTCATGCTTCCAACAACCTATAGGCGAAGCCCCTCTTTATCGTAACAAGTCTGTTCTAATATTAATTTCGCTCTCTTTAAAAACTGTACAATCCCCATGTGCACCGAGACAAGCATCAAAGACAACAACATATTGAGGTTATATTCAAACTGCGCGATTGGCCAGGTGGGGGCGAGTTAGATCGTAGAGCTTGGTGAATTGCAGCTTTCAATCGAGGCTCACCCCGTCTGAAGAATATGATCGTCAGGCACAGGGTTCCGATTCGTGGACGAACCTGAACTCATCTTCTCGTCCCATAAATGAAGCTCTAATGAACGAGATGCCGTGAGTAAAACTCCAGTCGAAACAGCCTCATTTATGCACCCCATAGACCTTCCCGTCCTAGATTCTCGAATGCGAGAGTATATTCGACAGCATCTCAGTTCGTACGCAAAACATTTCTATTCTCAGTAATTTGGATCAGCTTTGAGGCACAGCAAGATTCATCTCGGTGATGTTGGTGAAAGTCAGTAATATTTACTCGTCGCTTGCCGAGTCTGGAGTATCGTCTTGTCTCCACAACTGTGAAGTATGTAGCATGTTAGCGAGAAAGCTGAGGACGGCAACAAAACAGCTCCTTCTACAATTTCATGATGCATTGGGTTCGAAAATATCGCTTGAAGTAGTGTTCAATGTACAATAGGGTTGCAAGCAGGTCACAGGACCCAAAAAAGACACGGCCAAAAGACGGATATTTTCATGCACCGTAACCATATTTGTCACGAGCATGTCTTCTTGTATGAGAATCAATTTGCGAAATGTCTGGAGGTTTGAAGAATATACAGATTTCTTCCACATTTACGCTTTGAACGCCACTTCGACCACTCCATCCTTCCTCCTGCTCCATTGATGGATCGCCGGAGCCTGACCTGGCACGCGCTTCTTCTCTTCCCAAAGCCTCTTTGTCAGCGTCTTATACAGGAAGACCCCATCGCCGTTATACCTAATATTGTGATCGGAGTCGCTGAAGACCACTGCATCAAACTTCTCCGGGCTCACACCTTGACCCATCAGGTTGTTGGTGAGCACAGCGGTATTCTGAAAGTGCACGTTGTCGTCGCCAAGACCGTGGGTGATCTGGAATCCGCCAGCGATATTCTTAAAGCCATCCGTCTTCCTCACAGCAGAGGCGTTATAGCCTGCCCCGTTCAATTCCGGTGTCTTCATGTACCGTTCTGTGTACATCGAGTCGTAGAACCGCCAGTCCGTAACAGGCGCGGTGATAAGTCCGAGCGTGAAGACGCCGCTGTCGAGCTCGACAACCTTGGAGGTGAGGTACCCGCCGTATGACCAGCCCCAATGGGCAACGTGGTTCGCATCTGCAGAGGGCAGCCTCTCGATGATCTGCTGCGCAGCCCAAACTTGATCTTGCGCCTCAAGGTCGCCCAGGTGGCCCGTCACCTGTGCTCTGAACGCACGGCCCTTGTAGCCCGTTCCGCGGTTGTCAACGACCCACTGGATATACTCGAGTTCTGGGTCGGATGAGACGTATGCGTTGTAGTTCAATGCTTTCCACGCCTTGTTGACGTTCTGCGCACCAGGGCCTCCGTAAGGGTTGAAAAGCACCGGATACTTCTTGTTGGGGTCGTAATTTGCGGGCAAACGTTGATACACGTTGAGCTTCGAGCCGTCAGGGTGGTCGAGCTCGAACCATGTTATCTCGGGTAGGCGATACTCGTTAATGCGAACGATGAATGCTGCGTTGTCTTCAAGAGTGCGAAGGGGTGTGGTACTATTAATGCTGTACAGCTCCTGGTATGGGACATCCGGACCCTGGTAAGAAAGCTGGTAGTATGACCCGCCCGTGGAGAAAGAGGCTGACCAGTAGCCAGGCACAGTGTCATCCACAAGGGACCGCTTCGCTCCGGTGCGGTAGTTGACGACGTACAGATGTGACTCGGTTGAGTGGCGCTCGGTCGAAGTGTAATACACGAGACCGCGGGTGCTATCAACCTTGAGGATTGAGCGAACCTCCCATTCGCCCGAAGTGAGTGGAATGGGGGATCCTCCGCTCACAGGGAAGAGGTAGATGTGTGCCCATCCAGATTCATCAGAGAGATCAAGATAGTAGCTCGAGTCAGCTGGGTACGTGCCGTTGGTGCTCCCGTTGCCACCCAGGGCGCCGATATACTGAATAGCAATGTTGTTGTCGAGCCATCCCGTGCTTTCAGTCCGCTCTCGGATGACTGAGCTCGTGGCATCCTGAGCGTTGACGTTCACGATCTTCTCGGCATCCTGCACTCGGTTGTATGCGCGGAAGAGAACATTTGAGCTGTCTTCTGTGACCCAGGCGACCTCGCCAATAATGAGGTCATCAGCGCCAAAGGCGTCGATGGGAATGTTCGTAACGGTCGAGTCCTCAACATCAAGCAGGTTGAACAGAACTGTCGGATTCTTCGTGCCAACTTTGGGATATCGAATTGCGAGCTCGCGCGGATAGGACGGCCCATACTGAGTGTTCGCGGCGTAGTAGGATACAGTAAAGGTGCCAACTCCGGTTTCGTTGAAGCTGAGGAAAGCGATCTTGGTTCCGTCGGGGCTCCACCAGAGTGAATAGCGGTCGCCAAGAATTTCTTCTTCGTAGACCCAATCTGGGACGGCATTGAATGTGTCGGGGCCACCGTCGTGTGTGATTCTTGTCACCTCGCCGTCTGCCCATAGATAAAGATCATTGCCGCGGACGAAAGCAATCCGGTCACCAGTGGGACTCCACTCAGCATACTGGAGATCGCCAACCTGGTCCTCAACAAGCGGGGTGAGGGCGCCGCTTTGGACATCCAGGATGTAGTAGTCTGCAAAGTACGAATGACGGTACTGCTTTGTGTAGTTGGTAGCCCAGAGGACCCTGCTGGAGTCGCTGCTGATCCAGTAATCATAGCTGTCCGCCGGCACCTGATCAGCGGATACAAACGTGGAATTCTCGCCGGTCACCGCGTTCGAAATAATGAGTGCACCGTCAGAGTCGGACGAAATGTAGCTGCCGTCGGTTTCTCCATCGACCCAGGCAAGAGAAACCGAACTGGGAGAGATACGCGTACTCGGCACGGTCTCATTGAACGCGAGAAGACGTGTGCCGTTCGTCTTTGGGAAGCCAGTGCCCCGGGGTGGGCTGACAGCCTGGACGGCCAAGACCGACGCGGCCAAAGAGAGGGTGGTGAAGCCCTTCATAGCGACTGAGCGAGCGACAGACACAGCGAATGTGGGTTGCGATCCGTTCACCGAAGGTTCAGACTCATCAGTGACGACGACGTCTTGCAATCTTTATACTGGCGTCTACATGTATATGAGGGCCACCCCCGATGTCACCTTCTCCAACTAGTCACGTACCATCTGGGCAGTCGTACAGATATCACCATTGCTGCATGCACCGTCTTGGCCTCCGCAAAGACACCAGTGCAGCGGACAAATCACGATTACATGTGTGCGGACCCCCTGCGTCCTGCAAAATTGTTAAGGTACCTCTTATCTTGAAGGGGAAGCTCGTTTCTACTCCGCTCAACTTGGCACCTTGGCCAAAAGACCTGCGGTTGATTGATCTCATTTATCGTGCTGGTGCCTGCATACTGCCCCACATTTCGTCTGCATGGCGCAATATGGTGCTCGTTCTGCCCGCGTTGACGGAGAGCAGGCAGATGTCTGTCAATTCTTTCTGTAACATTTGAATAGACGTACCGATTCCAGGATTTCTTTTTATTGGAATGCGACGCACATGCATCTCTAAAGCTCTTACCGAAGACCGCTCGCATACCTAGGTACTGATTTGGTACTGGGCGACTCTCAAACCTGCCAACTAGACTATACCATGAGGTTGAAATACGACACATTCAGAATAAATTGGACTGCGTGCGGTCAGAGGGGCATTCGCCTTATTCAAATGCAATTTCGATTCATTCAATCATTCTCAAATTCCCACATCATATTGATGTGCATCCTATAATTGCACTTGGTTTGAAGGACAATGTTATGCTTCTACAACTCGAAATTCTTGCTCAAGGGCACATGGTGTGGGATAGATGCTCACAGAATACATCCGCCGGGGGGTGAAGGGGGGGGGGGAAGAGGTTGCAAGGCTATGATAACTGGTGCACTTGAAATGAAGGGCCAGGGATTGAATTCCTTGTATCGCCAAAAAGGTGGCGGACGGGACTCATCTTGTACTCCCTCAGTCCCTCCGAAGCCATTGAGACTCGGTTGAATCCAGCGATCTGCTGAGTGCTGCTGACAACTATATTCTACATGAGAATGCCTCACAAACTGGCACTATCTGCCCGAGGGGCTAGGGTAACGAGAGAGCTATGTATTCAATTGCTCAAGAAATGGCGCCCTGCTCTCGGTCTAGCTAAAGTTGGATCCTTAAATCGGGTTATAATTCTGTGTACAATCTTTATGGCATAGGCAGTAGACAGTCTTGGACGAAATGGCAGCAAGAAGGTACTTTTACGAGCGTCTACAGGCAAGGGTTTCAGTGTGTGTGATCTATGCCCCCGCTAAAGGTTCCGTACTTTTTCTGCAAATAGCTGTTGTGCATCGCGTCGGACATCAGACGGTAATGCAAAAGTAGGCCCGATGGCAAGAGGCCAAAAGGCCTGGACGTTTGGCCCTAGATACGTCGCCGTGATCGCCTAACTCACAGTTCTAGAACGCGTCGACTACTAGGCCCAGACCGAATGGCATTCGGGATTCACAGCGCTTGGGCTGCAGTGCTGGTCTGGCTGGTCTGGCTGGCTGCTGATCTAGGCGGACCTCGGAAAGCCGGAGTTCGTGCCGAAAGGATTGTCGTGTCCCGTGTCGAGAGCAAGGGGTGTCCATATTTGGCCACAAACCTAACCCTCAAAATACAGTGGTCCCACTCCAAGAGCTGTCAATTTCAGTGGCCGAGTGGGTGTCCTTGCAGCTGAGACCTGTGTGCCACGAAAATCTTGGAAGTGGGCCTAGAGTAACGGGAAGTTCTAGGCCATGATCGAAGCAATCCATGGTTGCTGGCCCCATACGCTGGTACGGCAATACTGAGATCGGTCCTGTAGTATGCCATCGCCTCCTTGTGGGTCCCCTGGGGCACCTGGGCACCTGCTGATGTCCAGAATCGCCCGCGGGGAACGCTACCCATTGTGGAACGGTAAGCCGGGGCAAAGACTCGAGGCACTTGGAGGTTTTGCTCTCCTACAAGTCATGTCCCCGTCCAGCCGCTGCAAAAAACTTCCGAGATGACGAAAAATTGACGGTAAACTGGACTCGGACCCCCGTTTCCACGCGCAAAGGATATCAGTCGAGTTTTTCCACCATTGCAAGTTCACCATCCTTTAGGACCGGCGTTCGTTCCTTGGTTTCAAGTCGAAGGGTATCGACCGATGCGTCCTGAAGCGGCGCGAGAGCGCGATTTACACAGGCAAGCTACTACGGCTCTCGGCCGTCTATTGCCCCCATCTCGGCTGTCTCACGGCCACACTCACTAACGTTCCTTCCCGAAGGTATTACAAGCCATGGAAGGATGCCCAAAACTCCTTGGTTGACATCAAAGAGGATGAGCGAGGTGATAATGCTTGGGGTCTCACCTACGAGGGCTACAGGCCCAAAGCTTCTGGCGACAAGGCCCTCACCGCCTTTGCCCAACTGGCTGCTCTGCGTCTCAAAGTGAGGCGCTCCATGATCTCCCTGATCGACAGTACCCAGCAGTATATCCTCACAGAGGCAACCCGCACATTATCGTTACTGTCTGATCACCGACATATGCCCGGAGATGAAGTCTGGCTGGGAAATACCATCATCAAGCGTGGCGACGCTGTATGCCACCACAGCTTCAAGTCAAAGTACACGGCCACGGATGACGATGGGCGCACATATACGACTGAGGCACTCGTCGTGCCCGACATGCGCCTGGATGACCGCTTCAAAGACCGGGACTACGTAGTCCGGAAGCCTGGGGTGCTATTCTACGCTGGAGTCCCAATCAAAACGAAAGCTGGCCACAGGATTGGAGTTTATGCAGTGTCCCATGAAGAGCCACGGTTCGGCCTGAGCATCGATGAGTTGGTATTTATGGAAGACGTTGCTGCCACCATCATGGAGCATCTGGAGCTCGCAAAAGATCGTGATGCCCTGATGAACGGATCGAGAATGGTGCGAGGCCTCGCCGATTTCATCGAGGGCATACCTGTTGGGGATGAACCCGAGATTGTCAACACCTCAACCTCAGCCATGCCCATCAATACCTCGTTAGAGGACCAGAAAGCCTCTCCTATCGTGTCTGCGGTCATGCGCAAGCAAACACAGAACGCCAAGAAAATGCTGGAGGATCTGGACGAAATGACTGCTTCCGCCAGCACAGATGACAAACCCACAGAACCCCCGTCACCAAAAGAGTCCCCTAAGCCGTCAAATAAAAAGAGCAGTGAGGATGATCCCAACAAGATCTTGCAGCGGGCTACTCATATCATACGGAAGTCCACAGGTGCAGATGGCGTGATCTTCTTCAACACCTCATCCAGGACCTTCCAAGGACTGGGACGACAACCCACAACGGACCATGCCGATGCCTCCTCGGGCATCACTTCAGGCAGCGACCGGCAGAGCGACTCGACACTTCCCCGCCGACCACGAAATCGCCGGATGGATTCTGGTGACTCTGTAGACGACCTACGGGGAAAGCGGCGCTACCCGACATGCGAGGTAATGGGTCTGTCGATTACTCAGCACGAGCAGTACGGCAGGCTGGAAGCCAAGGACTTCCTCTTTCCAGAAGACAACATGGAGCGGTATCTTAAGAACTTTCCACACGGGAAGTTCTTCAGCTTTACGGACACTGGGAGTGGAATCAGCTCAGGTGATGAGCTCTCCGCGGAAGACAAGCCTCAACCGGCCGTGGTTGACCCGGGATTGGATCCCACGCCAGCGCGGAACGATAAGACAGGGCGGGCCAAGAAGGAGCGCTTCATCCCGAGTGAGCTTCTCAAGGTCCTCCCAGGAATCAGGTCACTAATTTTCTTGCCGCTGTGGGACTTCACCGAGGGAAAATACCTGGCAGGTGGTTTCATATGGACGTCCACAGCTGGCCGACTGATGAATCCTGACAACGAGTTGCCATACCTTAAGGCTTTTGGAAACAGTATCATGAGTGAAATCTCGAGAGCAAAGGCACAGAAGAGCGACTTGGCTAAGACCACTTTCATCGCTTCAATAAGCCATGAGTTGAGGTAAGGAATAGCGGCGTTGTAGGTGGATTTCGCACCATACTAACGACAGCTAGATCTCCTCTGCATGGGATCCTCGGATCAGTGGAGTTCCTTCACGAAACAGCGGTGTCGGCCTATCAAGCAGGACTGTTCACCTCTATCGAAACTTGCGGGAAAACGCTTCTGGACACGATAGACCACGTCCTCGACTACGCAAAAATCAACAAGCTTCGCAAGGGAAATTCAACAAGGAAGCGAGGCCACTATTCCAAGTCAGGTCATAGACGAGAAACCGTGGGAAGCATCATTGGTTTGACGGCAGACTTCGACCTAGCCGCGTTGGTGGAGGAGGTGGTGGATGCTGTAACAGCGGGACACGCCTTCAGGAGGACTCACCACGGCACGCTGCACGATCACCAAGCATCCGGGGGAGGACTAGCAATCGCTACGGGCGCCGATGCTTCGCTTGGGTTAGGCACCCCACCGCTGCCCGATATTGACCCGGTTGTTATCCTCGACATCAAGCGACGGCCCAGCTGGTTTGTGCGTACGCAACCTGGGGCTCTTCGCCGGATTGTGATGAACTTGCTGGGCAATGCTCTGAAGTACACAGATGCAGGCTTCGTTGGAGTGTCGCTTCAGATCGAGTCTGAGACAGACCAAAATACCAGGGTACGACTCCGCTTCGTCGACTCTGGGAAGGGAATGTCACTCGAGTTCCAAAGGACACGGCTCTTCTCACCCTTCTCCCAGGAAGATCCTTTCGCTTCGGGAACGGGGCTGGGCCTCAGTATCGTACGCCAGATTGTGGACGCCCTCGAAGGAACCATCTCCGTTAGCAGTACACAGAACTTGGGCACCGAGGTCGACGTCGTGTTGACGTTGCCAACGGTCGAAAAGGTGCCTGAACATGGACCCTTTGACATGGACTTTGCGAAGAACTCCAGGATATGCATCGTTGACCCTTACGATCTTGCCTCGGAGGCTGGCATCGAACCGCGCGAATCGGACCACAGGGGGTTGGATCACCTGAGAGACACTTTGCGGAACAATTGTGAAGAGTGGTTCGGCATAGAGATTGAGCATTGGTCCAGGGAGAGCCTGGACGCGCAGCAGAGTCCTTCCAATGCACCTGCATGCGACTACATGCTCTTCCCTCTGCCCCCGACTTCAGCAGACATGCTCCTCAAGTGGCACGGTAACGGAGCAATCTCGAAGGGCCCGACCAAAGTAATTGTCATTTGCAGCAACACGGCAGAAGCGTCAGACTTCCGTTCCAACATCTCTGGCCCGCTTCTAGAGAAGGGCATCCAAGCCGTGCCTGTCACGCAGCCTCTTGGGCCCCGCAAATTTGCCAACGTGCTGCACAAGTTTCGAAATCAGCAGGTTGCGCAGGACATCAGCTTGGCGATTGCAGAGCAGAAGCAGCGAATCGTGATCGGCCGGCAGGACTCGGACCCAGAAGCCATCAGGCGCGAGAGGGAAATGCTCTTCGAGGCTGAGAAGGCGCGCATAGCCGAGGCAGAAGCGATCAAAGAGCAGGAGTCATCAGATTCTCAGCCCGCGGGCGAAAACGAATATCCCCAGCGTCCGGGCCCGGGAGTATTGGTGAACGGCGATGGCGAGGCTGAGCGCGGCAACGAAGGCTCCTCTGAGTCGCTGGCACCACTCATATCGGCCACAGCTACGAGGAACCTGACGCTCGGGCGTAGCAGAGCGGTGTCCGTATCACGGTCCATGTCAGCGCCGCCTGACAGGCCCTTGTCGCAGCACGGCGCGGCCAAGGCAGCAGACTCGGCGGCCGCCCGGCCCCACGTCCTCCTCGTTGATGACAACGACATCAACCTGCAGCTGCTGGTCATGTTTATGAAGAAGCAGAATCTTAGCTATGCGACAGCGAGCAATGGCCTGATAGCGCTGGAGCAGTACGAGTCCGCCTGCGGAGTCTCCGCGTCGCCCTCTCCTCCCACCGGTGCCAGTGGCTCGACGAGCACGGCAGCGGCGAGGTACCCGAACGGCGTGCCGGCCCGGCCGCCCTTTACGCATATTCTCATGGATATTTCCATGCCCGTCATGGACGGCCTGACGTCGACGCGCAAGATCCGCGCGCTCGAGGTCGAGAGGGGCGTCAAGCCGCCCGCTACGATCATCGCGCTCACGGGCCTGGCGAGCGCCGAGGCGCAGGATGATGCGATCAGTGCGGGGATTAATAAGTTTCTTGTCAAACCCGTTAAATTTGGTGAGCTGAAGGGATTGTTAAAAGAGGGTAGTGGGTAGATTGGCTTCGCTTGGAGGGTCTCACTGGGCCACAGGCTGGCGCTGCGAGATGTTAGGGCTCGGGAACTGCATATGCATAGCATCTTTGGCATTGGGCGTTCCAACTAGGCACATGGAGCATAGCGGTGGATATTGGCTTGGGAGAAGGGACATCTTGGCATAGATCGACCCAGCAGAACACGCGTTACGATTGGGGGAAGACAGCTCTTTCGCGGATTTGGATCAGGCTTCATTGGTTCGGAGTTTTCAATTATACCATATCTTCTATTCCACGTCCTCTTTCTCTTGTGATTCATACGGACAATAGTGAATAAGACCGCAGAATGTCTCAGTGGCGATCCTTGTGGGTCAGGTGTGAGCTGGTCCATGTGGTGCATTCTTCGACATTCCCTGTGTTTCCAGTATGAAAACATTTGCTCACATTTCTATTATGAACGCCTAGAGTGGAACTATACCACATACAGTCGCAAGGTCCAATGTAACTTTCGCTTTCAACTCCCGTGATTAATACAATGCTGTTAAGCCCCTTAGTTGGATCACTTCTTGTCACCGTCAAGCCCAGCCAGTCTCCTAAAGGCAGAATTTCCAAGCACAGGGAACTCCCCAATCTTCTCAATCGCCGGCCCACCAGCCCTCATCTGGGTGTCGAACTTTCCCATAGCCATCTCCGTCATGAACCGTCCCATGGGCAGCGTGGGGCTCCAGCTGCCCTTGAGGAAAGCCCTCACCGGCGGGCCCAGCACCGCCAGCATAGCGTCCCTCGCCAGGCCTTGAGCCGGGATGTACGGCTTGATGGCATCGTGATGGGCGGCGTCGACGAAGGCGGGGCGGATCGAAGACGCGTGGAAGCTGGGGTTGGCCTTGCGCATCTCGGCCAAGGCCTTCTCCGTCTCGCCCTTGACGCGCCCGAAGATGGGCGTGAAGCGCCCTGGGTTGTGTGTTGTCCCCTCGCCCGACACGAAGACGAAGTTAAAGGGCTGTTCTTCTGAGCCGAGGGTCTGGAATGCTTCTGCTGCGCGCAGGGTGAAGTCTTTTGTGATTTTGATATATTCCCTTGACAGGTTGTTAATGACTGCTTGCAGACCGTCATAACAAATTGGGTGATAGGGATATACCTACTCCTTCCCAACCTGGGTTTGACTGACTCCCAAGGCCCATACACACCCACTTGCTCCATTGACCTTGTTGAGGAGATCGGAGTCATACTTTTCGAAGTCCTTATGGATGATAACATTGACCCGTGGGTCTTTCACGTCCTCCGCCATTGGGATTGGTCTTCGGCTTAGTACTGATATCTTGGTGACATCTTTCATCTTGATCATGGCGTCGAGTACGCCAGAGCCGACCAGGCCCGTCGCTCCAGTGAGTATGAGATGCATGTTATCGTGTTCACCAACGCTATGCTTTGGAAGTGTGGCCGATGTGCAAACGCTGAAGCTTTGATGTCGTGTAAAAGCGCTGTTTTAAACCAGAGAATCTGCTGAGTTGAAGAACAGTTCGTCTCCTCCCTTGAATGGGACAGCAGATTATATAACACAGCTTGCTGACGCTTGCAAGATGATGCGGCTGTAGGTTGCCTGGCTGGATGGCTGATGGCTGGCGTCAGCCAAAACTGATGATGGATACGGCCGCGAGCCACATTTGGTGCAACGTTAATGCACTATCAGATCAAAGCGCGCGGCCGCATGCTCCGCGTGGTGTTCCACAGCCTCCGCTACTGACGGAGCCAAGACGGCGTTAACGTGGTATCGCCGGACAAGGGCTCATTCCTCTTCACGGGAATCGCCGAAGTTGGATGCTCACTCATCTACATCACTACTAAAAGAACCACATATTATTTAGAATCAACGTTTAAACATCTCTATATGTATCAGTGGTCTCTAAAAAGTATATAGTAATCTAAGATCCGACATCAACGCCTCATGTGAATGACAGATTTATCTCCCTCGATCCTTACAACTTGCTCTTGGCCCGGTTGTCCTGCCTGATCAGGTTCGGGCTGTCCGGGTTCGAGTCATACACGACGTCGTTCAGAGGGTTCAACGTGCTCGCCCTGTAGAACATATCCTCGTACACACGACCGTCGAAACGCCCCAGGCTGGAGTCGAGCTGCCAGTCGGGGAACTTCCACGCGTCGACGAGGCGGACCGAGTGCGGGCGGATCTCCTCGAGCAGCTTCATGACCTGCTTGCGCGCGAGGGCGATCTGCTTGATGGTCGTGGCGGCGCTGCTGAAGAACTCGCTGCTCTCCTTCTCGAGGGTGTGCAGCGCGAACAGCTTGAACAGCGTGTGCAGCACGACCTTCGTCTGCTCGTCCACACCGCCCATGTTGTTGTGCAGCGCGTCCTTGAAGCTCTTGACCACCATGTACTGCGCGTGCGCGGTGCTGAGGCGGTAGAAGTCCACCAGCAGCGAGTTCCACGCCTGCTTCTCCTCGTCGCGCTTTTTGAGCGCGTCGAAGGTCAGGTAGGCGACTCGCCATGCGAACGCGTCAACCAGCTCCTGGTCAGAGCCCAACACGTCGAATGCGGCGCCGATGTCCTGCCTCTTGAGGAACACGTTCAGGAATCGGGTGGTGTCGTTTTCGGCTGCCTTGCCGGTGAGCACCGCACGTGCAGACTTCAATAGATACCGTGCCACTTGCTGTGTAAGCATGTAATTATCGCCCTCCCAGGTCACCGTAGGAAGGTAATCAGCGTAATACGAGCCAATTCCGCTGAAAGAGCTGTATCCGTGACCACCGCATGCACGTCGACAAACCTCTAGACCCTCGGCCGCAACGGTAGATGAGAATGCCTTGAGTGCGCAGGATGTGCTGTGCAGGTCGGCCAAGAGATCAGCACCTGCAGTCAACTCCTCGGGTCCAGGGCGGCGTTTGGAGTCGTTGCTAGGCGGCGGGTTCCCAGCAGCCAGGCGCTTCTGGTTCTCCTCGTACAGGGAAATCATGTTACGCCCGGTGAAATGGAGGGCGAAAGTTGCTGCTAGCAGAGGCAACAGGCGGAACTGCACCATGCTGTAATTCAGCACCTGGTTCTCGCTCACATCGCTGCCCTTGGTATCCAAGTCCTGGAATTGGCGGCGAACGGCGCAGTACCTAGTGGCGATAGTAACGCCGCGGGCCAATACAGTGCCGGACTCGAGCACGATGGTGCTTCGAACATAGGTGAGAGTGCCGTAGACAAGGGCAGGAGTTGGTGGGCGGATGTATTTGCTTGTCTCGGGATCAACCTTGGAGAAGCGGGAGAGCATGTTGACGTGTGGGACTTTCACGTTGTTCAGGAGCAAGAAGCCATTGTCCATCTGTAGCGGTGTCAGTTAGGATCCAGCGGCGTGTCACCAAGGATTGTTGCTTACCGTGTTGAAGCCAAATTTGGGCCCAATATCTCCAATGTGGACATTCTCCAGTGGCTCATGGGTCTTCAGGTCTCTGATATGGACAATAAATGGATGAGGTCCGTAGCTCTTCCCCTTGATCACAAGCTGTGCCATCACAACGGCGTGGTTGGCGACCTTGCCGAGCGAACCGATCCACCACTTCGAAGCTGTCAGATGAGGACTGTGCAGCGTGAAGGTCTTGTCCTCTGGGTTCCACGTCGCTGTCGTTTCGAGGCCCCTGACGTTGGAGCCGTGGCCCAGCTCGGTCTGCGCATAACACCCGATGATCTCAAACTTCTGCGCCCTTTCCAGGAAAAGTTTGTGCTGCTCCGGTGTGCCCTGCTCGCGGATTGTGGGGATGAACATCTTGTAGTGCATGGCTAGTGGCGTGGCCTCGCCAGTGAGCTGGTAGGCGTAGTCAAACTCATCTTGAGACCACTTGTTCTTCCGGGAAAGCTGCTCGATGCGCTTGCCACGGGCCAGGGCTGCTTGGAATCGGTCCTCGCGGCTTAGGAAGTAATTCTTGGACTTGTCAAACACAGGCTCTGCTGATAATGTCTTTACGATTGCCTCCTTCTGTTGGAGGGTCTTCTTGGTGAAGAGGAACTCGGCAAGTTGGTCGACATTGACGTTGCTCTTCGACCGCTCTTCGACCAAGATGTCAGCCCCTTGTGGGGAGGCCGGCTTCAGCTGCTTGACCCAGTCTGGATTTGGAGGCATGATGATTGTGTTGATGGCGCAGATAGTCCAAAGGCAGTGTGATCAGCGCGGTACAAGGGAGAACTGGCTGGGTTAAGGGATGGGTTTAAAGACATGACAAGTGGCTTGTCGTCGAAGTATGTCCAAAAAGATGCCGAGGTTAAGAGAGTAAGCGATGGCGGATCGATGACACGGCCGAAAGTGTATCCGCAGGATCCACATGAATCATGATGGCGTCCGCTGGGGTACCCCGTGCTAAGCGGGTCTGGCTGCGAAATGCCATGTGAAAGATGACAACTGCATCATCTGCTGAATAGCGGATATTTCGCAGCTGATGCATTCGCCATTCCCAACATCAAAGGCGGCCTCGCCTTCGCAGCCTGGCAACATGGCATATCATCAAGCGAAGCCTGCGAAACATGTCCGTGCTGGAGTCGCAGCAATGAGCCGGTATCGGGTTCAGGGGGATGGGTGGCCGACGTGCAGAGCGGCGTAACACTATCCTCAATGAGTTCGTGACGTGCGACAAGCTGTTAGTCGCCAGTTGGTGTGACCGTTACATTCGGTCCACGTTGAGCCTAGCCTGGGATTTAGACTCGCAGAGGCTCGGCTCCATCTGGCTGGGACGCCCGTACCGAGGCGACCCTCGGCTCTGATGGATGAGTGCATCCCGGGACTACATGCCTACGATGCGACACGGTAACGCCTTGCTTCGGAGTTCTGTCTTCCCATCACGTTGATCTGATTCGGGCTCAAAGGTGACAAAACCTCACCTCGAGTTATATTTTTATGCATGTGAGACCTGACTTGAGGACGTTGGCCAAGCAGCGGAAATTTACGGGCGATGTAGACTTCAGATACCACCACATGCAGGGCGTGCAAGCGTGACTGGACCGGACAAGACGCCAACAAGTACGCGCCTGACCTTCAAATTGCCATGAGCCAACGCGACTAAGATTTTTGGTTGACTCCAGAAGGTGCCGACTTGCCTTTGTTTTCCGCCTTCCAACTTCTCATTGGAAAGTAAATTTGGCCGGGAAGGAACACACTCTCGCGGATCTGAGTTTTCGAAGTAGTTATTGCTGTGGACAAGCATCATACCTCGCTATTCCGCTCAACCGTAGACGATACCTTGGTGTGGCCTAGACCGGTGAGAGATGATCCCGATCAATCAGACCTATAGGTGTTGGGAAATTATTCAAAATAGCATTGTGAGCGATAAGTTGATCAGCACATCCGTTGTGAAGAAACAAACTTATGGCTGGCAATGAAGACGGCCAATGGGCAACAGCAACGTCATGGTCAAGTACACATGTAGCCTCCCGACAGCCCCTTCCATCAACAAGGCTATTGACTGGTGTCATGAGTAAATCTGGACCAGAATGTTTACCTGGACTGTTTGCAGCAGATACATTGCAGTGATCGCTACAGATCCATCAATTCACGCAGTATTGACAGCTTCGTCCACATTCACAAGCTCTCTCGCCCCTCACTCCAGCCATGGATACTTTAATCCCCACAAAGGACCTTCTCAAGCAATTACAAGATGCCGGAGTTGCATATGAAGAGAACAAGGATGGCGCGCGTGAGAGGCTGATGAGCCTCTGCTATACTCTGATTGCTTCGTTGGAGTCACCCGGCGAATCACTCCAGCGAATGGGTTGGGCCGAAGTCAGCCAGACTCTCCTTGGTCTCCACGACCAGTCTTGATGACTGCTTTGCTGATATCTTTGAAAGCCTGCTAGGAATGCTGATTGCCGAGTCGCAGTTGACCTCAAGCTGTTCGAACTGATGAGGGAGGATGAGGAGATTGGTGTGCAGGGGGTCACTGTTAAAGAGCTTGCAGGAAAGGCCGGAGCTGATGAAGTTCTCATTTGTGAGATGACTACCATTGCTTCCTATGATATGGCCTGGCTGACGATCGTAAGCTCGAATGATGAAGCATCTTGCAGCCATGAACGTTGTCGGCGAAAGTGGACCAGATACCTACGTCTTACTGCCTTTGAGTCGCTCAATGACTGAACCAAGGTATAAGAGTGGCATTACTTTCAAGTAAGTGACTGAATCAGCATAAAATCTTCGTATCACCCGTTCCTCCTCCTCTGTGGTGTCTTTCAGACACCTTTGCTAATTACTGTTGTCAGCCAAGATATCATAGCCCCTCTGTTCTTTCATCTACCTAGATACCTGAGAGATACTCAACATGGAGACCCCTCTCCTCCAAATGGGCCGTTTCAAACCGTTTTTAACACTGACTTGTTCATTGAAGCATTTTGTACTAGGCAATGGCCGCAATACCTTGGAATGGGTTGGAGCTACATGCTCGACGCTTGGCAGGCAGGCTATGCGTTGCCTGATCCAGAATTCTGCCCCCTTTTAAAGAGACTGGTCGAGCGGTTCGACCCATCCAAAGGCGACGGCGTCCTCTTAGTTGCCATGGGAAATGCTCGTGGCAACGATGGATTTCTTCGAAAGGTCCGTGAATTATTCCGCGGCCACCGCGGCAGACTCATCTTACAAGCAACTGAAGAGGTTTTCATTCAAGTTCTTTTATCCGGCTACGTTGGTATCTTCCAGACCATGCCTCATGATATTTCCGATCCACAGCCTGTCCAAAAGGCCAGGGCATACTACCTGCGTACAGCCCTGCGAGGAAAGAGTGAGCAAGTATGCGTCAACATTCTTGAGCAGTTGAAGCCGGCCATTGAGCCTGGGTACTCGGTTGTGCTGCTAAACGAGGTTATCGTTTCTTCCCAGCACGCGCCCTGGCGAGTCACATCCGTGGATCGTGTAACAGGCGTGACATTCGCAAAGAAGGAGCGGACGGAAGAAGAGATGGCCAGGATCATCGAAAAGGCGGGCTTCAAGATACGGAAAACGCATCGCTATCCAATGGCGTGTTCGATCCTGATCGAAATTATCCTTGACTCGGAACCTTTGATCGAGGACGGATCCGAAGACGATGGTGCAATGGAAACTGCAATAGACCCAGACCCTGGTATTGATGCCGATGTGGATATGGAAGATTGCATTGTAGTCGCTACAGACTAAAATCATTTGAATGAAGGCTGGTTATGGAGATCAGACGTATTTGTTCCGCAGAGTTTTTGAGCATTGCTGGACTTAGAATGCCGGGGCTTGCGAATACTGTGGATGGTACCTCGAAACGCTCAGAAAGCCCGGCATATAAATATTGAGCATTCAATCGCTTTCCCGGTACCAACAAGGGTAAATTAATTACTTGACATTCCGGACGAAGCGCATGATTGATTCGTGAGCACGTGCCGAAAGACTAAACGAAGAATCATGACATTGCAAGCAATATTTTCCACGAGGGATAACGGGGACCGTGAGCTTTAATCGCTCCAAAAGGTGGACCTCGAGGTAGGGAGAGGTCGACGTCAGGTGCCACAACGCTCAATCAGCCTTCCATCATCACCTCGCATGATACTTCGTCGATCCCCCACCCAGACCCCCACCACCCGAGGTACTCAGCTCTCACTTGCATCGGCCTAATGAAAGCAAACAGGGAAGACTGGGCTCGTTGCCGACTTTGACATGTAGTCAGAGTTATAAATGGTATGACTGAAAGAGCACCAACTCATCCGGCTTGAAGACGGTCAGCTTGCTCTGCGCAAAAGCTTCACATGCTTAGTCAGACCTAAATGTGATTGAGCTGTGTGTGGTGCACCTGCTGTACTACTGACAACTCCAAGAAACGAGAAATCTTCAAGTCCAGAGCGGCTAGACCCATCTCTACCGCGAAGTCTGTTTCAGGTATGGTTAGAAGTTCGATAGTCATGAGTAGGATACGTAGGAAAGCCTAAAGGTAGAATCAGATTAAATGCTCGTATAAGGTAGTTCTGAAAATATTGAAGTCGAGGATGAGCCCGACCCTCTCAATAGAAAGCGTCTCTTTCATTCAAAGCAGGACTCAACGTCCAAGCAGTAGTCAATTAAATTATACGAAGCCTTGCATATTGATAGTTCTCGTCTGATGAGCACATACGTTCACAGCTAATTCAAAAGATTGCGGTTCAGTTAGCCAGTAGTCTTCCTCGTTGAGTATCATCCGAATTCAGTCGTCCATCATCACCTTTGATGGGTATTTCATTGGTTCCGCTGTCTGTCCCCAACTTCAGGCCAAGCACAAGTGGTGCGCCCCTGTAGCGGTGGGCGTATGATTGCCAGCAAAGCAGTTAGTTCACCAGTCGGATAAAGAGAACTCGGTCACACAATGCAACTAACTACTGTATTTGTCCGCAGTCTCGCAACCGATTGCTAACCGGTGCATGATTTCCCCTGGGCAGTTCATCTCACATCAGCCAAGAAAGGCAACTTGCAAGGAGCCTTGTTGCTGTCGGCTACAGCTGCGTATGTTGTGATCCCTCTGGCGTGGACGTGTTCGATCAAGGCGTCAGGCTGCAGCACATTGGCATTGTATACCGTCATATTGCCGCGAATGCCAATCTCCATCCCCGCGGTGCAGCTGGCTAGCCACTCTCGACAGCTTGCATGCATTGAGCTGCAACCCTCCTGTCACTTTGACGTCCAATCGCGCACCCAGGACAGATATGAAGACCGTTGTCTGCACCTCCCGAGACCTTGCAAACAGGGCTTACCCTCTGACCGGTGAGCCCGCCACGGCCCGAGACGTAAGCACATCATCGACCAGAAGCTTGAGTAACTCGAATGAGGCTCAAGCCACTTTCCAACGGGGAGATAAAATGCGAGTCACATGTCGCCTCGACCTCCTGGGTGCAGGGACAACAAGCAGCTGGTGTTTGCCTGACGGTGGATACTGATATTTTGAGTAACTCGACCTGCCAATTTTCATGCAAGTCTGCCGAGAAGGGATGATTACACGGAATCAACCCCAGCATTATTCTCTACTTACAGCGACGAGCTCGAGAGTCAGTGGGGGTCATAATGAAGGTACCTACGAGAGGTAATCTCAGCCGCAGGCGGTCCCACCATCGTCCAAAGTTAATAGACTACTAACACCTCAGGGTATAAAGCTATTAGCAATTGCCAAGTATCCGTTGCAATCAGATCAACCCCAAAGAGAGATACATCCAGCAATGACAACTCCGCTCGAACAGGCCTCATTGTTTTCGGCGTTGTCCTAGCAGTTAGTCTTGTATTCTTGATTTGGTTCTGTTGTGTCTATCTGGATCGAAAGACTCGAATCGTTGTAGATTTACCTCCTCGAAGGAAGGGGACGAGATATCCATGTCCTCCTGGCCCACAAGGTCCACAGGGAGTGCCCGGACCTCAAGGTAATCCTGGGCCTCAAGGTGCGCCAGGTCCCCCAGGGATACCTGGTCCTGAGGGTGTACTTGGGCCTGAGGGACAGCCCGGTCCGCAAGGCGCTCCTGGTCCTCCAGGACCTCAAGGTGTGCCTGGACGTGACGGGAGGGACGGTGCTGCTGGAAAAGATGGGCGAAATGGCGCGGCTGGAAGGGATGGACGAGACGGGGCGAAGGGCGCTCAGGGCGATCGCGGCGTTCAGGGAGAGAAAGGTGAACAGGGCGAGACAGGCCCACCAGGTGAAGACGGTTTGTCAGGTGAGACTGGACCGCGGGGTGACAAGGGTGACCAAGGTGAACAAGGCGAGAAGGGTGATCGAGGTGATAGGGGTGATCGAGGTGATCGAGGGCCACAGGGGGATCAAGGTGCCCCAGGTGACAGAGGAGTACCGGGTGAGAGGGGAGAACAAGGAGTGCAGGGTCTACAAGGGCTACAGGGATTACATTGCCTACATGGAGAGGTGAGGCGGCCAGGCGGTATTAACATGATAATTAACCAGAACTAGTGCTGTATATATTTCAAGATTAGTTGATGTTGGACTGTAATCAGTAAGCAGGTAACAGCTTTCCGAATGCCTCAAGTCGTCCCAAGAATATCACCCCTGCCGTCACGACGCCTCCGCCATACATGACACAGGAGCAGAAATGGTAGACTGCTTTTTCGCGTCATGTTCTACTAGCTTTGAATTTCCCCCCATGATATGTCTTACAATGGATCTGCTTCATGCACAGGGATTAATTGTATGCATGTGTTTGTTCTTTTTATCCTCTAATCCCGGAAAATAGACAAGCTGATCGTGGGAGTCGCACTATATTTCTTTCTACACTTGGAACTGCCAGGTCGGCCAAGATTTTTCGAACTTGTTAAAATGAAAGATTCTGTAGTGGCAGCTCCAGGAGTGGACCCCAGGACCTTTCGCTCCCGTGTGTTATCCAGCAGTGTACAGGAGTTGAAGTGGTAACCTGAATCGACGATGGCGTTCGATTCTTGAATCCAAATAAGAAACCACTTGAATTGTGACGGGTAGTTCCCTATAATCAAAGTCTTGACTTTTTCAAAATGTAGTACCAACCTCAGTCCACGTGTCGCCCCAGTTGGTTAGTAGCCAATAATCTTGAGGTCCTAGAAACTCTATGTCATTCCACCCACCACAAATCCAGTAGCCGAAGTTGTCGAGATCATCACCCTTTTGGCTATCGGAAAGATCAAGTGACTTCCAGAACCGGCCACGCATCAGTCCGTCCTCCGATTCCACTCTCAGCCGAGACCCGTACAGTTTGCTGTACTTATTCAGCAATATGCGCCACGCCCCCGTTTGTATGGCTACGTTGAATTCCTTGCCCGCCCGCGGGTCTAGCAATCGTAACATATCTTCCACAGGACCCAAGATGATTCTCTCAACTTCCGAGATAACGTCATCTTGTGCGCCCCTTCTCGAGGGTTGAAGCCAACTCTGAAACGAGATGTAGAGACTCTGGACGTGAGTGAAGGACTGTGGAATCATGGCACAAAATTTGTGCAAAGGGGTGTCTTGCCTCGTGGGATCGTCCCAGAGCGACTTGAAACCATCAACGAACCGGCTATTGGGACGATCGACGTCGAAGTTCAAAAGCATTTCAACGGACTTTATTCTGCTTAAGTGTTGCTGCGGAAGGAGAAGCGGCAGATTTTGTAGAAGGTCCAAGTCCGAGAAGTGGAATGTGCTGGTGCTATAGAGAACGTCGACACCGTCCGTATAACTATTTGCCATAGTTAAGGTGAGTGGGGGCAGGAAGGAAATTGAAACATCATCGACAAACTTACGCTTGACGACACGCCAGAAGCCAGCCCATGATGCCGATGAAACACTCAGTACTATGCGGCGTGGCTCTCTGGAGTTCACAGCTACACAAGGAGCCTTTCAAACACTCATCATCGCAAGGCTCGATAGTCCTTGAGAATTTCATCTCGGCTTCTCTCTGCTCTATCTCGCTGGCCGAATATCCCGTACGACGGTGGCAAACGCACCCGAACCAATGCCATGCCTGACGCTGCGTCACATCTGGAACCAGTCGAGAGCCCAGCCCACAATGCTTGTTCGCTGCTTGCTCGCCCTCTGCAACTTGTGCTGGTGGCCGCCGCACAAGCGGGTGGTCAAACGTCAGGCCAACATGCAAGGTCCTCCCACCAAATGCTGCAATAAGAATCTCTCGGCGCAACTCGTAGGGCAGACGCCCAAAAAGACCGTAATTATCAAGCAGCAGCGAGGTTGCCGACTTCGAGCCCTGACAAGATGGCGATGGCGTTGGGGTTCTGGGGCAATATGGAGGAAGAAACGGCAAAGGATCGCGCATTGGTTCCTTTGCCTTGCTTTCCGACTTCCTCTTCGACTTCAATTTCCGTCGGATCCAGTCCTTAATGCTTCCCATTTTCGACTGTCAGTGCTGAATATTCGCCCGAGACGGTGAGGCTTTGTTTTCGATAGTTTCCATGACAAAGTATGGTACGAGAGGAGGTGCTGAAAGGAATGAGGCACTCGTGCCTTGCCGGGGATGGACCGTGTCTTACGCGGTGGCTGTGCGGAAGCAATAGCATGAGTGGGGTGGGGTTAATCTGCCCAGATTGAACGGCACCTCAAAAAATGTCTAACCCTTTCCAACGCAGCCTTAGTCTCAACCCCTGCGCCTTTTCTGATCTTATGTTCCAGCGAGGTCACACTGTCTTCGGCTTGCAGCCTGCCGCATGTTCGATGCAGCATGATAAAGAAGGAAAAAAAGAGGCCGAGGGCAGCGAATGTCGTTGACAACTGCTTGTGGTATTTGACAGGTCGGTGAAGCCGCCGCCGTTGGACTTGTCCGTCATAAAAGCGCGGTCTTAGTCGACGCAACATGTTGACTTGAGGCCTTCGAGTGTGACGTTCGCGCCAAGAAAACTATATCGCTTTGTGATCCTCGGGCCACTTCTCCGTCAGGCCGATAAAAATCTGTTCAAATGGAAAAGATCACCTCGCAACAGCGGAGGTACATGACGATACGGTCTCTTTGATGTAGGGTGTTTCTAGATGTCGAGATTTCGCTCTTCTTCTGGGGCTCCGGTCCCGCCGTGATACGAGAGGATTCTTGGTACGGAGTTTGTTTTGGAGTGTTTCGAGCTGCGAGGACCATATAGCCTCAGTCGTGCGCTAATTCATCTTCATATAGTATCATACACCCGTGTCACGCAGAAATATTACGCGGTCGTGCCTTGTTCACACCCATCCAAACCGATCTATCTTTCGACGGTATCTTTCATCTTTGCCGAGGCGTAGAGTCCCACCGGTAAAGTTGCGAAATCAAAGTTGACCTGGTGCTGAATGTTTAATTTTGTGATTAAAAAGTCCACGGTCCATATAATTAACGGTGAGGGGGCACACTGTGGCCTATTCGTATTGAACGAACTGTGGGCTCGAGGAATGTTGACATGATATCTAGTTGAGGCTTAGACAGTCCCTAGACGTCATGCCACTCTTACTCGGTAGGACACATTGGCGCGTTGCCAGATTTCGAAGGCATTGAACTGGGGCTTGACTCGTGTGGCATTCCAATTAAATACTTTGTGTATCTATACCCGGTTGGCAATGATGAATTGAAACCCAATTGCTGTCTTCGGAGACTTAATATTTCGGAACGGGTCAACCAGTCAATCGGAATCGGCACGATCCCGGACACTTTCCCAAGACTCTCAGCCCGGCATCAAACTCCGCCCCACATCTCCACGTCGTATTCGTTCAACCTGTGGTGTTGTCTTGAGCTCGCAACCTCACTTCTCGTCGGTTCTCAGTTGTCATTTTTTATGCACCCGAGATCTTACCCCTTGCATGTGCATCAACACGTGAACCAACAGGAATTAGTCGCGACAATGGCAAAGACGATGCGCACTTGGCAGTACTCTGCCGTCCATGGCAAACTGGAAGACAGCTTGATTCTAAGTAACGACGCGCTCATTCCCAGCATCTCTTCCTTGCGTCAGGACGAGCTTCTTGTCGAAGTCATCAGCGCATCGCTCAACCCTGCCGATTACAAAGTTCCTGCCGTACCACTCGTCGGCCGCCTGATGATCTCCCGCCCTGCAACTCCCGGCATGGATCTCTGCGGTCGCGTCGTTGGCAAACATCCATCAAACACCTCCTTCGAAGAGGGACAGCTCGTTTTCGGCGGCTATGCTATGATCAATCAGAGGGGCGCTCTAAGCCAGTACAGCGTGATTTCCATGGAAAGCGTCGCACCTTTGCCAGAGGGAGTCGACCCGGATCACGCAGCGGCAGTAGGCACCGCGGCAACGACCGCATACCAGTCCCTCATGCCCAGCACCCTCCAGACCGGCGCGAAGGTCTTCATCAATGGCGGAAGTGGCGGCACAGGAACCTGGGGCATCCAATTTGCCAAAGCGTTGGGCGTGGAGGTCGTCACGACTTGCTCCACTGCCAACATCGAACTTTGCAGGCAGCTTGGTGCTGACGAGGTCATCGACTACAAGAAGACAGACATCGTGGCGAATCTGAAAGCCCGAGGTAACGTCTTCGATCTCGTGATCGACAACGTCGGGAGCACCACAGACCTGTATGACCACAGCAACCAGTACCTGAAAACTGGGGGGACATTTGTCTCGGTCGGTGTTGGCGAGAACTTATCGCTTGCCGGCATGTTCTCCACTCTGTCCAAGCAGCTCCGCCCGGCCATCACTGGACGCAGAGGATTTTACTTTGTGCAGCAGAAGAATGATCGACAATTCTTTGAGAAAATTGGAGCGTGGATGGCGGAGGGAAAGGCGAGGGCAATCATTGACTCCACGTTTGCATTTGACGATGTGCGTGAAGCTTATAGAAAGCTGAGGGAAGGAAGAGCTAAAGGGAAGATTGTTGTTCATGTCAAAAGCCAACAGAGGGAACGTTGAGAACTGGCAAAAATCACCATGGAGTCTTCACTCAAACGTCATCATCTCGGGGTCTTGATCTCTGCGTGCTATCTGAAGGGTGAGGTTGTGGTGTTTTCGCACAGGGAACCAACATACAAAGACGCTGTCTGGCACGAAGCCGTGCTGCCAATTCAGTGGCAGCCAGATTTGGCACGCGCACCAGGTTCTAAGAGACACGGAAGGCTGCAAAAGCTGCAGCTCGATTATCAAATTGTGAAGATCACGGATAACGGCAAAGTTGGTGCTGGTTATTTCCGTGGTCTGGCGCCTTGCTTTTCGAAATCAGAGGGCTTCTTTTGGTCGTTTTTCTATGTTGGATCAGCCGCTCGATAACATCAGTTTCTTTTCGCCGAGTAATTCCGGGAGTACTTCAGGCACGAATGTAAATACATACGCTCTTTTTAATTCTCCCCCAAAAAATTATATTCAAGTCAGCAGCGATGAACACGAAGAAGGCCCGGCCTATGGCAAAATATGACCCCCTGCTGCCTAATGTTGCTGTTGACCCCTATTCACTTGCTACATCCAATTTACCAGGCTCGACCACTTGCTCATCAGTACTGCTTGACACTTTCTCCTTGTTTAGTATCACTGCATACCTGGCCTCCTTAAGCAAATTCAGACGAAACAACCTTGTTGACAGTGTCAACAACGCTCTCGGTCGCTGTGAAATGGGGGCAGTGACCAGTCTCGAGTGTGAAGGTCTGGACCTTGCGGCCTGCCATCTCAAGAGCCCGGACCATGCTCTGCTGCGTCTCGAGAGGGACCGGCATATCCATCGTGGTGTGGATATAAGCAACCGGGATCTCCTTCCAAGCCGCTCTCTCCAGAGGCTGCATCATCGCCTTTCCATTCCAGCGACGTAGAGTCTGGACATATGCTTCGATCTCAGACTCTTTGGTTCCAGGCTCTCTGAGCCCCAAGAATGCGATGGGATCGAGGAGGGCCATAGTCTGATCCTCGGCCACGTCAAAAATTAGAGGCACCTCATCTTCCAGCCTACCGAACTCCTTTAGCTTATCAAAGATAGAAATTCCTTCAGTGAGAGCAAATCCAGCCATATAAACTAAGGCGGAAACGCCACCCTCAAGGCCTTGAGAAGAACGAGCCTCAAGACCAAGTCCATACAAAGCGTTCGACATGACCTGGCCCCCATACGAATGGGCAATTCCTACAACCCTACGTCCCGAAGAAACAAGGCTGTCGACGTGACTGCGAATCAGAGATGTGTCATCCTCTAGATACCCGTTTGGTGGACGAGATTCGTTGGTCGTGACAAGACGTGGGACATGAACCTCGTACCCATGTAACTGGAGAGCAACGGTGAGTTTGGCGTAGCTCTCCGGGGTACTGAAAGCTCCAGGAATGATGACTATTGCTGGCTTGTTGGAAGTCATGGTTATCGTGGATGCGAATCTCAAAGTGAAGTAAAAGTGGGGTTGACAACAGATATGCATGAAGAGGAGAACATTAGCGCTGTGCACCGTCGTGGATCACTTCAACTGCTCCAGTGTACCTGCCGCTCAGAATCTCCCCGATGGAGGAGGATGTCAGCGCTACAGGCCATTTCTAAGCCATTACAAACATTATGAAATGATACCTACTAGAGTCATCCATTTATTGAAAGGGACTGTATTATTTGATAATATCCTTTGATCAGTTTCAGAATTTTTATAAGATATATTATGTCATTCATAATATTAAAAAAAGACGTTATTACTCAAATTGCCGTCTATGAAGCTCAATAATAACACCATGGCCGCTTTCTCATTGGCTGCAGAGAACACTCTCTACGCCTGTTGCCGTAGACAGCAGCATCACATCGCTCAAAAATTAGGCTCAGGAATTGGATTGTCAGAAGACCGTCCATGAATGTGGGTGGCAATGGGCTCATAATGTCGTATGAACGTTGAAGATTGACGCTGCATCTTCCAGTGCAGTACACAAGCACAAAAGAACAACTAGAAAGGGAGAGGACAGGCACTTTCACATCCCGAAGAGCTCATCATGCTACACCCACACTGCTACTTCAGGAGCTTTCCTACCCCCAATGACCACCTCGATACCTCTGGCCAGTTCCAGCAGATGTTGTTCTTGATGCTCCAGACCTACCAACTCAAGTCCAACTGGTAAACCTTCTTGTGTAAACCCAGCCGGCACACTGATTGCCGGAAGACAAGCCTGACTTGCGAAGAAAGTGTTCACAGGGAAACTTTCAGTCGGAAACTTTCCGCTTGTAGCGTCTTCTGCCCGAGGTGGCGGAATTTTGGCATCGGGAAAGATTAGCGCATCAAGGCCCTGGGATGCAATAATCGAGCAAACTTTGCGCTTAAACGCGTCTCGCGTCAATATTCGGTCGACGTAAGTTCCGTCGCTTGTTGGATCTTGCGGCCCATGCGCAGTGAGGCTCAACAAATCCAGCCATGGTCTAACCTGTTTAGAGGGAACGATGTCGGCAATGTCGCTTGGGAGGTTCGGTTTGGTGGCAAGAAAACTGTTGATGTCGGTACGGCCCTTGATCATATATGTCTGAGTGTATGATAGGTAGTGGTTCAAGTTATCGATGTGTACATCAACAAATGTTGTGCCATGTCTTTGGAGTTTGTCCATGGCAGAAGCTGTGACTGAGCAGACCGCTTGGTAATCTGGATTCGTTTCCGAGCCAAACAGCTGACGTACAACGCCGAATCTAGCAGAATTGAGCTTCTCAGGACCATCCTCAAGGAAAGTCGAGTAGCTGCCACCCTTCGGGAGTCCAATGGCCGCAGCAGTAGCGGCGTACTCAGTGTACTCATCCTGAGGGTCGAAGCCTACCATAGAATCAAGCATAAGGGCGCAGTCTGTCACGGTCCGTGCCATTGGCCCGGGAGTGTCGTGAAGTTTAAGGAGAGGGCAAAAGCCCGCACGGGAGATGAGGCCTGGAGTCGGCCTGAGCCCAACAATGTTGCAGAACGACGACGGAACTCGGATCGAACCGCCAGTATCTTCCGCGACCGCCAAGATCGCAAAGTTTGCGGCAATCGCTGCTGCCGAGCCCCCGGACGAGGCACCGACGTCATGGTCGAGGTGGTATGGATTCTTGGTGAACGTGTAATCGGTTGCACCATTTGCGCTATACCAGGCACACGCCCATTCGGCCATTGTGGTTTTGCCAATGATGACAGCCCCGGCTTGCTTCAATTTCGTGACAACAAATGCGTCTTGGGTAGGGATGTTGTTCTTTGCAGCCGCCGATCCATAAGTGGTAACAATGCCTTTGGTGTCGGCCTGTTGACATATCATCAGTAGCTTGAACAAGTAATCAATACATGTAGTTGCCGGTTAGGTGTGTGCTGACCTGGTCCTTCACCACGACCGGGATGCCATGAAGGCTTCCCTTGAGCTGACCGGTTTTGTTCAGATGATCATCGAGCTGCGCGGCTTCTTCGAGAGCTGTGCTCGATAGTGCCATCATGGCATTGATCTTTGGCCCTGCATGATCAAACTTATCGATACGGGAAAGGAACGCAGCAGTGAGCTCCTTCGCAGTGAAGTCGCCTTGTCTGAACCCAGTGTGGGCCTGCGCGATGGTAAGCTCTTCGACATCCAACATGTCGGTAGCTTTGGTAGGAATGGAAAAGGTGTTCGCTATTGATATGATCGAATTAATGCCAAAGTTTGCTCGCATCGAGGTGCGTGCCAAAGGCCTTCGAGACAGCAACACGGTTCTAGATACTGCGCAAAGTATATGTTGTGAACAACAAGGTACCGATTAGCTATGTTATGTTTCTCGTTAGATACCATAGCCGGCGTTATCTGGCCGGCTTTGCTGCCATCCCCAAAGACTGGGTCGGGGTCCGCAGGTCAACTCGCGGGCCGCAAGCATTAGTGCACCGCAACCTGTGGTGGGGCAGGGCGGGCCGCACGTCGAGATTATTTATGTACTATCACTTGAGCCTCTTGGAGCTCCCTGACTCCATGCACTCCAGCTGGTCGCAATTTGCACGGAATTTAAAGTAGACTCTTTTTCTCCCCTTTCACAAGAATTTCGAAACAACGTGAAAAACGCAGCTCAAGCAAACCTTTCCACTTATCGTTCCTACAGGCTATCATTCCACCACACCATCATTATGGACAACCTCCCAGCAAACGCAAAGACACACATCGTGCCTGGTGGCTACGGATATGCTTTTGAGGTCAAGGCCGGCGAGCGCTTCCGCGTTGTCGACCTCCACGGCACCCAAATCGTTGACTTCATGGCATGGGTCAACAAGCCTGGCCTGAAGGAACACGTTCGGATGTCCTATACCCGTTTCAGACTGTTGGGAGTTTCGCCCGATATTGGCGAGTCCCTTCGTACGAACCATGATCGCCAAGTCCTGACCATCACCGCCGACACACACAAGGTTCATGATATGACCTTCATGCCTTGCTTCCCCGAGATTTATGCTGAAGCGGGTCTCGAAGGTCATCGGTCTTGCACTATGAACATCACGGAGGCCATGGAACCCTACGGAATCAAGTCGCGGCTCGAGCTGCCCGACCCTTTCAACCTGTTCATGAACTCGCCCAACTATACCCTGAAGCCCATCAGCAGCAGCAGAGCTGGCGATTATATTGAGATGGAAGCCAAGGACGATCTTGTCATTGGCATTTCATGTTGTCCTTATGATCTGGTTTGTTGCTATGACGCCACCTTGCAAATGGGAACATCATGACTGACGACATATTTCCTAGGGTGGCACTTACAACGGCGGCAAGCCTACTGATATTGCTATTGTCTCCGGTCTATGATTGGAGAGGAATCAAAATGGTCTTCGTAGTGATAGATCTTCTCAAAAGGCGCAAGGGTCGAAAATCATAGCGCGTAATCCTCTAATGGATTGAATCGCCTCTTACACTAATGAAAAGCCGGGTTCCAAAATCTCCAATCATTTTCTCCGGTTCACAAAGCATATGCGTCGCTATCTTGCTGAAATTGAATCGGATGTTGTGGCTGCCTCTCATTCAGACGAACATTTGGTAACCGGGTTCGTTTGTTTACTTCGTTCAATGAGTCTCACACGTTTGTTCAATGGTTTCAGGCCCAAGATCGTCAAACGTTGCCTTCTCTTAGCTATTCGGGCGAGAGTAAAGGTATTGCAGCCCATTCTGATTACGTATTCCGGTGTCCAGGGCCGATAGCGTATCAGTCCCGTGCAATGTCGTATAATTGATAACCTGGGTCAGCTGCAAAGTCGCGCTTCATTATGAATGTTGTCTGTTTTGTGTATATGAGTCTACAACTGGAAATAGAAGGTGTCGCAAATTTCGCTTGCGTGCGAGCTGCCGGAGGGTACTGCAGGGGAGTGCGCACTCGGCGAAGCCCCTAATATTACGATCCGAGGGCTCGCCCACCGCCGAAGAGAACTTAGCTAGAACAACAACGCTTTTATCTACGCTCAATCTCTCGCTACGTGATCCACGGTGCTCCATAGAAGGACTTAATTCGAGACCAACTGATTACTGGGTGCGAAAAGCAATCCTCCTCCCACCAAACAGCAAACGATTGGTCGTTTGCACTGGCCTCTGACCATTGTTTGCTTCGCTGTATCGAACGGCGCTTGGTACATCTCTACCACTCATAGTGGTTTGCTTCGTCATTCATGGATGCTCTGCATACAACCATCACTACTCGCTTCATTGTATGTGTCTTCTGATATCAGGTGACCCCCCAACCAACGTCCAAAGTGTAGACTTGCGGTGAAGATCTAGCTTCCTGTCTCATTGGCACTGGAGATATGACTCATGTTGTAAGGGGCCTTAGCTCATCAGCGGCGGATTGGCGGCCAATGATTAGTAGCGTTGACGTAGTCCGGCCGCAGGCAGAGATAGAGAGAGAGAGAGAGAGAGTAGGTTGTTGTTGGGGGGACCGGTTGGGCGGTAGTCAGGGCCCGTGCGTTAAGGATTAGTTAGCCCCTGACTACCGCCTAGCCCGTTGTGACTACCGCTCAACCGGTTCCCCCGGCGGCACTGCGCCGCACTGCGGCGCAATGCGGCGCAGTGCCGGGGGTTTATCAGTTGTTCAAGGCCGGATGATACACCTGCGGCGCACTGTTACAATGCGGAGCGCGGCATGGCTTCTGAACTTGTTGCCGCACTGGAGTGCTAGTAAATGACTAGCGGGTCTGGGACATGTTTGGCTATCAAGCTAACATGTTGTGATGAGCGAAGCTGGACAACACCATGTCTGAGTGATTTCCAACTTGCATGTACTAAGGTCGATTTCCTAGCAAAAGGATGGGGGTTTCGAGCGTATCGCGAGCAATTCGGCATCCAGTATCAAACATCCATTTGTATTATGAGAGCGTATGGTCGAAAGGTCTCCTCAATTTCGAGCCTTGTAGCCGGGTTCACACCCTGTAGCCTGAGTATCACTAAGATAAGAGAGTGAATGATCATGCTGAAATTCCATTATCAGTATGGCCAGTGATACTGTCTCCGTGTCTTATCTCAGTGTTCAAATCCGTTGTATTGATTGGAGATCTTGTCCTGCTCTTCGTTTTTAATTAATACGAGTGATCTCTGCATGGTAGTCTTCCATTCCGACTGTGTATTCTCGAAATTTATGTAAACAGAAGTCTCTACGTCGAAAACAACGTCAAAAGAACTCTTACAAATACAGACACCTCAAAAGCCCCAGCGAGCCGTCCTCCGAGAAGAATGTCTGAGCTTGAGCAGAAAAAACAAAACGATCCAATGATCAAAGATGTCTCTCTTCCACTATCTTCCACGCCCACGGAGAAACTAGACATTGAGGAAGGCAGAGCTTCTGCTATCGCTTTAGATCCATTCGGCAAACCTCTATCCCCCCAACCGACAAATGATCCGTATGATCCTCTGAACTGGGCTTCTCCTCGGAAGTATAGCATCATCGCCATCGTCTGCTTGAGCTACTTCGTGATGATTTATGCAGTCGCAGCACCTATCATGAGTTTCACTCAGCTCCAAGTACAATTCGACGCGACGTACACAGAGATAAACTGGACTTTTGCTATTTCGAACCTCGGGGCTTCCGTTGGGCCTTTATTCCACTCGTCGCTTGGGGACATCATTGGTCGCCGTCCGGTTTTGATATTAGGAACTGCACTCTCGATCGTAGCCACCGGCTGCTCCGCCTTGCCGAACATAACTATTGAAGGTTACTCTGCAGCGAGGTTCTTCCAGATTTTTGGCGCTACGCCAGCAATCACGATTGGTCTTTCCATCATCAACGATCTGTCGTGGCAACATGAGCGTGGCTTCAGAGTTGGGCTTTGGGTCCTTTCAATTGATGTCGGGTCATATTTCGGGCCTTTCTGTCAGTCAACTCCGCTTTCCTGGCACCGACTCTTCTCATCTATCAAACGAACTTACTAACAATTGACTTAGTCGGTGGTTTTGTCGCCGACAAGGCCCCCAACTGGATGCAGTTACATGTCTTGATACTGTTCAGTGTCCTGATACTACTTCAAGCTGCTTTTGTTCCTGAGACATTGTACCCCCGGGCAGCCATTCTCGAGAACCCCGAAATTATTAGCAATAAAGATGATCTACTTCGACGGACTACTCAGCTTCCTTTCTTGGTTAGTTTACCTCGCTTGCCCTGCGAGACTAACACATGATCAGTTCAAGCTGACGACTTTGCAGACATTTCGCGCAATTCCGGGCGTGCAACATCCGGCGCCGTGGCAAACCGTGGTCGACTTCTTCCGCATATTTGCACTACCGATTATTGCAATTCCAATTATCACTTTCTCCTTATCTCTTTACTGGTGGTACGTGGGCGAAAATCAACTGATTTAGCACCAGAAAGTTTACTAAAGTTTATTCAGGATCATCTCTGTCGAGACCATGGTTCCCGTAGCATACGCAAACTATAGCATAATTGGTCAGGGTCTTCTTTTTCTCGGACTTATTGTTGGTACATTGACCGCCGAGATCTTGTTCAGTGGATGGGTAGGTGACCTAATTGTCGGAAAATTATCCACTGGACGCGGTATCGCCCGCACTCCAGAGATGCGGATTTGGCTAGCATACCCGGGCATCATCATGTTTGCCGCCGGGCTGGTCTTGTGGGGATCCTCGATCGAAAACAGCTACCACTTCATGGTTGGCCAGGTGGCATTTTTTATGAGCATGTTCTACATGACCCATTCGGATTTACGGACAAGAGCTGATCAGTCGTGCAGTTGGTGCGGGATTGCAGATGACGAATACGGTGATTGCCGCGTATACGATTGATAATTGCCCGGAAGCGGCCACGAACATCATCACATTCTACTCGGTCTGGATAAACGTACGTTTCTCAAACACACTTCAACGCAAGGCACCGCTAACTTTAAAATAGCTCTCGTCTTTTGCGAATTCTTGGTTTATAAATGACTGGGTCGAGACTTCAGGTATGCGTCATGCTTCTTTCCCCAACGACTGCTATCACCAGAGTCATGGCTACAAGATTGTTATTGACTGTGATGCAGGATTTCTTTTTACATTTAGCATGCAGGCTTTGATCTCGAGCGCAGTTCTGCTTCCTGCTATGGGCTTGCTACACATATATGGACCCAAAATCCGCTCATGGAAGCCTGTCACCCTTGCTATGTCAGGTTCTCGACTGGAATAGGTCGATTGAAGTGGTGGTAATCATGCGCGGATCAGCTTGATTCAGGTGCGCTGACTTGTGTGGCGGCTCATACTTTCATAGAACCAAATCATCCGAGGCTTACTACAGCCGAGCTTGAGAGCCTCTGTCGCAAGGACTTAACCTGGCCGCAGGAAGCATTCAGCCGCATGGAGTCTGGCAGACCTTGTTTTTGTGTCGGCTAGTAAGGCCTGTCTCTCGCCGCCTTTCGCATCCAGGAGCGGACCCGGTAGACCGACGGGGCCACGAGGCGACATTCTGTATTGGGCTTTTTGTGTTTCAACGACGATGCAGCTTAATTTAGCATCAGTTCGATCCAGTAGGTCAGCCGGCGCCACCTCTGGTATCAACACCCAAATTCCACGCGGCTGGAAGTGCAGGGTCGGGGTGATACAGGGCTTTCAAGGGTAAAAATTAGATGAGCCGATATTTACGTTACAGTCCGGTTACTGCGCAATCATTATGGCCTCCGCTTCACGTGGCATGTATATATTGGCGAGGAATTCGCGAAATACTATTGATTTTCTTGATTGTTTTCGAAGTGCCAGAAAAAGAGTATGACTCGCTTTACATTGTAATATAACATATGCTAAGAAGGGTTATTCTACCGAAGAATAAAACTGCAAACCTACCACTGTAAAGACTCCAGATGATAAATCATACAAGAATTTTATTATTTTCTTGGTTTGTATGTGTCTTGGTGACATTTGCGGATGCTTTCTGTCCCGTCGTGATGCTTGTTGTCGATTCAACATACTTTTTATTCACTGTTAAGGAATTAGACCTGGTCTTCACCATATTGTGCAAATAGAATTGAAGTACTTACTTGGAGCACGATGGTATTGATCGACCCATGTGACCTCCGTCCCAGTCGAGAGGGCGACCTGCTGTACAAAGTTGGGATCGCGGAGGAATTCGCGCGCAACATGAACGACATCAGCTTTGTTGTGGCTCAAGATCTGTAGCAGACAGAACATAATGTTAGGTTCTAAATTGGCTTTTCGAAATTGATGCAAGTGTCTTACATCGTGGACAGTAGCACCGTCTCGTATCATGCCGACGGCTGCAACAAACAATTTGGGAATCCCGAGGTCTTTGACGGCCTTGGCGAAAGGAACCTGGTATTGCTGGCCGAGCTGAACTTGTTGTCGCCGATCTGTTCCACCGCTAGACACATCGATCAAGTCCACCCCTTCTGCAGCAAGAATGGGGGCGTATCGGAGGGTGTCATTTAGTTCCCACCCTTCACCTTCAGGGAGCCAGTCCACTGCGGATATCTTCCAGGAGATGGGCATGTCCTTGGGTATATTTTGTCGCACGGCACGGATGATTTCAATACCAAACCTGGTCCTGTTCTCAAAACTACCTCCCCATTTGTCGGTTCGTTTATTGGTCTTTCAAAGTGGCGTTAGCAAGCAAAACATTCGAAGGTTGATTCGCACGTCTGTTTGATCCACCGGGAGAGAGCTTACCGCCGGCGAGGCGAACGAATGCACAAGGTAGCCGTGTGCACCATGAATCGCAATAACGTCGATACCGGCCTTGACGGCTCTAGCGGCGGCTTGCCCGTACGCTTGGATAGTTTCCAGGATCTCGTCCTCTGTCATCTCACTAGGGGTGGTGTAGTTCTCATTCCAGGGCTCTGCGGTAGGAGCTTGGACGTCCTTTGCATAGCCGCCAAATCTGTCGGGAACCAAACGCAGTCCTAGCCATGGAGGGCACACGCCGCACTTTCGACCGGCATGTTGAAGTTGAATGGCTGCCTTTTGTGACTGGGAGTGAATCACATCGACCACCCTCTTCAACGGCGCAATGTGCTCATCGCAATACAATCCAGCATCTTGAGGTGTGTTCCGACCCTGTGCTCGAGAGATCCTCAGTTGCTGTTTGTATAGCACAATCATAGGGCTACTAGTATGTGTATTGATTGTTAGGACAGACACTGGGAAAGTAAGCACGTACCCTCTTGGTCACGGCTGCTGCCTCAATGGTTATCAGAGCGCTGCCTCTTATTGCCCACTGTCCATAGTGCGCCACATGGAAATCGCTGAACAAGCCATTTTCACAACTGTACATGCACATAGGCGCTACCCATATGCGATTTTGGAAAGTTAGACTGCGGATTGTAATAGGACGGAAGGCCGGGGTAATGTTTTCTTCGGTAACACCATTCTCCGGCGAAAGTATGGCAGTGCCCACTGGTACACTCTGCTTCGGGGTGAAAAAGGGGAGGTTGTCCACAGACACGCTCCGGAAGTCGGCATACTGTTCAGTTGATGATAGCATCTTCACGGAATCTGGCGAATAGGAAGCAAACTTGTGAAAGAGCAATTTCGCAAAGCCTGGGGTCAATGAGTCTAATTGCCTATTCGCAGTAACAAAGCAAGAATTTCTTTACATGCTTTATTGTTTTCAAGGTCAAAGGTGAGGGTGGTAGCGGAGATGCAGTCACTCCAGTCGGCATTCTTGTCTCTCCAGGGACCCCGCCTACTTGCTGAGACGGCAATAAGAAGAGATGGTCCGCAGTCAAGTCAAGAATCATGACCTCACACTGTCGGTGGAAAACGTCTCATGTCATGCTTTCTGATTGATGCGGCGCAGTGCTCCATGGACTCCAATTGCCGATATCACCGCCGCTGAAGATGCCGCAAGCGGCGGCCCGCACCTTCGCCCCCAAGTGTAACCCAAGTTTGAGACCAGTCACAAGCCACACAGCCATGTTGATTCATCCATGTATGATTAATCTTGCTGATGGGTGAAATCTATTTGCACATAGAATGTTTAAATTCATGTCGCCACTGGCCCGTTCCTGAGGAAACCATCCCTGCATGCTACGACTGCTTTCCCGTTTCTCGTTAAGACGTGCAACGCCTTTTCATACACCCAAAATGACTCAAACACTAATTGAAAAATACGAAATCAATGCCGATATGGGCGAGGGCTTTGGCCGGTGGAAGTTGGTACGTCCACGAAACTCGTTCAGCTTTAAGCTATTTTCATTGTTGACTTGCTGAAGCTGTGATACAGGGTCCCGACGAAGAGCTGATGAAGCACATCGACGCCGCAAACATCGCTTGTGGCTTCCATGCAGGCGATCCTTCCATCATGCTGAAGACCGTCCGTCTGTGTAAACAGTACGGTGTCAAGGCCGGTGCACATCCCGGACAGCAGGACTTGTTCGGCTTTGGCAGAAGAAAAATCGAGGTCGATCCGAAGGACATGTACGCCATGATCTTGTACCAGGTCGGTGCCTTAAAATCCATGTTAGACGCTGAAGGGCTTGAGCTTTCTCATATCAAGCCGCATGGCGAACTGTTCTTTTACATGCTCCGAGACGAGCAAATCATGAGGGCGGTGCTGGAAGCGTGCGCAACATTCAGGGTGCCCGTCTATGGGGACCAGAATGATGCGGAAGAAGCCATGTGCAACGAGTTGGGAATTCCCTTTCAGGGCGAGATCTATGTGGACACCGACTACACGTCCGAAGGAATTCTGTTGCCTGTCTCGGCATCCAAGATGGCAACACCCGAGCTTTGCTATGAGCGCGCCAAGCGCGCCATGTCTGCAGGCACAGGCAAGTCTATCGATGACATCGTATTCAACTTTGACTTCAAAGGGAAGCCGTTCACTATCTGTATTCACTCCGACATGCCAACCGTGCTTTCGAATGTGATCGGATTACGCAAGGCTGTCAATGAAAGCAATGAGACAAGGCGCATTGGTCCTTCCAAATAGAAACCAATCGTTCTACACCACAAATCAGCATGTCGACCTGATATCAATAATGTTGTTTCCTGCACTTACTCACTTATCAAGGCATGATGAGCCACACATTGATGTGTTGACAACTTGCCCTTTGAATTATCAAATCTGGCCAGGAAGTCCTTGCGTTGGAAGGGACATCATGAAGTATCAATATTGATTTGTTCCGGCTCAAACATCAACTATCGGCCCGTGGTCCATCACGGGACCATTCCCCAAGTATACGCTTCAGTAGGTACTTCAGCTATCTTCACCGCGTGGTAATTTGGTCACATAATGTAGCCGAATTCATGGAAGACAAGTAAATGACAGTGCAATATGAGTGCGGTAGGGATTCCCGTGTATCCGTATGAAGTTGACTGTGGAATGAAGGCGTCTAAGCCGCCTAGAAATTGGAATACTTTTAAGCCGCCCGCCCAAATCAGGTTTATCAATGACTGTTCACTGTGCTGATCGAACTTCAAGGTGCCTAATGATCAAGTACAGGGCCTCACTGCTAACCAAAACCTCTGCCCCTCGCGGTGTTTGACTTTATCGCAATGAGGGGCCAGAGCGCCAGAACGCCAGAGCGCTGCCAGTCGTGCCATCGCGGTGGGGACGCTGTTCTAATGGGTCGACTGCAATAGTACCATTTAGACGCTTATAGCTAACCTAGAAACACAATGAGCAACCTCGAAATCTGAATATAAAGTGTTCTTTTTGATGTGCTCACGTTCACATGTATTACATCTCCGGTATCTCCAGCACCTTGCACTCAAGCATAGTATAGAAGATATTTGTGAGTTACCGATATTGGTTGCAAATCTGTATGGTGCATGCGGGACAGCTCAAACGACACCGGGCGGGGGGCCCATTTCAATTGCCACAGACAATGGTTGCTCGGTCGGCTAGCTCCGGCGGCAATAATGATCTGGGGGAAGCGCTAGACCTAATCAGTCTCGGGCCAAGCTTGATGTGATATCAGCTGCGCCTAGGCTGTCTCGGGGAGCTTTCGGTGTAACAAAATTCCTATCCGAAAACACTTGCCCCTCTAGCAAACTCATCTCCGATAACAAGCCAACTCAGAGCCTGATATCATTTTCAAGCCCCTGCATCAGCAGCATCATACGCGATAGTCACAACTCACGCCCGCCAACGTCGCGAGGGCGCATCGTTATTCAACTTGTTGTTTCTGGACTATTTTTACGAGGTGCCGATATTCTTTGGCTCGTTTCTAGCCAATGACGGCTTGAAGATTCGATTACAAGGCACACCTCAACTTGCACTCTAGGCCGACTGCTGAATAGTTCGGTATTCCTAGAGCCAAGGGAGATGGCACAACGCAGAGCTAGGAATAATAATCCGTGCCAGCCATGTAAAGTTGCCAAACGAAGAGTACGTCTAATGCCTATCTACTCTCATAGAGATAAACCTAGACTTATAAAATGTGTGATTTGAAGTGCGATCTTGCATTCCCTAGGTGTGCACGATGTACGCGTCAGGATCTGGACTGTCAAGTGACCAAAATCAGATCGAGTCCTCAGGACATTGGCGATCCATCTTCAGCGTCAATAGCCTCTGATCTTGGCTCAACGTCAGATAGATATGGTGACCAGATTAATGGTATGTACCATTTCTTCCATTGTGTTTTCTTCCAAGCTGACCATGTCTCCCTGTGTAGCCGGATTGGTCGATATGATGGACACCTTTTTTCCCGCAGACCAAATCACAGACAATGACTACAGTGCTCTCCCGGTGCCTCTCGCCTCGGCCTTTCGTGGATGGGATTCCATGGAGCGCACAAATGAGTCAAATGAGTTGCAAGACGCGTCCTGTTGCTCTGTAGAAGGGAATCCGTCCCTAGGCTCATTCGACCAGATGAACTCGAGTCTACCGGGTTCACGCTCGACTCAAGACGGTGGACCGCCAACAGCCGCCGCCGCCGCCGCCGCCGGCCAAGACAAGGATGAGCGAAGACTTCTTTGGAATGTTTACACATCCCAGCTTGTGCACAGCATCACTGCTCATCAGACAGATATAGCCAATCCTCTTATTGACTATCTTCTGCCGCGCGCTCTGGAAAGCTCGTCATTCCGATCTGCAATACTGTATCTTGCTTTCGTAATGCGATCGAACCAAAGCAGTACCAATCCTTCACAGTACAATACGCAGACATCGTTGGGACAGAGAAACCTTCCAGAGTCAAGCTTGGGCGCTCACCTGGAGAACGAGGCGTTGTCGGAGGCTCTGCCGAAAGCGAATCCGCCATTATCAGATAGTCATTCTCGCGGGCCCACGGATGCCAATACGTCCCTCAACACCTTGGCTACTTTGGTCATACTCTGCACCGCTTACGTAGCGTCAGGCAATTCGCGGTCCTTGCTAGTGTGCTTGGAGCAAGCCTTTCTCCTAACAAAGATGCTTTCGAACGACTTCTGCTCTAACGAAGAGTTTGTTTTCCTTGTCCACTATCTTGGCTACATACACACCATTGCAATGCTTAGTCCTGGAGAATACAGGCTCAACGCCCCTGACTTTCTGACAATTTTTTCGAAGTCCGGAATTAATCAGCAAGGAGACTTGTTGAAGAACGACCCCAATGCGACCTTCACGCCCAAAATATCGCTTGCGAGTGGTGATTTCAACGCAGACGCACGTAGCCAACGACTAGAAAAGCTAGCGGTCGAAAAGATACAACGGGAAATCCAATCATCTTGCTTTGGGGATATCACACCTACCACGGGAATTTCAAACTCGGTCGCCAGTCTGCTATACCATGTTGGACGTTTGAGTCGTTTGAAGGGAGTCATCCTCAGCAGCCAGCCAGCGAACGAAAACCAGTGGTTCTGGGGGGCCTTCGAAGCCGATGTGGAAGGTCTTGAACTCCGGTTAGGGCAGATGTTACGACATAGAGACAGCCAAAGCCGGATCCTTGAGACGTTTGTTCAGAAGCTGAAACTTCTCAGCGATGAGCACAAAGATAGTCAATTACAACAGGCTATCGACAAGACCCGGTACAACGATGCATTGGTTCTCTGCGTGCGGGTCATATTGTTGGCAAAGGTTCAAAATATAAACAGCCGAGATATAAGGATTCCGGCCTTGACGCAACGGATCCTCAGCCTGTGTTCTCTCATAGAGAACGAGTCCCACACGGCTGGACTACTAGTCTTCCCATTGTACACTGCAGGCCTGTATACGCATGATCCAGACGCACGTTCGTTCATCAAGCAGAGGCTCAAGTTGTTGTCTGGTCGTATTGTGACCGATACGGAGAAGCTGTCTCAGAACCTAGAGACGAGTTGGCAGAACGCAAGTGACGAGGCAGCTTACGATCAAGGTACGTATCCTCTCTTTCCTTTAAGTGTTGATGTATACTTACATAATGTTTGTGATTAGTTACTGAACTTTGTTTATTATATTGAGAAGTGTTAAGCACTCACTTTGAAATATAGCATCCTGTCGTATTTTAGTGAGCGAATGTAGTGATACCATGTCTAGACGTGTAGACAAAGTAGAGCCTCTACTTGCTAGCAGCAAGGACATCGAGCTGAATGAAGCAAATGCCTCATGTTGCTCAGATACAGCGCACATGCATTAGACCAAGGGCATACAGGTGTGTGGGTACTTGCCCATATCTGCCAAGCTTCTCATGCACATGGAACGCTCTATTGTGCTAAACCTGTGAGCAAGACTTTTTTTCCAAAAAGAGTTTATAAAAGTGTTTTATTTGAAGATATCTAATAAACACTTCGTTGTTATTACAAAAGCAGCCTACTACCGGAGATAGATGATATCGACTATTATATTAATCACGTTGTATATTTAGGTAGAGTATACTTGAATGAAATACTTGTCATTAAAGCATTGTCTTGATCTTACTAACCAGCCTTTACAGCTTTGGCCTCAGACATCTCTCAATCACAAGCTCTCATTCAGCAGCCTTTCAAACTCGGCCTCTGCATCTCTCAACATAGCATCTAGGTCCACATCCCACACCCAACTCATGTTGCTCTCGAAATCTGAGATCATATCAGCAGCCTCGCAAAGCTGCAAGCAGAATAGGCTGCCTTGCCTCCTCGACCTCCACACGAGCTCTTGCGATCGTGGCCTTCGAATGGCATCGAAGGCTCTGAAAGCGTGCTGTATGTCAGATGGTGACTTAATGAAGTCCTCGCGAAGCATGCTCGACAGAATGTATGAATCCTCGATCGCGAAACCAGCCCCAGCTCCACAGTGTGGGGAGGAGGCGTGAGCTGCGTCGCCCATGATACAAAATTTGCCGGATTCGTCAACAAATGTCGGTGCAGGCAGATGGTTGAAGAGCCCCCACTTATCAACCTTCTCAATTATCTGGAGAATAGCGAGGTGCACGGTCAGTAAGGTCAACTTTTGCCAGGGGACTTAACATAGAATGGGCACCTCTAGCAGCCTGTAGGAATCCTCGTGGAACCCATCGAAGTCTCTCAAGACATCTTCCTTCGTAGCTGGAAGGGCCCACCGCTTGTCGGTCCAGGGCTCGTCGTCTGGAGCTTTGACAAAAGCAGCAATATTGAGCCCATGGTTCTTCATGATGGGGAAGAAAAGGATATGTCGCCCGTGACCAGTGATAAGGCGTCGATTCTCTGCAATGCGACCTACTGCCTCGACAGCCTTATCCATGGGGAGGACAGCCCTGTAAGCAAATTTGCCAGTGTACACGGCATTGGCAAACTCGTGGTCGCAGCCAAGAATGATCTTGCGGCACTCGGATCGAATTCCATCGCACCCAATTACTGCATCAACCAGCACATGGGTGCCATCGCGGAAGCAGACCCTCATCTTCTCTGTGGCCTCATCTTAGCTGACGCCCGCGACCCGCTTGTTGAACTTGATATCGACAGTATCTGGAATTAGCGAGACAAGCGTGTCCAGCAATTGGGCCCTGCCCACTCCGCCGTGGACGATACCTTCTCTCGCGACGACCTCGCCCAGAAATTCACCCTTCTCCAGTCCATCCCCGCAAAAGACGTCAAAATCGGTATTTAGCTTCTCTTTACATCCATTCAGCGTCACAATGTTCTTGTACGCCTCACCCAGCTCAGGCGAGATGAGGCTCATGGCTTTGACCGCATTTGGCCCAAAGCCCACTCCGGCCCCAACCTCTGAAAACTCTGGTCGTTGCTCGAATATGGTGAGCTTCAATGAAGGATTCTGTTTGGAGATGGCGATGCTCAACGTTACCCCCGCAATTCCGGCGCCAATGATAGCAATATCAGGTGAAAATATAGATGCCGAGGGAGACATTTTGGTGCATTTATGCTTCTTGATGAGTTGAGACAGGCCTTTGCTTAATCCCAAGATTTTGAAAATAAATTCCGGTCCACACGATACCTAAGCTACTAAGTTATACCTCCCAGTCTTATCTCTGGCTGTAGAAAATCCAAGTCTCAGCAGGCACGACTTCCACCAGCTAGTCACATCCAACCGTCTTGGAGGGTTTCACTCGATGCCATTTCCGTAGTCGCCGTTACTTTCTCGCTCACCTGCGTACCGCTTATCTTATGTTCATGACATTTATCTCGCATTGGCAACTGTTCTTATTGCTACCTGCTTGATTTGGCAGCTTAGGAATCAGTCAGGCTCAAGGTGGTTCCTTTCCCACTTGTGCATTCTCCAGCCTCGGCTCGTCTGAGTCTCAGCATTATTCGCCTAGGCACCGTTGTAACTTGTGCTAATTGGATGTGAGGCCCTGTCAACATACTTCTACGCAGCGTCGGCGAGCAGGAGGGCTGACAACGTATCATGAAAGACTCGGACAACGAAGCATGGTACATAGGTTCATACCTCGCGCAAAAAGACGTTCACGTCAATCTTGCAAGTATTTTTTAAGTGCAGCTAATGGAAAGATCCTAACAGTCAAGGTGTGGCCCCCACCCTCGGATCTTTCCATGACCCCATGTCGATCGATACCCCTGGCAGCATCTCCCATGTCGATCGAAACCACGGCGGCATCTAGCCCTTATCTGGCTACCAACACACGTTGGCATTAAGGTTACTGTTGTGCTTATAATGACAACATAGAGTCCGTACTCCTCTACGCGCCCTGAACCCGAATACGCCATTCTGTTAGCTTCCCCATCGAATAAGCCTATAATCTCGACTAATTTTCACGTTCTAATGAGCAATATACAGTTGAAAATCAACTACTTTATATCTTGACCTATATTATTTAAAGAAAACCGTGAGATTCAATCGGAAGCTCCATAAGAGAAGTTTTGCCAGCTATAGAGGAGAAATTCTCTGCTCTAATTACTAAGAAAGTGACCAGCTTAAAACACACTCTGGCCTAACCGAATCGTTCCTTCCCACACCACAATTTGCAAACTATTGATGCATGACTTTCGATCGGGCAGGTGATTAACTGCTGGTAGCAAGCAGTAAGAACGCCCAGTCAAAGCGCAGACCGAAGTGACTCGGAGAACCATGGATCCGGTTCTTGTGGATGAGATGTGCCTCCTAATTGACCCTTGTCAAGCATGGAGATGAGTATGACCTCTTTCGGCAGAATGATTGTCGTTGACTTATGTATATCGACGTAGATACGAAACCGGACTGACGTAAGACCTGGAATGCATTGGTCCATGATTATATTTGCCCATAGAAGCAGATGGGAGGAGTAGGTAGAAACAGTGATGCTTGGTCTGAATTGGCATTCGGCGAGCCATTATTGAATGTTAAACCTGGCCAACAACTATGGTGGCCGTCTCCATGCCCCAGGCTTCTACTCTCGCCCTCGACTTTGTAAGAAGTATCATGTTGGCAGTAGCGACATTTTCGGCTGCAGATAACGACTGGCCATCGATCAAGGAATGACAGGACGGAATTCCAGTCTTACAACAAGATTCTAGGAGCGATAGGGCCTTTCCCCAATTGTCGAATTCGTGCAACATCTTACGCGGATGTCGTGACCGTTGTGGAATTCGCCGCCGCGCACGAAGTCCGAGTTTCTATCATTAACACCAGACACAATCAACTGGGCAGAAAAGCAGCCGGCTCCGAGCTTCTGATCGATCTTTCCCTTCTGCAAGGTGCCAGCATGTCGGCCAATTTCACCGTCCGATGGCTCCTGACATGGAGACATGTACCAACGAGGCTAGTGCCGACGAGCCCAATTGGACTTAGAGCTTCTGGGGTGACAATTATCCCCGATCATCTGCGCTAAAGTGAGAGCTCGAACCCAATATGGTCTTCTGGATTAGTCCCGAGATCAGAGCCGCTACGATCCCATGCAACCGTGGACGGCCGACCGTGCTTGGTCACCCCCGCTCCGACAATGCCATCCATGTACGCCCCCACACACATGGAAAGCCAACGTTGCAGCAGAGTCAGTCAATGATGCCGACTTCATGTTCGGCTTTCAAGAGCTCCGTGGTACGCAGTCACCGTCCCCGATAGAATTTGTCGGGCTTCAGCCATGATAGTGATCTCTGTAAGATCGTGGCCAACGCAGTTCAACGTGTCCCAGGGACGTAGAGCCTGCCTTTTTCGGAAGGTGGTCAATGGCTAATGTCACAGCACAGAAAAGACAAACTTGAGCTTATCATATCGAAGAACTCATTTGGTTTACGAGACATCTAGTTTACGATATGCCAATTGGAATTTTGCTTTTAACATATTGCAAGGCTGACTCTAGACTATTTATTCGGCCAAATATTCCCTCATGCATGCTTCACAAAGCTATCTGACTGTCATTAAAAATAATTCCGAAGCCGTGAGCTGAGACTGAATTGTGATTATATCACAATTGCACATTTTTGTTCCGCTCGCGAGCATCCAACACTAGAAAGCTGATCCCAGCGTATTGTCGGATCCGTGACCCTCGAAATGTATTTACCTTGCACTTGGTTTACCGCACTTCTGTGGATGCGATCTGTGGTTGGCAATAAAGCCATCCATCACAACAATGAGGCAGAAAGTTGGGAGGACTTAAGTCCTATTCCTATGGCACCACGACAGTAAGTTGCTGCCTTCTCTGCACTACTCATGGTGTTGGACAGACCGTACCGCTCCGTCTTTCCTCGTGTAGAGCCTCTGACAGTGGCGCACGCTTTTGTCATGCGACATGAAGACAATGTTAGAGATGCTCCAAAACAGACCTGCTTAAACATTCTACGCTCTGCGTGATTTTCTGACTGATGGTACCATAGGGAACATTCTACAGTCGCTATTTCATCAACCACCTTAGCGATTTTGGGTGGCATTATCCCTACTGGCTCTGAGTTCTCGACAACAGATATTATGCAACTGTACGATATTCCCTCAGACACCTGGACTTCGGCTTCATCACTTCCCATCCCGATCAATCACTCAAACGCTGGAGTGGTCGACAGCAAGATATTTGTCCTGGGGGCCTTGCAGGTCTCACCCGAAGGTGAAGGAATTGACGGCTCGTGGCAGGCAATTGGTGCCGGCTGGGTCTATGATATATCCACTGATACTTGGGAGGTTCTGGCGCCCCTCCCTGACGGCACAGAAAGAGGTGCTGCGGCTGTTGGAGTTCACAACAAGATCATCTACTTGGCCGGTGGTATGCGGTCGCTTGACCTCTCCCCAGACGGAGAGCAAGACACTGTTGACACGGTGTCTGCCTTCGACACTGTGTCGGGTACTTGGCAACCCTTGCCAGACGCGGCCGGCCGAATTCCAGAAGGAAGAGATCACGCTGGTGGCGCTGTGGTGGGCGACGTTTTTTACGTTCTAGGCGGGCGGTTCCGAGGGCAGAACAACACTAAGGATACTGTCTTCTCTTTAGACCTTGGCAACATGGACGCAGGTTGGCAGGTAAGTTCTTCAAGAATGCCAACCCCTCGGGGAGGTATCTCAGTGGGAATCGTCCAAACTCGCATTTACACTTTCGGTGGTGAAGGTAATCAGGCAGAGGGCTCGCTTGGTGTGTTTAATGAAACGGAGGTATTCGATACCGAGGCAGAAACTTGGTCTGAATTGCAGCCGATGAAGCTGCCTCGGCATGGAACTTCTGCGGTCGCAGTTGGGGAGCGTATCTACATTCCCGGTGGCGGCTTGACTCAGGGCGCTGACCCGGTCAATGTGACTGACGTCTACCTCTCGGGTGTTGAAGCTGTGACTAGTATGTAACAGTGTTATAGACGAAACATTTTCTAAACATAGGTTGAGTATGTATGATCATATGAGATACTTACAGAAGGCGACACCCATACTTAAGGGAATTGTCCTATATGCAGAGCCGGCCTAGAACTAGCTGACTTGAGCGAAAAAGCCTGCTTGCGGCTCTCTACTTAATTTATCAAAACTCAGTTGCAGGAGCCCAGGAGTTCTCGAGTTCTGGCTTGTAGGACATTTTGACAGGGTCTGTTCGCTGACGAAGTCTTCCGTCAATATGACGGGCAAGAGGTAAGAACAAGCCTCTGTTTGGAATGATCTCTCGATCCCCTCAAGTACATGTATGACGACAAGTTTTCTCAATTGTGCGTGGACTGAAGGGCAATGATCTTGTGCCTGTCGACCCGGCAGACGAGAAGGATAAATTACTCTATAACGGTAGGCAATAAATATCGACGAAGACCCAGTAAGGACCGGGAATTATCCACACAAAGGTGCCCTTGGATGTCCATGTACATTACATATTCTGATATCCGATTATATAATTCTAAATATTCATTATTTATTAGGTTTATAAATTCCTTATTAATAATTCTTTGAAACGGGTCAGGATTTCTATCCCTGGCGAAAATGCGACCTGGTTCATGAGGTTGACCCACTTCTATCTTTGATTGGGCTGGGAGATATCCGCTATCGCGGCTGAGTGGCTGTACGATCCTGCGGTCCCTCCTAGTTTGTTCCTGCAGTTGGATAGACAACCAACAGTGTCACCGGCGGGCCGTGGAAGGATCCCACATAAAATCAATGCTCTTGCCCACAATTTGCGGAATCCAAGCCCCATACCCTTCGGACTTCCAGCAGCGACGCAATTCATACCCAGCAGTTAGGGCGAGGCCTGACTTCTTTGATCCACCGCGAACTTATCTTCTGCAAGAGGGGCCTTCATTTCCCACCTTACTTGGAAGGGCTACGTGTCAAACCTATTGCTTTCCATCTTCTCACAAAGTGGCTAGTCACGAAAATTCAACCACTCACAAACCTCAGTGAATATCATCACAATGTGGCAATTCTCATATCCTACACGAACGCCGTCCGAAATTCATGCCAAAGCTTACGATTACATCATCGTTGGAGGTGAGCACATGTGGCACATCACAAGCTAAGCGGAAATTGATATTGATCCATGCAAACTTTTAGGAGGGACAGCTGGGTGTGTTCTTGCATCGCGACTGTCAGAAGACCCTAATGTTACCGTGCTCGTAATTGAGAAGGGTCATGTCAAAGATAATATCGTTTCACGTATACCGCTACTCAGCCAAAACATTTTCCTCGGGGACCCTTTGCAAGTGCAGAGTACTCGCTGGTCGGAGCCCATACCCGAGGCGAACGGGCGAAGAGTAAGAATCTGGACGGCAGAAGGTCTTGGTGGCGCAAGTCGCATAAATGCTATGCTTATGACGCGAGGGTGCCGCGCGGATTATGTTGCGTGGTCGAAGGAATTGGGGCTGTCTGACTGGGGCTGGGATCAAGTTGAGCCCTACTTCCGCAAGATTGAGAATGCTGTAGAGCGTCCAGACTCCCAGACAAGGGGCCACAATGGTAAGTTCAAATATGGCCGGTAGCTAACGGCTTTTGGAATCTTGGCTGACATTTGAAAGGGCCTGTTGAGGCGCGAGCTAACAAGTTGCCCTTCGAGTGGGGACCCTAGTAAGCCGGCTTTGCAAATTAGGAAACCATTGTGTTGTTGTTTTTGCGCTGATAATCTTCCTGCTAGTATGGAGAAATCCTTTCAGAAAGTCGGTGTTCCTTTGGGAGGAGACTGCAACGGCCCGGATGCTCCGGCAATGGGGCTTTTCCACGTCGAGGCTGCCATCGACAAGCGCAGCAGGAGAATCTCTGCTTTCCAGGCGTTTCTCAGCAAAAGAATCGCTAAAGAAAGGCTCGATAGTCTGACGATCTGTTAGTGAATAAGTTGAAGTCGAACTGCGTTAATCAGTGCTGATCAAATCATAGGTACGGGTGCGATCGTCTCACGCCTGGACGTGGATGGTCCCTCGGGGCTAGTCAGAGGTGTCCACATCCAGTCATCTCAAGGAGGCGAAAATGCCACGAGTTTCTTCGTCCAAGCCAGGAAGGAAGTGATTCTGTGCTCCGGTGCCATCTGTACCCCACAGATATTGCTACTGAGTGGCATAGGACCAAGAAGCCGAGAGCCGCAGTCAGAGAGCAGCCCGGATATCCCTCTGGTGAAAGAATTGCCGGCGGTTGGCACAATGTTTTCTGACCATTACAGCTTCCCCATTATGTTAGAGTTACCGAAGAGAGAGACTTTCCACTTGCTGGAGTCAATTTGGGGTCTGTGGCATATCTTGCTTTGGATTTTCCTTGGCAAAGGGCTCTTCGCTCGAACCACAGTGCCAAGTGCTGCCTACATACGCACTGGGGCTATTGATACTGAGACAATGTCTGTCAAAAGTCATGAGGCAGATGGTACTGACAACCTCGACGCATCTCAGCCCAAGAACAGACCGGATGTTGAGATCATGATTATGCCAATCAATGGTTTACAGCGCCCTGTTCCCGGGCATGCATTTTTGAATTTCCATCCAACAATCATCCAGCCACACGCAACAGGCCGTATCGAATTAGTTAGTCACAGATCCGATTGCCATCTAGCTCTTGACCAGACTAACGGAAGATTTAGAAGAGCAAGAACGCTCACGACAACCCTCGCATCATCTACCCAATGTTCACCGATGAACGAGACCTGGCCGCTGCGAGAGTGGCTGTTCGCTTTACAATGCACCTAGCAGCTGAGTTTCAGAACTCAGGATACCCGTATCCAACCCCGTTTGCATTTGCTCCCGGGAACAGTCCTGAACTACTACGGCAATGGGAGCAGTCTGCTGACGAATGGAGCACGCCCCAGCCGGTCTCATCAGCTGTCCCACATGCGGGCCAGCCCGCAATCAAGCAGACAAGTGAGGCCAAAAATTGGAAGAATGTGACCGACGATGAGATCGATGACTACGTGAGAACGGTCAGCCATACGAGCTTGCATCCAGTGTGCACATGTCCGATGTCAAACGATGAAAGGTCAGGAGTCGTGGACCAGAAACTTCGAGTCTATGGGTTTAAGAATCTCAGGATTGCTGATGCGAGCGTCTTCCCTCGAGTCCCCACCAGCCACACCATGATTCCGGTAATGATGATTGCAGAGAGGTGTGCTAGTTTTGTCAAGCAAGATCGTAAAGCGAGCCAATTAGGGTGAAGAACATGCGAGCACATTGTCAGGTTGGATTAAGGAGAATTATGGTCTACCCGACATACTTCAACTTCCATCTCGAGGAAGTGAATTTCAACAAGATAAATCCCATACAACGGAAGACTTCGAATAGGTTCAAACAGTAGACAACAAGCGCGTCATGATTAAGCTGAAGAATGCTGGTTTTGGTAGACCAGAATCAACAGTAAAGTTGGCATCCGGCTATCTACTATGAGGTATTTTGGAGTATCTTCTGCCCCATGTGGGTTCTATGAGCTCCGAGGTAAGACAAAAATCTGGCACATCTTCGCAATGTATCCACCGGACTTGAGAAAGGTTTCATAATATTTCGCTCTTCAGCCGTTGAAAATCTTCGAAAATTCAAAATCTGGAGCGGCTTTAATTCTGACGTCAGGGGGGACAGTTGGAAGAGCTGTACAAAGATATGGTCTGCGACAAAGTGGATTGGCCTGTTCTAAGTTTCCCTGCAGCTAAGTATGGCCGAGTCACAAAGTCAGCATTAATACTACGAAAAGGTTTGCTTTGTTGCTGTACATCTAGTTCTCAGGTACCAAATGAGGCTGAACTTGTGTCACCGGAGAATGAGGTATCTAATGCATTGCGAGGGGGTAGATGTTTTCCAATGCCCCCAAGGAACGGCCCTCATAGGCGATTCGAGACGTCAGACCGGAGGCTGCACGCTTAATACGCGACCAATCGTAGAAGGGGACAAGGTTCAGAATCCTTCCACTACGGTGACCTTAGCACCATCCCGCATGCTGCGCCCCTATTGCGCATGCGGAATCACAACACCACCCGAGGGACTCTGGCATCCATACGATCCGAGCAGCCGAAGCGTCAATATCACGTCTGGGAGTTCCCCTCATTTGCTGAATTGAACTAGACCCAGAGCTGTTCGTCTCCATGTTTACATCTCCCGGCCCCACACTCTAACGGACAGAGTCTCTCGAGCTTTAAAGGGTCATGTGGCCGCATAATGAGGCTCCTGAACACCACTACCCTGGAGCTTAAGACTTTCACGAGACATCGTCCCGAGTATGCGATCCTCTCTCACACTTGGGGCGACCTAGAGGCACCCCTCGATGCATTTCTCCCTAAGCCCAAGTGGCAGCGTGCCGCGTCTCGGTTCAGAAAGCGCAGATATCCGAAGGTAGTGAGATCCTGCGCCCTCGCCAAGTCCCAGGGTTACGATTGGATATGGATCGATACTTGCTGCATCGACAAATCGTCGTCGACCGAGCTTTCCGAAGCCATCAACAGCATGTACGGTTACTACGAAAGATCCGCCGTCTGCTTCGCATATCTCGTCGACGTGGACGTTGATATTTCTTCTCCGAGATTGGACGTGGCGACAGCACTGGCCACTTCGCGTTGGTTCACAAGGGGTTGGACGTTGCAGGAGTTAATCGCGCCACCCAGTGTAGAGTTCTACAACAGTGAATGGGTCGTCATCGGCAATAAGACATCGCTCTCTTCAGCTCTTGAGAAGATTACTTCCATCCCCGCTGGCCTCTTCTCTGCGGCATGGTACAACCTCTGCGCAGGTGGAATGGCGCGCCAGTCGCTGCACCTCCTCTCGGTAGCACAGAAGCTATCATGGGCATCATCGCGCCAGACCACCCGGGCGGAGGATCTCGCTTATTGTCTGATGGGTCTCTTTGACGTGCACATGCCCCTGCTCTACGGCGAAGGGGAGTCAAAGGCGTTTGCCCGGCTGCAAGCTGAGATCGCGAAACAGACCAATGATCAGAGCCTGTTCGCTTGGGGCGGGTGGTATGATCAGGAAGGGTGCGACAGTACAGTCCTCTGCTACTCTCTTTACGCTCCACATCCGAGCTGCTTTGCCGGGCTCGGCGACATTCGCACGTCTTATAGTCGGCTTGTTAGCATCCTCGACCACTGGGCGCCGCCTTTCGAGACGCCCAACGATGGGTATCTGCGAATCAAGATGCGTGTGTCTCCCAACGACGACCAGGGAGTCATGGGTTTCATGGATGATGACCATATTGCATTCTTAGAGTGCGAGTTGCACGGGACTACGGATACGGTGGTAGGACTATTTGTGAAAAGGCTTGAAGATGTGAATGGAGTGAAGAGATTCATTAGAGTACGGCGACTTCTTGGCAGGTTTCCAAAGGCTAGTGCTTTAAAGTGTGGAATGGAGGATATCCTGCTAGGTGCATTACCCCGTCACATTCCGCGGTTCAACTTCATGGGTACAACATAAGCGGGCACACGGTGCTTGGATCTGCATCATTGCAGAGCTACGGTCCAGGCTCTGAATAATCAAGTAGAAGATTGTAATTACTTGCTAGGTACTTCAATTCACCCTCACTTGCTCAGAAAGAAACAGTGGAATATTCTGCTTCCACGACAAAAGCAATCGGGTTGATTCATGAAGGTCTAGTCTCGAGTAATAGTCCTTATATGGTTCGTGAAGGGATAGCCGTATGAAAATGCTATGAAGAGTCGATGGGCTCACTTCCCTTGTTTTTTTAGGCGACGCCAAAATTTGAAGTTGGACACTTTACCTTCGGAGCCCTTCCGGGAAGAATTGCCTACCACTCCAGATTCTTGTTCATTCGATGCTGAGGAAATGATGTCTACTCCCTCTTCGGGCCTTTTGAACGCAAGCCTGTGCAGTTTGGGTTGCACGGTGGTGTAGGAGGACCCTGATGCGTTCACCACAAGACGCACCTGCTCGATCCATTGAGAAAACTCAACTGCCCTTGCACGCCCTTCATTTTGACTGCACTCGCGCTGCCATACGAGTACCTTGCGCACGATAAATAGCACCAGCTCCCCAAGGGGTGTCCCGTGGAGGCAAGATTCATCAGCCATCAAAAGCCGGGCCCATTTGTCGAACTTGCGGTCGTCCTCGTTGGAGACGTGTACATTGGCAGTCTGAGAGCGAAACTTCTCGACCTCTTGTTTTCCGCGAATCAGCCAGATGATGAACTCGAAGAAGATTAGTCCTAGTGACCAGGTATCGTGGAAGGGTGATGGCGGTCGCTCTCGCGCCGTGTACCTGAGCCTTGCGATGCGATCTCCGCTGGCATCCTTTGTATAGAATTTTGTCCGGCCGGGATCACCGATCACCAAGAGTCCCATAGAGTTCATGTCCATATCAGACTCTTGACTAGGGAACCAAAGTATATTGTCAGGTGTCAAGGCGCCATGACGGGTCAAAGGCTTATTGTCATAGTGGTGTTCGTGGAGCTTCGCAAGGCCATCCGTTATACCGAGAAGCTGTTTGAAGAGCCACGAAATCATCTGGTTAGAACCAACCCGTGAAGGGTCTTGCCTTTCCCAGAAATCTCGGAGACTGCCTCTGGCGCGAGGCATGATATAGCCACATTGCTCGCCTCTCGTGAAAGCCGCGATAGGTTTCAGAATGTGGGCATGACTGATCGTGTACATTGCGTATAACACGTCACACTCTTCGAGGAAGGCTTTGAACATTTGGGCAAATGCTACGACGTCGGGACGTGTGACAAAGTTGTCAACACGTGTTTCGTTGTCCACCTTTGTCTTGAGTTCAAATATTTTGACCGCGACCGCGGATCTGCGAAGGTCCAGTTCCATCTTGCGAACCGTCGATGTTAGCAATACTCCAATGCGTGATTGCAAAATGAGCTTCTTACTGTTGTCTGGGAAGATAAATGGGCTGGGTGGATACTAGCCATGTAAACTTGGCTACAGAGGACTCCGCCCGCCTGGTGCGAGGTGAGCGTAGTGAGAGGCAGAGGACTTTGTGGAGCCAGAAGGTACTCAAATTTGTCTGTGCCGAATACTGGCGCAGAGAATAGCCACTGGGAAGCATAGAAATGCTCGAACTTGTCCAAAGTCCACAGTGAAGGATTTTCGAAACATCTTGAGACCGGATGAAGATCGTCATTTGGGTCACCTGTGAACGGATGGATCGTTCTATACCAACCCAAACCCTCCTTTTCATTACCTTCTGGGTTTGTGTTGGCGCATGCTAGGGGAAATACATCATCAGTAAATCCTCGGAACTCAAATTCCAAGATAGCTTGGGGATTCCCAATAAACAGCAACGTGGCAAAGACCCTGAGGAGGTTCTCCGCAATGTAGTCACACTTTTCCGAGCCCACACTCTCACAGCTAGCTTCAACAAGCGCTGTCAAAATGGTTTCCACGTCGAGTACATCAATTATTGCGTCTATTGGCACAAAGGGTGGCATGTCGACTGGAAATATCGTGGCGGATTTGAATTTCTGCAAGATCTCCTGGCGGACCGGAGTTGATCCAGATGCTGTTGCTGAAGAATCACCTCGAGTTGTAGCTTTTTCTGCTAGTGTTCTGGAGATAGCACGTCGGCGAAACCCCTGTAGGATAGGATCCGCGTCTTGACCCTCGTATGGGATCGTTATTTTCGGGATCCATCCCCACTGCGCATATGTATATTAGTGTCTCAATGTCAAATCAAATTAACAAAAACGAAGAGAATCTGCTGTTGAAATTCGAGGGAGTCCTAAGGAGGCGACATACTTGCGTACTCCTTTTTTCATACAATCCCGCAGGAATGTCATGATCATCGACGAAGCGAGCGGAGTCGTCACACTGTTGGGGGTACGGCTCGTCGTCATTTCTAGATCCAGGGATTTCCGGGCATAAGAAGGTATTGGACAAAAATCTCTTTGTTTGTTCAGGCGGCTCTCCGGGCCGGGGCTTGTGCGATGCTCGAACATAAGATTGAATGCCACCCCAAGCAGCATAAGGATCTTGGTCCGAGTGGACAAGTTGCGGACGAATAATTTCCATGTTTTGACCGTCGAAAGCTGTGTCAGCTTCTTCACCCAAGAAGTCGAAGATTCTGCTACGGTTTGCCGGTATCGCACCGTCATCAGACCCAAACGAAAGCGTGGATCTAGTATTTTGGTCTTCTTCCTTGATGTAGGGTAATGAGCTCAGGGCAAGGTACCTCAAGTGTTTTACGATATGATCCTCCAGACTGCCGACCACCGTGTGATGGTCTGCTGTGACTCCACAGAGAGGACAAGACAGGAATAACGGGACCCTCTTTCTTGCCTTTGCTTCCGTCATTGCCAGGATCTGGGCTTCTGTGAAGATCCCTTCGTGGACTTCTCGCAGATGGTCTTCATAGGCCTCGCGTTGATCAAAAGTTTGGGGCCCATGAAAGCTGGCCATGCATTGCCACCGTAAAGCGTGTTCTCGCATGTGCTTTAACCAGGCGTCACTCTGGTTGTACAGCTCAGACGGCTTATCGCAATCCTCGAAGAGACAGACATAGGCGTCCAAATCACCCAATAGATGATGCCTGTAGTTGTTTTAATCCTCATGTGCCCAAAGATGGTATATAGTGATTCGAGCTTCATACCTCCACTTCTCCTTGAATTTCATGTCTGTACTGGACAATGCACAGAGGCAGTATGGACAAATGACCTCCCCCTTCATGTTCTTGCACATTTTCAAGTCGGCATCGAGACCGATCTGCAAATCCCTTTCCGCCTCCCGGATCTGTGCCCGGAGATTCGACACGATCTCTGCATCCAAAGAAGACGGCTTGCCTTGTTGCGCAACATAGATTTGAAAATAAGGTATCTCCAATAACCGCGCGTTATGCCGAGCGAGACGGCTGGCTTTCAACTCTCGAAACCTGTCTTGAATTGCCGCACGTGGAGGCGGTGGAAAACCTAAATCGTCATGAATATTCGACGAGATGCATTCTTCCATCAGCAAGGCTGACGGTGCCGTTAGACGCTGGAGCTTTTCAGGGTCCAATGTAGTGCTTGTCTCGGTCGTCCCCGCCTGGGAGGAATTCACGCTCTGGCTACGCGTCAGTGAATGCGTCTCAGCTGGAACTGTTTCCTGCTCCCGAATCTCGACAGGAGTCATACCCCGCGCGACACACATTTTTTTCGAGCAAAGATCTGGCTCAGCTGCAATGTGTAGCCACGTGGGAGGGGTCATGGGTCTTCTGGACCTCCGGTACAGAATACGCTTCGGCCGCAGAAGGACGGTGGAGGCAAGGCGTTGACGTAACTGCTCATTGCATCGCGGGAACTTGTTGGTCAGGTCTTGCAGAACTATAGCTTCGAAATGCTTCTCGATCTTGTTGCCATCGGCATCTTTGATCTCGAAAAATACATTTGCCTTGGAGTTCTGGGACACATGTCCTGCTCTACGGATTATGTTGGAAAGCTGATGGAGGAGACTTATATCCTTGGCTGCTTGTTTCACGGCCATCTCGAGCTCCATGCTCACTATCTTCATTTGCTGATTTAAATCATCGGACGCGGCAGCTTTGAGATTTTTCCAAGTCTGAAGTCTGGGAATACCTAAATTGTCATAGGTGGTCAAGGTTCAGTATCTCCGGGCTGTTTGAGAAATCGTTGGTAGACTCGAAATGAGAGTTTGACTGACACTTTTGTAGGTGGCCATTGAGGACTTGCACAAGACTCTTGACGAGACGGTGGGTATCTGAGCAATCTCGAAGACGATAGTCGATCGACGCTCGGTCAAGTGCGAATACGCCAATACTTGATAACCAAAGGGAGAAGCGGACCACCTGGTGCTGGATCAGGGAAAGCTCCTTGGGTCCTAGATCTTCGGCGATCCCTATACAGTTGTTCAAGGTTTGCAGACAACACTGGGCTGCATGTGCGATTGTTCTGGTCTCATCAACTTTGCCAGCATATCTAGTCTGGCTTTGGAGGGCCGACTTCAACGGCACGCCGGTGCTCATCGGTGCGGCTGTGTAAAACAGAAAAGACGTCAAATCAATGACTGAAAGACGACGGGAGGTAATTAGCTATTATTTGCTGCGAATTGTGGATGCGAAAATGATCGGCATACATGGTATGCGTCGTGGAAACTCAGGCATGGATGTTGATGTGTTGTTATTTAAGCTCGGGGACAAACTCATGAACTTGGCAGATGCCTGGCCGGGTATAGCCTATTGTGCACTGCACCAACTATTCCTCTTGCGAAAGGTCTGGTGAGGGATTTGTACCACAAATACATGTCAGCATGGGGCACGTATTTGCAACTTATCCTAATATGATCATTTGCCAAGGATCCTAAATGTTGGCAGAGAAACCTTCTACATCGGCCCTGCAAACGGCATTATCTTCTATGTATCGGGCCCCTTAGATCCTGCATGACACTTAATTGTAGGAAGAAATCGTACTTGCTCTCAGGAATCTCTCGACACTTCCGTAATTTACACGCTGAGTTTTGGTTCTGCAGGTATTCGGGTGATCTATGAAAACACCAAGTAGCAGGTTTACTGTCGCAGGTGGTACCTGCACTAACATTCGTATCTGTAGGCATACAATCCCAGCGCTTACCGGGGCGGTGCTCGCTGCCAAGGCAATTCGATCACCTGTTTAACCACGTGCAGCCTGTGACGGAAGACCTGCAGATTCCTTTCGCTGAAATTCTTACGGGTTTCGGCCTGTACAGACTGAGGTAGGTCTTGTAGACAGCGAATGCTCGGCTGCACCTTACAGTGTCCGTCCTTCTAACGGGACCGTTGCTTCCCAACCCGACTGTAACGGCCAACAAACATGGCGTATTTTTTTGAGAAGACGTGCATGAGCCCGAGGGGATATCTCCTGCAAGATCAATCGTGCGATCTGATCATCTACGACTGATCGGGCGTCTTAGTCGTTGCATTCCTCCATCGTATTCGAGAATAAAACCCCCGAGACTGCTTCGACGTCGATCTGGTCGCTCGCCTGCATGCTTGCTAGGAACTGGGAAAGGACCACAGTTGTTTGTGTATCCTGGTGTTACTATCGTACATGATGACTTAAATCCTAAGCAGGGAGATAGAGTTCTCGAAGTCCATGACAGTCAATCTACCATGAGTTGTGGAACGTATCATGTGGAGATCTCGTTGTCCCCGTTACAATGCCCCAGATCCTCGTCTCGTCAAACCGCCCCCCCTCCAGCCCCAGCATCACTCCTCAGGACACACGTCTTCCCTCACACATAATATGTCCGCTTTTGATCCCAAGCATCCGCCAGCGTATGGCTACCATCCTCGTTCCGAGCCCATTGGAGCAGGTGCTCGCCCTCTGATCGGTCCCTGTATGCCCGCTCCAATTTGCAGGGCATCTCCAGTGTGCCCCCAACTAGTTTTGATTCGACCTGTCTGGTCAAGATCCACTTCGTAGTTTTTTCCACCCTTTCTCGGATCCCGGACTGGCATAAGTCGACGTTGAAGGCTAAATAAATCTTTGACACCATATTTCTCGATCCTGTATAGAGAATGAAGAAGACTCGCACCTCCACTGGATCCAACAATTCTGAAGGTCGTCCCGTGTCCCATGGGGTCTTCATAGGCTCCTGTTGGTACTTGAGACCTATGATCTCGAATCTCTCCCGCTTTAGTTAGAAGAAGGTCTCGCGCAAGCGGGAGGGGCTCCCTGAGGCTTTCGCCTTTCCCCAAACGTCTCGATGGTTGCGGAGCAACTTTTGCAATTGAGTCTTGGGCAAAAGGTCGATGCCGAATGCTCTGTATAGGACATCGAAACCGGCGCACTCGTCGACCATAATAAAGATGGAACCCAGTGCGATGACTCTCAAACAGAGGGCTCCAAAACCACTCTTATGGGATGTTTTAACCATGGGGATCGTGCTGGGAATGCTGTGGGGAAATTTATCGAAAGTCACCTCCCGGATCCTGGAAGCTACGAACGAGGCGGGCAAGACCATTGCAAGGGCGACAGGCCAGACAATCCGCGTCAAGGTGCTGGACCCGTAGAGCAAAGACATTGCGAGCAGGTGTGTAAGACTAATGTAATGTTGTTGCGAAAGTGACCACTTGGGGAGACTGGTGACGAGCAAAGGAACTGGAACCTTTTAGTGGTGATTCAGTGGTAGACAGTGATGGGAAAATGAAAAGGAGTAGAACGGAAGAATTTAGGGGGGGCAGGCTTACCCCAGACGACTGGACAGAGACCAGAACAAGCTGAGTGAAGCCTGAGGCGCCCTGCAAGGCACAAATCACCATGCAAGCTGCATGTGTGAGCATTGACGTTGGCAGACCTGGTCTCGGAGCGATTCCGCGGAAGCAAGGGAGAGGGCCTTCGCCGCGGCCGAGTGCATTTGTGCCACCAAGCTTAATGACTATTCCTCGGCTGGCATACTGATAGGCACGTGGGATGTCACCAGCAACGAAATTGACGTTGAAAGGTTCATCCAGGGGTAGGACCTGCGTGACTAGAGACATTGGCAGCTAATTGGGTGTCTCGATACAGCAGAATCAACTTTGAGCAGCATGATTTCGGCAAATGCTTCTGCAAGATGCGGTGCAACAACTAAATGCATGGGAACATACATGTGCAACAACAACTTTCTCAGCCATAATATCACATACCAGCGCGCACAGACACGAATGACTGGCGAAATTTGGCACTGTTTTGGTGATGCGTCAGAAATATTCGTTCCCCTTGCGCATCTGCTTGGCTTTCCTCTTGCTCAGAGGCTTCAAGTTTTTTGATACATAGGCTCACTCTACACCCCAACCCTACACATCGAACCCTGTTGTGGCTACCTAGCTAAAAGTGAAATTTCTCGCTGATTATCTTCCCCCCTTTCTATAGTCCAAGGCTTCCAACATAGTATCAGCACCGGCGAACCAAGATTATGCCAGTATTTCAACCCAAAATCGCTTCGACGCCTCTTTATCTTCGGACGTATATCGAGTTGGTGCCACTCTATATGTGAGGGCAGTAGATCAGTAATGTTTCCTGCAAAGCTTCCTTGTTGAAGACTTGCGGTACAATACTTTAGAACCAAAGAGATTGGCTATGGCTACCCGGCTATAGTTGCGCCGTCTTCGAGTAGACCCTTCAGTCAGGCACTCTTGGTTGCTCACTAATCATTACCGTCTTTTTTTGCCCATTTCCTGTTCATATTCGGGTCCCCACTTGTTCCCTTGTGGACAGGTCATGTTTTTGGTCATCAGAGGAGCTAGCTTTGGTGCTGGAGTCCTAGGCTAAGACAGACTGCTTTAAGCAACTCTCTCAACTCATCAACAATTAGTCTGAAACGCAGAGCCAGAAGCCTAACGCCTTCCCTAACAACGGTTGAAGCACAACAGCCGGGCAAGGCATAAATTACGATGAACATAAACTACGCTCAGTAGTGCCTTGATCCTGCTATGGGGATTTACACCAGGGGAGCATATAATAAATCCAATGCTACATGCTTGTCATTAACGTTGCAATTGTCAGTTCACGTGACTGCTCCGACGGGTGTGGTCAAGGCTCTAGGGTCCTTCGTCATGGTTTATGACTCGCCCTCAAGCCTCCGGCCTGTACCTCAACAAATGGTTATGCCAAAATATTTCCAGTACTTCGGACAGAATGTCGCGTTGGGACGACCTCGCTGACGACCATCCACGGGTGGTAGAGATCTTCTCGATACGCAAGTATTTGCCGCCCTTGAATTTTATCACCATCCACTATGCCTACTTCATCGTCGTGTGTCTCATTAGCTCCGTCATTTTCTGGCGGTCGTCGGACCCTGCCTTCAGCGTTAGCTACACTGATAGTCTGTTCATCGTGGTGTCTGCCATGACCGAGGCCGGGTTGAACACGGTCAACCTCAGTACGTTGACGACCTGGCAGCAGACGATGCTCTTCCTCCTCATCATGCTGGGCAGCACGATCTGGGTTTCCATTTGGACCGTCTTGGCGCGTAAACACGTCTTCGAGAAGCGGTTTGAGAGTATCGTACATGCCGAGCGCGCCCGCAGCCTTAACCGACGTGGCAGCAGCACGTCGCTGACCCTGCCAAAGCTGCGGAAATCCATCTCATTCCGCAAAGCCAAGACAGTCCCAGTGCCCGACAAGAATTTGCCGACGACAGGGAGTGGAGCATTAGAAAACAACTTCTCGACGTCAGATCCTCATGTGGATAGGTCCCAGGTTGACACGGTGGTGCCAAGAGCTCGGCGCGCGTCGTCTTTGCCCGATCTAGACCTCGGGGAGCTACCCAAGACTCCGACTGAGCGGAACAGTCCTGGCGGACACATTGCCTTCGTCGACACTCCGCGCCCTCAGGAAGGCAGGAATGCTACATCGACCGGTATTTCCTACTTCAACGAGATCCGTCCTGCGTGGAGAAATGGCCCGGGCAAGGCGGCGGACCAAGACAGGGTTGATCTAACTGTGCAGCATTTCCTCAGGAGTCGCGCCTCTAGCCACAACGGCCAGTTTCATAGCCTCACTAGCGAGGAGCGTGAGCATCTTGGCGGGTACGAGTACCGTGCCCTGAAAGTACTTGCAGTTGTTGTTCCTGTCTACTTCTTCCTGTGGCAGTTCCTAGGATGCGTCGCGCTGGGAGCATGGATGAACCACAACATGCCAGACACTGCAAAAGCGAACGGCATCAACCCGTGGTGGCTCGGTGTCTTCAATGGCGTCTCAGCCTTCAACAACTCGGGCATGTCGCTCCTGGATGCAAATATGATCCCTTTTCAGAACGCCTACTTCGTCCTCATCACAATGGGGTTGATGATTCTAGCCGGCAATACCGCATACCCTCTATTCCTCCGTCTAATTATATGGACGGGCCTCAAACTCTTGAAAGCAATGACCGCAGAGGATGCCTATGTCGACGTCAAGGCCACGCTCGAGTTTATTCTGAAGTACCCTCGCCGAGTCTATACAAACCTATTCCCGTCTCGTCCCACCTGGTGGCTTTTCTTCATGCTTATATGGTTAAACTCCGTTGACTGGGTTTCCTTCGAGCTCCTTAATCTCGGAAACCCAGTTATCAAGAATATTCCTACAGGGCCTCGCATTCTTGACGGTCTGTTCCAAGCCCTCGGTAAGCCGCTCCCACTACTGTTTGGAGACACGATCAACGCTCTGACAAACCTCTCCTGTAGCCGTCCGGTCTGGTGGTTTCTACGTCGTACCCATCTCCCAGGTTTATATTGGCCTTCAGGTGTTGTATGTTATCATGATGTACATCTCTGTTTACCCCGTAGTCATCACGATCCGCCACTCCAATGTCTATGAGGAGCGCTCGCTCGGTATCTATCATGGCGACGAGTTTTCAGGGTCTGATCCCGACCCTGAGCTCACTGCGCCGCTGCGGTCCAATGATGATCGCAACTTCGAGTCCCACGCCCACGCCTCCAGCAGTGCCCGATCAACGGGCCCACCTCTCATCCGCCGGTTGAGCCGCTCCAGCGCGGCCGTCGAAATCGGGCAAGCCTTACAGCGCACCTTCACGTGGAACGGTGTCGGCGTCCCGCCCATAAAGCACAGCAACAAGAAAACCGACAATGGTCCTGCATCAGCCGGCCTGGACAGCAGCAGCAATTCAAACAGCCGTATCAGCTTCATCAGCCAACAAATCCACGGTCAGCTGGCCCATGACATCTGGTGGCTGGTCCTGGCAGTCCTGGTGATCGCCACCATAGAGACCTCGCATTTCTTAGTAGACCCGGTGGCGTTTTCCGTGTTTAACATTATCTTCGAGGTTGTGTCTGCTTATGGTACAGTCGGCATTTCCGTGGGGATCCCGACGGACGCATATAGCTTCTCGGGAGCATGGTATACTGGCAGCAAACTTGTGCTGTGCCTTGTTATGCTGCGTGGTAGACATCGCGGGTTGCCGGTCGCATTAGACCATGCTGTGAGGCTGCCAGGGGAACAGTTACATCGTGATGAAGAGGAGGATCATTGGATACGGAGAAGAATGGCGAGAAGACAGGTGGATGCAAACCTTTAAAAGACATCAGCTTGAAACGCAGATAGGTAGGTTTCTGAAGTGGGCAAGCGATGCGAGCCTCAGGATTATCCAGCGCTCGTGCTGATAAAATAAATGAGGTGGTATATACATGGCCATCTGACACTGCAGCAATGTGAATCAAATTCCCCCTTTCATATTACAGCTGTGATTACTGCCAATATCAAAAGGCGATGTAGTTCTGGGTACTGTAGTCTGGTACCTAGGTAATCTCAATCACTACTCTTCTAGAGTATAACATACCTAAGATAAAGTGATAGAACCCAATAGTCATCACCTTTGGGAAGTGCGGTGCTTTCAACACTTTTGTAGACGCCCGGGGCCTCAAAATAACCCTTAATCGCCCTGTGAAAGTTGAAATAGTAAATCTTGACGAAACTCCACTTCTGAGTCCATCGTCCACCTTTGCCCTTCCGCCTGCTACATCTCAAGCAGCCCCTATCAATCCCAAGTCCAACTTGCTCTGAAGAAATCGGGTGCAGTAGTTGAGGCATAGAAATATTCCTTTTTTTTTATGTCATCCGTGCTGTCCCATGCTATTGCTTTTCCGCCTCCACTACTCAATCATGCATATTGCGGCATCACCCTGTCGCGCGCCTGATTCCACAGGGTATGGGTCCAGTTCTCGGGGAGGACATGCGATATCTGGAAAAACAGACGCAGACGTCAGCATTCCAAAGCTGCGCATCAATGGTGACGAAAGAGGTGGAGGTGACTGACCCTGGACAGGTGTAATTGCCAGTTGTTCGGCCTTGGGCCCCGGACGACGGCACATGGCGCCTTGTGCAGTAGGTCGTCCTCGAGGTAGGTCTCAGGCAGGCCTTGCAGCCCGGCTTCGCCCGGGATGTTTGGCAGGTAGAGGACGTAATTCCGGGCCTTGGCCTGGAGGAGCTGCTTCAGGAAGCTCCGCTCGTTGACGCGCTTGTGCCAGGGCCGGAGGTCCTCGGAGTCGAGGTAGATGTGGAGCTCGCGGAGGTTGGGGATCGCTGACAGGCGGCGGCAGAGGTCCTCCCACGGATTATCCTTCGCCGTGACTGGCACGCCTGCAATATGTGGCTGTGGCTCGCCGTCTGGGCCGGGGAAGTACAGCTCGGTTATCAGGGGTTTCACGCGCAGGCTGATCTCGATGTTGCGGATGTTCCGGGTTGGTGCATTCATGGAGAGGAAGTCTCTGGCAACGATAATATCGGTGAAGCAGAAGGTAAGGGCGTTCTCGAGGGCCTCAATGCTTTCGAGGTACCTTGCACGATGTCAGTTGCTGAACAGTCTAGCAAGTAGGGAACATACCATCGCTTGCAAATCAAAAGGGGCGAAGAAGATGTTGCGAAACTAGGCCGTCGTCTGATGTAGTCCCTTGGTGATGCTGTCCGTCCTGTCCTTGGATTCGTGGCCCTTGCTGCAGCTGCTTCAGCGCATCTCCAATGTGTATTCCACGGTGACCGTAACCTCGACTCCCAAGCCAGAGCATCAGATCCGCGAGATGTCTGGAAATGGGAGTACCTCGTGTCTTCCTCGTCTGGGCCGGTAATGCAGGGGAACATCGGGACCGCGTGGTCACCGGCAGAGTGCACATGCCATCTGGTGTCGTGCAGAGCCCATAGTTCGTCGAATATCTTCTCGCGGATTTCAAATGGGAGCTTGTTGAAGAATGGTGATGCAGTCTGGAGCTCTGCTGTCGCGGCGATGTCGGACCGGAGTTGAGCCATGTCGGCTAAGGGGCTAGGCTGTCGCAACGGTGCGTAGTGCGCAGTGAGGGGCGGACTGACGACACGGCAAACCCCACAATGGACGTGTGTCAACGGTCGTCTAAGAGTAGAAAGCGCTTAGAAGGAGAAAGGCGATTTCACCATGGGCTACGGAGTTCTGGGCGGACACATGTGAGTGAAATGCAGATCCGTTTGGGGTGAAGCTCAAAAGGCTGAGAAGAGCCACGATAGACAAACAGAGCCCGAAGTTCAGAGGATGGGAAAAAAAGAGGGGAATTTCGGGATTTGGGCCAGGTTTCCAGGAAGTAGATTTAATCCCCTGTCCAAGACTGTTTCTGTGGAGTTATTCGCGGATCCGTTCGCCTGGGCAGTGGGCGCCACGGCCGTCTGAATGGGGAAATGCTGCCTGACAATCCACCGTTCTCACCAGATTGTGCCTGTACTACGAATGACACGGCATTCCGAAAGATTGTAGTAAGTATGACGCCACTCCGTCCAAACCAACTGGACCCTGAATCGTCTTTCGGCTGAGGGACCAACCATGGCACCCTACCGTTGGAGCCGAGCTTGATTGGTTTCAGCCCACCCTGGCCGGTGGACGACTCTAGTATAGAGATAGTGTGCGCTTCCACGCCAGTCAGGCGTGTGAGGAATCAGTCTGAGCATGGGAGACCCTGGAATGTGACCCTGAAGGTTTTGTTATTCCCGATAGTCCAAGATTTAAATCTCGACGTACAATCTTATTCCCGCTATATGACGACGGTTCACGCCGTGACTGACTCGCAATCGTTTAGACCTGCGCAGATGCCAATCAAATCATTTCTTGTCGCGGCGCGAGACCAATGTTTCAGCGTCTGCAAGTTGGGCTCTCAGGCTGTCTCCACTACAATGCAACTTGCGATCGGCCCGTAACAGGCCTGAAAGCATGCTCCGTGATACCTACTCGCTGTGACTCTCTTGCTCTGGCAAATGTCGAAGATGCCATCGTGTGCTTGTGCCTGGCGATCTGTAGCAAATTCATCCCCAACTTCGATCGTGTGCTACAAAGGGTCGTCATCTGTCTCATCTGTCCCAGCAAGGGGTCTCACGGGCGACAGAATGGTACATAATACCACGACTCTAAAATGCCAAATGCCTGCGAGAAACCTAAATATTACCCAGTGAAGCTGTACTAGAAACCGTCAGACGATGGACTACGATGTAAGTTTATCAATTCTGAACCGATGTTGCTTGTGTGATCACAGGGCAGTAGAAACTCGAGCCAAGTGACGATTAACCTGGCTACACCTAGCTGCTCAGTTATCTAACGTACAAACAAATGCACTCGCTCATACTCATCAAGCCAACTTCCACAGCTTGTCGAAACGATTGCCCGGGTCATACTTCTGCTTCAGTTCCTTCAACCGCTTCGCATTGGACCCAAAAGCCCCTTCGGCACTGATGCTGCTGTCCAGGTAGTTGTTGTAATGACCAACACCTTCGCCTCCGACTTCGTCACCCTTGAAGCCCTTGGCTCTTATCAACGCAGCGACCTCCTGCTTGAATGCACGAACTTCTTTGTCGCTGTCTGGGCTGAGCCAGCTCATCAAGACGGCCACATTGAAGTATGTCCCACGGTTGGCGAAGGCTGTCGCCTCGGGGGGGATCTCGCGCGCCTTGTGATTGGGGAATAGCTCGTACCCGATTATGCTGCCACGGAGGTCCTCCTTGCTCGGGTCCGAGCTGAAGCGCTCGATGCCCTCCCACCACACCTTAGCAGCCGACTGCACTACTTCGACATCGACCGGGTAAGTGACATTAGCAGCTCCGAATTGGTAGCGGCCCCCATGTGGGACTCCAGCGTTGGCGAGGCTGTTCACCACCTTGTAGGGGACCGTCTGAACCGCATTGAGGTGAGGCCCCACCTTCAACAACGGCTCGTAAATCTTCTCCCCCTCCGCGGCACTGCCGTTGTGGAACACCTGCGCAACGATTACACGGACTCTGTCCGGGGGTGGAGAATATCCAAATGCCATCAGTATGGCCTGGTTGCCGTCCTGTGCAGCCAACACGGCATTGCAGCCATCTACAACCTCAGCCAGCTGATCCGGCCTGAATATCAACACGCCGGCCCAGACATCACCTTGTGGGAACGCGCGTGAGGTGAATTTAGTGGCGACGCCGAAGCTTGTCCCGGCTCCCCTCAGGGCCCAGAACAGGTCCGCGTTCTCCTTCTCCGAGGCGGTCACGATGCTCCCGTCGGCAAGTACGACCTCGACCTCGAGCAGGACGTCGATGGTGAGCCCATGCTTGGGGCTGAGGAAGCCGAACCCGCCGCCCAGGACCAGGCCGCCTACACCCGTGTGGTTGACGGTGCCGCCCGGTGTGGCGAGGCCGTGCTGCGCCGCCGCCTCGTCGACTTCGGACCACAGGCACCCGCCGCCGTACGTGATGGTCTGCTTCTGCGCGTCGACACTGACCTCGCGTATGAGGGACAGGTCGATGACCACGCCGTCCTCGCCCTTGGACGACTGCCCGGACGTCGAGTGGCCGCCGCCGCAGACGGTGAACGGGAGCGAGTGCTTGTTGGCGAACACAATGGCACTGCTGACCTCTTCTGCGGACGCGGGCTTGATCACTGCTGCCTATTCATCTGGTTAGAAAGCGAGGAAGGGACATTGAACTAGGTTATGGGATGATTACTCACTGCCGGCTTGATGCAGCTCTCGCTCCAGCGCTTGATGCTTTCGTCGTAGTCGGCATCACCCGGTAGGACGACTTTCCCGGCCTTGAGGTCCTGCTTCAACGAATCGAAAATAGACGCCATATTTGTTTTTCCAAGACAGCACTGCTGTCAGAATATTTATTTAGTCTCGCTCATATGTTTCCCAGGCCGAACGATGTAAGCTGTCGGTGGAGCTCGTCAGAGCGGGGTGATGCCCACACTAGTAAGACCCAGCGAGGTCATTGGGTAGATACAATTCAGGATCAACAGTTGGCGTATCTAGGGCTTACAATATCAAGTGGATTGGGGCTGTTCATTATCAAATGCCAATCCTTGCCCTTACAGGAGCTGACATTTTCAATAGTGAGCACGACAGCATCCGATATGCCCAGATGGCGGAGAAGTTCCTGCGAGCTAGACGCAGAAACGAGTTGAAAGTATTATTGATGATGGCGAGAGTGCCTGGCGAGATTGTTTACGGGACCTCCGCCGGTCTGCTCTGTCTCGCCAGCGAAGCGAAGACCAGATGGATCGCCCTGAGACAACCAATGAGGCATGGCCTGAGACTGATGCTGGTGTAGAATAGTGAGGACCCGGATGTCACAGCCTAAACACGGAATCATGTTGTCAGAGCTTAATTAACAACGCAAAGAGCGGAATATCTGTTCTACTATGAAGTGCAATGCTATCAAGGCCAGATTCTATTTCCTGCATGCTACACCTTAATAGCCAAGGTGTCCTGCCATCATCTCAGCGTCACGTACACCTTCGTGACTTCCTGAGTTGAACCACGAAAATTCCGCCTGATCTCCTCGTCCTCGTCCGAAACACAGTTGAACCTGGCCACGACCTCTCCTTTGAACGGATCTGGCGGGTGGGTCCATACGTGAGTGACGGCATCGTGGAGAGACTGAAGCTGTATCCCTCGGAACCCCTCGCTAGCCGACTTCCTCATCATGTGATACGCGAGAAGCTTCATGAAGCCCCGACCTTCCTCGCCTGCCTTCGTCGCCGTGGAGCTGCGGAAGAGAACCTGGTTGGGGCCAGTGGCCTGCCAAGTTTCCGGATCCCTCGTGTCACGCTCCTGCAGAATCTCGTTGCGTACGCTGAGCAGCGGCATGACTTTAATCATCGGCTCAACCAGAGACGCATCGAGCGGATAAAAGCTGTCAAAGGCCATGGCCACGGATAGAAGCGGGAAGTCCATTTGTTCTAGTAGTTGTCCCTGGTCGGCACTCTTGTCGCTCAGGTCCCAATGCAGCTTACCACCAGTTGCCGCTGAATCAGGGCGCTTGAATTTGTACTCCTTATCGAAGATGCCGAGACAGAGGCCCAACTCGACCTGGTGTTTGAAAAGGGGCGCGCCGAACGTGAACAAGCCGTAACAAATTCCTGTCTTATCCTTGGAGTATATTTTCGACCAGACCGGCGATGCGAATGCGGTGCTGTGCATTATGATCGCTGTAGCCCAGTCTGCATGCTCTGGGCTAAGGGTGCGAATTTCATAACGAGAAGGAAGAACGGACTTAGCCGCCATTGTGTGTCAATAATTACACCGGTTGGGAACGTGGATGGCAGATGAAGGAGCATCCATCACATGGACAACTCGGGGCGAGCCTTGATTAACAACCGGATCGACAGCCCGGAAGCTCATCACGACAAAAGCTGGGAAGGAACTTCAGGTTTTTGCTGTCTATATATATGCACCACTGACTTACTTTGGCGCTCGAGTGCATGCATTGTAGGGCGTTGCCGCTGTTGCCGCTATTACCGATTGGAGAAAGCCCACCCAGACATCAGTGCCCTGAAAGCCTTATTCTTCTTGTTGTGGTGCGCGCAGCATGCAGTAAGCGAGCTGAATACTACTTTAACTGGGATATCTGACCTCTAATTACCGCTCACTGGCTTGTCTTAAGCCAATAGACAGCCCATTACGTGAAAGTATCTTCAGACGTCTTATTACAAGTTGCATTTTGCCGGCCAACGAAGTACGCATCATCTGAATCTAAGTCATGATGAATGGACATATCCCGTTGTGGAGCAACCACGAACCCCGGTATAATGAAACGCGAAAGTGACTCTCGAAGGATCGTGTTTGGCGAGCGTAAACCTGACAGAATTGCAGTTGCACTAATTGTCTATCAGCTCTTAAGTGCCTGAGCTTCCGAACGCGACGTCCTTGGCCATCAAAATTCTCAAGGTTGTCAATAGGGTTCAGATGCTTCTATTAATTATCCATATATGATGTCGTGCAACAAAGAACGTAAAGGCTCAACTTTTCTAACGAACCAGGCCACAGTCAGAAAACTTGCGCCAGAGGTTGGCGTTGAGTTCTTGCTTGGGCTGCTGCTCCATGGCAGAATGGGCACACTGATCCGTGTGATCACGCTCTGACAGCTACAAGTCGAGCGTGTGTAATCCTGTCCTAAATAAGACTGTGAGAGTTCTCCGAGCTATCTTGGCACAGCGGCGCTGGTGATCTGCAACAATTGAACAAATACCATCCATGATAGTTCCCAGGCTTCATGGCATCCACAACGACAGTATTTAAATTCCCACACACCCAGAACATGCTCATGCTCCAATTTAGATTTCTAGTCTTCCATGACTTCTTCCATTCGGATTGTCATCAGCCAAATCCTTCAATCCGTGTCTTTTCTGAAGTCTTTTTCAGCCTTTTCGTCGCGAACCTCTTCGTGCGCCCACGCGCCATATATCATGCCAAAGCGAAAAGCACCAGCTGCCACATCAGCAGCGCTGTGCCCGTATGGAATTTTGTGCAAAAACGTGGCATGTGGGTTCTTGTAAACAGCAGAGATCACCCTCCCCGGAGCCATATCTGCAGTGCGAATCGTCGGACTGTTATGTGCCGCTGTGGAACCGGAGCCCTTCGCCCGTATTAGCAGCGAGGAAGAAGTCGAGCCTTTCGCGGGCATCTAGTGTCCGCAAGCCGAGGCACTGACACAGCCTCACGAAGTATCTGAAAATCCATTCTGCCTTAATCAAGCTGTGGACTGATTCTCCACCCCCAGGCCTGGAAATTCATACTCATCTCCTGGAGTCCAACATTTGTTCAAGCCAGAAACTTATGACCGAGCAGATGTCGCCCACGCAATAGCGACACGAGAGACTGAGCAGGTGAGATGCCCAGTAGCTTTGAGTGAAGTCATCGTAGAAGTATCCCGATTTAAGAAGTTGACTTGTTTCTTGTATAAACACTCACCGTCAAAGAATGCATTCCCTTCGGAGGCCTCGCGTATATCACCTCATCCTGCCTGTCGTCTTCTCGAATTCGGGCAAAGCGTACTTTGAGGTGAATATATGCTCACGAATAATTACCTTGAAACAGGATTCAGACAATGCCTCCCATCCTTTACATCAAATGGATGGTAACATCTGCGTCCTCGCAACACGGAAACAACATGAAATGAGATTCTGCCCATTTCAAATCTCTGTGTAGTCTAGGGCAGCGACTGAATAACCATGCGAATCTGGGCTCATGCGTTGTGGAAACGTCTATTTTTCGGTCGATCGTCTGTTTCTTTTTTGGGGAGCCGAGACCCATAGAGATCACCCAACTTATATACGCTCTCCCTTCTCATTGAATCTCTGCACCTCCCCGGTTAGCAGCGCATCCTGCAAAGCCCGCCCAATTTCCATGACCTTGAAACCCTTCTCAATGGGCAGGGGCACGGGCTTGTCCTTCAACACGGCCTCGGTAAACTCATTAGCCTCCAGCGCGAACGCATCCTCAAACCGCTGCCAGTACTCGGGCTGCACCTCGTTGCGAATGCCCAACTTGTCCGCCAACACCACATTGTTAGCCCGCGGCACCACGTTCACTGACACCTTGCCCTCGGTGCCTGTGATCTCGGTACACACGTCGTGCCCGTGCGCCTGCGTGCGCGAGCAGTAAAAGTAAGCAATCTTGCCACCCCAGAACTCGACCACCCCGACGCCGTTGTCGACGTCGTTCATCTCCTTGAGCTCCGGGTGGTGCTGCAGCGTCCCGGTCGCCCAGCACGCCTTGGGCACCGGGTCGGACAGGAACCACAGCGAGAGGTCGATGTCGTGGATGGCGCAGTCGACGAAGATAGCGCCGTTGCGCGGGGCGTAGCGCACGAAGAAGCCCGTGTGGTCCAGCAGGTCGCACGTGTTGGAGCGCACGATGAATGGGTTGCCGATTGCTTTGCCCTCAAAGATTTTGGTTGCGGCGTCGCGGTACGAGGCGTCGAAGCGGCGTGAGAAGCCGGCCATCACCTTGAGATGAGGGTTGGCTTTGGCTGCGTTAACGACTTCGGCGATCTATAGCAAGGGCGTCTTTATTAGCCTTTCAATGTCGACTCCATGCCTCTCCTCACAGATCAGTCTGCTTAAAAGGTCGGTCGTCGACATACCTCGTCCATCTTTGTACTCAGGGGCTTCTCGCACAAGACGTGCAGACCCTTTCTGATGGCACCCATCGTTTGGCTCGCGTGGACGTCGGTGCTGGTCGAGATCCACACAGCCTGCAGGCCTGGGTGGGAGAGCATTGCCTCATACGAATCGTAGACGGTGACATTGAACTCCTTGTACTCTTCGAAGGCACGGGCCCACTCGAGCTCGTGGGGCTCTGTGCTGCAGACGGCCACGACTGAGGCGCGTGGTACGCGATAGATGAGGTTTTGAACATGGCGGCGGCCCTGCTCGGTGTCAGCCGCACGTCGTCAAACGCGTGTGCAGTATAGTATGGTGGAGAGTACTGACCATGCGACCGAGGCCAGCCACGGCGATCCGGAGAGGTTCCATGACTGCTGGTGCCAATTTTTGCCCTTTCTTGTTTCTTGCTTGCTATTCTCGGGAGGGCTGTTGCTGAGTCCGATACGCTCCCAACTGTGGCTTCTTCATGCCGCGGCCTCTTGATATAACAACCTCGCCGCCCACGTCTGGGCGACTCTCAACCTGCTCACTCTCCATTTTCTGATCAGCTGCCTCGGAGATAGCGTGGGATTCGCCTTTCCACGTGAAGCAGTCATAATACCGCTAAAAAATGTTGTCTTCATGTTTCTTTTTTCCCCTCTTCGGACGAGTCCGGAAAACAAGGAAAGAGCATCCGTAAAGAAGGTAGGGACACCCGCAAAAGTGGAAAGAACTTCCGCGAACCAGGTAAATAAATCCGCCAAGTTCATCCCCGCAGACGCGCAAACCCCACATGCATCCTTGGAGAACTGCGGCTCAAGACTCTCCAGGTAGTGTCAGAGTGTCTGGCTGGCTGGTCTGCATTTTGTGGGGTAGCTGGGGAAGAGGAATGGGGAAATCAACCTGCATCTGAATTTTGTTATACGGACTGAGATCCTTCACAAACTCGGATCCCCAAGTACAGGCCAGCCAGCTTGTTAGAGGGCCGAATATCGGAGTCTTTGGCCTTCTCCACACAAAACATATTACATGCTGTCATCATGTCACGAGTCGAAAAGCTTGGATACGAGGCCCTGCTGCATAACCGTGACAAGGGCATTGGAAGCTTGAAGCTATAACATCAGTCAACTGATGTTTTGAAACAAAAGAGGAGTTCTGTAGTACGGAATCTATACTCTGTCATGACCCAGAGAACAACGGGATGAACAATACCATGGAAAGGGATCGGAAACATATCCAGTGTTCAATGCCAAACTAATGGTTAAGTGGAACAATATTGGAAAAAGAAGGCTAATTCGCAGTCGGATGCCCCGCCAGAAAGTCTGCAAAATTTGAATCAAAAGTACCAAAACGAATAACATCGGGCAAGCATAATTAAAGCAACGCACTGTCGGATGAATTGTACTGTCTCTGTGTTCTCAATTACAAACGGGGAGGCAAGGCATGTTCAAGTGCAACTAAGACTTGATTGTTATTCTGCAATATTACTTCTAGCTGCTATAGTAGCGTCACAGATTGCGGTGCAAAACTTTTATTTTCCATAAATATCTGTGTGCGAATAATATCTGTGCACAGATTCTTCGACCGCGCAGCGTGTGGAGACTAGTCCGGCTCTAGCCCTGTAGCTATGATGCAAGTGGGAGCGCTCTTCATTCCTACCATACCTTTTGCCTTGACTAGATAGAACTTTATGCAAATTTGTGTAATATAAGACATCACTTAGTAGCTTTAACTCTTACATGGCCCTCTCCTGACAAATTCAATTTTCCCTTGCGGCAGTAGTGAGCACCGTCGTGAGATAGGGCGAGCCTAACGACGAGGAAAGTCAGTTTCATAGAAAATGCTGATTTAGACTAACAAAAAGTAAAAATTGAAAATAGTATAAATTATCAGAAATGCTCGATATATTAAAGTATTACCAAACCTATCGCTTCACGACTTTCAAAGCTTTCTGGCTATCCCTTTTGTAGACAATCAATCACCCCCTTCCTCCCACGTCTCTTCTCCCTAAAAGTACAATAATCTTTATTATCTACATTTCTACACCGTCACCATGTTCAAGACATGTCTTCTCTTCCTGGCCGGTGCCGCGATACTTCACGCGGCTCCGACTCCGAGCCCCACGGTAAGTCTGACTCCGGCCCAAATCGAGGCTGGCTGCACCTTCCACATGATTCCGTTCCATCCGGAGTGTCACGTTGCGGACAGTCAAGACAATACTCTCCGCATCGGAGCCACTCCGGCCCCAACCCCTATCCTCGGCATGGGATGTCATTTAGAGGATGGTAGTATCATCCCGGATTGTAATCTACAATTCGGTGGTGGGCCGCTTGGGCACGCCATCGACGGATGGATAGACAGGCTGCTTTCTGGTCATCACCATAAACACCACAAGACTAGCCACCATCTATCATCCACCGAAACGTCAAATCATATGCAGACCACAACGAAGGGCCATAAACACCGCAAGACAAAGAGTCATAAGCACACCACAACCACAGCCAATATCCCGACCGAGACGACAAGCCATGTGCCAACCACAACCACAAGCTCTCTTCCGACGGAAACGACGAGCCATAGGCAGCACAAAACGACGGCCCCTATGCCAACTCAGACAACGGGCGTATCGACTGAGACAACAACCCACAAGCACTCCAAGACAAAGGGTCACAAGCATACCAAAACGAAGGGCCATAAGCACACCAAAACAACGATCGATATCTCAACCCAAACGACAAGCCATGTGCCAACCACAGCTAAAAGCTCTCTTCCGACCGAGACAACAAGCCATGGGACAACCAGATCAAAGAGCCCCATGAAGACAACAACCAAGCATGAGCACACCATCTCAACGTCAACTTCCTCTACTGCAACCCCAAGTGCAACCCCTACAGACGACGCTCATCATAACGTGACCGACGTGATAAAGACTCTCAAACCCAGGAAAGGACAGAAAGGCCCTAGAAATTGGTCTCGGTGTTGGACGTAAGTAGCTTGTATATATAATTTTGACTTATCAACAGCGACACAACTACCCCCACCCCTCTCAGTATCCACGACTCGCCTGAAACCTTCGGCTGTAGCTGTCTAGGTAGTTCACTGGCGGAAAGTGGTTTACTTCAGCACTTTATCGTTTAAGACTTTCTTGTTTCACTTGTATAGCTAACTCTTAATCCTGCAGTGGGTGCTGGTATCCCCGGCGCTGCTCTCCTCGGATGGCTCGGCAAAAATATCGCGGCGGCTAGAGGTGCCCCTCACATGTACAAGGAATGGTCGCGTTCCATGCATGAGTTCCAGATGAATCGTGTTCAAGATTGGGTGGACCAGATCTCGGATCCCAATGCTCAGAGTGGCTCCGATATCAGCGGCAGCGACGCAGACCTGGGAAGCGAGGTAGCCGACTCTGTAGACGAGTTGTACAACACGTTCCGTGAGCAGGGCTACGATGCCAATGAGGCCATACAGATTATGCAGGAGCTCGAGGACTATATAGCTCCGGCAGAATCTTCCGTGGGCGAAAGCGCTGGAGCCTCTTCCGTGGCCGAGGCCGCTTCTAGCCTCGCCGATATCGACTTGGCGGGCGTCCGGACAGCGGCGGACGTGGCGTCGTCGGGAGCGAGCCCCGAAGCGGTAGCTGACGCCCTCTTACGGGCAGGTGTACCCGCCGGTGATGTTGCATCCACATCGGAAGCTGTCACTGCCGCAATCAATGCAGCACCCAGCGGCTCGCTGGGTAACCCGGCGTACAGCGCGGCCCTCAACGTTATCTCGAAGGCTGTTAACCCCCAAAGTGTAGCTGCGGCCGAAGCAGCAACAGCCGCAGTTGATGGTGTAAGTGGCGAGGCTCTCGAACCCTATCTCAGCTCTACTGGTATTCCACTGCACAATCTGGAAAGCACGGCGGCGGCCGTGAAGGATGCTATCCGAGAAGCATCGGCCTCCGGATCAGACCCTGTCCGTGCCGCACTCGATACCATTACACACGCTTTCCCTCCTGGTTCCTCAGACACCAGCTCTGGTGCCATCCCCGCCCCGAATACAGCTGTTTCTGAGGCTGTCCTTGATGTCATTGGAGCCTCGTATAACTTTTGGCATGGATACTCGTATGCTGTCTATGATACCTTTCAGAAGCTCGACGGTAAGGCGCACTCGAAGACTCTGGAAGACATCCTTGCAAACGGCCCGCCACCAGCTATGGAGCCTTACAGGGGCATCGCCTTTCCGTACCGTCGTGGAAAACCCCAAGGCCACAGCGACAAATCATCGAACGGAAAGCATGAGAAAGGCTCCGACAAGCCAACCAGCACGAGCTCATCCCCAAAGCCCACGTCTTTGAGATCATCGCCGACCGTGAAAGGGATTGTCAAGCCAACTAGCACAGGTTCATCTACTCCACCAGCGGCTACACAACCGGCTCTACCCGATGTGGGTGATTGTATGGCTAAATGGAACAAGGAGACACTCGAGGTCCGGGCCAGAATTAGCAAGCTTCTACTTGAGCACATATTTACATACCTGAGCCAGCCTAAGCCCATATATCTGCTGTACCTCGGACGCACTGCTGTAGCCTTCAAAGAGTTCAACAGGTTGTGGCATGCTGTCCCACTTGCAATATGCAGGGTGAAGCAAGACCCAAACACTCTTACACACATTGGTCCAAGCGGGATCTCGCAACAGGCTACCATCGACGCGTTACTGGGCATATGGAGCGTGCTGCCGGAAGTCAATCTGGACCAATGACGAGGCCCCGACGGCTTGGAACCGGGGCCATACGGCACAGGGGAGGAGCTATTTGATGTCCAGAAATCAACGCTATCATTTGGGCTATTGGGACAACTATTACAGTGACCCTCCGATTGGACTATCTTAGATACAACGAGGGTACCTGCGCATGGTGCTCTTTATATTCCAAGGGTAGGGGTCCCCGGGGATCTAAGAGACTGACAGGATGGAAGCTTCCGAATCACCCAGATCCCGAGAACCTTGTCCCCAGAGTTTGTGTTTCTCAGGGACTTGCTGCAGTTAGCCATGTTTCTTTTCTTGTATACAGACGGCGCATTATTAGTTATTCTCACTTTACCTTGCCAGCCGGTGAGTTGATGTCTCCTCGGAACACATCTTATAAGCCGAGCCGGATGCATAGTTTACGAATTGTTTTGCTTTTAGTAGGCTAGAATATGGGGGAAAAAAGAAAGAAAGACAGAAAATGGAAGCAGAAAATGAAAACAGTTGACACCTTTCACGTCGTTACATGTTCGCATAATGGACAGCTCTAACGAAGCAATCCTCAAAACTGAAAGAATGATTTCCGAGTGGCGTGGCCTCTTATGAGGTGATAGCATAGGTCATGAGGGCTCGGTAGACCTCTCCCGGCCCGCCCTCTTCAGAATCGTCCAGTACAATCTCCTTCTCGATGCAAAACCCAAGCCGCCGATACAACCCGACGCCAGGACGAAATGCCGTGACGTAGACGTCGAGGCCAATCTTCTTGGCTTCTTTAAGACCGCTCGCAACCAGCTGCGTGGCGATGCCTCTGCCCTGGTTGTCTGGATGTACTGCTAAGTAGTCCAGCTCTGTACGATAAAGCCAACGTGTTAGTGCATCGTGCATGGCCTAGGTGACTTGCCGGATAACGGGGAGATTACTTACGAATGTATGTCTTCTTGGACAGAATCTCATTCTCGGACTTCTGGACCGGGCTTATCGGCTCATCAGTTGTATCGCCAGAGCTCCAATCGGCCATCGAGGCAAGGCGGCGGAAGAAAGCTTCATCGTCTTCGCTGACCGCCGGAGTCACGGCTTCAGGCCAGACAGACGCGTCAAAATCGGCCGGGAGGATCCATCGCACGTACCCAACGATGCGACCAGTATCGGGGTGGACAGCTTTCAAATGGCGTTTCGTCTCGCGCCTAGTCAACAAGTTATTCGGGAAACGCTTGGCAATCTGAATCACATGGTATTCCAGAGTGCGGTTCGGCCAATTCAGACGGAAATGCGGATCAGCCCAGAAGGCAGGGAGGTTGTTGGCGGCGAGCGCATCGCCGTCGGCCACTGTGCAGCCCGAGATGATGTACTTTTTGGTGCTGGTCAATTGCATGTTGTTCGACATTTCAGATTACGTAATACATAGAAGGTCTCAAGTCGTTCATGAGGGTGCAGGTGCGTGAAGGGAAAGCTTAAAACGAACGATTGGACAGGCAAAATCCTGGATACCAAACGGTGCTCTAGATCCCCTGCAGCTCGGAATTCGGCTACATATGTCCCGCACCGGGATTTGATGACGAGAAAACCGACGGGAGTGAGAACATGAAGCCGTCTCGCCTAAACGGGCCCGTACTATGTAGTGTCATCCCCGTTACGAGGAAAAGCTCGCTTTATCGAAATACACATCTCGCCCCGCTTCAATCCAGAATCCGACTTCATCAAGAGCTATAGTACGCACGACTGCCTAAGCACTATTCAGTAGTTAGGGAAGGTACCGCAAGGCTTGCCAAGTAGGTACCTAGGTACCTCTCAGGACCTACGAGACTGCCAGTGCGGCACGGCGTGAGCGGTGAAAGGATGGCACACACTGTACAGAAGCCACCGCTGTCGTCAGAACGGCGGCACTGAGCTAGAGAAGCATGCATACACACTAATTAGGAAAACTGCCCTCTCCCTCCGACTTTCCGGTGGAAAGCTGTTGTAAGCAGTCTGGTCGTTGGGCGAGCCCAATATTGAAGGCGAATGGGCCACGATACCACTCAATTTACAGCGCTGGAACTGGACAGTTGGGCGAAACAAGAACTGATCGGCGGTCCGGAGCCTAGTGTGCATCCTCTGGCATCAGAGGTGGGCCAATTCGAGTCGAGGCAGCAGTGAGCCGCCCGGCAGTATATGCGACCTGCAAAGATTTACGCTGTCGGGCTAAGTACAGGACGACTGTTGGTGATTCCAAAACCAACGAGCACCAATCTAGTGAGGCGATGTAAGTGTTGCTGTGGTTCGGCCGAAGGATCGGCCGTGCCCACTTGTCTGTGACCCACAGACCTTCTCCGGGTCCATATCGCGGCGCTTGTGATGAACATCTGAAGGTTTGAGAAAAATACGAACCCTCTTTCGGTTTCTTGGGTACATAAAAAGTCACAGACCTCGCATCAGCTTCTACTGTTGGGGCGACTGGCCTTTGGCGGCTGCGTCGAAATTATAACTACTGACCCCACAGCAGCCAGTCACACGATCTCAGTCCTGCCAGTAGATCTGAACAGTTTCTCTGGATCCTCCTGCATTTTCTCATAAGTTTTTGCAGGCAATCAACACCGCACAGTAACCTTCGCCATTTCAAACAGCAACCATGTCTGAATACACATCCACCATTGAGGGCTATCAGCGCGCCATGAAGTGGGCTCTCACGGGTCCACCTCAGGAGGCAAAGGCATATGTCGAGGCTCTCTCGACGCCTACCTTCTACCACATTATGAATGGACAGCGTCTCTCTTATGATGCCTATGTCAAGGGCATGGAGGAGTGGCGCAGCAAGGTCAGCCACTATGAGCCTGTAGTGTAAGTTGAATATTGGTTAGCCTTTATCGTTTTGCTCAAGGTGTTGTGCTGACACGTGCACCAATACTGCCAGTCTAGAGTTTCTCCGTGATGGCGACATGCTGGCAGCTCGCATGACCGGCACAATCAAGGTTGATGGAATCGAAACTGAATTTGAGAGCTCCATGTTTGCCAAACTCGATAGCGCCGGCAAGATGGAATGGCTGAAGGAGAGGTCTGTCTGGGGCCCTGTGGGCGGTGCAGCTGATAAAGGCACCGATCTAGGTAGGGGCGCTCACTACTGAGAGTGTGTCTGAGCTCACAAGATCTGCATGGATGGGATCCAATTGTCCAATTAGGCTGCTATATTTGTCGATGAGAAATGAGGGACGCAGGATGCGAAGCCTTCTGCATGTTTGGTGGACATTCGCAAACGGATCACTCCACATGGGCCTAGTATCCAACCTTGGATGTTCCACGAAATTGTATTGGTCAAATCGCGCGGCAGATAGTGTACATCAGATTGCTCGTGCGCGTCGGTGCTCTTTGGGAAAATTATTGAACGATGTGCTCGTGGGCAAGGCTAGAAATACTACAGTAACGTTACTACTTACATCCGACAGCCTCAAGGCAGCTCGGAAGGGCCTAATTCGGGCGCTGGCTATCAAAATGTAGCCTAGAATCGTTGTAGTATATGCTAGAATTGATACACAGTGCGATCTGAGTCACATCGTACCAGAGTCCTCCACGCCCCATTTCAGGAGCGCACAATGGTATTATCTTGAACCTCTCGCTTGGAAAGAAAAAAGAATATTCCACTCGGCAGTGGTGCGAGGAGGCTGGAGATGGGGCGATGTTTGCTAGAAAGTTTCATTCAGGAAACAGAAGTCAGGTGGTATACAAATGGCTATAAGCGCCGTCTCCCACGGCCTTCTGATCTGAGGTTATTTACACTTTTTTTTTTCGAAAACGCATTATGTAAAGTATCTCTTTTGTGATACAGTTCTCAATTGAGAACTACGAAAATGTTGATTTCTGGATTCAGCTCTTTTTGTTGGGGAGCTGGGAGTGTATAGTATATATTGTATAAACGCGGCTGTTGTGGTTAAAAATGTGGCTCTGAGCTAGTAAAGCCTGTCTGTGACGGCTGGTGGTGATTCCAGGCCGATTCGATAGACTCAGACGGCATCATCCGCACCGAAGGCACTGACGTCACCGAAGAAGCTTCCATGGCCGAGAGAGGCGGTTTCACGATAGTAGGACTATGCTGAGGTGTACTGCCACGGGCTAAGCCCAAAATGTGGGTCGCAAGTGAATAGGACGTCGCTATGTCTTAGGATAAGTTGCGCCGCTGTGAAGCCTTAGCGAGGGACTGATCCATGACGAAGAGGAGTGAGTACCACAGCCTCTCTTGCTCCCCCCAAATCCTCTTGAGACGGAGGCTCACGTTGCTTGAGATTGGTAAGCGGCTTTTTCAGGACCTCCTGTTTTCGTGGGCTGGCTTCAGCTGTAAGTGGTGCGCAGTGGGCCAGCGTCATAGATAAGGATTCTGGCAGCTCGGAAGAAGGCGAATCGGGGTCCGATACTTCGAGAGAGGTACCAAATTGGACGTCGATAAAGACCTCACAAACATCCGAGTGTCCACCCCCGGTATGGCAAGGCTTCAGAAGTGCCACTTTGAAATCTTGAGGTTGGCAATAATTGTATCATGGAGCGGGTTCTCAGAAGTTTGGCGATCTATATTGGCGCCTCAAATACCCCGGGTGGATTTTGCTTGAGGCGTAAGGGATCTAGTGCTCAGCGTGCAGCCGGATCGAACTGGTAGCGCTTGAAAGCACGGAGAGAGAGAACTGCTAGCATGGGGGCGGTTTTTCGTGCAGAAAGCTGCGCCTCAAGGCGCTCAGCCCAATACGCTGCAGAGACGGGCCATTGTGTGCCTCCAAGGTGGGCATGTGGTCGAGTTTCTGGACCGCGCCAAGCCGAGAAAGTGCCTACATCCATCCTTGTTTTTACACAACATGCAAGCCACTTCAAAGTCTGCAGTGGCACAGATTTCCACGCCAGAACCTGCAGGCTACGAGTGAACAGAGACCTTTCAAGAAGCTCTGCCTGAGGGTAATAGTCGTTGTCCATATTTGTGGAGCAGTGTCGAACGGAGTATCTCCTGTCTGCTCTGACTTCTCGACAAGCTATTCCGGCGTCTCCTGCAGTGACCTAAGAGAATTGGGATCAGTATAGTCATTGAGAGTAAGAGTCTAATCTTGATCGAAGTCGGTCCCATCGTCGCTGCTGAGATTCCCAAGTCCGAGGAGGGGTTGGGCATGCAACTGCATATGCACAGCCAGCCATGTACGACGGTGAATTACGTGGCACCAACGAGCTGCGATCCGAGATTGACAGACATCTGCTACTAAATCGTTCATCTGTCCTCCTTTCGCTAATTACCCCTCACTCAGAAACCTCAGCAAGTCCTCATCATCAGCTATCGCGACATCTTCAACGTTTGACCGGGCGTTGTTGCGCACCTTAGGCACGGGGATGCGGTCATTATAACAATTTGGAAAGCTGATTGCACTTGGACTTACATACATCTTTTCTAAAATATCGTTCAAACAGTCCCGACCGCACTCACACCTGTCATCTTTCCTGATCATAGGAGAGCAGTAGGAAGATTCTTGCTCATCCCAAACAGCTCAACAAGAACTCATCAAATCATCGAACAAGAAGAAAAAGAAGCTTCAGCTACAAATTTTGAGCCAACACAAGGACCCCCCAATTCTCGGAAGATGCAAAGATGTCCGGCCTGGAGCCCCTCGCAGCTCTGGGTCTTGCCTGCAACATACTCCAAATTGTAGAACTGGGGCAGAAGACCATCGCGTGTATCAAGGATGTATACCAGGGGCGCACCCCAGACGAAGAACTCAAAAACAATGCTGTCGGCTTGGAAAGTCTCGCAAACGAGATCAAGAAGCACAGTGGACCCGGGAAGAAGAAACTCGAGGAGATCCTGGTCCAGTCAGCTGCCAGTTGCTCCAAGGCAGCGCGCGAGCTCCGAGAGGAGATGCATTTCCTTTTCGACAATGCGAAGCGAGGGAGCCTTGCGTCTGCTTTGAAAGTCACAGCAAAAGTCGCCTGGCGGAAACGCCGCTTGGACAGGCTGCAGGGGAACCTAGACACCGAGGAGAAGCGGATGCAAAACCGTCTTCTTGCGCAAATATGGTAAGCCGCGAATTCACCTGCACTCAGAACCTTCTTTTCGTTGAGACCGGGCCCCAAGCACATATGGTACTCTAAATCTTGGAAATAGACCTTTGCTTTGTTTCGGATTTTTCGGTGAACTTCCCTGTGCGGATCACCGAGTGTCACGCCCTTTCCCCTTTGCGTCCGACTGTGGTATTTTGCTTGGCTAACAGTTCTTCCTCCACAAACCAGGTCAAGTACCGATGCAGCTCACATAAAACTAGATGGAGCCAGGCGCGAGCTCCGCTTCTTCATCGAGCAATACAGAGAAGGCCGCCGAGAGACGACTGATCTTGTGTCTTCGGAAGGTCTGAAGACTAGGGAACAGGTCTCACTCGAGGCCGGACGGACCAACAAGGCGGTAGCGCTGGTCGGCCAGAAGATGGACTGCCTAGTAATGAGCCAAGAGGCCCATGTGGATGACCAGATTCGAGACCGTTTCCTCAAAAGTTTGAAATTCCCGGATTTTAACCAGCGTCGTAATCAGATTGACGACGCCTATGAAGACACGTTGGATTGGGTCTTTGTCGGGGACCACGATGACTACTCTGATGAGGACTTTGACTCTGAGGACGCATACGGTACTACAGAAAGTGGCTCGGGCAGCGGGTCAGACCGGAGCACGGATGCGGATTCGGGGGCAAGTTCTTTGGAAGGAGAAGAAGACGGGGACCAGGAGCTTCTATCCGAAATCAAGTGGGATAGCTTCTCCAATTGGCTTAGCTCAACCGATGCCATTTATTGGATCAGCGGAAAGCCAGGCTCGGGCAAGACGACTCTGGTGAAGTACATCTTGGGTCAAGATCGGACGAAGAAGTATCTTAATGCCTGGTCTCCTGGCTGCGAAGTCGCATCCCACTACTTTTGGCGACCGGGCTCCACAATGCAGAGAAACATGGAAGGGCTCTTCTGCTCGCTCCTTTATCAACTTTTGGGCTGTAACAACACGGCACTCAGAAAGGTCATATCATCTGTGTCGGGCCCAAAAGACTCATACACAGACTGGTCTAGCAGCGAACTTCGCTCAGCACTTCTAAAGACCTTGGACTCCTACGAAAATGGCGTGTGCTTGTTTCTGGATGGCATTGATGAGATCAACCCCGAAAATAAGACCAAAGACAGCATCCCAGAGTTTCTGGACTGGGCCTTTAAGCTGTCGCAGAGGAGAAAGATCAAACTTTGCTTGGCAAGCCGGCCTGATCCCCAGATCTTGGAGACAAAATTATCCATATACCCACGAATCCGATTACAAGATTTGAATTACGAAGACTTGATGGTCTACGCAGAAGAACATGTCGAGTTCCCTGAGACGGAAATGTCCGAAGATCAATATGACCCGATCCGATCCTTGGTCGCTAAAGCGGAAGGAGTGTTCCTATGGCTCATCCTTGCGACAAAGAGCATCAACGAAGGATTTAGGAACTATGATAGTGTTGAATCTCTTCAGAAGAGAATTGATCATTTGCCGAAGGATTTGGACAGCTTATACCAGGACATGTGGGCAAGGGCCGGCGCGGACAGCTTACCCGAATACGGTCAGACTGCCGCGCTTTACTTCAAACTTCTACTTGCCAGCAGACACAGACAATTCTCCACCAACAGATTCAATATTTTCCAACTCATGCTTGCAACAACGCCTGTTGCTGATAGAGTATTGGATGCCTTGGACGGGACATCAGATTTCGTTAGTCAAGACATCATGTTGAGGAGATGCCAGGAAGTTGAGAGGAAGGTGAAGATCTATTGTGCCGGTCTTGTCGAATCGGGTACTGAAGGGAGAGTAGACGAGGCGCACAGAGATACGTCGAGCTGGTATGGGCACATGTATGACATGGTATGGCCTATTGCGACCAGCTCAGACTTGCAATTCATACACCGAACCGCTAGAGACTTCCTTACCGACACCGAGTCGGGCAGGAAGATATTGGATTTCGAAACGGCGTCAGAGTTTACCGTTCATTACCGGCTTATGAAAGCTTGGCTAGCAAAACTCGCACTTTTTGCTCATAATGATGACTCGGCGGATTGGTCTTACAAATTGACGAGGTTTCACGAAACTTGGGAAGGCACGAATGAGTGGGTATGTGCGGACTGGCATCGACTGATGTTGATTTGCGAGAAACTTGCAAACTCCGGCAGGTTGTTTGTGGGGTCGTGGGATGACGCAATTCCCTGTCCCGGCGCCGATTTCTTGAGGGTCTTAGCTCAGTACCACTGGGACGATGAATTTATCATTTCAAGACTGAAGGACGGGAATCTGAGCGGCAATGAGAAATCCGCGATCCTGATGGGCCTGGCCGATTCAGTTACTCAACTCAGCCACGGAAGACATGGCCAGTCTCGCCTTCGTACCTTCCGCGAGTTGCTGTCGGCAGGTGCTGACCCGAACTGGCAATGGTGGGAGTCGTGCCATCATTTGCCGGCCACACAACTGGAAACTCCGTGGCAGCACTATCTGGTCGAATTGATGCAGTTTTTATCTTTCATTGCTCAACACAGGCGCTGGCAAGTAGCGAACACATGGACAGAAGTTGCCATACGGGCTGAAATCGTTTTGTCGTTCATAACCGAAGGCGCAAAATTGGATGTCATGCTCAACATTTGCATAACTAATGAAAAGTACGCTTGTTTTGCATGGGACATCTGCACGTCGCTCACAAACAATCTCATGGGAACAAGGAGCTATAGGGTGTATGCATCAGTTCCAGCGTACACTATTGTTCGAACTCTGACCGAAACTATGCGCCACGGCTCTTCGCAGTTTGATGAAGGACCCTTTCCAGAGAGCTGTGTCAGTCTGGAACAAGCATGCATGGATCAGCGGAGCAGCACAATGTGTCGCGTGTTCGGGCAGCTCAACGGGAAAGAGCCACATCCAGCAGGACGATATGTGCTTTGGGAGATCACCGAAGACATGCAAACACAGCTTGGGAGCAAGCTCGTCGAGGAAGGGTTCAAATGGATACCATGGAAAATATCGGCCGAAATCGGCAGTCGGTCAGACTCACATGGTGGTCATTATCCAAAGATCTTCCAATCGATCATCAACGATGAATCTTGGATTTTGAACCCCGATGTGACATCTGATCGTTCTATGAGAAAGTGGCTTGAGGAGCTAGGACTGGTAAAACTGGTTGATAAAAGACCCAATATCCGTCAATGGGTCGAAAAGCATAGGAAGGAAACTCTTCAATCTGGGATCGCAAAGTAGTGGAGGGTATCTTCATGTAATGATCTCGTGAACGACTCTTCTCATCTTTCAAACATTTCTGATAATGTAAAAGATTGAAATCGCTTATTAGTCAGCTAAATATTCAGATCTTACGCGTCACCTGAAAGCAATACTTGCATCCAGCTCAAACGGTGGTGTGTGATACAAAAAGGGCTTGAAGCTGGAGCGCATAGCCTTGTCGAGGTCAGCCAGGAGGAAATGGATAAGAGCGCACGACTAATTCCAACTGACGAATAAGCTTGACATTAAGCTCATAGGGTACCTGGTCTCAGTGAGACACGGGCTCTGATACCATGTTTGCCCTGGTTGATCATTTCTCTGCTGTCAACGACTGCTTGGTCGTAGTCATGGTGACACCATTAAATTTCAGATGAGGAACCTTCACATGTCGGCCAAGCCGAAAGTCGACACTAGAGATGATTGTAACACCATTTCGTACCCTGACTTGCAGGTTCTCATGTGTTATTACCGCGCTTCATTGTCTTCTTCGACATAACCATTTGGGTGATTGCAAAGCCTATCGTCTCCGTCCCTCAGCAACTCCTCGCATCCTTTTACTTTTTTTTTTCACAGCTCTTGTGCAAACTGTTCACTAGCCAGACATTCTCCGTGCATGTCCGAGCATCAGCTTAGCCTTTGCGGGTACATCATCTCCGTCATGGATGAATACACCAATGAAGAAGTAAGGAGTCCTGTTATAGGACAATCTACTATAGGAGAACTCGCTATAGAATAATCCCTTATAAGATGATCTCGTGTAGTACTTCTCTGCTAGATCTATAGAAGGACTTTGTCAAGCCAAAACGGTCTCCGGTCAACCATGTGTCTTTATCCCTGAGAATAAGGAGGTTTCATTCCAACATTGTATGTGAAGCATTGCTTGAGGCTAGAACGTCGATTCCAAATTGAGAGCTGCACGAGCTGTGTACATCTTGAACTGTTGTGTAGCGATCCTACGTCATATTAAGTGATGGAAAGTCCGAGGAAAGGCGGGTAGTATTGATTTTACTTGTGTAAATATCAAGTACTGGGCCCTGCTGTTACAATAAATCAGCTGTGATAATGTGGCTCTGGATCGGTTGCCTGTTTACTGGAGCACCAGTCTGGCGGGGGAGAGCGAGAAGAGTTTGAACAGCGTGTGGTGTCATTTTTAGTACAATAGATTTGCATGAGCTAGTTGATGGATAGCTACAATGAGTCTAGAAATTGGAAGAAACATACGTCGACTGTATCAGATTTATCTAATGAACTTGGTTTTCACCTTGGAATATATCAAGTTCTAGACCAAACTATCCTAAGGAAATAAGCACCCTGAAGGAATTATACCAATAAGAATCTACAAATGTTTGGACTAGGCGAAGAAGTTTCTTCTGCTACACGATAACGGCGGCTCATCTATACAAGCCCAGAGAACGTCAATATATTTAGAGACGCCTTATGGATGTACACGTATTTGCTATCCACCTTCACTTAGATCATACATACTTGCATCTCAATGAATGATAGGTGTATCTTCCTGCGTTATTGCCGCCTATGTGGGCGATCATTGGTTAGAACTGGTGACTTCATTCCAGGAAACAAAGATATTCGCTAGCGAACGGGTGTACCATATTCATGACTTCAATAGAGTATCCTCATGGTGTAAGTGCCAGCAAAACAAGATGTCGGACAGTAGCATTGATTGCCACGTTCTCACCCTTCAAACAATCTCGCACAGGTTAACATTGAAAGTTATGTGTAAATAATTCCCCCGTCAACAACCTGTGTCTGGCCCGTGACAAAATCACTATCGCTGCTGCACAGGAAGCTCACCAGCTTCGCAACGTCCCCTGGCACGCTGACCCTCCCCAGCGCCGTTAGATCTGAAACAAACTTGTCCATCATAGCCCCCTTTTTGACGTCTCTGCCGCTTTTCTTGGCCAATCCCTCGTCAATGAGCTCCCACATGCCTGTCCCCACGATGCCAGGCGCGTACGCGTTGACAGTTATGTTGTGCTCCGCTAGCTCCATTGCATAAGCCTGCGTGAGTCCCCGGACCGCCCACTTTGATGCGCTGTAGTGCGAAAGCAAGGCGAAAGGCTTGAAGCCGACGATGGAGGACGCTCCGATGATTTTGCCGGGTGAGTCGGGTTTGCATGTCCCCTGCGCAATCATCTGCTTGGCTGCTTCGGAATAGCAGTGATGGACTCCGATGACGTTGACAGCGAACATCCGCGAAAAGTCCTCATCGGTCAGGTCCAGCAAGGCCTTGACCTGGGCTATGCCAGCATTGGCGATCCTGAATTTGAATGTAAGCTGATGACCAGTTATAGGCTGGGCCTGACGTGAATAACTCACATTGTATGAAGTGGACCTAGCTCCTTGACGCTCTTCTGAATCATGTCTTTCACCTCCCCTCTGTTAGTCACATCGCCAACAGCAGTGCACGCGTTCCTGCCCATTGACTTGATCTCTTTCACGACTTCGTCGCACCCTTTTTCGAGAGCGGGAATGTCGTTGATACAGACATTGTACCCATCGGAGGCAAGACGAAGGGCAATTGACTTTCCGATGCCCCTGGCCGAGCCCGTGACAATGACATTCTTGCCGTCCACCTTCTTGCGAAGCAGATCGGCCGGTGCAGCTTTGCTGGCGAACCCAAGGCGAGAAGCCTGCCTCAGTAGCTGGGGCTTGACAACCCTCGCGATCGGCGCGGTTCTAAGGGTATTCATGGTTCCTAGCGAGCGGCGATGCTCCCAGAAAATGCATTCTTGTGAGTGTCGTCCTAGCTGTGAACACCAGGTTTACAGAATGGCGTTTAATATCAATCCCTTGCTCTCCCCGCATCGTCCACCTCTCACGCGTTCCCCTCACCACTGTCGCTTGTCAATGCTCCGTCGGGATACTCAGAATGGCGATTGTGGTACGACGGAGGATCTCCCCCACATGAACCTGCGGGGTCGCTAACCATATCCGTGAACACAGCGTGTCACAGACTCCACGGTTCAACCTCAGACCTGTTTTGCCGTGTATCTTCAGTTGTTAATGTGGTCGCCAATGCCAAAGTGAAGGACAACACTGCGTGCTGCATGGGCCGACTTTCAGCTGACCGATCTATCCACCAAGTATCGACAAATGCATAAGTACGTAATTGATTTCAAATGTAAATATGAGGCCACAACAATTGTATCGTAGTCATTAAAAAGTATCCCGAATCAATGTCGACGATCAAGTGAGTCTATCTGAGTCAGTTCTAACATGTTGAACAGAAGCATACTGGATGTGCGCCTGTAGCCTGTAGGCTATTCTCCAAAGTCATCGGTACCAGTTGACATCTGGGGTAGATCACCAGTGAAGCACGTACGATCACCCCCATAATCTAATAGAGTTTGAATGTGATGGAATGCCGCTGTAAAATGGGTTGTATAAATTTAATTGAGCATTATTTTCTGCTGCATGGTCTAATTGTGCTTCGATCTCCCCCAAATAGGTCTAATATTAAATCAAACGTATCTTCTGACTTTTCCAATCTCGAAGCATATGCCGATCTATCCATTCTTTGGCTGGTCCGTCGATCACTCCATTCCACTTGCCTCCATCCTTGGGGCAGTACCAGGCAACCCCTAGTCTGCGGAAGCAATCAATACCATCTAAGATGCCGACTTTTTCTGCGACGAGAGCGTGGTGAATGATAACGGGAAGACGTCGTTCCTGCACTTGCCGAGTCATGGTTGCTACCTGTATAACATGTAAACTTTCTTCTGCAAAGTTTACACCGGTTTGTTCAGGATCCTGATCGAAAATTGCGAACCAAGGTGTCTCCTCGTGTTTCTGGTGAGTACTCAACCCAACAAAGCTCTTGTGATATTCTGCCTGGAGACTACTATTGAACTGTGCGACTTTCCACGATGGATTCAAGTATGCACGTTCGAGCAGACTCGAAGCGATAATCCATCCGGTCTGAACCAGAGAAAATGAACCAGGCGGATCAAATAAGCACCTGACGGCAAGGATCTCCATATTTTTGAATAGAAGATAATCCTTGGATCCAGCGGTAGATCCAAATATCTCCAATAGTGACCACTGAAGACGGAATAAGCTCACTGGGCCATCCAAACTAGCCCAGCTCCATGATGGGGCTCGATATGTATCGGGTGATCGCATGTACTCAACGCTGGACCTTCTCCACAAGAGGCCTAGCGGTATCTGTGATGTCGGATATTTCTGTCCTTCGAAGGGATAAATTCCCTTATAGTACCAGAGACCAGCGAGATACTTGGCGGCTAGCGCCCTCGTATGGCTGTGTTCCATGAAAATGGCTGCAAGACCTGCTATCGCAGGCATCTTATCCATTTCGTGGCTGAGCGTTCTCGATGTGTAATCCTCTACCAGACGAGCCCAGTAGGTATCTAGCGCGCCTTCACCAATTTCAGGGTCGATACGGGCCATTCTCGCAAATACAGAAGAAGCCAAGCCCTGGGCAACGGGGTCAGCATTGAGCAGAGCACTTTCAGAGCTGGATAGCATCGAAGAGCTCTCGGTGTACCACGTTTCGTAGCAATCCCACATTCTTTCTCTTCCACAGTGCAGTACCCTAGGAGACAGGAGCCATTCTTGCAAGGTCCAACCACGTCTCATCCATGGTGAGTGTTGTTTTCCTATCCAAAACGGAGCTTCAGGCTCGCCATAGGAATTCAACGCCATGTTCCGGACACTAACTACTCCCGTCACAATTCTTCCACGTTGTCGATGTTTCCATAATATTTCAGGAAGAGATGGGCCTTCCGATTCGATTTGCCCGAAGTCGTTGAAACCCTCATCACATCCGCTGTTCTGGGGTGTGGATATCGTCAGAGCCGCTCGTCCATAGATTGCAGCCATCTCCGCCGCTTCTCTATGCCAATCTTCTGGATCATCTTGGACAATGCAAAGCGAGTCAACCCATAGGTACGGAATTTCTAGAAAATGACACAGCTTAATAGCGTCTCGTATCGTTGCCGGCAATAATGAGACTGGTATTCCACCCAAATGCTCCGGAAGTGTATATTTGGTGGTTGTTCTGGGAGCAATAGTGCCCCAACAATATGATAGAGCGGCGTAAATTCCACTTTGCCCTCGCGTATCTTGAAGCCTGACTTTGTGAGGTTCCGTCTCGGCAGGGATGCTAATAACTCGGCTTGGAAGAGGGCGAGGACCCCTTGATCCCCGACATTTGGGATGCTCATTCAAACATATCCGACGCCAATGACGTATACGACGCAAGACAGGATCGGTGAATAGCGTTGGGGAGGACGTCCAAGCGCTGGCCAGGGGTTCCAATGGATCATCTAGACGAACTCGAAGCATCAGCAGGTCCACAGAGATAGTAGAATCTTTCTCATACCTAGACTAGCAGCGAGCTCGAAAGGTTGTCCTGCAATGAATGAAGTTCCAAATCTTTGGTAGTCAATGGTACCAAATGGGTACAGAGCTACTGCACGCAGGTTAGATGGAAGAGCATTGGTATAAGCGTTGCCGATCAAGATCACTCGTCCAATCCCACACCACTTTGAGAGGAGGTCTAACCCGCGGATACCTTCGGGAAATTTGAGTCTGGATGGTAGATTGTATGGTATCAGATGCGACAGTTCAAGCCCGCGACTGTGAAGAAGCCTCATTTTCCTGTTCAACCCTCCTTTCTCTTTGACACTGAGAAGACAGTCTTGAAGAATATCACCGCTGAGTGTTGGTACCTGACGAGCATCGTCGCTGTTTACAATGGTGGAAAGGATGAACTCGCACAACCTGCATCCTTTACCAGCGCTAGCTCTAAGCGAATGCAAGTCACGGCGATGAACGTATATCCCCAACCCAGGCTGTGAAATCAGTCGTGCATTGATGAACCAACGGGCATCGCTTGTGCCGATTCGGTCGCAGACGGCACAAAGTTGTGATAGCCTCTTTTCTGTATCATCTCCGGCTGACAGAGTCCCGTGGTCGGCCATACTAGTTCCTCAGCGGTTGGTAGAAGTGCTTAAGGCCCAGGCGTGACGAGTCTGAAACTGAAGGAGTGAGTTTCTCAATGGGGCACGATACCAAGTCGAAGAGTTTATATGCAAGGATTAGAACGCATCAAGTGGTCAAATTCAGAAGAGTTTGGAGCTCTCATGTTCTTAATGTAAAGGACCAGTAGGCTGCCTCCTTCGTTGAGCCTCAAAGCGGGGGAGCTATTGCTACCAGCCAAGTCAAGGATGTGTTGTGACACCATAATGCATGTATGTCAGACAAGCTTCCACACGTGCCAATAGTTTACATCCAAAGACATTTAGTCTGGCATGGAGTCGTATGCTCACGAAAGCCTTGTGCGTTCTGGAATTTCTCTCAAGTTGAGTCAATATTACTCTCGACAATCGGTGAAACGAGCGTAGGGATATTTGTTTGAGATGGCCTGAGCCTTGGTCATGTTATGTTGGTTATAGTAGCCTTGCATGCTAAGAGACGTGGATCCCATGCAGTTTCATGTCGGTCCAGGCATTCAATGTATTCCACTGTCTATACGGACACATTGCATATCCGGCCAACAGTATGCACTAAAATATTTGTTAGCCACGAATTAGAGCTTGCTGTCCCTCCAGACCGGCTTCCTCTTCTCTACAAAGCTCATGACGCCCTCTATCATGTTATCCCCGGCATCTATCCGGCCAAACATGCCCTTTTCCAACAACTCCGTCCCCATCTCCGGCCCGACTTCCCACCCCAGCTTCAAACCTTCGCGACTCACAACAACCGAGTCAGGGCTATTGTCAGCAATTTCCTCAGCAAACTTGACTGCCTCTTTAACCACATCCTCCTGCTTCACAACCTTGTTCACTATCCCCCACTCGTACATCTTCGCCGCCGTGTACATCCCACCAACAAGCGCCATCTCCGCAGCCCTCTGCTTCCCAAGCGTCTTCTGGATCCGGGGCAACGCGCCGGCAAGCGCAATCACGCCCCTCTTGACCTCGGGCAGCCCAAATTTGGCGTCCTCGCTGGCAACCACCAGGTCACAGTTCACGGCCATCTCCATGCCGCCACCGAGACAGAGCCCGTTCACGGCCGCTATGACGGGCTTCTTTCCCGCGCGGTTGCTCAGCCCGCCGAACCCCGCAGAGGCCCACCGGTCCCTGTTCTTCTGGGCCGTTTCAGGCTCGACGGTCTGCTCGCCGCTGGCGGCCGCGTTGCGGTCGTTCCACTCCTTGAGGTCCGCGCCTGCGCAGAACGCCCGCCCGCTGCCGGTCAGGATGGCGCAGCGGAGGGTGGGCTGGGAGTCGTACCAGCGCCAGATGCCATCTATGAGGCTGTGGTTGGTGGATGGAATGGCGTTCAGGGCCTTGGGGCGGTTGAGGGTCACGAGGAGGACGTGTTGCGAGGGGTATGAGATGAGGACGTCTGGGACGGAGGGGGGAGGCGAGGTCAGGCCTTTGGGAAGGGACGACATGGCTGCTGTGAGATTAACAAAACGGTATTTAGAGGTTGCGTCAGTGACTGGAGTATGTTCTTGACCCAGAAGGCTTCAAGACGCTGGTCGGGATGCCAATGGCGATGTAATTTGGCGGAGTCGCTGGTCCTGGACAGTCTGGTGTTGCTTCCCAATATGAAATCCTTGATCTCAACAAGACGTGGGATAAATCTGGTGGGGTGCAAGGCAAAGCTGGGTGTCTATCCGGAACCCGGGGAAGCTTGGAGAACGGATCGGGTGAGACGAGATGCCTCGGCTCGACTGCGACGTCGATGCGGAGAACCCCTGTGCTGGTCTGTAGATGACTAATCAGCAGGCTTCTTTTCCAACGTCAACTGGCGAGAAAGTAGGCCAGTCTCAGCCGAAGCACCTTGACTAGGCGATGATCTCCAAATGTAAGGATTTGCGGTCTGATAGCCGGTGATCATAGCTGCAAGACTATTGGCCGAACTTGCCCTATACCTTGGCTGTCTTGAAAGACCTCTCAAAGTGGAATGAAAACCAATGACGAGCGAGTTCCGTCTATAGATGGCCGAAGCAGCCTCGACCCGTTGGGCTGTTCAAGGGATTGCCTGATGACAACCAGCGAGCCTGACTGGTGCATTCTATTGCCACCCAGCCTCGCAACGAGCACTTGAAGCCCCGAATAATGTCTCTGACTCTTCGAGAGACTTATCCATTTTATTCCCGCGACATCTGGGGTAAATACAAGGTTTGAGGAATGAGTGCTTGATGGTTTTAACGTGGACATTGCCGACACTGTGTCCTGATGTCTTTCACTTGCCGAGAAGTATACATCTCAAACCGCAATAATTTCAGCTGTCAGCTGTTCGATCCTTCTCACTTTTTTCGAGTCGCCATTTATGGTTAGCCAATCAACGCTGAAGCGGGACTCTGGTAACTGCAGTGCTGTAGTAAGCAGCTGCCCCTCTGTATTGTATTATGCACATAATTCACGTAGATCTTGGGTCAAAATGGTACTGGCACTTGCACAATTTGCAGCGGCCTGAGCCTTGCCTTTTCAAAAACCTATAAGTGCTTATTGTTTTACGCAATAGTATTTCAGCATGTCAGAATTGGTCATCAAATCTGCAGAGTCAAGTCAGCTGCCATAATGCAGCCTTGCCACTCGTCATCGGCCATGCTCAAGTCGGCAAGCTGTTTTTGGATGCGAAATGATAGTCCACGACTTGTTGGCAATGATCGGGCCGTTCTTGCTCTTGAGGTCACCAACGTCCCCTTCTACTTCTCTGGGTTCATTGCGCTGCGCCGTCTTCTTGACGCACCTGCTTTTCTGCTCTGGTATCGTCTGCGGCTCCACCCGGTCGGCAGCCGTCTTCTCATCGTTCAACTTAATGCTCTGGACCGCCACTGCTGCTCTTACCATCAAGGACGCTCTGAAAGGGGGAGGGGGGTCGCGAGGCTTCACATGGGCCGTGGGGCGTGATGTCGATAACAATACCAAATATCACAACTCCATAGTGATTGATCCAAACCGGCAACTTCTCAGCTGTTGTGATCGATAAATGCAAATTACGTATTGTTGTCAAAAGTCATTCCAAAATTAGGCATTCATAACTGCCAATGACCTCATATCCCGTCCTCGTGCTCCGGATTCCTTCGCGTTTCTCGCAAATTCTTGACGCCCTTTCTACGTTGCATCATCTCCACCGCCGTTTGAAGGATCGGTGGGTTGAACTGGCGCGGCTTTCTGTAATTTCTGGCTCTGCTCACTTGTGGGATCAATAGTGCGGTATAACTGACGTGACGCCAGGAGCCTCGCGAACTGATGTGGAAAAGATTTACTGATGCCAAGCTCGGTGAGATATCTCATGATCACACGCCTCCGTTGAAGCCGTAAAGAAGTCACAGTCATTCTCTCCATGTGTCGCGAGCGTGGAAGACTCAGGCCTGGGGGCTGGGATCTTCATTAATCCTCTCTACATGACTGTTGGTGTCGAAAAGTATAAGAATGGCACCCCGACTCCTCGAGACGATCTAAACCTCCACACACAAAATCAGCTCTATCTGAACAACGTTCAATCGCAAAGGCCCATTCACTACTACCTCACTGAGTTGTGCGTATCTCAAACACTCTACCTGTCAAGGCTTGTCTGATTGCTGATCGCTTCTGTTGTTCTCCAGAAACACAAAAGAAAAATGCAAATCACCTCTAGCTGCACCGCCTTTCTTCTTGCCATCGCTGGCGTCGAAGCTGCTGGCTATATTGCATTCTATAGCGACTCTGGATGTAATAACCAAGTCGGCTCGGTTCACTACTCTCTACACAACAATGGTTGCTTCGCCAATGGAGGCAGCTACATGAAGGTTGTCTCCGGCGAGGACGACCCGACCCAGGGCCATAATTTCGTCCTCACTCAGAGCAAGGCTTCTGGATGTACCGGTGGTGTTCAGCTTGCCAACACCTACGACGGACAGGCGGTCAACGTCTGCAGAAACCTCGGAGGCGATGGCTACATTACTGGCGGCAACGGTCAAGACCATCCTTACTCCGTGCGCCTTACGGAATAAGCAATGGCTTTCTCTCTCGCCTCAAGGGGTGTTCCAGTAGGGGCAGGCCGGGGTGGGGGGGATATATCAGTTGTTCGGGGAAGCAAATTGATACTTTGGAGCAATGGCTCTTCTGATTTGTCTGAGTTTCTAGTGGCGATGAGCTGCAGATAACACGCAATAACATTCATTCAAGTTGGACCACAGCGCATTTGCATGTGTCTTAAATGTGTAAATCAATAGAAGTGTTTTGTCTTCAAGGTGAATTAGTGCTTTTTAGATTGGGTTTGTCCATTTAAGTCGTTATTCTGGTACCTTATTATTTGGACAGGGAATAAAGTGTTTGCTCTCAATGATGCGACAAACAGTCAAAATTGTGTTCGATTCGAGACAGCTCTAGTTAGATTTCTGATGTTTTTCAGTATGAAATGTTCGTCCTCTGCGACTCCCAGTACTGGCCGTCTCAAACACTTTTTCAACTTCCTTACAACCGCCCGACTACCAATTGTGCCCCCGCACCAGTGCTGACAGGAGGCTTTGCGCAATACGGTAGGCTTTTCCTCCGCACTTGTATTACCTTACTACTGCACTTGCCCGGACTGCGAGCCAATAGTTCAGTGACACATGACCAAGGTCATGAGGTTGGTTTACTCCGATGAGGCTGTGCCCCTCTGGAGGGTTGAGGTATCAAAAGTTGGGACTTAATCTATATGCATTGTCGTAGAACTAGGCTTCGGGGCTTGTTTCATCTTCTCAACAAACAACCGGTGCCAAAGACCCATGCTCCCATATCACATGTATAATAATGAAAAAGTCATTCAAACCGCTCATCTCTAAGGCGGCGTTATTGTTCTGATTTTGCAGCCTTTATAACGCCTGGCCACTGATTTCAACCCACCAAAATAATCTTACTGGTGTAATGTCTGCCTCTTACAAGTATAGGCGCATCGACCTCGCGGCAGACGCCATACGACTAGTGCGATTGCTTAAAGGCGACGAATTTGAGCCGATCAATTGTGAGATATTCGAGACTTACCTTCACCAAGTCGACGGCGTCCCTTACGAAGCATTGTCCTATGTTTGGGGAACCAAACGATCAGCGAACACCATCTGGCTAGAAGGGTGTCAATTTCAAGTGACCAAAAACCTGTACGAAGCTCTCAGAAATTTGCGACGATCGGATCGGGACAGAATCATTTGGGTTGATGCGATTTGTATTGACCAGTGCCATGATGCTGTGAGTAATGTTCTCTGCAATGCCCATCCTCGATCCGTACCCAGATTCTTTGACTTCAGTTATCTTTGAGATCTAGACCGTCCTGTCAATACATAGTTCTTCTCCGATAGTTGTATCAAACCGCTCATTTCTCTCTTGACATACAGGAACGTGGCCACCAGGTTGGTCAAATGCGTCTTGTGTACCAAACTGCGTACAACGTGATAATCTGGCTAGGGCCGAGCAACAGCGACATCGACAACCTTTTCGACTGGATGAATGAGCTCGACAAACAGGTACTCACAATACCTCGACCTCATATGTATAACACATGGAGGCATCTGTGGGCATGTTTTGGACGCAACTTCGGCGAAGAGTTCCCGCCTAACGATATTGTGGAGGCCTTAAGAAGGTTATTAAGACGCGAATGGTTCTCAAGAATATGGGTTCTCCAGGAAGCAGCACTCGCTAAATTTGCCATCATCAATTGCGGTCGAAAAGAAGTTGACTCCCGCACCTTTGTCATGATGCCTTCGCTTCTCAAGGTCCGTTGTGGGGAAGGCGTACAAGCCCGGCTGGACATTATGCCTGGGCTGCTGCGCGCAAAGTCCTGGTGGCTTGGAGGTCCTTCCCAAGACCTCCTTACTCTTTTGAAGAAGTTTGGGAGAAGCAAAGTCTCAGACGACCGAGATGTTATTTACGCGCTGCTTGGGCTGTCCGTCGATGCCTACACATCCGAAATTCTGCGACCTAACTACGAGATCGGATTACAAAAGGTGGTTCAGAACTGCGTAGCGTATCTGTTGGTGCGTTCGAAAGACTTGCCCGGCAAAAGCCCTGTTGAGGGGTTACCAAAATGGGACATCAAGGAGTTTCTAACCGCTTTACGAGACTTGCCTGCTTATGTCTTTCAATGGGCCACTGATCATGCTCAGGACGGACTCTTGGCTGATCTCATTGTCTCTCAGAATGAAAAGCAAGATTTTAGCCGAATTCGCCAGTACATGACCTTGGCAGGCCGCCATGGCCCGCCCATTACGATTGCAATGAAGAAGGAGAACGTCGTCCTACTTGAGATGCTTCTACATATTCCGGATGTGGATGTTTATAGTAAGGACTCGGATGGTAACACGCCACTGTCGATCGCCGAATGCCAAAGAAACACCGCTGTTATGGAATACATATCTCGGCTCCCGGACATCGATACCATTTCGATGGACTCCAATCTATTGCAAGCGACCAAACGAGGGAATATATCTCGTGTGGAATCATATCTTGACTGTTCGAGGGTCGATTTATCCTTGGTCGACGAGAATGGCGACGGGCCTCTGAACATAGCGGTTCGCAGAGGCGATAGCAAGATTGTTGACCTCTTGCTTATGAAGTCCAACAGCGAGCACAGAGAGTTCAGAGGCTCCGACGGATTGACACCCTTTGAATCAGCACTTCACAATGGTTTTCCGGCGATCGTCAAAAAGCTCATGATCTATCATCCACTCGCAGTGCACGAGGCTGTGTGGGCCAACCAGGCTGACTTGCTCTGCAAAATTCTGGACGTGGAGCCTCGCCTAGCAGACGGCCCAGCATATGAGAACCTGACGCCGCTTGGGACTGCCGCCGACGCCGGGAACACGAGCATTGTGGCACTGCTCCTAGACAAGGGTGCGTCGATAGATTTGACTGGGCGAGACGATCGAATGGCCACACCCCTGTGGCTAGCAGCATCACGCGGCCACTTGGACACTGTCAGAGTCCTGGTTGAGCGAGGGGCGAATCTTGAATCGATGGCTTGGGTTTGGGGTGCAAGAACAAGCCCACTCTCGGCCGCGGCATCCAAGGGCCACGGCCCTGTGGTCACTCATCTCTTGAAGGCCGGAGCCAGACCCGAGCCAGCAGCAGGTGACATGGTATATCCCGCTCTCTGCAATCGACCGGGAAAGAGAACAGTGCTCTGGGCATCAGTTTGCGTAGGACACACGGCTACTGTTACTTAGGAGGTAGTCTCCAGACACTAGGCACATGATGCACTGAGGAAAACAATTCAAGCATGACGCTGTCAACAAGGAGGCTTCCGTGTCACCGATTGGACGGCTCGGCCACACGAACATAGGCCAGAGGCAGTCCTTGTGGCATGACACCATTCATGAGAGCTGCGCACGAGGATCACCCCGAAGTCATGAGGGTGCTCATCCAGGCAGGCACAGACATTCGAGCAAAGCCGGTATCATAGGTGGAAGGTGTCAAAACAGGAAGAACGGGCATCGGTTGATATCAAAATCACTATTTTGTACATCGCGAGATCTTTCACAGATAGATGTAAACAATCTAGGGGTATGCATGCATTAAGTCCAATTTCCAGACCGCCATCGCCGTCACCGGATCTACGAACAGCGCACTCGCTGCCCTTCTAGCTCAGACAGCGCCACGGGCAAAACACACTACCAAGCCCACCAAAACAACCGTGCAGACTGCCACTCCCAGTGATATTCCTACAAACCAGACTATTTAAGTATTCATATCACATCCCGCCTATGATAAGCCCCAGGAGAAACTCGGGGTGTATAGCCTTGTAGGGCCCGTTAATACAAGCCACCTGTGGGCAACAGCCGATGAGAGAGGGCGAGGGCAAGAGCGATCACATGACATCTAAGCAGGCAACCCCCTCTTCTCGCTCTCCGTAAAGAAGATGACCATGCGCCAGAGCTTCTTGACCAGGTCCTCGGCGTCGTCCTCGAGTGGGCCCTCAAGCTCGTCAACCAGCTCGGCAGGCTTGGACCGGCGGCGCAGGTGCTCCTCGACGACGTCGACGAGCAGCTGCTCTTGCACGCCCAGGTACTCGACAACCTTCTTCTCGATGAAGGGCCGCAGCTTGTCCGACACAGCCGAGTCGTCCAGGTAGTCCCACTTGACGTCCCACCCCCACAGACCCTCCTTGGTGGTCGGGATCTCCTGAGCCAGTGACTTGACCGCCTGCTGGATCTCCTCCTCGCTCATGGCCTTGGTGTCGCCCGGGCCCAGTGGCTCGAATTTGATCGGCACCAGCTGCCTCTTAGTCGTCTGCTCGTTCTCCTCATCGTCCAGCAGACCTTCCACCTCGGCCATTGTCCTGCGCTGCGGCCCGGCGCGCTGTTGCGCCTTTTGCGCCGCCGCGCCCAGGGACATCGTGAAGCGTGCGGGGGCCGCAGCTGCGGCTTGCTGCTGTCTCTGCTCGATCTCCTGCGCCTGCTGGTTGAGGAATGAGTCGGCCATGTCCTTAGCCTGCTCCATCTCCGCCGCCTCGCGCCGGCGCTCTGCTTGCTCGGCCCGGCGATCCGCCTCATCGCGGTTCTCTTCCTCTGCACGATCCTGGGCGCGTTTCCGTGCCCATGCCGCATGGTCGCGATAGTAGGGGTGCGTCTTACGCGCGGCCTCCTTCTCGTCGTCCCAGTTCTTCTCGCGCTCGAGCTGCTCCTCGATGCGATGGTTTATGCTGTCAGCCTCGGCCTTCTCGCGATCTGTCTCACGTTCAAGCGCGGCGGCTCGTTGCCGCTCTCTGTTGACCCACTTCCGCTCTGCCTCGAGATACTGCTTGTCATCCTCGGCCTTGTGTTTGGCTACTTCCCTCTGATGGAGCTCGTTATCGCTCGCATCAGTATCCTCGTCGTCACGATTATATGATCCGTCACCATTCGCACCATTGATAAAGGCAACACCACGACCTGCACCGCGAGGCCCAGATGGTGCGTTCGGTACACCCCGGGGACCGAGCGGGATGGAATTAGCGCCAGGTGGAGGCGAGTCTCGTGATGGCCGTGCAGCGCCGTTACGCGCCCGCTCCATCTCTTCCATCTCCTCTTCCCGCCTCAGTCGCTCCAGATCCCGACGAATGCTCCTATCACGGAAAGCGGCGATTTCCTGGGCGACGACCTCTCTCATCTCGGCCGGGATGTCTGCCAATTCATCTTCCTGTGCTATAGGGATGTTGATGACCTCCACATTTTCGCCTGACCCGTTGGCATCACCCATAGTCACATCTCCCTCGCCGTCTTGCGTCTTGCGTAGAGGGGGATAGAAAAGGTCATGAACCGCCTGTTTCAACGCAGCTCTTGCTGCTTCCAGCCTTGCCTCCTTTCCGCTGTCGTCGGGTCTGTTCTCCTCATATGTCTCGAGGAACTTCAGCGTGCTTTCGTCAACGGTGACTTGTAGCTTGGCTTTCTCTATGCCTTTGAACGGCTCATCGTCGCCAGCGTCGCCGGACTCGTCCTTGACAGGGCCATCGGTAGGCTCCTGCTTCTTGACGGGCAACTCGATATCCTTGAGCAGCTCGACAGCAGTGGCCAGAGAATCAGGGTCGTCATACTGGGCGAAACCGAAAAGCTCACCCTTGTGGTCTGATAAATTTGATTTTGCCGAGTCCCAACGGCGCAGCCTGCCGACAAGGCCCAAGAACCTTTCCACGCCTTCGTCGCCACCCAAGGTTTCTGGGATCTGATGCAAGAATATAGTTCGTAATCGCTCTTCTTGGGTGGGTGCCTGTAGGGCCTGCATGCTCTCTCTGACGGCGGCGCGAGACTGTTCGAGATTCCTATCTGCGCCCAGGCCGGGCCTGCCGCCACCAGCCGAGGGTGGCGCATTAGACTCCCTGCGGTCAGGTGCTGCGGAGGCTGCTGGCTTGGGGGGTAATGAGGAGGAGCCGAGGCGGATCACGGGAGCGTTAAAGTTGATGTTGGGCAGGTTGGGAGGCGGCTGGAAGGAGGCGGGCAGTCCACTTGGTCGATTAGCTTGTGCGGGAGAATTGGCTTGCTGGACACCTGGAGGAGGTGCCATCCCAGGGGCAGAGGACATGCCTGGTGGAGGGCCTGGTTGAAGACCATAGTTAGCTTGCGACAAGGCGACAGACTGCAGACTGCAGACAGCAGAGCGCATACAGATAAATAGACAGCCAGATGAACAGAGGCAGCGGAAGACACAAACATACCTAGACCAGGCGGCGGGGCCATGCCAGGCGCACCGCCCACGCCAGGGAAGCCGTTGAAGGAGGGAGGAGGGCCATATGGGTTGCCTGGTGCTGGAATTAGTTAGCTATGTTTGCGACAGTAGAGTCTGGTGTTGGAAAGTCGGATGCGCGTGCTCACCTCCGTATGGATTGTAGGCCATCTTTTTTTGCTGTGCCCGTCCGGGTCCCTTTCCTTGTGATCTGCTATCCCAGGTTCCTGTCGCGTGCCGGCGATGTCGAGTCTGTAGGAATCCCTGTGACTAGAAAATGACAGGAAGCAGACTCGATTCTGCGTTGAAGCTGTTGCAGAGGTGTTGCTGGGGCTGGTAGGAAGTATCTAACGAGCGACCTTCAAAGCAGCAAGCAGCTTGGGGTTAAACAAGGCCAGGCAGTTCGCAGTGCCCAGTAGAATTGAATGGTCCGTCCCGCCTCTGGTACGAGACTTTTGCTGCAAGGGCGTCGGCTCCAACTGTCAATCCAGAGCTTGGGCCAAGGCAACCGAGCTGGCTGGGGGCACTGAGGTACCTAGGCACGCTAGGTACTGCGGGCAGGCACAGAGAAGGCTGTTTACAGAGCTAGCCCAACAAGGTTAGAGCCATCTTGACAAAATTTCCCCGGCAGGCGCATCCAACAATCAGTCGCATCGCGCCAATTGGTTTACAGTGTGTGTGAACATCACCACCTTAGTCCAGCTCGCCCTCGTCACCGTCCCACCTCGACCTCGACCTGTGAGCGTGCCAGGGACGAAGCATTGTCGTGGCCAATTTGGTCGCAACCTCAAACCTGTATGTTTGGATCCATCAGTCACTTCCTAATCATCAATTGACATCCACTGACAGGCAGGCCATCGACACAGACCTGGAGATGGAGCTCCGACCAGTACAGGCCGTCCTTCTCGCTGGCCGATCGGCCTCGAGAAGGGCAATTGCGACACCATCAACACTATCTTATCCCCTTGCGTTCTCCCTATACCGATCCGTCTCCTCGACCCGACCCTCTCTCTCAGAAGCAGAAGCCACTGCGCCTGCTCCCACTCCCTCACTGTCCGAGACCAATCGACAGCACCAGCAGCAACACCAGCAGCAATCGTCGCAGCAACCACGGGCGAGTCTGTCGCCCAATCCAGCCAGCAAGAACAGAAAGCCCGCAGCGGCTGGCTTGTCGTCCCTCCTCACACCCAACAATTCCACAGCGGCAGCACCACCACCGTCATCATCGACAACCCCACCGCCCACCTCCAAGGACAGCCTCCTCACCCCCTGGGCGACGCCCAGCTCGCCGGGCCTGCGCCGCTCCCAGGCCAACCGCACCATCAACCCATCCGATAAATACGGCATCCTCGAGACCCTGCAGGAAATGAACCTCGTGGCCCCCAACATGGACGACCTGCTCAACAACACGGCCCTGCAGAACGAGTCCGCCGCCGACATCAAGTACCGCCTGCGGCCCTCGGTCGGCCGCACCGTCCACCTCGACTCCAGGGTCGACCTGGCCCGCGGCCTCAACATGCTCAACTTCCACGTGCGCAGGAACAAGGTCGTCCAGGACCTCGCCCGCCAGCGCTTCCACGAGCGGCCGGGGCTCAAGCGCAAGAGGCTCCGCAGCGAGCGCTGGAGGGCCCGCTTCAAGGACGGGTTCAAGGCTACCTGTAAGCGGGTGACGGAGCTTGCGAGGCAGGGGTGGTGAGCTGTCCTGGAAGAAGGGTTTAACACGAGAGCAAGGCAAAGATTTGGGAGCGGAGGTTAGGATTTCTTCAGTCTTGATGCTTTATATTGGCCACTGTGTACAATCTGCGATAGATGTGTTGTAAGATGCACTACGGGGACAAGACAAAAAATGGCTGGACGCCAGCAGGGTGGACTGGCTAGATATATGCATGTGACATGCGATATATGTCTGTGGACGGCGGCTCTCTACAGCGTTCAAATATATTGCAACATAGACTCAACTCAAGACAGTGAATTGAACCTTGAGGTCCATACACACTGCCGTTTTCAGGACATGGTTCAGATTCAGACAGTTGCACCCAAATGTACCAGGCAATAAACACCACAACACGGCGTCATACGCTCCGCACCTTCCAGACGAGGATTGACAATGTTTATTCAGAATCTATATCAATCTACTCACTCAAACCCAAACCGGTCCCTAACCGGCGTCCCAGGCGGGCTAGCCTTGATGCGCGGCCGGCTCTTGAACACAGAGTCATAGTCCGCGGCGCCCTCGCCCATCTGCGCCTCCCTGGCGATCAACTCCTCCAGCATGGCCGTCGAGTCGTCGCCGCCGGCCCCCGCGGCCTCCTCGTCCACCGTGTCCGGCGGGAAGTAGGGCTGGCGCGCGATCTCGCCGCTCTTGTTGGACAGCGTCTGCTTGCGCGCCTCGCGTTTTGCTGACCGCTGCCGCTCCAGCCGCACGCGCTGCTGCGTCGCCTCGAAGTTGGCCATCGACTTGCGCGTGCGCGCTACGATGTCGTCCTCCTTGCCCTGCTCGGCGTCTGCTTCGTCGCCTGCTGAGTGGTTTTCTTTGATGGTGGTGGGGGTTGCGGGCTTGCTGCTCTTGGTTGGTGACCGTGATGATGTGTTTCGTCGGCGGTGTCGCGACGGCGAGCTCAGCGCGACCTCGTCTTCGTCGTCCAAATCGGCGCTTGAGCCGCGAGCCATAGAGAGACGGGTTCGCTCTGCGAGGGATAGGGTATGCCGCGGGCGCGGCTGCTTGACCGGTGAGGGTGACGCCGCGTTCATGGACGCCAAAATTTGGTCCGCTTGCTGCTGGGTTGGAGATGGGGGCATCTCCTCGGGTGACTGTGTCATATCCCGCGAGCCTCGAGCATGCGACCGAGACGGCGAAGGAGACGGAGAATGTCTGTGAAAGCGAGTGGGAGAACGGGATAGATCTTTGTGTTCTCGGGCCGGTGACCGTTGGGGAGATGCTGTCTTGCTGTCGGAACGCGATGTAGGTATTGAGGTATCTGTCGGGGAGATTTCAGTTGGAACATTTGTCGGCCTGAAGGCATGCATTGTCTTCAGCGGTTGTGGTAAGCGAGCCCGTGGTGCTCTCTGTGATGGCTTAGGGGCGATGATCGATTCCATGGCTTGGTCGGCATCAAGTCGAGACAAATGCTCCGAAGGTTTGCTGCGCAGTGGAAGAGACGTCTTCGCCAGCTCCTCTTCAAGCTCGCTAAGCTCAGAGACTGGCTCATCAACCGGCTTCTCACTGGAGCTGCTCTGTACGGAGGATTTCAGTGGCTGCTCGCGCCCCTTGAGCTGGCCAAAGAAAGGGGCGGCCTGGTTTTGGCTCAGGCTCTGCAGCTCCGTCTGCAGACCATCAATCAGGGCCCTATACTCCTCGTTAAGATGTGAAGTCTTGGACGACGTTAATTTCCTTGGGCTCATTCGTCCCAAGTGCAGCCCCTCGTGGGCTCCAAACCCTAAGTCAATACCCTTCTGCCGACCAACACGAGCCGTTCCCTTCTGTTGAGGCTGATCCACGACGTCGCTGAACATCTCGTTCCTGAAGCTCTGCCACTTGTCAAGCCTCGCCTGCTGAGTACGAACGCGACTCCCAAGCTGCTCAAGCAGGCCCCCGCTGGTGTCTTCCAGTTCATCCAGGCGATTTGACCGCACACGGCGCCAGACACGGTCGAACGGCGCGGTTAGCACACCGTCTTTCTGTGACTTTGCGTCTCCATATAGCAAGGTCTCAATCCATCGCTCGTTGCCCGACCAGTTGTTTCGGACCGCGCGTCGAAGATCTTGTTTGGAGGCGTCTGAAAGTCTTGGGATCTTGCTCTGGAGTGCCACACTCTTGGTCTGCTCCCGTCTCCGGCTTATGCCGTGTTCTTTGGAGTCCAAAAGCTTCGCAAAGTCGTTGTATTGTGCTCTGAATGCCCCCTTCTGATCCAGCTTCTTCCTGAGAGACACCTTATGGGCAATTATCAGGCTGCTCAGGTCAACCCTCTCCCCGGTATAGCCGCGATTCTCCAAAGCCAGTGTCTGGGCAATAGCTGAATGTGCTTTGCTATTCAGCTGCTCCTCGGTGATGACCTTCTTCAAGACCGCCGAAGAGAACACTGCCAGCACCTCCTCCATTCGTTCGCCCTTACACTCGTCCAGCATCGTCTTCCGCAGCACTATGTCTCTTCCCAATACGCCATTCTTTTTGGCCTGCTCGAGGCAGCGTAGGAGGGCAGCTCGTAGATTTACGGACTGGACTTGCTCGAGGGGTGGGAAGAAGGGCTGTAGCTTATTACGCGCCTCCTCTGGGTCCCACAGCTTGAAGAGCTGGTACAGTGCCCACTCAACGCACTGAACCCTCTTCTTCTGGCCCTGGGAGGCATCCTTGTTGGTGAAAGTCGAGGGGTTGAGACCAGGCCAGTCGGGGAGGAGATCCAAGTCCAGTAGGTGCAGGTTCGTGAGAAATAGCGACACATTGGAAGTCGAAGATGGGAGTGTCGCGTGGTGTCTCGACGGCGCTGCGGCGGCGGCGGCAGATGTCAGGGTCCTGGTCGAGTTTAGGCCGGCGATACGCGCTGATCTTGTGCGAGACGGCAAGTTGTTCTGGACAGCTGCCATTGCGGTGCTCGTGTCATCGTTGAGGAATGGACCGCATGTGTAGTTCTCCTGTGGTCGTTGTATTTCGTGTTCTTGGGCGGGGTTAGGACGAGCAAGAGGCAGAGAGACGTCGGCTCAACCCGAGTAAACAATGCGCCAGTGTGACGGCCAGCGGGGCATCCAAGCTAGACTACCGACTCCCTGAGTGCAGGAGATACCCCTGCAACCTGGACCCCAGCGTGCCCAGATCCCCCATGCAAGGCACCTGCAGAGGTCCAGACCCCTGTTCGTGCTCCCCTGGCCTGATTTCCTGTCTCTATATCCCCCACCCTTCTCTCCGCCACGGTCAAGTTCAGAGTCTTCGCTCTTACTCACATCACAACGTCCGCTATTGATCCCGCCGATGCTTAGAATAACTAACACGGGCGATCAGCGCCGAATGTCGCGGAAATTCCAATGTCCCCGACTGCCAGGACATCATCACCGACCCCGGGGGATTTTGGTCCAAACCTTGCGCATACTGCGCAGACATAAACAGCTCATTAGCAGTGTACCATGGTGTCGTTGAGCAAGCCGCTTGGTACTTCCAGTCGACTGCGCGTCTGAAGCTTCCTAGCTGGTGATACGATTCGACCCGGATGGTCCACCTGCCTTTCCCACTGCCGCTCACCCCGACCTTTCCGCCGGCGTCTGCCTCGAGGCACGGCCGCCATTCGATGGTTGTGTTCAAGTCAGTCAGGCACTTGGAGCACCAAGACGCGGCTTTCTGGCAGGCCGTAAGCTGCCCCTCTGATATTCGCCCATGGAGTGGTATCTTTCCCCGATAAAACATTGGGTTGTCGCTCGTCCTAGATGTCCACCGGTGTGTGCAAAAGAAGTAGGATGACCCTCCTTCGACGGCGGCTCTCAAAGCCTCGGCGGTCATGTTCTCCTCCTGCGTGAGAAGGTGGGTGCAGCGAAGGAATAGCTCGTTTTCTATGATCCTGGCCCGCCAAGTCTGTCTCCAAGTCAAGGGAATCCCGCCTGTACCCGTAACTCGGATGGGAAGGTCATCGATCTCCAGGCAGCCCAGGGGCAAGCCGCAGTCCGCCCCGTAAAGGTGGCGGTTCAGCACCAGACGCCCGAGAGGAAAGCTGATCTCGGGGCCCTGGTAGGAGTTCATTGCCAGTCTTGGGCTGGGACAGCATACTACCTTCTGCCCTGCCAAGCTCGGGTTGTCTGGGTGTATATTATAGTCGGCCTCCAACGAACACGTACGCGGCTTCGCCTTCCCTCGTGGTCGAAACCCCCGAAACCGATCGCAGAATGGGCAGAAGAATTCGTGATGGGCCACGTCTTTCTCCAAGACGGAGATCACGTCGCGCTTCGCAGTCGGGCTTGAATATGCTCGGGCGTCCCACGCGGATTCGAAGTAGTTATCGTAAAGACCTATGCAGGCAAGAGAGCACGCAATCTTACCACTGGGTTCAAGCTGCGCGTAAATGAGGTCGAGAAGTTCTAGCGGGAGGTTCATGAGCTTTGAGTCGGCCTGGTATGAGCCGTTATGCTCTTGTTGTTGTCGTTGGACCTCCCCCATCGAAGCCTTCGATAGCCTAGCTGGGATCTGGCACGCTGCCAAAGCCGAACTTAGGACAGCTTTGAGTTTTTCCATGATGCAGGATGAGAGTTGGATGCAAGATGAACTTTCTTGAAATTTGGGTTTGTCTCGAAAGAACACCTGCTTGAATCTTCAAGTTTGTACACCGGAGATATTGCTCAAGTGTGTGGTGCGCACATGGTCCACACTAGTAGATCGGCCTGTGTTAGTAAACGGCGAATACCCAGACTACACTCCAAATGAATCGCTGAGGGCTGTGGTAGAGCCGGGCTAGCAGTAAGGATGAATTTACAAAATATTGAGTTCTCAGGGTATTGAGAATCACACCTTCACGACACCTTCTGTCGTCCACAATCAGTATGTGATTAGTCCACCTAGGCATTCTTAAGCCTTAAGCTTTGTGTGCTGTAAGCACTTAGTTAATTCTAAAGATATGCTGCCCTGCATTCTAGCCTGCTATTGATAATGGTTGCCTTACATTGCACTAGGGAAGCGAGATTGTAGTAGGCGAGTAGGTCTAGTTAAATTGTAGGCCCGCGTCTTAAGGGGATCACAACCAGGCCTGTATAACGATTTCTGTCAGCACTGAGCAGTGCGGCCCAAAGCTTCACTCGCTTTATCCAAATCACGAACTCTAGCAACAACTCTAAAGTCTCAGGGAATCCAAAGCCCTGCGGCGCTGCCGTTCAACCCGAGATCGCTAACTCTGATCTCCTCGCTCTGATATCTCTTCTCCAGGTCCGGCTCCATCTCTCCCAGAGATATATGCACTCCTTCCGTGTACGGAGTGCCAAAGTAATTGGCGCCCTCGTGTAGCTTATATCCGCCCTTCTTCTTCTTTTCACTCCTCTTCTCCCGGCTTCTCAGGTCCTCGCTACCCGAATGATGGTCTTCATCCTCATCAGGATCCGGGAACCCAGCGAAGCCACCACTCTTTGTCCCCTTCAGCTGCAGCCTCACACCCTGGACGCTCTCGCGACTGGGGTCCCGGTCCGCAAAGTTATGCGGCACGAACATGACGCTCGAAGCGCTAGTGTGCATGAGCGTGTTTGGGATATCCCCAGAGTGCGGGACGTGGTGACTCCCAACGTTGAAGTACACAACAAGATCCCCGTCATACTCATCATCCCGCTCCAGGCTCTCCGCATCTGCAATCTTGTTGAAGTCGATCAACGGGTTCAGCGTGTCGAGATAGCTAAGCGGATCTGCGGAACGAGGCTCCTCGTCCTTCTGCCGCACGACCCAGATGTCCCGCTCGGCCCACCGCGCACTGTCGCCGAGAGAAGTCGAGTTGAGCACGGTGAGGTGCGGCGTGTTGGCCATGCCCGTGCCAGACACGACGCGGTAGCCCTTGCGCTCTCCCCAGGCGTTCTTTGCGTCGGCCGAGTAGACGAGGAAGAACTCGCCCGAGTTCTTGGGCCAGTCCATGCCGGCCTCGTGCGTCACTGGGTACTCCTTCAGGTGCATGGTGTTGCGCTCCTTGACGTACGGCTGGTCCCAGGGGTAGCTGATCGTGGTGGGCTCGACGGCCAGGCGGACCATGTCGTTTGCTGTGCCAGCGATGTCTAGGTCTGCCTTGAAGCCTATGACGTGGTCGTGCAGAGATGATGACAGGGCGTCGTGAACGCGGTGGCCGTACTCGTCCTCATTTTTATACGGGTTATTGGCGTAGAAGGCGCCGTAGATATACCCTGACGCTCTCACTTTGACTTCGATTGCTCCATCGAGGTAGAAGACGTAGTCGATCGTGTAGTCATAATTACCAACAGTGGAGACAGAACGAAGCGTAAAAAACGTGTTTCGTGATGCAGTGACCGAGTTTTGAGCTGTGTGACGGGACAAGAGGTAGTCCGAGGTAAATTCAAAGACACAGATGTTGTTGGGCAGCTTTTCTGTCTTACCGCTGCGGTGCAACTCCGTGTCCAAGTAGTCGGCATATGCCGGGCAATCATAACCAGGAACCAGCTCAAAGGCATTGGTGCCCATGCCGAAGAACGCGTCGAGGAACTCTTGGCCGCCCGCCATTGGGTCATCCCCTGCATAGTGCGCCAGGGCTTCCTGCAAGCTCAGCTCGTACATGACCCGTTCCCCTTTGAAGCGGATATCGAATAGACTGACTCCCGTAGCTTGGGTGCTGGTAAGATAAAACTCAAAGCCGAACCAAGAAACGAATTTCTCTGTCTTATCAAGCTTGTAACGGGGACCGAGTGGCTGGATTGACACTGGAGGTGGTAGTTCGCGCCCGTCCGGATGAGCGTCGAAGTCTTCAGTGTCAGTCCAGTGGCCGTCTAAGTTCGGCTGGGTCCTCAAGAAGCCACTGTCAGGGCGACTTATCGCATTGCGGAGTTCATCCACGTTGGCGAACATTTGGCCGTTGTAGAACCATTCTCCAACCTTCCACTGACTAATATCCTTGCTCGCATCAACTCGAACGTAGAGTCCTTGCGGAAGCAGTGTGCGTCCAGAGCTGCCCATACCAGGTCTGAAGAACTGTATCCATCCGACAACCAGGTCAGGTTCGAGACGTGTGAAACGCGGGAAGGCCTGCAGGGCGTTGGGATCAAATGGATCCTCCAGGTTCGCCTTGGCTCCCAGAAGCTCAGTCGTGATATCGGTAATATTCTCTGCTAATGACATTGCGAAACGGGCGCTGCCAAGAAAATCTGCCATCAAGTTGGGAACAGAGTGACGGCCCGAGTTGAACGGATAAACCAGGGGCTCGACGCTCGTTTCCGGCGAGACAGGAAGCGGTCCCACAGCGTAGTACGACAGGAGAGGGCCATCATCTGAATGATGTGAAAGAACAGCCTTCGCCCATCGGGCCGGACTGCTTCTTTCCTCAAACATGTATGGAAGCGCTTCGGACTTGTTGGGCTGTAAGGCCTCGAGTGTCACAATGAAGTTGTCGGTAGCATTTTTTGGCGTCCTCGTTAGGTTGAGATGAGCCCACTCCTTCCAGAGAAAGCCGTAGATCTCATCCGCTTCATGTCGCGTGAGGTCGGACCAAACATTCTGTTTCGGTGCTCTGAAGTGCGCTGGCGATGCCGGTTCTACATTAATGTGCTGGTCGTCATTGCGCGCTGGTCTTGAAAGAAAGCCGGCGGTGACGACAAATGCGACAGCAGCAAATAAAGCGACCAGCAGTCTGCCCCGTCGCTCCATGGTGATTGCAATGGCGGGAGACTGTTGCTTCAATTCACAAATTCACATGAGACATGTGAACGGGAGATAGAGTTCTTTAGTCAATGGCGGCGGGTTATTTGCCCGAAAGAAAGATAAGCCCGATGAATCTGATAAGCCGGGGCCAGGGACTCTTATGACGTGTACCAGTCCGACGGAGTAGATCAACATCCTGGTCGATTTAGTCGGCACCACAATACTCCTGACCTGTTGTATTTGGATTAGAGCGATGATTGAGGCTTGTGAACACCTATTGTATCGTCCTATGTAGGTAAAGCTTGCATCCTTTCATAAACAGCGCTGGCAAGTCAGGGCTGAACTCAGTCTACACCGACCGAGTCCCTCGTTCTAAGACTGCCCTACCCCCACCTCAACCCATTCAACGTCTACAAGATTTAATATGCATTGCGCCAACTAATGGTAAAATCTTGACGATAATATTAATTTTGCTTAATGCAGAGACTGCCCTAATTAAACACACAGATATAATTAATAAAACTCTTAAACCTTTATCAAGATCCCTTGGGTGCCTCTTGGTACCGTATAGTCTGCAGTGAATGTGAGGAGTCCCTTCCCTGGGAGTAATAATGTTCATAACAACGCTTGTATGCTACTGCCGAGGTTGGGTGATGGTGACCTCTATAGATCACGATGGGATGATTGATCAGACCTCCGGAGCTGTTTAAGTATTTTGCAGAATATATCGGTAGTATTCAACTAGATTCGGGTACGCCATGCAAGTCTCGGTCGCCTGGCTTCATGTGAACCGACGAACCAGGTCATTAAAGAAGCTCATAAGACTCTCATCTGTCTACTCTGCACACAATCCGTGCCCCCTCAAACCCCTTGCTCTCAAAGAAAGACCCAATTTATTGTTCTCAAGGAAATCGAATGACTACCTTGGACTCCTCGTGCCTATCAAAACGAGAATAATACTCGGGAGCCTCTTCGATACCGATAGTAGCACTGATAACAAAACCAGGCGAAGCTCTACCAGAGGACACGAGCTGCACCAACTCGTCTGCAAACTGAAGCGGCAGCACAATGCCGCTCCCCATACTGAGCCCTTTACCCCAGAAAGCACCGACTGGGAAAGTCTGGTTCGAGTGATAGACACCCAGCATGCCGATCCCGCCGTACGGGATCGTGACAGCCACTGCATTGTCGAGCACAACGGAGAACTGCAATTCTCCCGCCGCGTTCCGCGCCTCGAAGCCTACCGCATCGACGCTCCGGGTGACGCCGTTTGGCTCGAGAGCCATGATCTGCGCGACAGGGTCGGACTCTTCGTAGTTAATGGGAATGGCGCCGATAGATTCGGCCAGGTCGAGTCTCCTCTGCACGCGGTCGATCGTATAGACCTTAGAAGCGCCGCGCAGCATGGCGGCGTAAGAAGCGCAGAGGCCGACGGCTCCGGCACCAAACACGGCAACAGTGTCGCCGGGCTGGAAAGTCGAGTAGTCCAGTCCCTTCCAGCCGGTGGCGAAGACATCGGATATAACGAGGTAGTCATATAGGGTCTCAGTGGTATTGCTGGCGTTCACAGGGACGGGAATGAGCGAGGAGTCGGCATAGGGGACTCGGACATACTCGGCTGCGAAATGTTAAGTTAGATGAGGTATCCAAACCAGTTTGTTTTCTCAAGGGAGTCAAAACATACCTTGGCATCCTCCAAGTTCGGCGTTGGTACCAAAGGAGTTGGGCAGATCAGGTCCCGCTGTGTAATGGCCGTCATTTGCATTGTCTGGGACGATGACGTATTCTCCAACAGACAAAGACTGAACGCCTGTGCCAATTTCGTCGATGTATCCGATGGCCTCGTGGCCTAAGGCGAATGGATCAGAGGGCGATCCTGACGCTTCGTGGTAGAAGTGAAGGTCGGAACCGCAGATTGCAGCAGCTGTAATGCGAACAATGGCATCGGTGGTATTTTGGAGGACAGGCCGCGGGAAGTCAAGAACGGAAACATTGTATGCAGTGCCAATCATGGCCACACCACGCATAGTTGCGTTCATCTTGATAGCTCGGAGTAGAAGGGTGTCTTCTTGCTTTGCAATCTAGCATTCATCATCAAGCGTCATTTCTACGTTACCATGGGACTTATATAGTCTTTGAGATCAATATACGTTCCATGTGCCGTGTTTGACTGAGCATTCCAGGTTGCGGCGTTAACATTTCGGGCTTTTTGGATGCCATGTAAGTCGACTGACTACAAACTCCACCAAACAATCCTTATCTTTTCGAGTTACATCTTCTTCCGTGAAAGGGTGTGATTGCTTGGTATGACTTATCTGGCTGTGGATCTCGTACAACATGTCGTCACAAAGCCAAGATCAACTGGGGACGAACACGCGTATACTTCCGTATCTAGCGGCATGCGAGGCCGAAATTCGTCGGGCTCGGTGGCATACAACCATTGTTTTCTTGAATCATACCCAAAGTACCATCAAAATGCTGATTGGCTTTTATCCTGGGGATACCCTCGTCCCCGAACTCTACACAGGTCCTGCTATTGTACGTGAGTACCCGTTGTCCTCGAATCGGATGTTCCGCGCAAAAAGCAAAGAAATAGTCTCTGAATGCGATCACATCGAGCGAGCGGGTGGATGATACCTTGAATTTACACACAAATGGGGCTACGGGGTTGGCAAAAGAACGACATGGCTGAATTTGTTCCCCCGATGCGCCCACGCTGAGGTTGGTATATGTTGCACTGTAATGTCACACTTCTATGGAGCCGATCACACAGAGAGCCATCTCAAGCGAAGGTTCTGCCACATTGATGTTGGGGATTTAAGCCAAGATCATTAACTCCTCCTTAACTCCTACAAAGTCCGCGGCTCAACCTCGGCTCCACTGGGTATCGGACCACTGCCAGGTTTTGTAGTTCACTCCACGGTGAGGCCTCAGCCGACCCACCAGGCAGTGCTATGCGGCTTGCGCAAAGATAAAGCTATGGAGTACCGTGGTAAGCCGGTCTATCAATCACACGAACAAATGACGCCAGGGCTCTTGCGGAGCCATGCACTCTTGAGGGTTGAGTACGACATCAAACTCATGGACGCAGGAATGTGTCAACTGATCGATGCGCAATAATCGTCTTGACTTGATGAAGACACCACTCAAAGTCAACTGCTTGAAAGTAAACATGCTTCTTACTGAAAGTGACGTCTTGGTTCCCTGTCTGCTTTTTCATCATTTTTGTCCCTTGTCCACGGAAAAGACGCCTGTCCACACATCCATCGTTCGTGTCTCCTTTACACCACCAATGGCGTCCACCGCTACCAGTACAGAAGCACGCATGGCTTTCAAGATCGCAATTGACTTCCAATCCTCACCAGAAACGACGCGGTCCACCTCTTTTGAGAAATACTCACTAGCCACGGATCCCGCTTCCCACCTCCCATCCAAAAGACCTTCCTTGGGAACAAGCACTGCGTCACTGTCAAGGTTCCAATCTTGGTCCCGAGCAATTCTCTTAATCTGCTCAGGACTAAGAGGTGCCTGTATATTCTCTGAGCTGTCCTCACTTCCGAGCGCCTGCAAGGTTCCCGTTGCCAAGGCAGCCAGGACGTGAGGCCAGGCCGCTTTTGCCGTGGCGTGCAGCGCATATTCCGCGATACATACCTTACCACCCTTCCTAACTTTCGACTTCAGGAGGTTCATGATATTCGAAAGCTCATCGCGCTGCTTGAAGTACCAGACACAGTGGGCCAGAACGACGACGTCCCATTCTTGTTTGGGCTCCACCTCTCCATCTGGATTCGACACCTCTTGCTGCCATGGCTTTTCACGATGCCACGTTATCCTATTGCCAATTTCGCTCTGTGAGATGTGACCTTGTGCCTCCGCGAGCGTGAATGGGGAGCCGTAATCTGGCGGGGCTGGGTCGTATGCATCGACATGGCCACTCGGACCAACCGCCTCGGCCAGCACGGCCGTGCAGTTGCCCTGCCCGCAGCCTATCTCGAGGATTCGGCTTCCGGGCTTGATCACATCTGGTCCCCAGCTATTGAGCAGGTTGATGCGGTGAGCTGCCTGAGCTGCCTCGCTGACCAGGCCGTTGGGCGGGAGGAGTTGGTAGGAGGCTATCTTTTCGGCTGATGAGAGTGAGAGGACAGTGTTTGAAGTAGCCATTTTTCACGGTGTGGTTGTATTATTTAGGGTTTATACTGCCGACCCGCGTGAATAGGCGTGTATTGCACTCGTAGACAACACACCAGTCGCTCTGAGCCGGGTCGTCTCTTCTTTAATTGCTTTGTATATTATGGGCCTGACTTTGCAATATTCGTCCTCTTGAATCGTTTCGCAGATTTCTGGTGAGTCATTCAAGTTCTCGAAGGTCTAGATTCATGTTCGGATCCTTTGGATTGAGGTGCAGCAGTCATGTTTTAGTACGAAAGTGAGTCAACGCACGGCGCTATTCGATTTTAGGGCTACACCGCCGTACTACTGTTGATCCTCTGTCTGTGTCAAGCGAAATGCTACCCCCCCCCTGTCCGTCTTCAGTCCCTCCTACACACGTTAAATTTCCACTTTGTGTGCATTTGAAAGTCTTGGCAGTCAAGCGAAATGCTACCCCCCCCCCTGTTAATCAAAAATCAATCCCATTTTCATACTTTATCTGAGAATATTTAAGCATATCAATTTTTCTATTTAATAAAAATTTTATTTCTATAATCTTCTTTATTAGATCTTTAATACAGTATATTTTTTATTTTTTTAAAAGGCTATTTCGAAAGAGACGAAATTTTCAAAATTGCAGAATTTCACGTCTTGAAATCGACTGACAGGGGAGGGGTAGCATTTCGCTTGAAACAGACAGCTGTTGACCTTAGCGTGCTAGACCCGCCTACACAACGGCCAAAATTTCCAACCATTGCTTTTGGCCGAGTAATTATTATTGAGCACAGCCAGAAGCGAGCAGCGATAAGAACCATATCGGATGGCACATAGAGAAGCACATTCTGTTGATTTGTTTGTATCGAACGCATGGTCATTTTCGCTGACGACTTCTCATGCAATTGTAGTAAGGCGTGCAAATCCAAGCTGATCAGCAAAGCCCAATTCTCTTCTATAAGTTAGCACTGGAAGACGTGGAATCCTTGAACTCGCTCAATGGTGTTTTAAGATAATGCCGAGAGCAGAGAGTATGGCTCGCTATCCAATCAGAACTTATCCTCCTCCAAGCCTCCTCTCACTTCACATCAACCACACCACCCGTCCGTAGCGCCGTCCTCACGGCCTCTGCTACCTTCACAGCCGCCAACCCATCCTCCCCAGTGCACACCGGCTTCTCATCACCCCTGATGACCCTGATGAAGTGTGCAACCTGCAGCTCAAACGGAATCTTGCTCCTCTCGTCCTCGCTCAGCCAGTCCTGTAGCGTCTCGGTGACTTCACTCAACTGGTTGTTCCACGACTTCTCCACGCCATTTTCCGTGTTGTAGAAGCTCCGCCTCAGGTCGGGTACGCTCAACGTGCCATCCGTGCCGAAAATCCGATACACATCCTTCCCAGTCCTTGGAATGACTGGGTTCTCTCCGGTGCCCATCTCGAACGCGTGCGGGCTCACAACCGCGTCGCTTAGTAGAAAGGTCCCAACCACCCCGTTGTCAAAATGCAGTAGTATGGCTCCTCCCTCTTCCGCATCATGACCACGGCGCTTGGGAGCCTCGAAGGCAGCGACACACACGATCTTGCTGCCCAGTATATAGTGCAATATATCGATCTCGTGAATCAGGTTGATCCACACTGGGCCTCCGCTCTCGCCGCTGCGGCGCCACTCCGTCGGCGGATCGAAATAGGACGGCGGCTTATACAGAGTCCAGAGACCGGAGACCGCTGTGATCTGGCCAATTGAATGTGTCTCCGAGGCCAGTATGCGTTTTGTTGCCACTACATAGGGGTTGAAACGTCGGTGATGGCCGGCGAGCAGACTAAGGCTGGGGTGTGCCTTGGCGTGTGCAACAAGGGACTGTCCAGTGGGTATGTCGACGGACAGAGGCTTTTCGCAAAGAACGTGGATTCCTGCTGAGAGGAGCTCGCTCGAGAGGGCCACGTGTGTCTTGTTAGGTGTGCAGACTATGGCTGCGTCGGGCTTACCGGATGAGGATGCTAGCATGTCTTGAATAGAAGGATAACAGGTCGTTCCCAACTCGCTTGAAACTGAAGCAGCTGCCGGACTGGGGTCGACAATGCAGTGCAGCGAGGCATTGGGATCTTGTATTACAGCTCTTGCGTGTCTTGGACCTATCAAGCCCGAGCCGATGATGGCAATGCTTATGACTGGCTGTGATGGTGTGGCAGCCATGGTGAAATGTTCAATGTTCCCGGTGATCTCAGGAACGAAGATGATGTATGGAGAATCTGCTGGAATTCTTGGACACGGTACCTCAGCACAAATACTTGTCGCAAATCGCCGGGTGTGCCTCCGGGACGGCGGGTTGACCGGCTAAGTCATCTTCCGTTCGGCTCGGCATAGACGATCCCGCCGAGCTCGGGGCGTAGGAGCAGTCCCGTGTGCCTCCGCATCAAGAGCACCCGGACTCCAAATGACCAACTTTGCGGGCCGCGCGTGATTGGAAGAGTGGGCCTTCGCTTTTCCAATCACCCGAGAATGTCTTCAGGCGGTTGAGAGCAACGATTGAGCTTCAAAGGTCCTTCCATTTCCACACAATCCACTCGTGAAGCTTTTCATCGTCCCAGTCCTTGAGGTCGATCTCGGCCCGGCCCTCTTGCTCAGCAACAAGGCCTCCCTCCTCCATCAACTCCCAGAACTCCCTGATGTGATCAATATACGCAATCCTCATTGCATACATGACGATCGCACGAGCATCTTTTGTCCTCCGTAGACACTTCAGAATGGTCTGACTAAGCAACTGAGGATGATCCTCAGTGTACATAGTATCTGCTGTGACGATGATGGGAAATGCAGTCTCGTCGTTCACCTGGATCGACGCAGGCTGGCTTTCGTCAGATGTTTTGTGGGTGTGTATCGTGTCCGGGCTATTCCAGTCAAGTGTGCCACAGGCCAGACTCCCACCCTTAGCAGTGACAGCGTCCTTATTAAGGTCGGCGTTCACTTGCACGCCAGGGACGATGGTGGGCAAGTCTGTCAGCAAGGCACTTCCTCCCCAGACGGCAGCGGCAGCGATGCCAGTGAGACCCGTGCCTGCTCCAAGCTCAAGAATTGAGTAGCCAGTGGTGGTGCCTTTGAGCTGTGAGCGCTCTATGCGCAGCTTATACAGCTCCTTGGAGAGGAGGAATGCCGAGCTCCATGTGACAAGGTGCAGGCCCTCAGCTTCGCAGCTTGCTTCTGAGATAATAAGAGAGACATGCTCTTTCTCGCTGGTGGGTACGATGTATTCTGAAGGTCTTGGGACAGCCATAGCAGCGGTTAGTTGGGCTGGCTTCGGACAACAAGTGCGTCAAAATTTCTGTCGGTTGTAAAATTTTAGTCAAGAGAAAGAAAATGTGGGTCCGTGATGGCTTCAAGATGTTCTGTGCTGTTGGTCCGTGCTCACACTAACATGATCCATGATCTGGTTTAGAAGCATCACCTTGACTTCTTGCTCTCAACGAATGCCACCAAATCTGTGAGTCTGCTCGACTCTGCCACAATTCTCGATGAGAGGATGATATCACCTTTTAGGTATATCTTTGTCGACCTAATGGCTCCGAAATCATTGGTGTTGATTCGCTCAGCGTTTCGCTCTAGGCTTCAAGAAGCGCGCGATTGGGCTAGAAATTTGAAGATCAAGACATGAACGTTGACTAATGGCCCCACTTAAGAAGAACGATGATCTGAATTTATATGACAAGAAACTTGCAATATTTGTCTGATTATGGCATGGTCCACGGGTGTTTTTGGTAGTGGGAATCGGTCGCAAAAGGTTCACGGAATTATTCGCTGAAGTGGTGCAATGGAAGCCAACATGACAAAGAATGCATCATTAAAAGTATCTTGAATCATTAGGTGGTTATCAATGAAGTCACTACGCTCAATATATGCGGGAGTAGAGGTGCAGCTTGACGGGTCTCGCTGGAAGAAATCCAACACCACGCCTGGGCTCCCAAGTCTCGACTTTACAAACCTTCGTCATAGGATACTAACGCCACTCGCCCCGACCAAACCAACAAGCTTCATTCTGCCATAACAACAGTTCTCCTCGCCATAGTAACCCAAGAGTTGCTCTATTCACTGTTCGTTCGTCCGTTGGCAGTCAATGGTTGACAAGCTAGCCTTCAATGCATCCTCAAAGATGTGTCCCATTTCTCCTTGTCCACAAATCAGATGCGTCCACTCTGTCATCGACCTCCCCAGAGGCATTGTGTTGGCCCCAGCTTCCACGAAGGATGCTGTGATTTTAATAGCAGCCATCTGGGATGCCTTGTCCAACCTCTGCCAAAACTTGAGAAGAGTTTCGAGCCAGTGCGTCCAAGGGTCTTTGATTGTAAGAATAGTTTTCGCGTTGGGACTGCACCCAGCTACAAGCAACAATCGTACCATGGCCACATCTCTTTCCAAGATACGCCCCTCGAATCGTTTAGAGACGAAGTCCAAACTCACGAAAGGATAAAGTAGAGGCAGACATCCGCAGAGAAACTTGGTCTTCACAGCCGTTGCAATGAAATCAGGGTGCCGCTTGACGTAGTTCGTTGCACCGCGCTCAACGGCCAGTAGTAGACTAGCATGAGAATGTTCTTCCCTCCTGTCGTGTTCGTTGAATTTGACCAGTCGCGGCAAAAAGGAACCTCGAACATCTTTATATGTCAGCACATTAAGTGCCGGTTGTATTCTCCAGTAGATGTTGCCGCGGCCTTCTGGCTTCTCCTGATCTGCAATAGTACCCCATTCGAAGCCCTCGTTCAACATAGCCCAAGCCATATTTTCGTGTTGGTCATCCAAGAGGCGGACACTGCCGTGAAGTTTCAACACCGAAATTTCTGCAGCTTCCGAGAATGCGTCGTCGCTTATTCGTAATCCTTTCAACTCCCATACCTTAGGATCATCTAGAAACTCGAAGACGGTGCGGTGCATGAACTCCACGATAGCACCATCAGCGTTCGTAAGAGATCCATGTTCCTTCCGTAATTGTATTTCAAGTAATCCCCCTGTGCGGCTCCTAAGCCGTCCACTTACTTCTTCGTAGTAATGTGGCTTTTCCTCTTGTGGCCACTTCCGGTAGATATCGCTCGCGTCGCCCTCGCTCATTGCCATGCTCATTGCAGTTATTGGTAGCCCGCCTGGATGCATTCTTTCATCCTTCTTGTGCAAATGCAAAGTACGAAGGAGTTTGGCCCCGTGCTCCTGATGCCGTGCGTTTATTTTCCGCAACATGTGGTCGAAGAGGTCCCAAAGCTCGCGCGGCAGATCGTCCACACGACGACGAAGTTCTGGTAACCGGTCGTAGTCTGCGAAACCGGAAATGAGGGATCTGCAGGCCAAAACAACCCAGAGAAAGACTCCGGATGATTTCTCGACAAGGTCGTCTAGTATGACTTGCGCCTGACCAGGGTATTTTGACGAGAGCCTTTTCATATACTCGTGCTCCCCAATTGTGTGCTTGACGTATCGCGTGATGTCACCCCGGTTCAGATCCTCAAGTCTCAAGCCTGGGCAATTTCTGAAAGCAAGCACACACTCAGGAATCGGCCGACTTGATGCAACTATCTTGAAGCGTTTTAGAAGAAGTAGCTGATCAATATGCACTTATTGTCGCCTGACCACTGCGAAAGAAGGCTTGGAACATCTGGATGGGAGTATAAATGCTTGATCAGGGTCGACTTCCCGCTGCCGGCCTTTCCTGAGACCCAGTAAATGCCAGAGCCTGACTGTAGCCAGTGAGAGAAGTCGTCCCAGAGGCAGCCCTGCTCGGGAGGGTGGAGTGCCCACTCCAAAGTGCTAATGTGCGCTGGCAATACGGATTCCTTTCTGTCATCCATCATTCGGAACCATATTTTGTTCAGTATTCTCTTGCAGAGCGCCTCGCGATGGAGCAGCTCCGCATTTATGGGCCCGGCAAAGATAGCCTTTTGCTTCTCCGCAGCCAATAAAGCGACCTTGAGGTCATTCGTATTCGCAACGCAATGAGCATCTTGTGCAATCTGGGCGGCTGAATATGACGAGTACTCATGAGTCTTGTCTTTCCTGGTCCCTTCCAAGGATTCAACCGGTATGGCCTTCGTACGGTCGACAAAAGGCGTTGGTATTTCTGTCTGCATTTGAACATGCTCACAGCCAAGACCACTTGGGTGGTCTGTTTCAGGATTTCCTTGAGCGGGAACCAACAAATTCAACTTATAAGTGAGTCGGCTAAGCTCTTTGAGCAGATCTTCAAACTTGTCCCGATCTTTAATCGCCCACTGTACTTTGTTCGTCATTGTCGATTTGGTGCGAGGTGCGATAGTCAGTCTGAGCTGTCGAAAGGACGAAGAGAATCGCTGCATCCGATAGCTGCTCATCAAGGTGGGGCTTCTTGACAAGCTTGAAGACTCTTCACGTGATACTTCACAAAGGCCATATTTATTGGTAAGGTCGTGGGCATCCGACAAGAGTTTCTCGATGCGGTTCAGTATCAAACTCACGCCTTGCTGAGTGGTTGGGTCCGACAATCTTGAATCATGGTCTGTTCGCAAGAGTCGGACTCGATCTGCCCAGTGTAGGAGGATCAGTTTCTCAATGTCGAGCTTCGAGATGGTCACCAGGAGCTCCTGATTGAAGTTTTGAGAAGCTGTGATGAGGGAAAAGAGCTCAATTGTGTCTTTGAAAGCGCCGATGAGGCCGACCAGCCCAACCGCCCCCAAGACCAGACCTGCCACTTCAGCCATTAGAGATAGCAGTTGGAAAAATTCGATAATGGTTTCAATCAGGCATCTTGGTCAGATAGAAGTGGACAAAGGACGGAGTGAAACGTTAAGAATCAGAATTTAGAACGACCGACAGCCTGCCTCAAAACTGGAGGCAGTGCTGCACAAGCGAGACCGCTTATTTTCGCTTGTTGGGTAAAGCAGAATTGAGGGCATTCTTGGAATATGATTGGGTGCATGGGTGCTGCTGTACACGTGGCGCTCGTGCTGACATCCCCAGGCAGGCCTCCGCCTGTTCCCTCCGAGACTGGCATTGTTCAGTTCAAATATACGGGTGGAGAAGTGTCTCCTGATTTGAAGAGTCATTAAGAAGAGCGCAACTCAAGCATCGATTCGCAGTGGAGGTGTAAAGAGCTGTTGTCCCAAACTTGGTTCCTGCTGGGTAGACTCACCTGAGTCAAGTGCAATGATTTGACCAATAGTCAGCCCTTTAAGCTAGATACGGCCCTTATGAGGAAAACAAACATATTTGGTTGGGACCTGCCCTTGTCATCGAGATATTTGAAAATGTCGCTATGCTTCGTAGTCCGAGATCACCAATAAGTCAAGGGCGACAGGCAGATAAAGGGAGGGCTGAGTCGCTTTCTCAATCAGCGGCTCAGGAACGGCTATGAAAGTAGAGCGACATGTCGTTGTCGCCAGACTTGGCAGCTCGACACCATCATGAACCCCATGGCCTTAATAGTTGCCACGTTTGAGGGAGATATGCCAGGACGTCTGTTCTCGCAGCTCAAAGTAGTGCTCATTGGTAGGGAGCTGGAAACAAAAAGCAGCGCGTTCATATTGCCAACCCGAGAATCGGTATTCCTATATCTCGCATTCCAGGTTCTAGCCTCTTGCTTGGCTACTCGTTAATCATCACCCATTCTCACACATCTCCTTCCACTTGGGGTCTGGTCAACTCTTCTCGGGCCACCTTGAGAATCTCCTCGAGACTGTGACCAGACGCGGTCACAAGGGCCCGCAGCTCTGCAGGCAGATCCTTGAGCGGTATTCTACCGTCGATGAAATCCATAGCATGTTTCCCGTCCGAAAGCTTGGCACCCAAGGCAATCTGCGCCGTGACATGTTTGTCCCCTCGCGGCACGAGGACTCCATATTTCCGAAGTTGCGCCCACTGCGCTTTTCCCGTACTACCCAGTCTGGCTCTTGCTGATTGCAGTTTTAGTCCTACATCACCGTTTCTTTCCCGACCTGTGTGGGTGAAAGGGAACTTCTTCGTCAGGGCCAGAGCTGGCTCCAAAAAGCTGATTTGGGTCTTGATGTCTCGCTCATCGCCTGTTAGAAGCCATTTGCATTCGCAAATTCCGGCCGAGAGAATGTATCTATTAGTAAGCGATGAGTGAATTGTTAGCTAGCAGCTTCATTCAATGAAGAAAACCATATGTATGGATCCTCAAACTCACTTCTCCAAAACACTTTGGTTGTCGCTGATGGACTCTGTGATCACAGCTCGACGAATTGACCGACGAAGCGCCTCATCAAGATCCTCAAGTGGCAATGGGATGGAACGGACGTCCATAGATATTGTAAGGCAAGACTCAAGCCTGAGTCGGCGGTATTCGGCTATTCGGCTCTCGTGTATGGTCGTGTCGATGAGAGGGTTGGCATAATCGCAGGCTGGGCAGTTGCATACGAAGCCCCAGACGCGCTCCGTGTCAGCTCTTCGTTTGTCGCGCGGATCGTAGACGTCGAGGTATGTCACTGTAATCTCCTCGTCCGGGTGGATATCGCGAATGGCGTGGATTGTAACATAGTCGAGATTTTTCTCCGATCCGTGCGAATGCTCGCAGTTGGGAATGCAGGAGTGGTTGATCCGACTGGTCCCGAGGTACAGCATCGTGGACGACAGCTTTGCACCGCCAAACGAATTGGTCGCGCAAATCGAGTTCAAATGAATGAGGAAGTCCGCTTGACGCTTGGTGAGCTTAACATTGCCCTTGCCCGCGGCGAGAAATTTACGCACGGCACTCTCAAGGTCGGGTCGAGTGTATGCATGGAGGCCCAAGATACGCTGGCGCGTCCCAGGTGGCAACTTGTTGTAATCACCCACAAGCTTTGTGAAGAAGTCAGAATAAACGGCCCCGTCTTCGCGGACTGGGAGGGCCAAAACGGCCTTTTCTTTGAAAATGATGCTGCCGGCAGGGATGCGACGTGTCGCAACGAGACCGATCCCTCTGCCCGGCAATTTCCTCAAAGTGATCAGAGGAGCAGCGTCATTTGGCGCACTGGCTTCTCCTGAATCGGGCTTAGAATCAAGCTGAAAGGCCTTGAAACCTTGTTGAAGTCTGTCGATTTCACTCAGGCCATCAAGTCGGAGCTCGTCGGCAGGCACTGAGAGAAGTAGCTGCTTGAGCTGGTCGTGGCACGATATGCATGGATCCATGCTTCTTTGGAGTGGCAGAGAGAGGGCGGGTATCAGCGAGAGTTTACTGCAGTGATCTTGCAGTATTGTTTTGACGGAGGATAGCATACAAAGCTTGCGGTGGGTGAGTTTCATTGCAAACAGGAAGCGAGAGTAGCACCTGCCCACACCGTTTGCATTAACTGAAAGTTACGCAATTGATGGGTTGAGTATCAGCCATCCCAAGTCTTCAGGTGTTTAGAGCTCATACCTTCTGAACCAGTCGACATTTCATACAGGAAATGAAGACAGCATTAATCATGTTGCACACACCATTTATCAACATTGATTTTATCATACAGGGCTGCGATCTTCTACCATCATGGTCAGGGGTCAATGTTGATCGACGTGCATCTATTCATTTTAAGAAATCAGGTACGGTTGAGAATATTCAATTGGAATTTCAACCTGGCTTTTGAAGTGCATAAGCAAAATAGCTAAAGATCTTTGCAATACCCAGGGTATCATTTGCCAATCATCTCCTGATCTTTGGATATCAAACAGTAGAGCACATGGCCTACGGTATGCGTAGAATGAAATCTGTTCATTCAAATCGACTTTATGATGATTGAAGCAGCTCCTGTGATTGTGACTTTCAAGCTGGCTAAAATTGGTACAGTGTTTATACGGTCTTTTTAGCGTGGCGACAGGTAGGGTTTGAAAAGGGACTCTTCGAACTCTTGTTAAGATTGTTAAGCGCACGTCTATGCCAAACCACCCTTTACCTATGGGGAAGGCTGGCGGAGCTTAAGTGCATCAAATATTTGAAAAGAGACCCTGAGAACTTTCTGTGTCTTAGACTAGCGGTTAAATGGCAATTTCTCTCTGAGCAATATGAGTTGTGGCATCACCTGATTAGCCTTCACGATATAGTTGAAGAGCTAGCTGAGAATTGACCGTAAATCAAATTGGGAGAAATCCTACACAAGAAATTCATCCAATTCAACCCCAATCACATCTGAAACATATTTCCCCATATGTATCCCGATCTAGACATCGCCAAGCCTCAAACGTCGACTCTGCTACTTACCCAGACTCATCATACCCGTGGACCCTTTTCATACCCGCAACTGGCACGGTCAAGTGCGATATCCAGGAAATGGGCTCGGAAACTGTTCACAAGCCATTTCGGTTCCTTCATCTCCCGGCCGAGCTTCGAGACATGGTATACGACCACGTACTTTTCGCACCGTCTTTCCCGACCAATACCATCGATAACCGGCTGCGGAATATCAATGTCGACGCCCAAATCCACACCAACATTCTCTTCGCCAATCGCCAGGTTTTCGAGGAAGCCAAAGAGACAATTCTTCGGGCGGGGCTTGTTTTCGTTGTTTCCCGCGGCTTTTCTCCCGAGTTCCCGCGCGACACTGCCGTTCTAGTCGACCAAATACCAGTCTTCCATCGAAAATATGAAAGCCTATGCTTCGTGACGCATAGAGGTAAGTTTCCCCGGCCACCTATATATCTTAAATTCTCACTCAGGTGCACGATTGAGCACGATTCGTTGATTACTGATGGAATTCGCAGTGGTCGAAGATATCCATGACCCAACGTGGGAGTGCCGCACAGACATCAGCTGCGTAATACGTAGAGACGATATCGGACGATTTTGTCGTGGTGTTTGCGGTCACGTAATTCCCTTTTTGAATCGCCTTCGGTTTCTCACAACAGGGATCAACGACAACTTCAGTCATGAATTGCTTCTTATGAACCCCAGTGCCAGCCTCTCCTCAAGCCCAGCGCAAATGCCAAAAGTCATCCACAGTCACAGACGATTACTGGAAATATACCAAAGCGGACTTCATGGCTGTAAGCGTCTCTGGATTTGGGCTTGCCGAGATGTGGATTTTGATCGGCATTTCATAATCGACATGGCTCGCAAGACAGCGCCAAGCGGTTTTGTGATAGACACCACACACACATGTGCAATGCACCGACATGATTATGGAAGAGGCTTGGACTCAACTATACTGCGATGGACTATCGACATGTGCTCTTGTGCCGTTGTGCTGTGTGATGCTTCTTAACGACCAGGGTCTTGCGAACTCAGTCATCTGCTTGATCATCTATTGGATCTTGGATTTCTCCTGCTTGATATGGTATTACGCGTGCGATTTATTCTGGGACACGCCGGTAGGCTGGGGTTTGTCCACTTTTTCCACAGATGTCATCAAAGTTGTGGTATTTCGGGGCGAGTACTCTGGCTCATGATGGAGTCGGCGACGGAAATGATTGAGTTACCTGCAACTGGTCTCGAGATGAGCATCGCAAATTTTTGACATTAGATAACTTGGCTTGTGCTTGTGACTGCTGCTACCCTGACTTTTGACTGGGCCGTTTGGCAGTTGTGGCCTGGACGCGCAAGGCCTCGTACTACATTAGTTGCCTAATACCAGATCTGACCGTCTAATTCTGGGTCATTACGTTTGCTGGAATCAAGAAGAACACTATTTTCAAAGAGATGCTTGCTTTTAGGATCTGAGCTCTTCGCTTGTTTCAAAAATGGGGCAGACAAAGTCGTCTCGCTTTCGGCTACTGCCTGCAAACCTTTTTCCCTCCAAGATTGAGACCACTACCATTTGCTTGCTGGGTGCTGCGCAATAGTTTACCCACGCAAGAGCTACCAGTACAAATGCGAAGAGCCGCATTTCACTTCCTCTCATCGCCCGCTGCTGAACTGCTTGTCAACAGCACAACCCTGTGGCAAGTAGTCATCGCCCCAACCTGCCTCACAGGCAGCCGACACTGACACTGATCGTAATTGACTGAGTACCTCATATTGCCAGGAGGCTAATACATCACCATCGTTCTTCCCACTCCAGTTGCGATAGTACATCAGGCCCAACCTTTGCAGCAGCTGTCTTGTCCCATGCTCATTGCCTGGCCAAGACGATTCAAATCATCCTCACCCTTCTCCTGATCAACTACGGACACGTCGCCGTCAATCATGGCTACGGTAAACGGAGCCATTGACCAGCCGGTCGGGCTACTCGACTGCCCTCTGGAGGTCCGCAATCAAATTTACGCCAGCATTCTTCTCGACTTCCCACACCCCACCGTTGAGCAGCTTCTATCACGTGCTATGTCTTTCCTCCCTGGAAGCGAGGACGAACAGGCTGAAGCTTTTGACAATCATGCTCAGAGATACCCCGAGAAGACACATAAGATCAGCACAAACATCCTCTTGACGAATCGCCAGACTTTCGCCGAAGGCAGAGAGATAATCTTGCGGCGCGGCCGCTTTGTGAAAGTCATCGCTTCCGATGTTGATCTTTCACAACGGTTATTTGCAAGTCATCTCTGCTTGATTGATGCCAAGTACAGTAATCTGTGCATTCTGACTCACCACAGTAAGTAATTCTTGACCAGAATGGGCGCTTTCATCATAACCTTCCATGCTCAGGAAGCCGTCTCCATTGAGATCAGCATGGTCTATCTGAGTTCTCCCGTCCCATGGAGCCAGTGAGGGATTCTGATTATTCAATACCTATCCAAATCTGATCATTTTACTGATTCGTGCGCAGTAAGCCTTGATTCCGTACACATCGATGCTTCGTCTTCTCATGGCGAATTTGTTCTCTGCGGCAGTGATGTAGACGTCTTCTGTCGTGCGATCATGGGAGACAGTGGCCTTGTCTTGTTCCACCAAATGGATGAGGCGACCCGCCATTCGCTGGCTTTCACAACCAATTTTCACGAGGGTAACACCACCCCGGACTACCTTACAACGCCCGACATCCACGCCATGGTCCTTCAACCTTTCCGGAAGTACCTCCGTGAGTTTTCCAGAATCTCGTTGCAGGGTGAATATGTTGGCCTGAGCACAGAACTTGCTGCCAATGTCATTCAAGACATCCGATCTTGCCACGTTGTGGATCGTGAACGGCTCATCGCAGATATACAGAGCTTGCACCTGCTAGGCAGAGATTTGATTGATGAGAAGGGCTTCAAACATTCTATGGTTCCGATTGAGAAAGCCTTTGCTATGTGCGCACGAGGTACAGGGCGAAAAGATGTGTGGGCCGCGGCCCAATACAGTACCAGCGACGACAAAGCCTTCATAGAGGACCTTCTGGGAAGAGCTTACTCTTTGCTGGAATGCCAGCTGACCAACATCGTTGTTTCAATCGCCCAGACTCCCGTGGATCCAGACGTCTCTGATGCACGGAGCAATGATATCTTGCGCGCATATGAAATGAGTGTCGGGGCTGGGTTGTCCTTTGGCGTCCCTGAGTGGAAGCCCGACCGTCAGTCAGAGATCTACCTCAACACTACCGTGGCCATGGGTCTTGTGGTAATTTACAATGGCAGACCACCTGATGAAACGTGCCTAGCGGTAGGTTGCAAAGCGGCCCGACGGGCTCTAGATCTGGATCCTGGCAACAAATTGTTGCAGGCAGCGATGGAGAGATATGAAGACTGGAAGACACATGCTCTTCAGCAAGGTTACTTTCCAGACATCCAACATGAGGAATTGCAGAACCTGGGTCGTGGATGGTGGAGCGACCTTTAAGTGTCAATAGTCCCCAGCAACATCCTGAGTGCAGCATCGGTCCCATGTTGCTAAGACCATAGTCATCCACTGAAGGTCCATGGACCAAATGAAAGCATTTGGAGCTCTCTGGTATCATCCGTTGTTCCTATCGTATGAATGTGGACATCCTGACTAAATAAAGTCGTTCAAAACTTGGCACAGCCTTTTGACGCAGTTTTTGTGCCGTAGATCTTTGGCGCAGATTTCGGGCACAGGTTTCGGGCACAGGTTTTGGGCACAGGTTTTGGGCACGGGTTTTGGGCACAATATTTTGCCCATGGATATGCCTAGTCCACTAATTTATTTGTGCTACCCCAGAATCGACTGTAGTGTCCTGTCGGGGGCCGAGAAGTGCAGAATAGTAATAAACGATGAGCGAACCACAGCATCGGCCGGTCAATCCTTTCGGAGCCTGCTCTCCACCTTGCTGACTCCGGCAACGAGCCGACATCTACAGCCAGCGGTCAAGTGCCTCCTCAACAAGGGCCTTAGGCAGCACACTTGGCACCCATGTTAGATGCAGGTATAATTCTTCTCCAATTCGGTTTGCGTGTATATAAAGAGCTGGGCTTATCTTTTCAGCTTGTTGTATTTGAAATTGACGATCCAGCCTTCTTTCCTCTTGCCTGGGAAGATAATTGTTCTTATCACATACCGCTTGACCTCCTGTCTTGAGCACAACCTGCGGGACCCTTCAAGATGACAAATATTCAGCCAATATCCGAGCAGGAATGGGACCGACACAGGAAGGTCTTGCAGGAGATGTACTGCGCCGAGAAGATTCAGCTACAAAGAAGGAAAGGGAGAGAAGACGAGCCAGGTGTTGTTGAGTTAATGAAAGAAAGGTACGGGTTCCATGCCAGGTAAGCAGTATTCTCTAGCTGCGATGTGATACGGGAGCACAGAACGTTCAAGCTGAAGCTTTTATCAGTCCCGCTCAGTACGAGTCGCAGTTCAAGAAATGGGGATTCGTCAAAAACCTCAAAACTCATGAATGGGCGGCCCTCATTTCGCAGTACGATATGCTATCCCGAATCAAGAAACAAGTACGGATCATAGTCTCTGGGTCAGTCCTCAGCAAGAAGAAGATTGACAGAGCCCGACGACGCTATCGGATACGACACAATATGCCGAAGGGGGCTTTGCATGAGGGTTAGAGCAATGACTCCATATATGGTGAACGGAGTTGTTTGAGCTAATTTTGTCACAGGTGGCACCTTGCCCGCTTCTAGGCAAGCCTTCGTCGAATTCCTCGATGAAACTGGAGAATGGAACAGGCACCTCGGTGACCAAACCCGCCCTTGCAATGCCTTGGTTCTACATAAAGCCAGCCATCTCGCAGCCATCGGTCCACCAGTGAACGACCGAATCAATCATCTTGAACGTTTGGGACCGCAGGATACGCAGGCGGGTCTTAGTCAGTCAGTTGACGAGGAAGTCGTTGATATTCCTACATCCCGAAATCTCAACCTATTCTGCCCAACACTCAGCCCGTTTTTCAACTTCGGTGAATACTGTGCCGATTCAATCCAAACTCCTGCGAATTTCGACTTTTCTTCTGTCTCTTCAATAAATTTCGATGACGCTTCTCTTTGGAGTCTCATGCCGGGCCTCACGGTCGTCAATGAGCCTTTGGACGCTCAACCTTTCTACCCAGATAGATCGCCTTGGTCTCTGAATCAAGGTGAGGATCATCATCAAGAAAACGCCTCTGAGAGACCTTTAGCGAAGACGAAAGTCGATGGCCATTTGCAGGGAGTGAGAAACTTCGTTGCCTCCCTCGTCAAGCACGCCAAAACCACTCCGAGCTATGACACCGGTGACTTTCGGGACACGGGGACACCAGATGTCGAGGATATTATGGAGAGTCTGAAATCATTGATACCGGAAGACGCTCCTTTCTTTGGACATTCTGGCCTAACCATAGTTGGGAGAAACACTACCTCGTCTTCGGATCTGTTCAAGACCTTGCTCTACTCGTTCACCAACAACTTTGCTGGTCTCCGGGGTGTCCCACGGAGGTCGTTACTACAACTCCTCAGGGAACACCATGAGATACGCACTCAGTTGTTTGAAGTTGTCAAATCCGGTCCAATCGGCGTCGCTAAATCGCTTGCCGACAATCTTTTTCGGGCTTCTGTGGAAGGTTGTGACCCTGACGCCGTGGCGACAATCCTGCATCACACCAGAAAGGATACCAGGATTGCCATTGACCTAAACGAGATTGCTTGCAATTTTGAGGGGAGAGACTATACGCCAATCGAGCTGGCCGCTAAATTCCGCAATATCGAGCTGGTGCGGACACTTTTAGCTTCTCGTCCCGATCCTAATAAGACATACCCGCGGGAGCTAGAGATAGAGCCAGAGAAGGAGCAAGGTGCGCTCGCACTCGCCTTGCGACAATGGAACATGGGAAACACAAGCCCCCCTGGAATCATTCGGCCCCCTTCAGAGCCACCAGAGCCTGTGGACCTTGACCTCTTGAGGATGCTCCTCGATTGTGGTTCAGAACTTCCCATTGATCTGGTTGAGAATGCGATCCGGCCGGGCCCTGGCCATTCGGCTATTGCTGAGGAGCTCATCTCTCGCATTCCAGCGGCCGACCACCACATCTGCTTCGAAAGCGAATGTCTTATGGTCAGCATAATTCACTACCTCGACAACACCGCGGCTGACAGGATCATCCGATATTTATTTGCGCAGTGTCTTGAATCCATAGACTGCGGTAGCTGCGTTTCGAATAATTCACGGCAGATCGAAGAGATGCTTTGTCACGCAGCAAGGCGGTCGAACTTGGAGTTGAGCAAATTTCTTTTGCAGTACACGGCACAATTGCAATCCGTCTTGGCCGCAGCTGTGAGAGGTGGTGATGCGGAGCTAATCGAATTGCTTCTTGGCATGGGTGCTCGTGTGAACGACCCGGTGGAATCATGGCATCCCGAAGACATGAAACCCTACCGTGGCGATTTTTATTTTGAAAGTGGATATGATATTGAGAGCTATGGATCCTTCTATACTAAGCACGTAATCACTCCGATCAGGACACCTCTGGCAGAAGCTATCCGAGCCAAGGACGATCATCTCATCGCCACCTTCGAAAGCCGTGGAGCTTTAACCCGTCTTCCCGAGAAGCACCATTTTCACGCTGCCGTCCTGGCAGCAGCTGAAGTTGGCAATACCTCATACCTCAAAATGGTACTTGACCACGGTTCTGGATTGCTCAATCGGGAGAATCTGGCTCCTGCCTTGGCAGCTGCGATTCACAGTGACGAGACTGATGCGGCGCTTATCTTGCTGGATGCTGGTGCCAGAACCAACAACCATAGAAGGTTCAGGTACTCCAATCTTTTAATTGACGTTCTGCAAAAACGTAACAAACGCATTTTGGATACGATGCTTGAATGCGATGTATCACTTGACCAGTCCGTGCTCGTGTCAGGTTTTTCTCCACTAGAAGCTGCTGTAGCTTGGGATGACATCCATATCATCGAAGACATGATTCGGATGGGTGCGCCGATCAATGTTGGGCTTCAGTTGACAGCGCTGGAGGCGGCAGTGCGAAATCGAAACCAGACCCTCGTTCACCGACTGCTGGAACTAGGTGCAAGCCCGGAAGCGCCATCCAAACGGGGTTCCTCGCCTTTGCAGGCCGCCGTAGAGATCGGCGATCATGACATGATCCGCCTGCTGCTCTCGAAGGGAGCATCGTTGCAATGCCCCGCTGCATTCATGTACGCGATGGAGAATGATCTAGCTGCGTATGAGCTTCTGCTGTCAGCGTTGAAGTCACGCCATCAATATGATCTCAGAGAATTGGGAGGTGACCTTTTCACGAAAGCGATCAAATTGAACAATCCCGATTTTTTTGATGGCTTGCTCACTGCCGGAATGAACATCAATAGCCGATGCCGCCACGGCGATTGGACCGACATGTACTTTTCTACCAATCGATTTCGGCCCAGCACAAACAGAAAGGCACTGGGTTTTGCCATTGAACATGATCGCGGGCGCAATTATGAGCTGGTACGGAAGGTGATGGAAGCCGGGGCTGACGCGAATTCAATTGTTGATGAAATCCCACAGGAATGGGGGGGTGATCAGGTCATCACGGCCTTGTTAACACCATTGATTGTGGGTATCAGGGTGAGGAACATAAAGAAGATAAGCCTACTTCTTGAGTACGGGGCGGAGATCAACAGGCCTGCTCGTCGTGGTGTCAAGCGCACACCAATGCAGGCAGCGTGCGAGTCCGGAAGCTACGAGATAGTGGAGTTGCTCCTTCTGCATGGAGCCAAGGCCAATGATACGGCGGCCGAACGACACGGCGGAACTGCTTTGCAGATGGCCGCAACGACAGGGAGCATCAAGATCGTCAAGCTGCTGCTTGACAACGGCGCTGATCCTCACATGGCCAAGTCGAACGTGGGAGGCCGAACAGCATTTGAGGCGGCCGCCGAAAGTGGTTGTATCGACATCCTGTGCTTGCTCTGGAACGCGGTTCTGCCACATGGTTTCAGCGAGAAGGAGTGCCAAAGTGCGAAGGGTCTTGCCAAGGAAAAAGGGCACAGGGGTTGTGCTGATTTCATTGATTTCCTTCAGTCGAATGCTGGCAGCGGATCATTCCAGTCTCTGCTGGGTGGGTGATAAACTCGGATAGAAGGTAGGGTGATGCTTTGCGTCTTCGTCATGGACAAGTAATTCGAGGGAATATTTCATCTGTACGAAGAAAGTGACCTAGAACTGAGGATTGAAAAGACTCCTGAGAATCACGCATTTCATTTCAGTCTGTTAGAAACTGAGTCACCAGGCGGAAAAACTACCTAGGTGGGTAAAGAGGGCTAAAGGGGTGCAGCGGTTTCTCCTTCCTCTCGAGCCGTGCTAGTAACTCCACAGAAATACCTCACCATGTACTGCTGGATAAGAACCAATACAACTCGGCGCCTACTTGGAACATTCCTGGGAACTGTGGGCAAATATTCGCAAGAGCTATGAGCGAAATACTTAAGGGCACGGGATTTTCATCAATCATTCCGAATCTGCCCATCTTCTTCGCAATCGAAGTGTTGTGTCCAGCACGTCTCTGGCAAATTCGCCGTTTCTGGCCATAAGCGCCCTGATACCATCCTCGGAAGCCACTGAATATCCTGTCCCGTATTCAGCAGCCACCATTTGGCTGATCAACGCGCGCAGTGGCTCGCTGCTATCCGTACGTAGATAGACCTGCTCAATCAAAGTCGGGAGGTCCGCAAACCGAGCCCAATGAGAGCGCAGAGAGTGTGTAAAACGTAAGCGGGCGAGAAGCTGGAGGGCTGGAATTTGAAGTTCCTTTGCTGCGATGTACACGTTGAAGTTGGCAAAGAGGCTGATCGCATATGGAGGCTGCGGAGTCTCCTCTTCCCCCTGGGAGTCTGAAGGCATGTTGGCGGGAAGCTCTTCTTCGTCTAAAGACTCGACATCATCACAGGGGTGGTCGATTTCGCAGGGGGATGGCAGATATCCATTGTCTTCCTCGTCCTCGCGCCCGTCCTGCCCCTCCTCGTCGAAGACCTCGCACTGAGGATCAAGTCCCATCCATTCAGTATCTTCTATGTCATTCAGAACAACGAGCGGCTTTTCGAGAGCGTCGTTCACATCGCCGGCGGTCATGGTAAGAGGAAATGGCGCTGTGTTGTCTGGGTATTCGCCATCCGAGTACGTACGGCGATAGCAGAAATCTAGGACACGGTCCAGTGTTTCGGTATCATATTGGTGCAGCTCCAAGCGTTGGTCGCGACCCTAGAGAATTTGGTCACTACACCTTCCCGGTAGAAAGATCCTATCTACACGGCGAACTGCGCGTGGGGACTCACTAGGTTACTGCACTTGTCCTTCAACACAGGTGATTCTGAGCAGACAACGATCCTGTGAACTGAGAGCACAACGCCGTTGGAGACAACCTCGAGGTCTGAGTACTCGCCGTTTCGATAGTACTGTGCCAGTAGATGCTGATAGACCGGGGCTGAGAGGATCGAGATTGGCTGGTCGTGTCTCGCATCGACCGCGTCGGGCACCTGGACCGCAGGCGACAAGGGTTAGTCCACGGGGCCATCCGCGACATCTTGGTTTTCCTCCTTGACTGGTGTCACCGCTCGGTTGTTGTGAGATGGTGAGCGAGAGATTTGCGATGGCTGTGCATCTCGCGACTCAATCCTGGCAGCGCGTTTGGGTGGCATTTTGTACGCTGGGTCTTGGTGAAGCTGTTTGTTCGGTGAAAGCTGGGCGAAAGATGGAGACACCTCCGTTTGGGATGTTGTTGAACTTAACAAGGGTTGAGCGAGCAAGGAAACCCGCTCAGAGCTCTGTCCTTTCAAGGTTTATAGCTCCTGCAGCTTTGCATGGGGTTTGCTATGGGGTTCAAGTGGGGTTCAAAAGTGAGTTGAAATCTTCAGATTTGAATCTTTCTATCAAAAGAGACTGTTTTGCCCGAAATTGCAGAAGAGTGTGGGTATTGGTCGACAGTGCAGCTGATACGTTCAACTGCCTCTCCCCGTTTGGCTTAGTACATAACCTCAAACACAACCACAGCATCAGATAACAGACAGCGGCTGAGGTTAATCATAGATCTTAAGCAGAATTCTTTCCAAAAGCACCCTCTATTGCAACTGCACGTAGTCTAGATGGCTTGACAACTGCTAATTCTGAAATAATTAAACTTGATGAAAGAAGTTGCTGGAAAGGTGTGTCCGCATCAAATCCCTTGAAGAGCCAGTTCCGCAACTCGTACACTATTCATGCTGTCCAGTCCATGCTTGGCCGTCGAGTGATGCGCCACGCTGATTTTGGTCTCGTCCCGCATGAGTAGCCTTGCCAACCTCGCCGCCAGATGCTGCTGCAATGCGGCGACAGCCACGTTGCGATCAGCGGCCTGCCGTACAGTCCGGACAATGTCCTGCTTCCTTCCGCCAGCCGTGATAGTATGACTGTGGCCTGTGCTACTGTGTAACTTATTCTTGAGCTTATTCATTGCCATCTATAACTAGCTAAGGCCGAAACCAGCGGATGTAAACACCAGCATCATGAATTGTTTGTTCGTCCCGTCGCGGCTGGGTACCTACGATGATGTGTCTCCGAAGAGACTATCACCCTCCTGCATTGGCATCCCTCCCGTCTTTGCACCCAACTCTCCGCCTCAGGTTCCAATGAACTAAGGCAGGCTCCATGGAAAAGGTCAGTCAGTATCGGGCCAACTAGCGATTTAACACGTTGTCTTGCGGCCAACAACCCTCACATTTACTAGGCACTTCCTAGTTTGTTGTTGGTGTTGGCCAAGATGATCCACCCCTCTCGGTTTCGAAATGAAGGGCGGGTATAGGGTACTTTTCACAAGCCTAATTGAACGAATTTGGATGCTTTTATGCAACGGATTGCGGCGCAGTGCCAACTTGCTCACTGCATAACCCATTCCCGCCGAGATGATACCTACCTCTGGAGTTATGGTTCTGCCTCCGGGAATCGACGTCAAGCCCGAGACCTTGGTTAGCGCCCTGGGAATCGCGGGTCTCGCCGCATACTTCAGCTTCTACGGGTTCGTAAAAGAGCCGCGGGCCGGCAAAACGTTCTGGGTATCCGCGGCGAGCGGAACTTCTGGATAGTTAGTCGGTCAGATTGCCGAACTAGAGGGTATGAAGGTGATCGGCAGCACTGGAAGTGACGAAAAGGTCGACTTTGTCCTCAAAGAACTGGGGTTTGATGGGGCCTGAAACTATAAAACGGAGAGAACTGATGACGCTCTTGCGCGTCTGGCTCCCGAGGGTATCGATGTCTACTACTATTGCGTCGGCGGGGAGCAGCTGGAGACCACTTTGACACGCATGAAAGACTATGGCCAGATTATTGCGAGCGGTATGATCTCTACCTACCATCAGCCATGGGCTCTCCGGACTGCACTCCACATCGTTTACAAGCGTTTGTCGGTAAATGGCTTCATCTGCTCCGATCCACACCTGCTCCAGAAGTATATGCCTACACTTCCAATGGATATGGCAACTTGGCTTGTTCAGGGGAAGGTAAAGACAAAGGAAGAGGTAGTCAAGGGAATTGAGCATGCACCTGAGGCTATGATAAGGATGTGGACTGGTGATAAGTTTGGGAAATTGGTAATTGAGGTCAGAAAGGGATCAATTTGAACTTGAGAACTCGCGTACCCGCACACTTTCCTGCTTATATAGGGCTGCACGTACGTTTTGAAACACAAAGTCGGGAAAGTCATCTGCGAAACTCGAAGCTTCTAACACAATACAACAAATTACAAATAATACAGACATTTCGAGTCCATGTCAACCGACCCAGCATTATCATAAGTATTGCGGCCATCATCAACGAATGTAGAGTGAGATCTTACTCTCCTTACGATTTGTAGAATATAACCTGTCACAGAAACAAGGGGACACAATGAAGGCGTCCCGCTACACCACCAAATTCTGCAGCATAATACAAGCCTGAAAAGTACATATACGTAAACAGCGCACAGAACACCAAAGCATCAAGGACATCTCAATCAAGTCATATCAGCTCCGAATATGTATCATTGTCTTGATGGCGAAGTTGATCCTCTTGTCGCGAGTATTGACTTGAGCCCAATCGTTTGCTGAGCTACAGGGACGTCTTCGGGAACAACATTTCCCAGTCCACTTCAAGGCAAGAGGGTCAATGGTACTTTGTCCTGGAGCCTTTTGCTTTGAGAGATTCTCTCGTTGGAGATCTTCCCATCAGCATGCTGAAGTAGGTTATATCGTAGGACGTTCTGCCATGCAAGACTGCCCTATAGGAGGTTATGTTGTGAGGCGTGATCTCCCGGAGGTGTTTACCTTATGGTCCCGTAGTAGCACATCGCGTAGGAGGTCTCGAATTCCTACTTTAGTGGCTTTACAGGCTGGAGGTTCCTAGCTTTAGTAGCAACAGCGCCAGAAACAATGCCCTCCGCCACGAGCTCGTCCAGAACCTGCCACACCCAAGTCTTGCAGGTACCGCGGTTGAAGTCAATCTGTCGAGTACCTTCAATTTCAGGTGTCTGAGGCGGGCCAGGGGGCTTGATGGTGTGGGCAATCTCGTCAAGCTTGGTCTCCCAGTCCTGTGACAGGTCGTCACAGACGAGGAGCTTGTCAGCAAAGGATGCCGAGAGGAAGATGGGAATACCTTGGTCGGGTGAGCCGTGGGCGTAGTGCATTCCCACATCGGGGTCTCCGTTGACCTGCCAGACTCTGCCCGGCGGACCGTCGGTGTCGTCGTTGAATGCAGCGAAAAGAGACCAATGCGGGTTCTTACCATCCTGGCGCTGGCGGACCACCCAAAGTGATTTGTTCTTAGGAGGAGTCTTGGGCCTGGCAATTTGGACGACCTGTCTCCAGGGGTTTGAGTTGGTCGCGGGTTCGCAAACGTGTCGACGAGTGTACATGACACCATTATCCATCTGAAGTTTCTCGGTGAGGAGGATTTTGCTGATCTCTCCATTGCCACTGATATTGTCGTTGTTGTCATTGCTCATGTAGGGTTTCGGGAACTTGCAGGTGCAAGTTCTGGCGGTAGAAGTGCCATTGTGACCGGAGAGAGATCCGGCATGATGAATGTTGGCCATGTTGCTGACGGTCCACGGGAACGTCGAACACGACTGTTTGGTAGAAGAGTTTCTGGCAGAAAGTATTGGGCACTTAGCGCCCAGAATCTCTCAAATACATGTTCGATTTCATGTATATTCACTGTACACAGTCCTCAACATCAAGTGACTCTATGAAGTAGCATCATGTAGTCAATTATTCCATGACTTGGTCTAGGGGAACGATGTGAAGCATTGGGCTCTGTGGACACTCTACTGTATTCACCATTGACAATATTCCATTGAGTCTATTTTATAGACATTCCAACTCACACTCTTTCACAGCCCTCGAACATATCCTATGACAGATCTTCACCACAGTCCCTGCATTGACTTTTATGTGGTACATCTCTCCTGCTACATTGACGTGTCTTGGAGATCAACTAGAAACTAGACTAAGACATTCACAGTCACGGCGACGGCTTCTTTGTAACATATAGACATATTTCACGCAGTGAATATTGATCCTTTCAATATGTAAAGGAAGGTCTTGGACCGTCTTGTAACATAAGAAGGTGACACGGCGTTTCTAAAGACTCCACTACTAGTACATGGCATACTAGCAGTAGAGCTCTGTATTTGAACTGGTGGATCAAGACAGACGGGATATCTTGGTTTGCATCAGAAGATCTGATATCTTTGTCATTTTCAAACGAATTATGAATCCCTGTCCAAGAATTTTGGTCCCAGAAAGATGACTGACCTCTGTTGGGAATCCTGAGCCCGATCACTTCGACACCACAATGGATAAAAAATATTTGTGAACTGCTGGGTTCCAATTGAAATCCAATAATGAATGAGTGGCTTTTGATGACAGCGTTTTGTCCGTAGTCATGATCTAGATATCAACAGACATTCATTCGGTTGGGGGGGGGTTGGCCCTGGTGAAACTAAAGGGTTAGGGCTGGAGGCATGGGCTCCCAAACACCAGCTGCTACGCCTTTCATTGCGTTCGAAACTCTACACAGTCTTTCTTTTCGTATTTAAACTGCACATTCTTGTCTCACATGCCTTCGAGATACCTTTCACAACAATTCAACATGGATTGCGACACTGATGAAGGTCACAATCAGGCAGAGAAGCCCTTGACTTCTGCCACCTCACCAACCGAACACTCCTCCCCTCTTACGACAGCATCGCAAACGCCCGAAGACAGTCCAGAACAACATGCAGGCAAGACCACCGTCACGAAAACCCCACCCGAATGTCTTCGCATTATGCTACCTCACCTTCCCCGTCGACAGGGACGGGCATGGCTTTTCAGATTTGATGAAGGCGTGTTGATGAAGCAGAGCCGCGAAACTCGGAGTAGCGAGAGTGCTGCAATGCAGTACGTCCGAGAACATGCACCAAGCGTGCCAGTGCCAGAGGTGTATCACTCCAACTTCAAGTGCGCGGGTTTAGGGCGAATCTTCATGGAAGAGATTCCTGGCGACACCCTCGAAAAAGTGTGGCCCAGCCTCGCCCCCAGTCAGAAGGAACAAGCCTGCCAAGACATATGGGACATCATCATGGCCCTGCGACAGATTCCAAGGCCCGAGAACATACCACCTGAGAAATGTTTTTACACCACCGTCGATGGTTCGCCCATGTACCCACAGGGTAGATTAACTGGCAACTCGACGTTGCCACTGGACGAGAATTTGCACAAGACTGATGATGCCCTGCGAAATTTCATAGTACAGCGGTACCGTGAGAACCATGGTCCAGACGAAGAAGTCAAGCGCAACTTTCCCCGCTCCGAGACTGCTGTCTTCACCCACGGCGACATCCATCCCAGGAATATCATGGCCTCCGAGCACGGTCGTATCACCAGCCTGCTCGACTTCGAGTATGCTGGATTCATGCCTGAATACTGGGAGGACATGGGAATGTTCCTGGAAGTGTGGGAGGAGGATCGAGACTGGGCAGATACAATGATTCGGACGAAGCCGAGCGATTGGGACTTTGATGCTACGCGTGCTCTATGCAGAAAGGCCAAGAGGGTCCTTCACTGGTGAAGGACATCAGTGTTGATTTTAAGAAGACTGCTTAGATGTATTAGCAGTTGCATCATCCGGGCGAGGACTGCGTATTGTGCTACAGGAACTGGAAGCCGCATAACAGCTATGGCGCATATGGAGACGGACGACGAGTCTTGAGAATTGCATCATGAACATATTGATTACATACCCACTGGGTATTGCTAACGCAGATCTACCTTTGAGTTTCCGGGCACATGTGTGATTTGATTCACTTATAGATTGAATTGACCGCCAATGTTCTGTGGTGCCATCAACACCAAGAACTTTAAATCGCTTCCTCCTCCAAGTCTACATGGGTGCAACATCTACCCTGAACGCGGTACCAGTTCAGGGGTCTTCCAACCCCTGCAATCACTCGATCACGTGCGGAAAGCCTCAAAAGCTAGCGTTTCCGTTAGCGTGTCGAACGCGTGGATGGCTACTACGGTGAATGAGCGGCTGGCTTGGAGTGAGTCGCAACAATCCAACTTACTCTCACCCGGTGATTTTTTTATCTACCTGTCACACCAACTCGGTGTCTGCAATCATTTAATTAGATGGCTCACCGTAGTTAAGATTCAGTGGCTACAAAAACAAATTCCATGTTTGGTCCACACGCGACAGCATTTGCTCGTCACTCGCTATTATTCCATTCATAGCGATTAAAATTTGGTTCTACAAATTTCACTCATGGCCTGGCCTGCAACTGTTAGAGATACGAAGTGAAGAATTAGATATTTGGCTTGCCACCCCCGTGAGCAACTCCGTTAAAGATACTGTCAACAATGCTATGGGCCGGCTAGAGCTGCATGAGCTGCTTAGGATGATCTCCGAAGGAATAAGATGAGCAGTTGCGGCATTACGACATAGTGCCAGGTAGCAAGGGCCTGGTAGGCGTACGAGTCATCCGGTCTTGGTCATGGGGCGTATGCTAAGCGTGGATTTATACCTGCTTTGGCAGCTCCAGGAAATCAACAACGCTTGTTAGTCTGCCGAGGTTCGGCCATCGGGGTAATCCTTGGCACCCGGCAGCAACGGAAGTCCTCTCGGAAACATGCACACCTCATATGTTTGTTTGGCACTTCGGACGAATGCAACCTTCTGATGCCTTCATCTTGCTTCGACCAACCCTCCTCAATTCACTGTGAGGCTCACGCAACCAGAGACTGTGACTGCAGCTCCCAGTCCAGTGCTGTTTGTGGCGCGAGATCATAGAATCACTCACATCTGAATTACTCTTATCCTCCCCATCATGCGTCCTGTCCCGCTTATCCTGGCCGCCGCCGGCCTCACAGCCGCGCAAACATCGTCCAACTGCACGGATGGCCTGTACATGATCGTCGCCCGCGCAACAGGCGAGAAGCCCGGCACCGGCCGTGTCGGAGTCGTCGCCAACAACGTCTCGGCCGCGATTCCGAATTCCATCATCGAGCCGATCGTCTACCCGGCCACTTTCGCCAATTACACCGTGTCCGAAGGTGACGGCGTGACGGCCATGACGGCGGCAATCAAGGACAGGGTGGCCGCGTGTCCCGAGGGTAAGATCGCGCTGCTGGGCTACTCGCAGGGCGCGCAGGTCTCGGCGGACACGCTCTGTGGGCGCGACGATGGCACAGGGACTGCGTTCTCTGACACTCCGGAGCTTGGAGCCGAGTATGAGCAGAATATCGTCGCGGTCATTATGTTTGGTGACCCGAGTCACTCTGTTAATGCCTCATTCAACCAGGGCAACAGCACGCGGAATGGGGTAAGGGATTTATTCGCTCCAATAAGATATCATGGACTGCAAGTATCGGGATGCTAATGAGATGCGATCAAGATCTTTGCGAGGAATAACGTCACGGCCTGCGAGCCCTACACCAACAAGATGCGCTCGTGGTGTGACGCCAACGACCTCTACTGCGATAGCGGGAATAGTTCTAGGGTGCACGGATCGTACTTCAACAACACGGCTTACCTAGCCGATGCATCGTCTTTCGTAATCAGCCAATTTAACCAAGTCGACGCGGGAGCCAAGAACGATAATAGCTCATCGAACTCGACTGATACTTCCACCAGCAGCGGCTACTCTTTCACAGCGGGTATGGGACGATTTCAAGTGGTATCAGCGGCGCTTGGAACGGCCTGCGGGAGCTTGTTGTTTCTCTTGTTATAGCGTGGTTTTGCATAATAAGACAGCTATTCATATTGCAGACTATATGTAAAATACATCATATTGGCCCAGAAGTGGCCTTAGTACTTCAATTCTGCAAGTACACCCGAAAATACCTCTAATGACCGTAAAGCCGAATCAAATCAAGCACCAGCAGGCATCTCATCCTCAGGTTTAGCATCATAGCTGATCCTTCCAGCCGGCAAAAAGAACAGAGCCACGACGCCGCCTCTTCGGCACTGAGGGTAGTGGTGGCTACCCGGATCTGCATGTAGCGATTTCAGTCAGACAATCCCTCACCAACGGGCCCAGGGATAAACTTACGCGGACTTGTCCATCCCTTGCCCATCCACCCGTTCAACCCCTTCAGTTCAGCCCCTTCATCAATCGGCACAACGCAGTTGATCTCGCCGTACGGGTGAGCATGGTACTGCCCTTTAAAATCTTCCTCGCCATCCACGGTGGCCATGTACACGGTCGTTACGGAGCAGAAGCGCGTCGTCTCTGTCGGTGGTGAGACCCGGGAGCGGCGGTAGCGGGACCCATCGATGGGAATGTTGGCTACCCAGCCTTCTTCCAGGCCGGACTTGATAAGGTTGGCGAGTGTGTCGTAGTGCGGGGTGCCTGGGCCGTAGCTCTTGTTCAGACGGTCCTCAAGGGATTTACCCGGGGTGCTGTGAAATGTTAAGCTTGTGTCGAGGTACCAAGGTGGGTAGACACAGCGATGATGGTGGAATTAATACTCACAGATTCTCGACTTCGGATAGGAAGGCCGAGATTTGGTTCAGAAGCTTCTCCTGGTTGGGGTGAATGGTGCCGAGAGGCTCCGAGCCGCCGGTGTAGTCCGCCATAATTTGTTACCAACGTTGGTATACCTGCGTGGTAGTGAATAGATAGGACATTCAATCGCCGGCGAGGTGAATAAAATCAGTCAATAGCGACCCTTGCACAAGAATATATGAAACCGAATAAGCGATATGGTATGCTGTGTTGTATTTTCGCCCCCTCCATCTGGGTCCACACTAGGGGGCTACCCCGACTTTCAGGATACGCTACTCGGTAGTTGGGGCTCTAGTACCGGGTACATGACTGAGCCTGCTTAGCAAACTCGTGAGCGCTGTACTGAACTGCTAATTCAAAACGAAAATTTGGTGAACCTTAAAATGCTCGTCACTTCTTAATTTCTATACCCGGTCTTTTATTATGAATTCTCCCGAATATCAAATCCAGAAGCAGAATCTAGCATATTTTTTTACAAAGACGGGAAATTCTAAAAAGGAAAGTCCTCCTCAAACTTTGCGGTCGCCAACGATCTCGACATTCTCAAACTCGCTCTTCTCTCCAGCGGCAATAGCAGCCTCGGGCGTCGTGGCGACGACCTCTTTGACGCGCATGATGTGTCTTCCGGTGCGCAGCCAGTGACCCAGCACATACGTCAGAACGAATACAAAACCAACAAGCGGCACGACGTAGCTGATCCGCGTGCCGGCGGAGTCGGCAATCGCGCCCTGGATTGGCGGGAACACGGCTCCTCCAGAGACACCCATAACCATGATACCGGCTCCGCGCTTGGTGTGTCGGCCGAGATTTGCAGTTCCGAGGGAGAAGAGGGTCGGATACATGGGAGCCATGAAGAAGAAGATTGTGATCAGCACACCGACCGCGGCAGTGCCAGTGCCAACTGAGACATAGGCTGTCATAGCGATGGCAATGGCCGCGTAAATGATCATGATGAAGTCGGACTGGAAGACAGTCGCCAGGCCCGTGGCGACGAAGCGACCAATGGTGAAGGCAATCAGTCCGTACGACAACATCTGCGATCCCTCAGAGGAAGGGAAGTGCGCGTTCTCAGTGGCGTAATTAATGAAGAAGGCCGCAACCGTAACCTGAGCACCCACGTAACAGAACTGCGCCGCGACGGCACAGATCAAGTTGTACTGCTTGTACAGGGGGCCGGCACCAACGCCCTCCTCGCTGTCGGCAGCTGGGTTGTCGGCGGTCGAGGTGCCCTCGATGACCTCCTGCGAGACCTCAGGCAGCTTGGCGAAGAAGAAGAGCACCGCGACGGCAGCGCCGGCGCACGCGACGGCCAGGTAGACATACTGCACGGAGGTCAGGTCCTTGGAGCCCTCGCCTGAAAAGAAAGCCTTCGACGCAATAAGAGGGCCGATGAAGGAGGCAACGCCGTTCCAGGACTGGCAGAACTGCAGACGGGCGGATGCGGTCGCTGGGTTACCGATGACGACGGCGTATGAGTTGGCGCTTGTCTCGAGCGTCGCCAGGCCGCAGGCGATGATCATGGTGCAGACCAGGAAGCCGCCGAACGCGGCTTTCTTGTTCTCGGGCGTGGTGAAGTGCGCGGTGGGCCAGAACATGATGGCGCCCAGGGAGTAGAGGCAGAGGCCCATGATGATGGTGAACTTGTAACTGCGTCGCTTCAGGACCTCGGCTGCGATAGGCGAGAACAGCAGGTAACCTCCACCAAAGTACATGACCTGGAGCCCCGTTGATTCGAGACGGGTGACCCCGAGGACGGTCTGGAAGTGCTTGTTCAACACTGTGCCAATTGGTGTTAGTATCGGTCTTGACCAATCCAGAAAGAGATATGACAGCTTACCATCTAGTAGACCGTAACTGAAACCCCACAGAAAGAATAGGGAGATGACCAGTGACAGCGGGAAAATGAGGGCCTTCCCGGTCAGGTAGCCACCGGCAACCGTGCCGGTGGAGATTGGCATGCCACCACCAGCCATGATGCTGAGTCGTGTGGGATTTGTGGAATATCAAGAATATAGACAAAAGTGTATGAAGAGATGTTTGAGATGTCCAGTCCCTGTATTCGAAGATGTTCCAAGATGCCTAATTGATGAAACCGAGCGTGAAGGAGAAGCCCACGATGCGGATGAGGTCTCCTGAACGACGCAGAGCGGAAATGAGTTGGGCATTGTGAAGCTTTATACGTCCGGGCCTACTTGATGGACCTGATTCATGCGACATTTCCCCAGGCCCACAGGTCTGGAGTTGAAGATCTGGAGTCTGGGGTCTAGCAGCTCCGCATGGGCCTTAGCCGCCAAATACGGGGGAAATGTCCAGGCAATGCGTCCATTCTCAGTTGTGGCCCTGAGCCAAGATGATTGAAGCATGGACTTGCCGGCGATGATGTGTGTGAGGCTCTACCGATCCGTCGGTAGTCGCATGGACTGGCCAATGGGAGGGCTGACGAGGGTCGTGTCAAACCCCTGATGCCGCCGAACAATGCGCCGTGGTCGGGGGCTGGCCAGCAATTTCGCATGGCACCCGTGGTAAGGTTTGGTATTAAGCGTCTCGGCGGGTGGAGTGCCCGCCGGCCAGCTGAGAGCTGTGACCAGCGCTGAGTGCAGCCGTCCAAATCCTCGCTTGATTCGGCGGCGCCGTTGCGGAGTCCCCATGTCTTGGAATTGAGGTCGTTTGTCTTGGAAAAGTCTTGGGTGTGGACGCACGAGGGCCATAGCTCCCTCGCCGTCTCTCCGTCCCTCCATCTTTTCCCCAAGTCTGCCCCGGGAAGTAACCCCAGACCCACTCGTTGGTCCTATCACGGCCTGTGGAGATAACTCTATCGATCCATCTAGATGTGTCAAGCTAGTCCTAGAGGAGGTGGTGCAGTAGAAGGTAAGTAGAAGGACGCTAGAACAAAATATGTCTCTGACAACGTCAGAGGTTTGGAGCTGCGCTCGTTGGATTCCTCTCTGTCTTTCCCTTGACCTCCCATGAGAGAGAAGTTCATTCATGCCGTTGACCACGATAAGACCATCCTCAGCATTAGGCCCTCCCATTGAGACGAGGAACTTGAGACCTTTGACAGAACGTACCAATTAGATAATCCTTCACTAGAATCAGCTTTCGGGGCAGAACCCAAATGGCCAATATCTAGAGCTGCATGCTCATCAGAGCAGGCCTCTCTGCCTTCTCACTGGACGACGTCTTTCCCTATCACTCGCTTGCACTCGGACGGCATGCCTGAGTTCCCGACAATGCGACATTTAACACTTGATCGAAACTGGAAAAGTACCATGCTCCGATGACTGTTGAACGTGTTCCTACTGTGAATGCGAGTAAACAAGTCGGGTGCAGCTTGGCGACAGCAGGGCCAAGGTCTTGATTTCCACCCCCCCCCCCCCTTTTCGCTCTAGTTCCATCGCCGTGATGGTCGCCGCCGTCAAGGATGTTACTGCCAAGCTCACCAGCCATTGGTCTGGTTCCAAGTTCTGTCATATTTTCGCCGACACAGCTCCGGCCGCTCCGCGGCAGCACCGCGAACTGTCCGGTCTGGAGCATTTACAGCAGTGGGGAAAGGTACCAGCTCAGGCAGTTTGCTTCAACAGGGTTCAACGTGTGATTTTGTGCTTCTTCCTCAAAGATATGGGCATTTGCGGGATTTTGAATTAGAATTGTGGGCCGCAAGCGGCGAGGATGTACGTGATCGCATTCTTCTGTTTTCGTTGCACTCAGACGGTTCCACGTCTCAGCATCATTGCTCGCCACTCATTTTAAGGGTCGACTCAACTCATACCGCTCTGAATATCGCCGCAACTCTTGCGATTCCTGCCATTTTCCTGGTAATAAAGCCGTGTGATACAGACCCGGGGGCTGGACCTTATGCACATGTGAACCCCGCTCCCAAATCAAGCCGCCGGTACATTTGCTTCGTGTTCTGCCTCACTTTCTTGCTGGGTGCTGACACAAGCTGAGAGAGTGCTGGATCCTGATCAACGCTTACATTGACCCGATTCTGACCAAATTTCTCTCTTCACCGCTGTGAGAGAATCAACACCCTTCACCGTTTTCCGACTCGTTCTCACGAACCAGCTTTACATTCTCCTGCAACCAGAGTGCAAGGGCCTGCAGAGATTGTACAGCTTGTGCACGGATTGCATCCCCTGGTAAAGTCCCAATCTCAAGCCACGTGACAGCTCTGACAACGTCGTTCAATCTTACAGAGAGCCGACTATAGTCGTCAGTCAAGAGTAGAGCCGTTCGTTTAAGGCGCTGACAGTCCTTCTCAGCCTGATCAGCTTCCGAACCGAGCCTCTGAAGCTCCTTCAGGCTAACCCCTAGCGACTCAAGTGCAACCTGCCAGGCTTTCTCTGTCTCTTGAGTACGTTCAAGCTCTAATTCTGCTTGGCTCTGTACCGTCCGTAATTGTGTGCCGCGCTTCTCGTGAGACCTGTTTGCAATTGAAACAAAGGTCAGTCATTTGTTGACACTGGCAGCACTAAGGTATGTGCATCAGTCTCTGGTCCCCCATGCCCTTTTTTGTTTCTGAAAAAAGACTCATAAGGAATTCTTGGCTATACTTTTGTCTAGGTAAAGCAATAGGAATGGGAATGATATAACGCATACGCTGGACAGACATGTTAGAATTCCAAACATAGACAACCCAGCAGATTGCTATCATACCTTCTTGTGCTTCGCGGCTTTTGTGTCATGGAGAGACGCCATGTCTGATAATTTGGATATAGTATCGTTGTACTCCCCGGCCCGCTTTTGTGCTTGTTGAATACCGTTCGTGGCTTTTTGTTGAAGATCTTCTTTCTGAGCCTTCGCCTCTGATAATTTCACGATAGTCTCCGAGCAGGTTTTATGTTGTACTGCTGCTTCGCTGCAAAGTTGTGCAGCGTCTATAGTCCCTTCTCTAGCTTTGTTTTCGGTTTGCTTCAAGTTTGTATTTGTGGTTTCTATCGCTTTAACGATGTTTGAAAATCCTGTCATCAACTGGCGCTTCCTTTTGCGCAATCTCGTGTGAAAGGGCGAGACTCGTACAAGCAGCAACTTGAGTTTGCTAGGCTTTGCGTACAATTTAGTGTATGTCAGTTGAGTCCGCTACAGAATTTGCGAAGCTTGGGGGGGGGGAGGGGGGTTCTTCGTTTACCGCAAATTTCTTTTCTATCAGGAGGGGCATAACTTCCGGCAGACTTCTTACGGCAATGTGTAGCGACTCCACGTCGGTTTGGAAGACATGTTGTATTTCCTTGTGTGCCCGCTCCAGAATTGTGATTCTCTCACGTATTTGAAGATTGGCTTTAGTTATTGCTGAAATCTCAATTCTCATCTCGGGTGGCGAAGACATGGTGAAAGGCGTGTAAGCCTGGCGTATTCGCTCAATACCAAAGTGAGAAGAATGTGTGGGGAGAAATTTGAGCTCAGATCGGTGAACCAGCTCCTGAGTACTCTTTTCAACGAGAGAAAACAACGTAGCTTGGCGAGTTCTGTCTGTCTTAGAAAAGTTTAGACTAGCCTTGAGCGCCCAGCTCCTGCTTTGTGCATGGACTGCACTCTCTGTAGTAATACCTAGGCATGCTTTGGAATTTAGCATCTTATGAAGTTGATAATCTCATGCCAATTCCAATGCCCTTGTCTCTCAACACCCATCTTGAATGGCCCCCCAAGCTGAAACAAGTAAGCGGCAGAGGCGGTGGCGTGGCCTCACAGTCTCCGACATGCGTCACAGCCCTGTGCCCCTCTCCCAATGCAAGCCCCTGTTGCTAATCCTGTTGTGTAACTCTCGTAATCAATGTAATTCCCTCTTGCTTACTGATAGCGGCTCATTCACCATCCTCCATCTGAGCGGTGGGGTCTCCAGTCCAGCCGCACGGAGTCGGCATCCAATGAAGAGGTTGGTTGGGGAAGTCGGCGCCCTCAGAGAGTGCCTAAAGTAGACAAGGGCTGCCACACCGGTATGCTGTAGCACGGGCTCCAAGTAGATTAAGGCTTTCCATGCATATATGTCGCGTAGCAAAAGCAATAATGATGCTGGGCGACGGATCGCCATTCGTTGCCCGGCACTGCAGAGGCAACCTATGGAAGTGACAGGTAATTCCAATGAGCCCTGGAGGTGTCGTAGTGAATCTTGACGTGATCGAGGAGATCTTGCACTAATTGTGCAAGGCAACGTGTACTACCTCAAAGTAGATGCCGCATTCTTCAGCCATTGGTCAAGACTGACTATCATCAGGAGGAAGTGGCTGTAATTTGTGTAGCATTTTCAAGTCGCTTACTTATTCATGACTGGACACCTAGTTAACGACGAAGGCATCCTGCTCGTGTGACAAAGGTCGCAGCGATGTCAATCTCGCCGTTTGCATGTGTGTGGACCTCTGCCAGTCTCAGGTACTGTGAAAGCTCACCGGTATTACTAAGTGTGCAGCAACAAGATTTTGGGATATAAGGCTCGCCTGCTCTGAAGACCTATTATTTCTCCCCGCTCGCCCCGTTTTCTCTCATGTCTATGTCGGATTTGAAACCCTGCCTTACTTCTTCGTCAGTCTAGTTGCGCGTGAACATAACAGGTTACTCAGATCATTTACACAACCGAAACACCTGGGTCGCACACTTATTAAGCACTCAGAAATTGTTCCTCATCCTTTGCACTCGTTCAGTGGAGCCAGGAAGAGAAGCTGCCGTATTGCGGATTCAATTACTGATACGGCTGTGGACACGGCATCTCGCCGTTTCAAACCATTTCGAGCGACCGACATCTCGTCCAATATCATGTCACAGGATTTGACGCTGAAGGAAAGCAAAGAAGATGTAGAAAGGCGTCAGAAAGCGACCTTGAGTCTGAAGAAAAACATTCGTGTGAGCGATGCTCAGCTCGGCACGAGCATCCCAGCCATGCTCATGGTCGCTCCGAGGGCTGCGAGCCTGCTTGGACATATAAAACTCCTGTCCTTCTCGGACAACGGCCTTTTGATCGAACTGACCGAGCCTGAAGGAGGATTCAAGTACCTCACGTGAGCATCTGATCAAGTCAATTCTCTGGTTGTCTAAGCTACGTACCTATATACCTGGGCGCGGGTTTATGCTAACTTGAACGATGCGCAGGCGGCGGGCATTCCCTGCCGCAATGATGCAAACCCTCGATCAGGCTAGAACCTGCTTCAATCTAGCAGAGAATAACTTGCGTTCCATTCATTTGAAAACCAATGACATGCTTGGGAGAGGCGGTCATGTAAGCTGTCACGGTCCCAGGCTAGAGACATACTTTGGCTTGAGTGAGCATACTGAGAATTTGAAACCAGGTCGCATATATTCTTCAAGTGCTTCAAGATCCTCTGATGGCGAAGAAAAGCCTGAAACCATCCATCCAGAGGCTACGCGATGCGATGCACCTTTGCTACGAGCAGGCACAAGCCGTCGAAGGTGCATTCCAACTGCTTGTTGATCTCCTCAGAGAAGTCACCGTGACCCTATCTCACGACGCAGGTATTGAAGAGCGCTCTTATTTCAGTACCAAGCTCCCACTCTTCCGTTGTTTTGATTCACCCCTCAATACTTGCATATAGTATCGGAGATACCTATCGCTGATTCTTGCACCCTCTAGCTGAGACGGCTAAGACAACTCAGCGCCTTGAGCAGCAAGCTAAAATTGTGGAGGAGAGGAAGAATCTCATGGAGCAAAGAGCGAAAAGCCTGGAAAATCAACTAGCAGAAGCTGAAGAGCATTATAACTTTGCTCAAGGCGAGTTTCGAAGGGCGGCAAAGAAAGGAGGTATGTGCTTTCAAATCTTCATGCCTAACCGCATGCTTCGGGACTCTTTTGGGATCTTTGATTACTCACTCGGTTGTCTTCCACGTCCACAGAGTTATCCACCATGGCTCTTACCAGTGTCCGGAATGCTGGACGTAGTACCTCCAAACTGCTCAACTCAGGGATCAACTTGATCCAGGAGACTCCCAGGATGGCTATTGAGGTGGCGCAGGCTGCCAGCAATACATTGAAGTTCACCGGCAATACCATTGAATCTTCTTTTAGCCCCAGGCCTGCTGCTATGGCTGGAGGCCAATCCAGCATCAAAAATGATGCTCAGAACCAAGCCCGGGCCCCAGCGCTTGTTGATATGGCGTTGCAATCCGCTGAGGAGCTAGATGTCCAACTCGGTTGCATCAAGGTCATATTTGAGCAGGACAGTCCAACAGATGTCGGAGATGCCATCAAGAAGATTCGCGCTAGTGTTGACACGCTCAAAGATCTGCAGAACCGACTTGGTGCAGCCGATACCAAGCATGCTATTAGCGTGCGACGCATCATCGAAAAGACAATTCAGACAACTGACGCGGCTGTCAAGCAAGTCCAATTCAAGCCTCTGAGCAAAAAGCGCGCCTGGAACGAGAATGTGGCCAACTGGCGGCTTGAAATGCAGTCACCCCTTTATGAGGCATCAAAGCTGAGAGCTTATGCAGCAACTCAGCCCGGGCAAGGCTTTGAGTCTTCGCTTGACGCTGCCTTGAAAGATCCAAGTCCAGGAGATTCAACGTACGCGCAGGTTCTTCGGGAGCGATACCAAAAGCTTTTGATCATGCGCGAGGCGATGCAAGATTCACGGAGCAATCTACAAGCCAACCGAGAAGCTCAGCTCATGGCTCAAAGCCAAGTTCGAGAGCTGAATGCGGAGCTGCACAACATGGAGCACAATAAACTGACCATGGACGACACCAAAGAGATACTGCGCAAAGCTATAAGTGCTATCATTGCGATGCAGGATGACTTTTCACGCCTCACTCAGTTCTTCGGGTTTCTTACAGACCACCTTGACATGATCAAAGGTCGCCCGGCAGAGCAGCTGTTGGAGACCCTCCCAGCTACGGAAAAGGGCGGAAACACCTCTATAAAATTCACCAAGGTGCAGATCGAGATCCTGCGTGAGACATTGGTCACTTTGTCAGCACATTTCGGCTTCGTCGTGAAGGCTGCCGCTCTGTATGAAGAAGTTGCAACAGAACACATCAATCCTTGTCTGCAAAAGATGGCCTTCCTGCCTGTTGGAGCCTCGGGAACAGATCAAGAGAAAGCCAAGGAGGACCTCAAGACGATCACAGATGCTAGCTCTAAAGCTATTGAGGAGCTCGCCCGCAAGGAATTGGACCGCTACCTTTTAGATTTTGAGGGTGGTCTCAAAGAGATCGACGATGAGTTGAGAAAATACACGAGAGCGCTGCCTGAGCTCGAATCGGATACAGCCAATCTGCAGGCTATCCAGGAAGGAGTCAGTGAGGTAAGGGAGGAAAGTGCCCAGCATATACAGCAGCAACCGGAGCTGTACGAGGAGACCGCGATGGACGACGACTTCTAAGTAAAATGCGAAGTTGGGAGAGGTTTTTGCAACACGGGCCGGTTTTCTTTTTGGGTTTCATCTGCACTGCAATTGTTCTGCTTCTGCTTCATGATATGCCCACGGTCGACAGTGCGGCACAAAGTTCAATCAAGCGGCTTCATTCACGTGTTATATCTGGGCGAATTGAACAGCTGTTGCAACATAGTTCTGAACAGAGAGACCTTCTCTGTTCTTCTACAGGCGGAAATTTGTCCATTGCAAAGGCAGCATTGCGCTCGATCGACTTTCTAACTAATACGACTAGGGATCCCTGCCTCGCGAAATTAATTGCTGATTTGTTTAGGCACTAATAGGCTTCTAAGAGACAAAAGTCGCACGGATTTGATGCAGTTTTCTTCTTCTTCCAAAAGCTGAGGCATGGTGGAAATTCGGAAGGTACGGGCCAAGTAGCCCATAAAGTTTTCTCCAAGCGGTTAAATGTGGCCGTCGGAAGAATCCGAAGAGCAGTGTCTCACACTATCTCGATCGCAATACCCTGGATGTAGGTTGGGCGACATTCTTTTGAGTATAGCAGCGACTTGAACGTTTTGAGAACGCCCCTCATGATCCTTTAGAATGTAGAGATCCGAGCCTCTGCAGTGCCCGCCGCCCACAAAGGCAAACCAAACTCCCGGTGGTTGACGAGGAGGAGCCCAGGACCCGCGATAATGTAAAGAGCATGCGAGATCAGCTTGCAAGTGCCAAATTTGGATGCATTCGAGAAAGGAATCTGGCCCACTGGCTCCATGGGCCATCATTATTCCACGGCAGATACGTTAAGGTTCGACCGTTTGGACGCCTAATCTCTTAAGCAATCTGTGGCGATTTGCGCCTTGCACAGACCCTGAATTAATCACAGAGAATGGAATCTTGAGGGTCGACAAGGCTCCGAGTTGAGGTCTCATGCAGTCGAATTCGGGTAGTGCTAGCGGAGGACCCTATCAAGTCTAGTTGATCCTTGTGAGTCTATTATCTATCACTTGATATGATGCGCTAACATGCATAAATCGGATGTGTGACCGAATTTAGCCCCCACGTCCATAGCGACCGTTGGTCAAGCCGTGGCCCAAGCAGTTGTTTGCATGCACGCCAGCTCATACATTAGACAGGCCGTTGGTAACCAATCGGAGCAGCGATAATCAGGCTGGTTGGCTCAGGACTTTCCAATGCCAATGAAGGTTGGCGAATTATTGCACAATCCAGGTCACCCCGCGTCCACAGGTGCTTACCGAACATTTCGCATGTATCATTCAGCGTCTGCAAACGCATGCAAGTGAGATTGATTGCAACTATGAAGTTTGCTCTTCAAGATCTGTTACAGAAAACAACGTGTCTCGAGTGAGATCGAAGCGCTTCCCACGGGTGCGAACTTGTGAGTTGGCTTGCCTGGCTTCCTTCTCTCTGTCCGACCATGAATCAATGTGTCTCTCAACCCCTCCCCCTCTCCCCCTCCGGCCCCGCGCAACAGGACTCCATTGTGGGCGTGTCCGCCTCCAGCATGACTGCTCAGCATAGATTCCCAGTCATTTCTGGTGGCAAAGGTCTGGCTTCCTTTCATCCTCGACTTAGAACATTCTCTAAATAATCCTCGTCAACAGAACGAGTAGATAGGACCGTCCAAGCGTTGACGCCTGCCTTCCGTGGCGACCCAGTGTACACATGGTTGCTGCATACATCCAACTCGTCTGACCATGAATCTGTACGTTTCAAGCTACTCCGCGCTTTTCTCACCCAATGCGCGCTCAACAACGGCCTGTTTATCGAGGTGGACGATTATGGTTCCTGCGGTCTTCTCATACCGCCAGGGGCAGCAGCTGAGAATCCGTGGACACTGTTACAAGCAGGGATAATTCCCGCGCTCTGGAACATCGGCCTGGGCACTTTCAAGGTACTTCCCTCCTTTTAAAGTTTTATCTTGATGAGAATATGACTTATATTTGCCTTCACAGCGTGCTTTCCTCGAGTACGCCCCCTCCACTGAGCGTATGATGGAAGAGGCGTTTACTGAGGAAGAGCGGAAGAACCATTGGTATGTGTTCATTATGGGCACATCAGCCGATCGTCGACGACAAGGTCTTTCTAGTGTATTGATTCAGAATATGCAAGAGAAAGGTAGAGCCGATGGGCGACCTATTTGGCTGGAGGCCACAACCCAGGCTTCCCAGAATCTGTATCTAAAGCATGGCTTTCAAAGCCATGGAGAGGTCAATCTGGGTAAGGGCAAGGTTGGCCGAGATGGTTTGCCGAGGAAGGCTGGCGAGGGCATCGTAGTTCGGTCGATGTCATGGCGCCCTTGAACCAGCGCGAACAAGTCTGCTCAAATGATGTTTCATCAATTCACCTTGATAGTCGTCAAGGTCTTAGCGATTGGAGAGACTTTATTGGCAGACCACTCAAGGTGTCTACGTAGCTTCACTGTACGTCATCAATTTAAACATTCTTCAGCGAATCAATAATCAACGACAAAATTTGGTAAACGTTTAATTCAAGACCTAGTAAAATATAAGAGCCACGTCATGGAGTTCATGACGCTCGGGCTGTTCCCTATGGTACTGAATTAATTGGCCAAGCCTAACTAAGACAGCAATTTAGTCGGCCTAAATAATTTCGCCGGTGAGGATGAAATGTTGAGCATGTAGACTGCGGCTGGAAGGACATGAATTGTTAGGAGCATTCCGAAGCTGGTCCCCTGTATCCCATTGTCTCTGCCTTAACTGGTCAAGCTCACTTTAGGCCGCGTGAACGAGCTAAGTCACCGCCTCAACAGAAACGAGTGACTGCATGGATATAGGTCGCCGTACGCAATTTTGACAACAAAGACCACCTTGGACGGCGTTACAGCCTGATCTGGAAAGATCGTTGGTCATGTTCATGTGAACTGGCAATGACGAGCGAGGTAATGCGCGTTGAGGCAGGTCGCAACCTCCCTGCCGCACTGTACAATAGCCCTTTCCTTATGTACGGTCACACAAGCCACGTATCGAACCTCTGCATTAAGACGTCATCCCGAAGGCCGCATGACACCATTGAGAGTTTATGAGCATGACACGCACCTGGGGCATTTTAGAAAGGTAAGTAATCCCGGCAGAGTTGACCAGGCCCTGCCACACCGGAAATTGATGACCTGATATGTAAAATCGCATGTGAATGTTTGACTAGTACGTAGGTCTTGTTTCGAGTCGTCTAGAATTCTCGTTGCCTCTTGATGGACACGAGAATTATATGCGTGTATAGACAGAATACCTTACAACTGTGGGTCCATTACCGATGTTCAACAGGCAATTACCCTATTGAACACGTCTAGACAGACAAATACAAAGTTTCAGCTAAAGGATTATAAAGTCCTATGATTAAGCAGAAGGAGCCTCACAAGCCCGGAATCATCCTCGCTCTGTTTAGCCTCGACGTTCCACCAGACAAGGATCAACTGTTGCGACAAAAGTGGGGCATATAGCCATCGTCCTCATTTCAACTCCCTTGCGGTGAGGACAATGTCTCCAAGCTCTGCAAGATCCTGGCGAATGTCCAGACTATTACGACAGAGTGGTCAGATTTCGGACCCAAATTCGGGGGTTATATTGCAAAGACGCATCTGGAGGAATATCGTAAAGTTCGCTCCCTTTGCGATACTAGTAGGCAACGTGAAAAAGGGTCGTACTAACGCAGAAACAGTTTACATCGAAGGGGCCCACTTTGTCTAACAGGACTTCGGCATTTTTGATGCTCCTTTTTTCTCGATCCCTGTGAAGGAGGTATTTTTCACGAATCTACAGCAACGCATCCTTTGAAATGGTTTTTGATCTCGGTATGATGAAGCATTTCTACATCTAATAACGAAGTTGATGCAGCTAGTATCAGGTTGGAGGCCCTGGGGGAGTGCACGGTGGTCAGAAAGCCATCTCGATTAACCTTCATGTCATTCGCCGCGTCGGCGTGATAGCCGAGACTTCAAGTCTACAAGAAAAGCTCATGGCGAGCTTGGGAAAAGAATGGAGATTGACTAGGTAGATGTTATGACGGGGCTGTAAATGCACTGTGATCCCCTAAATCCGCCCTCGGACTCGCCTACCATGCTGTCGTGGACGTTCGCAGCGACACTGAGCATCGAGGTAGCGGTCTTAACCCGCCGGATCTCATGCAGCAGCCTCTGGTCAAACAATTGAACTCACAAAGTAGGTATGGCCACGCAGAAAGCATCAAATAAACTATGAATCTTTCTTTTGCCAGGCGAATACTGCGGAAAAGACTTCGGCTATCGTACTGGACTCGTTGAGAATCAAGTTTTTGACGACCCTTCATCGAACCTGAGACCTTCGATGTTCATCAACCAGTGCACGCGTGAGGCGGGGACTCACTCGTCGCAGTGGAGCGAAAGACTTAGATGAGCAAAGAGTTCGCAGCAGAAGTTGCCTTTTTTTATCTTTTTTGGGAGTTGCAAATTATGAGTTGGTGCCCGGTAGTGGCGGTCGACCAAATTATTGACTCCACCATTTTGCGCACTGCATGATCTAGCACAAAGCGGTCGTCATTGCGGTCCCTAATCCCGATTACCTTGCATTGTTCTTCCGCCACGATTGTTAAAGAAATTTCAAGGGCCTAGACGACTAAAAGTCGCAGTTCTCCTGGTTCTGCATGAATATGTTCACGGCAAGTCGTTGCCGTGAGTTGGCCTAACCAACAGACACAGGCCTCTAAATATCACGGAATGTGAATTTTCATCATCTCGTTTTTAAGGGTGTCAGAAGACCAGGGATTATTTCGCTGTCATCCTTGGGGGTCTTTCCATGCCGAGACTACAACCAGTAAAACAGAAGAATTGTGACGATTAATATATTGAACGAACCAGAAGCCCAACTTGGGCGAAGTCCCCCAACACGATGCAGCAAAGCAACCATCCCGGTCAACGTTCTGGGCTTAGATCGCCCTCGCAGTCTCGCCACTCTTGCAGTAGTACGTCACGAGCCTGCTTGCTTCCACCTGTGATTCGGCACTTCCATCCAACAGCGATGATCTTGCATGTATGCCTAGCACAGCCTGCAGGCTCAACAGAGTTTGTGGATATGCCTCTCATGAGGCATTCTTCAAGTTCGTATTTCATTTCAATCTACATGTACATGTGATATAAAGCAGTCAGAGCAAACTTTTACACAGATTCGATTGATGGAGGAAAGGCGTTCACGACTAACCTTGCTCGCTTCTATGGAAATCAGCGAAGTCACGTTATGATAAAACCAAATTGTCCTACCCTATTTAGTAAATATTATCGCAGCCCGGCGGGCCGCCACTCCGCAATAAGGCGACGTATCCCTGTCACGTCTTCAACATCATGGAGGCGGTCCTTGCATCCTCCCAACTTGGGGCACAGCTGCTCGGTCTCATCCACAATGCAATCACGTTCTGTCAAGACATGAAGAATGCTGCAAAGAATGGATCCGAATTAAATAAAGAAATCGATCAGTTCTCTGCGGTAGGGGAAGAATTCTTAACGCAGCGGTAGTCTTGTTGCTAATGACATTCAAGGTTCTTAATCTTGGACGTACGAGCATTGAAACTTTCTTCAAGACACTCTCAGAGGAGGAAAGGGAACAAATTCTTGTGGACATAAATTTCGATGCTCTACGAAATGCCATACTTGCGAATTCCAAACTTGCCAAAGACATCTTGGCTCAGTGCGAAGGGGATAAGATTTATGGCAAAGTTCGATTCGTTCTCAAAAAGGACGCGCTTCAAGACAATCTGCTGAAGATAAGCCGGAGCACGAATCTTTACACAACAGCCTTGATTACCATTCTGATACGTGCCATGGCGATTAACAATAATGCACTGTAGGTTCGTATACTTGTCAAATGTACTTGACTTTTCTAATATTAAGCTCTTAGCTCCGGGAATTTCGCGCAATTAATGGCAGCGTTGCGAGAGGTAAAAGATTCCCAAGCGGGTGCCTTCATGACTCCTCATGACTCCTCCGATGGCACCGAGCTCCCAGCGAAGAGTGCGCTTTGCGATGGCCCTCAAGATCTGTCAGCTAATAGAACACTACCTGAATCTCCGAGGAGGAACTCTGTATCAAAAGGACGCAAAGGTCGGAGTGCTCCAAATTTCATCACGAAGATGAAGAATAAACTTTCGAGGAATGAGAAGAACCAACGGAGCACAGAGGTAGAGGAGAACAGACTGTCCGCGCAATCATCATCCCACGATGGTGGGGTTTCTCATACTATAATACCTCGTCAGCCAACCGGGGCGACTGTTCATTCAACTACCACCACACTGGACCATAGCTCACCCAATGAAACAGGTGAGCGACTAACATGGATCACGAGTAAATAAGACCGTGCTAATTGCGACTAGCCTTCGAAACCTGCCTCGAAAACACGCCATCAACCCAGGAACCGGGAGGCCAAGTTGGCCAGGATCAGGCCTTATTGCAGACACCGCCAAATACAACAAGCAAAAAAGCTGCTGAAATCATGGAAGCAGACTTTGGGGATAAATTGCAAATGGGCGATGCAGCCCATGAATCCCATGAGTCCGAAACTAGTCAGACAACTTGCACTATATCCCTATCCCCGGATCAAAACATCCCAGTCATCGACCGGCAAGATCCTCCTGAATTACTTCACATGTTGCAAGACACGGAAACAAAATGTGTTTGCCAGAGGTTTGGTCGTATTGAAGATTCGTTGGGTAATGGCACATCCATGGCTAGTGCAACGAATGATACATCGCCCTGGATCTTCCTCTTCTTTCAGCGCTGGGACGGATGGGTGCAACTGGTCTTGTTCCCCAAAGATTACAAAAGCAAGCTGATTGCATTGGATACGATTGCTAAAGCAGTTGAAAAGTCACCTCTGAGTTGCATACTAACTCTGAAAGACAAGGAAGGCACCTACAACCAGCGTGGGAGTCTTCTGAGATTATTTTTCATCCAGGTTTTGGGAGATGGTAACCCATGCCTGGTCGAGCGACGCTTGGACCTGACTGACGGACCACCATTCAAGTGGGACTGCGGCAATCTAGAAGATAAAGATGCAATTCGCATTCCGACAAATATTTTCCAGCATTACTGTCTCAACGGTGTCCTCCACCTTACATATGTCAGCGCGAATGGAGAACTACTTATCGTTAGCGAGGATGATGACGGCGATTGGTGGTCAATACGGAAACCGGACATATTCATTGCGCCAGAAGAGCCATTGTTCATCAATTCATACCGGGAACGGACAGGAAATTTTCTTTGGGGCCCATCCTTGCGAACGGTTGTTTTGCTTCATTCAATAGGCGGAGAGACTATAACCAGGTACGAAGTACGAGGTTGGTTGGATGACATGTCAAACGAGCTTCGGGTAAAGAAGTCTCAAATCCCTGTGAACTGGCATGGGCTAGCCTTCAGTCAGTCACCAACTTCATGGATACCATTATTCGATCGGCAGGTTGAGAAAGAAGAGGGCACGGAGGAAATGATTGGGTTCTATTGCAAGACACCCGATGATAAGGTGTTCTATTTCAAGGGCCACTACGAGAAGGAGCTCCAATCACCGGAGCTTGTTTGCTCAGTGAAACCAGGATCAGAGATCCACCTTTTATCTGGATGTCTCGACCTTCTTTATATCTCTCCTGAGAACAAGTTCAGAATTTCCACAAGGAAAGTGGACACAAGTGGGGAACTATACCATGAGAGTACCGGCCTCAGCCATCCCTCCAACTACTTCATGACGGAACTGGACAAGTTGGTGGCCGCAAGGCCTCTAGATGAGTACATCCCGCCTCGAGAGAAGATAGTGGTGTTGCGAGAGAACTAGTGAGCCGCCTGAATAGATTCGCAAGTCTTTGGGTCGTTTCCTGTAGACTAGACATTCGAGAACTTGTGCCTGGTCCGAGTTCCGGATGAGCCTCCTTGACCGAACTAGACGTAATGGACACAGTGGCTGGAAAAGGAACGACAGCGTCAGCTGCCAAATATTGTTAATGAATATGCTATGATCTACTCACTCACGACTTTTGATCAGGGTAAATCGTCGTGGGTGGTGGTACTGGCAAAGGTATAGTCGTCTGGTCATGGGATGGCTTTTGGCATGGGAATGTGGAGTATGCTTTTGTTATGGAGTTCTCTCGGGATTGAAAGATAGGTAGTATGGTTCGCACCAGTTTTGGAAGAGATACCAATGCCTTTCCAGGATGAGGTACTGAAATTTATCAGATTGCGTGAAGGCAAATGGTGTAAAGATATGGTATAGGCGAAGGACCTTCCTATAGACTTGCTCAGCCTATCCGATTGAAGACTCTGACTTCTACTTGGGTAGGCTCAAGCACACCAATAGTCGATGAACGCTACAGGGATGCCGATTGATCCGAAGTCATATTTGGGAAACGCTTCTGTAAAATTATATTTACTCGAGTACAGGCCTTTGGGAAATTCTATAGCGTTGTGCTCTTCTTTCGATTCCTTCGCGGTCGATTCCTCAAAATTCTGGCTCGGCGACTGAGCGGTCTTTGTCAAGAGTTGTTCAATGCAACTGTTGATCTCGTAACATTTATCTTGCTCGCTTGATGATCAAGAATAAGCTTGCACCCTAAATGAATAAAATATTTATACCGATCTGGGCGAAAGAGGATGTCTCCTTGATTGAATCAAGTGCAAAATTCAGAAGAGAAGGCAAGACAACATCCTTCCACTGCAAAGGTGTGTATTTACCGGAGAATATACGAATAAATAAATAAGATACTTTATAATTATTCAAGTTTATATAAGGCTTGAGAGCTAATTACTTTATTAGACATATCTGGATAGATAAATAGAAAGGTTTAGCAACGTTATTAGAACATGTTTAGTATAGCAAATATTGTTTTGACCATGAACGCGTATGCTGATGACTTAGAAGACAGTGGGAAATCACGCAAATTTAAAGACGAAAATTGCTCTGAGCTCATGGAAATCGTTATTCTAACCTAGCTGACTTTTATAAAAGAGTATAACATTCAAAGCCTGTAAGTTACATGGGAGCATACACTTTGAAATTGAAGTCAGGGATGCATGTTCAAAGAACATGCAGACGTTAAAGATGGCGTTGATTAAATCTGAGAATCAGCATTAGGACACTCATGCTTCATATCACCCGTGGAAGTATCGTGAGCGCCAGTTGGCTCATAGGATGCCGCGATATCTTTTGTTTGCGCTTTCAACAAATCAAGAGAGGTCGTAAATAGGCAGGACAGGACAGATAACGAAGATGGGTAGTTCAAAAGAAAGGGTAGGTGCTGTAGAGAACTTGGCAACCCTCCTCTAGCTGTGAAGCATATTGACGCGAGAGGTACAGAACAATGGGAATAAGAAATGAGACAGAGGTAAAGTCGTCCCTGGGCTTTGACAAAAGCTCAAGAGTCACCAAAATGTACAAAAGTTTCGAGAATTTTCAAAGAATATGTTTGGATTTCCATATGGTAAAGACTGCAATTTTTTTTGCAATGCGTCTTTTCGAAGCCTTCTAATCAGGGAAACCTCTGATGACCCAAGAACCAGATCATACCTCAGCCCTGCATCAGTGCACTCGTGTTTACTGTGCTAAATACGTAGTAAAGATTGCCTGAGTAATCAGTATTGATACCTGCTTCGACCCTCCTGAGTTGTGCCCATTCTTGGTGCAAATACCTAGGCGAAAGACTTCGCGCGGCCAACATAGCAATATAAGAAAATGACCAAATCGTTCACCGTGGTTCCCACTTGCTTGATAAGTAGTTCAAACTCGGTTGCCCTACTGCTTCACGCCAATGTGGACATCAAAGGTGTATAGACGTTCGTCGGCACCGCTCAAAGCGTACGTGATGCCCTTGATAGGGACACCCGTTCCTTCAATGGCCGATTCAGTAGTGAATGATTGCGGCGGGGCCCAAGAGCTCTTGTAATAGCTTTCCATGTTATTCTTAATGTTGCCCTGAAGGCCGATCTCGTTATCCTTGAATCGATGGACGACATATTTGAGGTAAAATCCTGTATTTCTGATCAGCCATGAAGCTCATTGTCGGCTGAACAGAGTTTTGGTGTTGTTATTTACCTTGAGCTGGGTTCGTCTGAGATTGGACTCTAAGGCAAACACCCAAGCCTTCGAACCATTGATTGTCTGCAGCAAAGCTTTCTCAGCACACACGGAACATCGCTAAAGCATTTGAATTATTTACCGTTCGAAAAGGTGTATGTCCCGTAGCTTGCCAGGTCACTAGTAGTACGGATAGGGAACCCATCAGGACCCTTGAAGCTATCTACATGCTCATCAGTTCCATATTCATAACGGGAAAAGATCGCTGGACGACTTACCCTCAACTTTATCCAGCTTGGCCGCTCTAAATTGACCGGTACCACCTGTATTGGCATCATCGTTGATCTTGCTATTGTCGCTGAACCAATCGTTGACATTCCAGCCTCCGGACTTGTCCCAGTTGTAGATATTCAGCGTCAGTCCATATGATCTGTGGAAAAGGTCCACGAGATAGAGGATGACAATTGCGGCGAGAACTCCAGCAGCTAGAGCTCCTACTGCTCCCACTATAGTTGCAATTGCAGCATCTGCCATCAGACCGCCTGCAGCCGCATCAGCAGCTGCAGCAGCCACCGCTCGCTGTAGAGCGATTCGAAAGATGATACCAGCCGCTCGTTCAGCAACGAACTTCCCAACCACTCTCGCCACGAAGAAACCAATCGCGCTGGCCGAGACCTCGGGATGGAATGTTGTAGATCGTCTTCATGGATATTCCCATCCAGTTGGTGTTCTTGGCGTAGCTGCCTACGGAAACAGTGGCTTTGGTCTGCACATCGTTGGCCAGAACTCCAGATGTCCCAGCCGATTGTTTCTGGGGCTCCACTGACTGAGGCATGACCCAAACATAGCCGATATCGCTTGGGCAGATGTAGTAGTGCTTTCCATCGGAATCATTGATTGCCTCGACGAAAGCGTTCTCCCCGTGCTTGCTGATATGGTCCATGCAAGGCTTCAAATCATTCGATTGTGACTTCTTCAGAGTGTCAATGAGCTTATGATCGCCACGACGGATGGCATCCTTCTGTGTCTCTCCCGTGAATATGATTTGCGCGGCGTTAGAGAGATCGCCTAGATTAATATCATTAGTGAGAGTGTAGCTATCGGTATTGGTAGCCGCGTAGGCATTGAGAGCCTGCAGATTGGCTGTTGAAACCGTGCTCTCCGGTTCATTAAATGTGGTGTCCAGAAAGATCTTGCTTTCAGCCTGAATCAATTGTCCTGTTTATAGAATTAAAAACCAGCGAAGAGTGAATAAATTGGATGAGCCTGACTTAGTTCAGTGTCTCCCAATGCCTCTTTCACCACATCGGGAACGAAGAAATCGAACTCAGTCATTTTGCAATGGAAGGGAGTGCTGTGGAAAGACAATTTTATGATAGATAGTTTCAATGCAGAGATATTCTGAAACCATTGGAATGAGCAAGAAAATGTCGGCCTCAAATAATTATGAAGAAATCGACCTGGACTCAAGACAAGGTTCAATCGGGAAAACGGTGCCGAACAGTCAACTCGCCTCTCGAGCGTCTTCAGGGCAATCTTTCAGCCAGCCATAGCTTTGGAAATCCTTTCGGCTAGGCATAAATGAGATATGTATTGAATTCAAGCTCGAGGCGCCTTCAGTGTATGCGAACCTGATCCGTCAGCTAGCCACAACAACAGTTCTCCGAGATCAGCGTCCTATATTGACCTCATTCGGAGAAGGCCGGTTTTAACCACGTAAGATTGTGGTCAAGATTTTGGTCAATCATTATTTGAATTTGCTCCCCTTATGCTTTTTCAAACTGCACTTCACTGATCTAGGACTTCCAGCTTGGTACACAGTCAGAAGTAGCCCCGCAGTTAATCAGCCATTCCGTGCTCAGCATGTCTCAGCCGAGAGTTTTCTGGTCAACGGTCTCACCTCGACGGGGTGCGCGATTCAAGGCTTTCTAAGATCCATGCAAGAGCCATTCTCCTATGTGCAGGAAGAAACATGGGACCAAGTGTATTCAAGAGAGGACGGAGAGCCTTAGTACGTTGACTTTTACCAAAATCAGATCTCGTCCGGTTCTTGCACCACCCAGGAAACTTTCATTGATTGCTGCCTGCCTTGCTTTGAAACCTGTCTTTGTGACTGACTTTCTCCCAACTCGAAATTGTTCATTCTCTTAGAAAACCGCTGATCAGCCATATGAGTACAGTCGTAGTGGCGGATTCATATCACAGAAGCAAAGACGCGGAGCTCAAAAGAACCTAAACATCCGTGGCGTCTCACGATGACAGCTAACAGTATCACGGCGACAGTATTGATGATCACGATATTCCGGCCGGTGAGAATTCGTCCATCGGATTCCAATGGCTATGCAGCGATTCTGGTGGCGGTGGCGTCCGACCCGAAGCCTACATGATGCACTACGCCGCCACAAACGGTGTGCTGGCCCCGTCGATGCGGGCTTTCCGTGAAATGCAGATCATGTAGTCTACCAATCCCGCTGCGTACGCAACGGCTACAGGCGAAAATCGGGCGGAGGTCTGACCTCAGCGGCGGCGGGAGGTCGGGTATAGTTGCCCTACTTCAGGAGCAGATCAGCCACATGTACAACTGCACAGAGCCGTAAATCGGCCTATGAACAACAACACCTCATGAAAATCTACAGTCGAACGGTCATCGTCAGCCAGATGATACAGGTTCTCGTTTTGACGACTTTCTTCCAAGAATCCGATGTGTGGCCCGAAAGCGCCAACTTACATTCCAGAATCAAGTGAAGGAAAAAAGTGTAGGACCCTCTTTTTATTTTCTTGGTTTCTACAGTCGACAGATCTTGTTCCCAAGACTGCAACTCTAAATGTATGCGACTAAATCTTTTTGTGGCTTGAAGCGGCTCTCTTCAGCTTCACACATCCCAAAGCATCTGCCGACTCCAATTCAAACATGTGATCGCTCTTCGCTGCTCACAGAAGATTTTAGATCACTGTCTGCGTTGTGTTAGACTGAAGGAGCCTAAAAAAGCGATCTGCCAGCTTCGAGTGTAGAAAGCAGAAAAGAAAGCAAAACCGCGAAAGCAGCACCCAAGTTCGACTGTTTATGTAAGGGAAGACCTTTCGGTGTATGTCGCGCTTCCAGGAGCGTTCGAGTACAAGAGCAGGCGCGTATTACCAAGTCAAATGTGACTGTTGATGTCGGACTATCGACATCCTGGATGGATTGCCGCTTGCGTGGTACGGCTAAGGGGGCGCGTTCGTGGCAGCTGCGACGACAATAATGGTGAATGTAACGGTGTACTCTCCCTGGACGTCGGGACCTCGCCCGTAAATTGAGAGCGTTACTGCTATCGGACCTAGAGGCTGCGTTGCCGGCACAGTCCCCATGAGTCCATTTGGTCTGAACGGTGGAGGTTGGTCGAGACGGATCCAGTCTACCGGCGGATTTGTCGACTGTGAGACGACGATATCCCCAGGCGCATATCTATAACGATCAAATCCGATCCCAAAATTCTGGCCCCGAGTTACGGTGGCAGTTGGGAAAGCAGTAGGGAGCGTCCTCGAGGTAGTCGATGTGGTCGTCGTTGAGCTACCAGGGGCGTCAGGTGCTGCACGAATGGTAAGGACCACTGTCACGTTGTAGGACTCGAGATTGTCGTTCACAACACTGAGGTCGATAGCCACCGTCGAATCTGGTATATCAGAAGGGACTAAACCCTCGATAACCTGGTACCCCGGCGTGAAATAACGGAATCCAATATAAGGGGAGGTTGGATAGCTGTTTAGATCGGTCACTCTGTCGCTAGCATTGCGCAAAAAAGGGCCAACGCCCGTGACGAAAAACTGGCCGGCGAAGACGGTAGGGCCGGTTATGGCGCTAGTTGTGGTCGCAGGAGACGAAGTCGTTGTTGTGGATGTTGTTGCCAGAAGAGAAGAGCCTGAACTTATCGGCCTTGCTGTGGTAGTTGGTGTGGAATTTGCGGTGCTGATGCTGTTCGGCCGAAGAATATCGAGGAAAAATGAAAACCCGACTTCAATGACTCTTCCAGCGATGCTGATCTGCACCGTAATGTTTATCGTGATACGGCCTGCCGGGCAGTCAATGGGCACTTGACCAGTGATTGCCTTTTCTTTGTGGTCCAATAACACCCAGCTCGCTGTGGGACTCGTGGTTACTTTGGCACCGTTTTCGGGAATGTCCAGGAAGTTGGTGAGTCTGATGAAAATGGGCTGCCCTGCAGTGGCTTTGAAAACAGCTCCTGTCGATATTGGTCTGAGAATGGGAGATTCTGAATTATTGGTATCGATAGCATCAAGAGGTGCAGGAGGACTAGTTGACATGTCGGTCTCCGGGATGGGAAGCGATTTCGACGAAATGGGGTTGCATTCTGCACGAGGCTGGACATCAAGAGCCCGAGAGGTGGCCGGGGAAAGAAAAAACAGCAGCCCTAATAATGTGAGGCATAGACGGAATGGGAAAGCCATTGCGATTCGTTCTTCTTGCACTGAAGAAATGTAATGGGAAATAATGATAATAGAGAATTCCGATTTGTGAGCTCAGCCGGAAGTAGCTCTATGCCAGAGTTAATTGACATCCGGGCCATCGAAGCAGGTTCGATGCTCCTAAATGTACAGGGTGGAGTGGACATTATCCGCAGTAGACAAACCTCACGTCATGATGATTTTCCAGACGCAGCTAGACACCGTAACATCATTAACAACATCCAGTGCCAAGTCGACCTTGACGGCTGAGGGGAATGTAGGGCGGAGCGATGGACCCGAGCTATGAGATGTCTTGAATCAGTGCTGAGTCTATGTCTGACGTCTCATGTTCTCTGCCCTTATTCGTAGCCAGAGACAGTGCTTATTTAGCGCCCTTCATCTCCACTCTGTTTCCCCCAAAGGATGGTAGTTACTATAAGCCGTATTGAGATTATCGTTGTACAAGTCTGAACCTAAGTCCATGGCGTGATTACTTTTGAATTCCATCGACAGTTCTGGGATCTGTGGAAATACCGTACCAACCCAATACTTGGCTTATCGATGCATCCTACATTCGGGACGAGCTGTAACATTTCGATGCTCAACGATCACTGTCTTAGGTTTATATAATTGAAAAGAGTGAGCATTGGACGCTTCTTGTTGTAGTGGGCGTCTATCCTTGTAAATAGACTGCGTGTAGGGGTCTTTGACGATTCGTACTGGAATTGACACTGCCGCCGTCTTTTTTGACGGCAAATGTCCTCAATATGTATTCCATTTCTTTTACGTACAATATTTCAGAGGCGTATGTGTTCACGGCTTCCGTCAGCTCTCCATGCAAGACACTAGAAGTTCCAACCATCGCTTCAATGTGCATGCGACAGGCATCTTAAGGAAGGTGGAAGCGAGCTGCTAGGACTACGTCTCATTTGCATCGATCTACATCACAGAATTCTGAATGGCACATTCGAGCTTCAGTTGGGAATCAAACTAGGTTTCAAGATGCCAAGGCTCTCATCCATCTCGAAACAGATTACAACCAATTGTCAGCAAGCCTTACAATTGCGTCTAGTGCGGCGAGCTCTATCTCACGTTTCACGAATCAGAGACGATTGAAGTTGAAGGTGAGCAGCCGTACAGCCTATACAGACCCAACAAGTTACCTAGCATAGGGGCATTGCTGCCTCGTGGTGGTGTGCTACTAGCTTCATTACGAGCTTGTGATTATACATAGCTCCAGATATCTTATGTAACATGATTTACACTTCCAAGTTTTAGGTCAATTGCCCAAATTGAAGTGCTTAAAATTATGAGCCCTTTCAACAAAACTCGCCTTCTCTTCGCTCACTGTTCGACGTGGCTAATCATACGCAATACCGCAAGAACCCCATCCAACCCTGCCGTGAAGCGTGTCCGAAATTTCTAGTATTTGAAAACATGATAGAAGTCTTTGTAAAAAAAGACTTGCGTGATGTAAAGTCTCAGAACAACGTGGCTGCTTCCTATTGCTGGTTACAATCGTAATCCTGTTCACACATGGCGGAGCACTTGAGGCCCGATTGGTGATATTTCTCACATCGTGCAGGAATACTGGCCAATCCAGAGCTCTCTGGATTGACCCGCTTTTGCTCTTGTGATCATATCAGAGTGAGGGGTTTTCAACCATGGATGCTGACAATGTCTCTTCACGTTCAAATAAATCATACGCCCGTCGTTGCCTGATCCGTGAATCATTTGCCACATTGGCAACATTTTTCTGCCACTCTCGCTGGACATGGATATGTCTTTCTCTCTATCTGCTCGTTCTCACACGGCCATCAGGTAGAAGACTTCTGACCGCTAACATTTGATATCTGCATCATGGAAAGTACCCCGGGATCACCAGACAGTGACAGCTACCAATACCAACATATTCAAGACTCGGCCGAAATAAGATGCCTCACGCTCTCCGCAGGAAATACTAATGATCCTTTGGTCTGTGTCTTGGAACATCACAACCTGAACACAAATCCTCCTTTCGAAGCGATCTCCTACGTCTGGGGTAATCACACCAAAAACCGGGAGATCACTTGTAACGGTCGTTGCCTCCAAATCACCTCGAATCTCTATGAATCACTTCAACAAATACGGCACGCAGACCGCGAGAGGATCTTATGGGCGGACTCAGTATGCATCAACCAAGAAGACAAAAAGGAGAAAGGCCACCAGGTCAGCCTGATGGCACGCATATATAGCCAGGCGGACAGAGTCCTGATTACTCTGGGTACCGATGACATCAGCTCGGCCCACTCTCGGCGTGCAGCAACATTGTTGGGAGAAGTCAATGATATGGTCCAAACAACCATTAAGGGGATATGTCAAGATTGGAACTCCTATCCTTTCGATCAAGCAGATCCTTCACTTATGGCGGACTCTAGGTGGAAATCTGTTGAGCAACTCGCTAGGCATCCATGGTTCCGACGAGGTTGGGTGGTCCAAGAAGCAGGCCTTGCAAGGGATGCTTGGGTGTATTGGGGAATGGACTTTTTCAGCTGGGCCGAGGTCATGCGAACATACCTCTGGCTCTTTCATCGGGGAAATAGCGTCTGGTTCCGGTACCGCATTCCTATACCAACGATACATCTCCATCTACGTGAAGTGCAGTATCCAGCTGAAGCTATGGTTTGGACCGGACCTCAATCTTTAATGGATGACACATTAATGATTTTGGACCTCGCTCGAGGACTTCGATTGTCTGACAGGAGAGATCAGCTGTATGCGTTCCTCGGCATGCCGGGGCTCGCGGAACTACGAAAGCATCTCGTGATCAGCTATGAGAAGCCTTGGCAGGAAGTATATTATGACTTTGCACATTGGCATATAACAGCGACTAAATCACTGCTGAGCCTGCATTTTGTTACCCACGATCAAGCGACCTTGACCTCGGATACTCCGTCATGGGTGCCCCAATGGCATCTCCGCAAGTATCTTACGGACATGGAAACAGGATACGAAGAATGCATCGGTTCGATCACCTCGCCGCCTTCGAATCCTTATATAACCGAGGCTAGATTACTTCGAGTTCGTGGGATTCTAATTGACACCATCGAGTTCACCTCGGCAGTGTTTAGCCGATACGCGTCCATCCACGAGATCAGAGCAATTTGGAACTCATGGAGGGATCGCGGCCAGTATTCTGCGTACAAATACTTTCCACCAGCGTTGGCCTTCGTTGAGGCTTTGACCATGCGCGGGAGCACTACTGATCCAGTTGCGGATACTGCACGACTCGACTTTGGGGCCTTTCTACTGCTCCTGTTCGGCAAAAGATTTGTGGAAGTGTTGCCAGAACTTCGTACTTACCGAGACCGTCTAGGGAGCGGCGATGCTCAGAAAGTGAGTGATTTGTTGTCGTCCTGTCTTCTCAATCGTAAGTTCTTTGTGACACAGCGAGGGTATTTTGGACTAGCTCCAGATGTGGCCACGCGAGGCGACTTATGTAGCATAATGTTTGGTACAAGATCACCATTCGTTCTCCGGAAAACAAGGGGTCGGAGTTTCAAGTTGCTTGGAGACACTCATATTGTCAGCGCTCACGCGACTGCGAAAGACAATCCAATACCTTACACCGTTGGATGCGGGATCCATTGCCATGAGGATTGGTTGGAATGGGGCCTGAAAGAAGTCGATATATTCCTTTGCTAGTTTAATTCATTCAAGTATCTAGTTGTCAACACTATCTGAATCACATTGACCGAATCGCATTCATCTTTCCTATTCAGGATTGTGGATTGAAGTCCACGTAGTCAACCGGGCAGAGCAAAGTCATCGGAGACAAAATTGTCCAAAAATACACGCTTCCTTGGAAAATCACCCTCTTCGAAGATTTGACCTTCGCATTGATGGCTCCTTTAGCTCTTCGACCCACCCCAGTTGATCCGCCCACTCTGGCTGATAGCGGGCATGCCTCCCGTCAGCCCGTCAGCCCGAGTCTTCAACCCATACCCGATCCCCAAAGCTTCCTTCATGTCATGCACTGGTCCATACGGCCTGCCTTCCTCTTTGTCTAGTTGCTTCTGCTCAGCCTTGCGCTGCTTCGCGTCTTCTTTGTCCTCTTTCAGCCCTTCCGCTTGGGTGTCATGCCATATCCTCGCCATCCAAAGTGCCACCAACAGATCCAGGTGTTTTTTGTCGAGGGAAACAAGGATTTCCAGACTCTCATTCTGGAACTTTCTCGCAACTGCCGGGTTGTCAATAGCGATGAGCGTGTCTGCGCTATCCCGCCATTCCAAAATCCCTTTCTTCTGCCGTGCGTGGTAAAGCTTCTTTCTCTTTTCTTCCTCACCCCATGTCGCTTCGAAGGAGTTCCTCACACCAGTCAAGCCGATCGAGGTCTCCTTCTTCAGGCGAACGTCATCGAATTGGTTCGGCTTCTGGGAGCTCACTTCGGCTATTTGCGCATTCATATGAGTCAAGTCGCGATGCTTGTAGATTTTGTAGAGCTTGTCGCGCTCCCATATTTCCTTGAGAGTGCCATCTTCTTTTAGACGCCGATCCGCGGGCATGTTCATCAGGTTGAATGTCATTGTGTGGCCGTTGAGCGGCCGTGAGAGCTGATAGAGTGGTCTTGCTCCCGGAACGGCGCCTCGTATGAGCACAGCACAAGGAGCTAGGATGAGGGTTCCGGGCGTGACCGTAAATGGCGGGGGAGGCTCTGTGTCGTGCACTGACTCATCCTGGTCTTCTATGTCGTCCTGCGGCGGTACTTTCTCTGGCGGGAGGTCCGCTGATTCCCCCGGGCTGGCCACGGCATCGTAAGGGGGAGGCGCGTCGTGTGCATCGATCTCAGAGTCAAGGAGTGGGGCTGACATTATTGGAAAGGAAATACAGAAATGTCGACGGACTTGAGTTGAATTAGATGGGACAAGTAGCAGTATGATGATCTACCCGGCACAAATATCTCGATAGCTAATGATTACTGCCTGGTTAAATACCATTGACGCTTCTGCTCTCGGGCGACGAGATCAGGAATGAGGATGCAAGCTCCCCACGAGATAAATGTAAGCGCTAAAGAACCTCGGAGGGAGGTTTAAGGTCGTCTATTTGCCTGTATTGGGGGTGGAGAGTGAATCGGGACTAGATCGCTGCAGAATTCGGCTTGGATTTGTGGCGTTGATCCTGTGTGACCCGTGCCTCGTTCAATGACAGTAAAAACCTCAATTGCGGCAATAAGCTGCCCAGAACATCAGCAGACTAGCTTCCAAGAGTTTCTGCCTGGTCTTGCCACATTTGCAACGTCGCTGGGCGTGTTGTAGATGTCGCGCAGCACAGCTGACATCTCAATGGCTCGTGATCATGTAGTAAGTTGAGGTTGCCAGTTCACAATTTTTGCGGGCGCCGTCAATGAAAAATGTCTCGGTCAATGCTAGAGGTTGACACAAAGGTCCATCTGGACCGAAAAGTTACAATGCTTTTCTACTGCCAATCGCCTTGTGTTTTGACAGCATCTCTATTGAAAAAGATTTGTTTCTATCACAGTGGATGTCGGAAAAGTGTCTGATGAATTGACTGTGTTCGTCCTAATGCTTAGGTTCAGTATTCAGAGTACAACATGGTGCACCATCGAGCGTTCGTGTGTGCGAGCGCAACGAAGCTGTATTTTCAGAAGATGATGGCTGTGTGAAGGAATTAACATGTCTTTAGAACAAAAATCCATTTACAACGAACTATTAGCCTCGTTGTGTCTGTTGCAGCACGCCGGCGAGAACCACTTAGCCAGAAAACCAGTGCAATGCCCTTCAAGCCTCTGCTCTACGGGTCCGCAAGAATCCCGCAGAGCTCATTAACTCTATTCCGAATGCGCGTTGATTCGCTGTTTCAAGTTTACAAAAGTTTCGCTAAATAGAAACTGAGTCGGCCGAAAAGGGTTGCTGCCGGGTTGTGCCTCGATTCAAGGTTTCTCTGGGCACTTGGCGTTCATCTCGCCCTCTAAGATCGACGCTCAGGGGCCGGTAATCTCGGTGGTCTCGAATCATGCGCCATCGATACCGTCTACTCGGGTTGAGAAGAAATGCGGCAAGATGGCCGTCTAATTGATGATATATGAACCGTGGCAACTCACATAGTCTGTTACTAGTTTAATTATTTGCCATCCGCTTCCCATTGCAGTCATTCTTTTCGACCAATATTCTCTCATTCAAGCTTACGTTCATTATTTGACGCCATTATGCTGCGATCCCTCCTACCGCTTGGCACCGCTTGCCTTTTCCTGGCTCAGGCCCAGGCTGGACCATTATTCCACCGTGCATCTCCGCCTTCCGTGATCGAGGGCGACGGCACCGTTGAGGCCAAGCTGCCCAGCGGCGACGCCGTGACGGTTAACCTCCACGGAGCTACAGTGACATCATGGAAAGCTAGCGATGGCGACGACAAAATCTTCCTGTCCACCGCCTCACCCCTTGATGGCAGCGCTGCCATTCGCGGTGGTATCCCTGTTGTCTTCCCTAACTTTGGATCTCCTCCAAAGACAGGACAAACCTCGAAGTTGCCCTCGCATGGCTTTGCTCGCAACAGCACCTGGGTGTTTGAGTCGTCCACGCCGCAGGAAGACGGTTCTGGAGTCGCCTTGACATTCTCCCTCGACTCGGCCTCCTTGATCCCTGATTATCAGACGAAGTGGCCGTACTCTGCGAAGCTGGCATACACCATCAACCTCACCCAGGACAACCTGAATGTCCACTTCAGCTTTGAGAACACAGACACCCAGGCTATTGACTTCCAGTTCCTCCTGCACACCTACCTCTCTGTCCCTGTAAGTCCCGCCACGCACTCTCTCCTTGCAGACGATTCGTGATACTGATTAGAGAGGCGCAGAACATCAACACAACAACCGTGTCAGGCCTGCAGGGCTCCACCTACCAGGACAAGACACAAAACTACACCGTCATCACCGAGACCTCGGACGCGTTCCGCATCACCGGCGAGACGGACCGCATCTACAGCCCCGCCGAGGTCGCCCCCATCGTACTCAACGACGACGGCAGCCCGCGCGTCACCGTCGACAGGAGCGAGACCCTGCCCGACACCACCGTCTGGAACATCTGGGCCACCAAGATCCAGACTTCTTCTGACTTTGCGCCAAAGGACGCCTGGCAGAGGTACCTTGCCATCGAGCCTGGGTATGTGGCCAAGTTCAACAGCCTGGAGCCTGGCAACACCTGGGAGTCTAGTGTCAACTACGTTGCTCACGTCTAAGAGAGATCCAGGAAGGCTTCACGCATTGGGAATGGAGTTTTGATCTTCGCGCCCGGGATCGCAGGACACCTGAAAGATCTTCCCAGTATATATTTCTCAGCGATAGCACATATTAGGATTTGTCGCTTGCGAGCAAAAATGACCTGCATTTACGAGTATATACGCATGATAACACATCGTAAAGATAGACAAGTAGAGCGTATCTAGGCCTCACGCTTCCATGTCGTCAGGTTCGCTTAGGCTCATTTTCAGGTAAAGTCTAGCCTCCAGACGTCGCCTAGGCGCGAATTGTCTTCCGCAAGACCACCATGGACGATTACAGAGTCTTCCCCACCTGCTTGTGCTACATCAGCAGCGAACCAACCCCTGGGAGCAGGGCTGCCCCCACTCGCCTCAACCTTCACCCAATCCTGACCAGCAACGTCGAAAGCCCACACATCCGAGAGCATTTTCCCAGCGCCAGCATGACCTAAAGAACTGGGATCGCACTCCCCGAACATAGTGACAAGATAAATCTTCCCCTTGATCGTCACAGCCACAAGTGTAGACACGCTCCTCGGCCCGGGCCCACTTTTCCCGTCGGGGTTGAACGCAAAAGAGGACCATTTGTTCGTGGCCAAATCATACGTGTCAAGCAGGCCTCCTTGCTCGGTGGTTCCATCAAATCCGTTCATTCTGTACAGCTTCCCGCCTGAGTATGCTATACTGGTGCCGCCCCTCGACGGCTCCGGCGCCGACGGTAGCTCATTCCACGTCTGCGAGACGAGACTGAAGGACCAGAGGTCCTGCAAGCGGCCCTTCTCGGGGCACCCAGCGTGCACAAAAAGGAGATCGGATCCGTTTGAGGTCATGGCGTGATAGCTGCGGCCGGCAGGGTAGGGCTTCTCCGGATCCACAGGCTTCAGCAGCTTCCAACTCGAATGGGACGGTGTGTACCGCCAGATGGCGCCGTTCTCCTCCACGGGCGCCATCGCGATGCCGCCACGGCCAGAGAATAAATACAGTGAGTCTTTGATGACGGCGCTGGCTGACCCGACGCGTGCAGTCGGGGCCTCTGGTGGAGCGTCCAAGGTTGAGGCCTCAGTCGAATCTTATTACGGTCAGCAGCGGCAAAACATTTGAAAGTGATGTCGAGCCACACCTTTACTAGTAGATGCGCCGAAACTGATAACGTCCAGTCGATTGTCGACTGGCTGACGCGGAATGACTTCACCACCAAAGACGAAAACCTGGGAACCTAGTACCGAAAGACACTGTGAGGAGCGCTGGAGGCGCGCACTCTGGGTAAGTTGAGTCCAAGTTGCTGTGAGTTTCGTCATGGCGGCTGACGCGGAGGTTGAGATTTGATGGAATGGTTGGTGTTCAAAAGTAAGTGTGATAATACTCAGATACGGTGCAACCCAAGCGAGAGGCGACGTTCTGTCTTTATCTAGCAATTAAATAGACGTAGGCAGCAAATGGCGGCGAAGAGGACCGCTTGCCGCTGAGTAACCCATGAAACTCTCGGAGGAAGGAGGAAACACAACCTCCGCTTAGTCATTAGAATACTCGCCTGCTCTCCAAGCTCACAGAGCGATACAGACACCGCTGAGCTTCAATCATCCCGCGTTTCAGAATTTGGAGCTGTCAGCCCACACCTTATAATCGAGCTCTCATACCTTGCCGCAAAAAAGTTTGATAATAAGACGTAGTCAAGTATAACCGGGTTGAGGTGATTGATATTCCCCCGTCCCCAACATACATTTCGTTGGATAGTCCTAGGTCCCGTGATTCTCCTCTCTGCCAGCCTTTCTCATTGCACATGTCCCCAAAAACACAAGTTCCATCACGAAGGAATTCGTGTCTTTGATGCATGCAACCTCGCTAGGTGCCAATGTACTAGTGGTCATGCACCGAATGAGGTTGCTGACTGATATCAGGAGTTCCAGATCATGTTGCCCTTGCTCATTTAGGGGATGTACGAGCATGTTGAGTACTAGCGTAATGGCAGCAGGCGTAGCATAACGGACAACTGGCCTGTAGCGCATGTCAGTGTCGTAGAAACAGTCAGAATTAGAGCGGTGTGCCCACGAGAGACTTGGGCCAAAGGCAGGGTAAGATGATCACATACCAGAAAGCTTCTTCTGAAAGTGCGTTAATCATGGCTTTCAAACACCCGAAAATTGAGCGACTAGCCTCGAGGGAAATGTCGACGCTGGAATGAATCAACCTATGGCGATCCTCTGCTATGTCGCTGATATCTGTACTGGCGACTCTGAATCGTCTCACAGTCATATGCACAACGACCATCAAGTACAGATATTCCAGTTGTAGGTAGACGTAGCGCATGTCCTTCGCGCTAGAGCCGACCGAATTGAAAAATGAAGATGAGATCAGAGCCGGACGCTGTAGTGACGGAATAGATAAACGCCAGTGCTCTATTTGGTCATCTAGATGACGAATGTTTAGGAGTATTTTGCTATCAAAGCCCTTAAAGGCTCGAGGGGAGTATAGCAGCCGGCAGATTCGTTCTTTGATTTGGCCTAGACGAATATCCTTAGAAAATGGTGGCATTGCATAGACATGGTCTGTCTCGTCGGTATCAAAACATGTTGTTGGACTGGGCAAGTCAATGCTGCTTAGACAGTCCTGCGGCATTGAAAGGTCACAAAACTCATCGATGAGCAGAGGAGGGACGCCCGTATGTAGAGAGAAATCTTTATCCGACGTATAGCAAAGCCAGAAAAGCATGCGCCCATGGCAGCTTCGCCGTTGTTCCAGGGAGGGTATGGTGGCATCACAATCTGGGGGGACACTGATGTGGTATTCCAGGGCACAAACAGTACGACAGGCGATGGAATGGTAAAATGCCGCATCTTGCCAATTGCCACTCAAACTGCATTGTGTTTGCTTTTGAACCTACTGTCAGCGGTTTTACTGACCACAAGCAATGGCAAGAGCTGTGGCTAGTCTATCTTACCAACAGAAGCACTGTAACAAGAGTATCAAGACTCATATAGCCGGGAATGAGTGATAGAAGACGTTGTGCCTTGATGACGCATCTTTCAGGGTTCAGACAAGAGGTAATGGAGCCTGGTATTTTCATTCGACCCGCAATGGACAGAGTAGCCAGAACACAAGCTCTGGCGGCAATGTGTGTGGGCGACGATAGAGGATCATCAATAGTCTCGTAAGCTGTGTCCAGCGTTGTTCCGAATAAGGCAGGGTTGATGACAGGGAAAATGAGTGGACCGTACGTGCTGAGAAAGGGCCTTAGGACCCGTTGGGCAGTGCTTTGGTCTATTGGGTCCAGAAGACCTGAGTCGGATTCATCGAGATGCAAGACTGGAAGCGATGTTGGCCTGTAGATGGGAATCCGAAATTCCGCCCACTTGACTTGCTGCCCGGTCTGCAATGAAACCCATCGCTGGCCTTCATCGGAGAATATCGGCACGCCGTTGAAAAACCAATGTGGACCGAGGTACTTTGCCGCAGAATGCAGCGGTCCGGGTGAGATGGCGACGTGGCAGGGAGACGTCGCCTGAGAGTCTTCTGCATGTGGGGTGGTTTGTTCACTTGCTGGGGTTCCTGACACCGTGTTTCTGCCAGGTAAGGTGACTGATAATGGGGAGGCAGTATTACTTGAGGTATTTGGCGAAACAGGCTGAGGCAGAGCGTCCTCGAGCTGTGCAACGCGACGCGCGAGCGCCTGGACATCACTTGACTGAGTCCTAGAGAAGTCAAAGCTAAAGCAACTGGCTCTGTAATATAGGTGGATAAAAGATCGTATTGGGTAAGAATGCAACGTTCAAGTTTTGGGGCGACCAACCTGCTTCGCTGTTTTCGCGCCGACCGCTTTCTAAGAAATGTACACTCAAGACTGTGATGTTGACACCAATTGCACGGAGTTCCCTGGACGGTGATAGCGCATTCTATCTACGTACGGTTAGACGCGTCAGTAAGTCGTATACTGAAAGATATGAACACATACCTTCCGCCGGTAGCAAGCATCACAAGCTCGTTTCTGGGGCATCGTCCATAGGTGGAGAATTGATAGGGCATTGAGACACGGCAAGACTGACCCTGGGGGCAGTGTATGGTGGATGGACGAAACGCCGCGGCGGCCGCTGACACATGCACGGTGATCTAGGGATGGAGCAGAGTGACTAAGCGGTGCTTTAATTTCCCCGCTTATATAAGCAAGGTAGGGAGATGTCGTTCATTACTCCACAATACGCAGACATTCGTTGACTACACGTCAGCCACTATGTACTTCACCAAGTTCTAAACCGCCGCCTTTGTTCTATTGACCTTGACGACCGTAGCCAAGTCCGAGAACAACTGACAGTCCAGTTTGAAAGATCTCGGCTAGGGCCCGATCTATAACCTCCAACCTGCCAACTCGGAGTGGGATGGGCATAAAATTCGGACATCCGCCAACATGTCGTTACTGGATAGCATTATCCGGGTTGCTGGGTCGCAAAACGGAAATTTTCACAGTGTGTTTTGTACTTGGCATGTGATGCTTCGCTCGACTGTGAGCCTTTTACTTTGGCCTACTGTCTACGTACCAACAACGTTAAGTCTGCCATTCAACTCAAGTATTAGACATACCGCCTCTGAGCCTTTCCAACCAGTTGGGAACTGAGAGCCGTCGCCGTGCCTCTCACGATGGCCCAAGAGTGTCCGGGGGCGAATCAGGAGGAGGACCAGGAACATTGACAGGGACTTCAAACGATCTGCACCAGTCTGGGTTGTTCTCCACCATGCAGTGCCACACCCGCTGATACATGGGCGAGAAGTTGACCAGCTTACACCAGTCGCCATCTGGCGTGTAAGTGCAGTAGCCGGTGAACTCACGATTTTGGCCGTTCATGCCGTCAAACTCTGCCGATGGGGAGTGGTTAGCACTCGTGGTTCCGCACAAGGTGAGAACCACCAAACAGCAGGAGGGACAACTCACGAAGGTAATCCAGATATGAAATGCCATCAATCTTCGGGGGGAACACATTCAGGTAGAAGCCCGTGCCGGTTCCGCACATGGGGAAGTTACCCGCCATAGCCAGCGTCGACAGCTGGTAGACGCGGTTGTTCTGCAGCGTCAGGCCGCTGCCCAGCCCGTCCCGGGTGTTCTGGACGACCGAGTACTGAATCACGCTGCCGCGTTTCTGCTGGGTCTCGCAGCCGCTCCAGTCGTCTGCCACGGCAGCGATGTCCGTCTCGCCGTCCGCTTTGACCCACGACAGCCAGAAGCCACCCGTCGGCTTCGGCGGCGCCCACGACGACGCCCACGACGCGCACGTCGTGCTCTCCACGCATGCCGTGTGACCCGCGCCCACCCCGAGGTTGCACGACCCTGTCACCACGGTCGATAAGCACGTGCTCCCCGGTATGGTCATCGTGGGCTTGGGCGCTGTGGTGATGGTGGGGAACGCCGTGGCCGGGGGCGTCGTGCACGTGGCCCGCGTGACGCAGGCGTTGTGGCCGCCGCTCCCGTTGCACTCGGTGACTGTCGCCGTCCACCAGCACCCCATGTCTGTCGTCGTCTTGGACGACGTCGGCCGCGGGGGCGCCGTCGGGGGGATCTGTAGACTGCTCGGGGCTATCGTCTCGCCGTTGTGCAGAGGCAGCTGGTCGAGGTCGCGCGGAATGGCTGGACAGCTGGCGCCCTCGGGCTCCTGGTCGTCCTGCTGTCTCTTGCGTGATCTTCCTCTCCTCCTACCGGAGGACTGCAGGATGTTGGGGTTTTCGAAGCAATTGGTTGGGTTATCCTCCTTGTCAAACGACTGTCCGTTCCAGATGACGGGCTGTTCTTCGGGTGCACCACCTTGGTACTTGTTCTCCCACTTCTCTTCGGCACCATCGCCCCGGAACTCGTTAAGCTCTGGTTTGAACGTGCGGTGCAGCTTAGTGATGAGAGCCTTGACATTCCGCGGTTCGTCCAAACCTTCCCACTCCGAGGGTATCGCTCTGAAATACGCCGCCAGTCCTGCAACCCTTGGCGCGGCTGTGTACATGAGCCCAAGAATCAGTATCTGGTGCAGGTAATTCGATCTGAACTAATGAACTTACCTAAGGACGTTCCTGATATTTCTGCGTATGCTCCTGGCCCGGATGAAATCGCCACATAGCTGTCAACGCCAGGTGCGTAAGTGTCAATCTTGGGAACGGCCGGGCTTCGGTTCCAACGCCGGCCATTGATATCGCTTGCCCCAACAACGAGCATATTTTCAATTTCCCCGTCGATGCCGAATCTCGCCGGCCAATGCTCGATTGTGTCCGGATCTGAAGCCTTGTCCTTATTTCCGGCGGCCACTGCGATGACCGTTTTGAGATCTGAGTCGAGCTTGCGGAGTATGTGGACTAATTTGACCGGTCATGTGAGTTTCAAGTTCTTCCGCATTAAAGGGGTCGCACTTACGCATGGAGTCCTTCCAGGGCCTGTCGTCGTCGTCATCGGCGAAAACACCAGTCGTCATGACCATTGTGGCTGTACCCAGCGTGATCTTCGATGAGTCGATATGGTCGGCTACCTTGACGATTATCTCAAGGTATGAGTCTGTTAAAGAGCGGTCAGAAGATGAGTTGGCTTTCGGAGGCTTAGATTTAAGTCCTCCGCCATGATCGTTTTTTCTTTCTTTCTCAAAACACGATCTGTTAGAGGCCCTGGTGACTTACGCTGATTTTTCTGGAATCCTGCTATAACCCAACTTGCCTCTTTCGCGATCCCAATGTCCTTGCCTACCGCGCATGCGGCTACCGCCGTTCCATGGGGGCTTGTTTTACCGTCCCAGGGCGGGTCAAAACCGTTGGTCTTGAGCTTCTCCTTGGGTGGATTGTTTGAGAATTCCTAGGAGTGTTCATTAGAGTTATCCAACTTGGAAAGGGCATTGACTATGAGGCAATTCCTGCAGAGCACATACATTGTGGGTGGGAAGGAAATCCTCGTCGAGAACATAGATAGTCTGGTCGCCACCGTACGAGTCGTCCCACCAAGAAGTGTACCTGGTGGTACCGTCTGCGAACTTTTCGACATATGTGCCGTCGTCTTCTTCGTCCACTTCGTACCAATCTCGGTCCGGTGGCACCGATATCTGGGAGCGCTCCCACGTATTCTTCTGCTGTGAAGTGATTTTGATTGCTCGTTTCATATGAGAGTGGGATGGCGACGTGTCGTTTGAGCCTTCATTCAAGTCAAATCTGTATTCGAGCCCACTGCTCTCTTCGGTAGACATCGAGTCTTTTACTGTGCTGTCACCTATATCTACAGACAAGACTTTCCAGATCTGCGGAGTTTGAATCAGCGGCAGATACACTCCAGGGCTCTTCTCCCCATCCCGTGGACGAGACTAGCCAGGTCAAGGGAGCAAGGACAGTGGGGAATCCTATGAAGAGATTGATGGCTAATAAGAGAACAGCTTAATTACCTCATCTCTCCCTTTAAACCAATTTGCAACGTCTTCGGACATCTTGTACCCAAAGTAGAAGTAAGTCGTCTTGAACTTCTCGGACCGCACCTCGTAATAAAGTCGCTCGTTAGAACCGTCCTCGGTGACTGCACGAGTCTCCTGCTTCCGTCTATCCAGGAGATCTTTGATCGGCTGCCTGGCAGCATCCTCGCGATAATTGGCTTTCAAGTAGATGGCGTAAGTCTTGTCCGACTTGCCCTCGCATTTGAAGTCGATGCTGTTGCTCGTATGTCTGCGGGCTGGGTTCTTGGGGGCCAGAGTGCAGGCCGCCACCGACGTTGTCGTCCTCGTCGTCTCGGCATCCCGGACCCTGCAGCCCAGGATCACAGCCGAGGTCGACTGGACGTCGGTAGCAGTGGTACGGGTTGCTGTGGGCTCCGTGGTAACGTCATACGACGTCGAGAAGGCCTTGAGGGTGGCTGACGTGGTCTCGCAAGACGTTGGCTTGTCGGCTGCGGTTGGTTTGCCGTCGGTGCCAATACTACATGATTCCGGTCAGCAAGTTGAATTTAAAAACCTTCTGTAACGGAGAAACTCACGTGATTGTTGGCCATGGCGGCAGCGTGCCTTCAATACGAACGTTGGGCGGCCAACTTATTGGCGGGCAGGAGCCTGGACCAAGGCATGGAGGGTAGACACCGGGTGGAAACTTCCACTGCCATCCTAGTATGTGTGTTTCGCCCCAGTCAATGCACACGAAAAAGAACCACAGCCTGCAGGTGGACTTGCCGCCTCCCCCAGTTGGCTGAGGCTCGTCATCGCCCACACTTGTGGTCACTGGGATGAGCTCGATTTGCGGCCATGTCGTGAATGTCGGCAAGTCCGTTGTAGTCCCGGGAGTAGTGGTGGGACCTAGAGTGATACATCCAATGATGCCAGGAGTGAGAGTTATGATTGCTCCGCCAGTAGAAAGGGTTGTTGATGAAGTGACACAAGGAAACGTGAAAGGACTTCCATCTGGCAGAGTAGTAACAGACGGAGACGGAGGGAGTATTGTGGTAGGAACCACGCCTGTGCAGCCGGACACCCCAGGTACGAGAGTTATTATTGCCCCACCAGTGGAGATAGATGTGGTTGCTGTGACACAAGGGTAAGTGAAAGGGCTTCCGTCTGGAAGAGTAGTCACAGACGGGATGGGGGCTGTTGTCGGTAGCTGCCCAGTACACCCAAGTAGCCCCGGCACGAGTGTGACAATAGTTCCGCCGGTGGAGATGCTAGTTGTGGCTGTTACACAAGGGAAAGTGAAAGGACGGCCATCGGGTAGTGTTATCACCGACAGTGTCGTCGTTGGTCTTTCGGGGGGCGAGATTGTCAGTGTCGTGCCTCCGGTCGTTATTGTCGAGGGCGCCGTGACTGTAGGTGGTGTAAAGGTGTTGCCATCTGGTAGCGTGATGACCACAGGTGTAGTCGTAGGTGGTGGTGTCGTTATAGGACTTCCGGGAGGCGAGAGTGTGATAGTTGTGCCGCCTGTCGTTATGGTGGATGGTGCCGTAACAACAGGTAATGTGAAGCTGTTGCCATCCGGTAAAGTAATAATCGATGTTGTCAGTGACGGACTCGGGGACGGCGGCAGAATAGTGATTACAGTTCCGCCAGTTGTGATCGTGGACGGGGTCGTAACGCTTGGAAGTGTGAAGATTCCCCCATCAGGTAGAGTAGTCACGGTGGGACTCGGAGTTGGTCTTGGACTAGTACCGGGAGGTGTGAGAGTGAATGTAAGATCCGCAGTCGTAATTACGGTGGGAGATGTAACAGCGGGCAGAGTAAATGTGGTGGTCCCAACAACAATGACCCCTGAGCTTGAGATCATAGTACGGCCGTCCGAAAGCGTGCTTGTTAAAGGCCCAGTCGGCAATATGGTGACACCGGACGGAGGTAGAAGCGTGAATGTTGCCCCATCAGTAATCCACGTCGAAGGGGCCGTGACAGTGGGTAGGGTGAAAGACGTGGTACCAATGATGATCACACCACCGCTTGAGATGATCGTTTGGCCGTCAGACCCGGTCGTGGTGAGAACACTACTAGTGGTCTGGGGACTCGGTAGAAGGCTGGTCGGAGGAGGAGAAGGATTGAAAGTAAACGTGTGGTTGAGAGTTGTTATAGTCACAGGTGCAGTCACGCTCGGCACGGGAATAGTCCTCGTACCATTGATGATAATGACGGATGCGCTGGACACAAGTGTTTCGCCATTGTCGTCGGTCCAAGTAGTTGGACTTGCAGGCGGCTGATCAGTTGTGCCTCCTGTTGGACCAACAGTGGTCGGTGCCGTGGTCCCAGGCCCCGTGATCCCCTGCCCGGGACCAGTAGTTGGACTATTACTGGGGCAAGACGTGGTGACTGTCACAGTCGTGTACCGGAAATCAAGGTTGAACCAAGAGCGGGTGAGTTGAGTCACTGAGCGGACAGTGACAGTTTGAACCTTTCCACAACTACTACTCGCGGGCGAGGGGAATGATGCATTGCCAGATGGCATGTCCGATGATGAGTGCCATCCTCCTGCCTTTGGATTGTCACAGCCTCCTACGGCATTGCAAACAGAACCAGATGGGCAGCAGCCAAAGAGACAGCATGTTGTTCCTGGTTTGCTATCAGCCATGGCTCGCTCCATGTTAGAAAGAGAAAGTAGGGCGGGTCAGACTTACCTGCACCGCAAAGATTGTGTTGGCCATCTGGTGTCTGGCAGCATGTTTGACCGTACGAGTCAGAACCGCAACGATCTTGGCACCAGTACTCTCCAGGGGCGCATTTGTCTGTTGACCGAAGAAGTAAAGCATTGGAAAGATGGCCCAGCAAGAAAAGGCTGCTGGTGATGGCAACACTCCGTAGAGATCGCATGATGTGTGAGTTCGAATGTGCAACGACATACTAGTAGGATACCAGGGCTCAACAGTTTATCGGCATTGAGCCCCATTTGAAGGTTTATAGTTGGCTATGGGATAGCTTTGGTATGTTCTGTCACACTTAGCGGTCTAGGCACCAGGCTAATAGCGAGGGCAGCTTTACGAGAAAGGCCGAACAGAAGTAAAACACGGCAAAAAGTTGCGAGGCCTCGAGGGGAATGGAAGTCATCGCCGATCAGAATCATACGTGTGATCGGGCAAGGGATACGTCTGTAATTTGGTGACACCCTCTCAAACGAAGACTAGAATCCTACGGCGTGAAGATGTGCCCCCTTCTTGGTCTTGATTTTCACCTGGTGTGGTACTAGGCGCCTGGCCTGCTGAGCGCAATAATTGAGGATCCTCAATATCACTCGCAAAACTAGAACTTCCCAGCTTAGTTGTTTGAATCTGAGCCTATGGGATTGAGTCTCGGCTTGGTAATAACAATCAAGGAGGAAGAAGACCGAGAGTCCGAGCATCTCTCAGCCTCGGAGTTCACTAACTTGATTTGTGCCCATACCGATGCCACTTGATCATGAGGCAATTCACTTTTGAGCGCAAGAGTGTCGTGAGATTAAAACATGAGACTAGTCTAATTCTTCGGTGTTAGACTATCGCCTATTCTGTCACGTCTGAAAGGATCCGAAGCCACCAGTGATAGTGTCCATAGGTGACTAGTCGGAGGCTGTTGCTGGGGAGGGGGTCGGAATAGTGTTCAGTATGTGTATATGTTGTGTGGCGCTAAGAGTATATTTGAGTGTGAAACCGCTCACATGATTATGGCCATTCTCTTGCTGTTCATGACGTCGGGCGTGATCAAAGGATTTCAGAACACTTGGCGTAAGATTCTACAGATAATAGGCCATATTTGCTGCGTGTCAGAGGCGCCACACAACCTGCAAGTGTGTGTGCATAAGCAATGGGCACACACGGTATGTCGCAAGCTGGTTCATACATGCTGTCTCTCTCCACGTGCTGGGGAGGTGAGAATTGTAGTAAGCTGACTTGTATGCCCTAGACTATACGTGCACATTTTCCCACTTCCCCCGGCCTGTCTTTCCAGGATGATGACACACTTAGCTAGCTCTAGGTCAAAGAAAAGGTGCTACAGGTTTACCACGGGAAACTTTCGCTGACGTGCGATTGACCGACTCAAACATCTGGATGTTGCGTGGATGCTTTCAACGTCAGGGCTCATAGGAGCTTGATTGCTAACACGCGATTTACCTCAGCATGGAGTTTTTGATCGAAGTGTTGATTTACGCTGTTGATCTGTACTACAAATGAAATACTGGCAGTTGGGAACAGCTGCAATTTGCCGAGAAATGAATATGCCTAGCTGTCTTCCTTTTCCGATCCCTTAGCCCCTTGTGTCAAGCATTTTGAATTGCTGATTGATCATGCTGCGACCAAGCTTCGCCAGCTTGCCCGATACCCACGACAAGAAGGCCCCTGCCCTATTCTCTGTCACGCTGACGACGTGTGTACATCGGTCCCCGACACTACGGGACCCATGGTGAGAAAGCATCTCGACCCCCACAGCATCATTCATGTTCTCCGAGGCACGGCTGTGCCCCGTGCTTGAAGACCTCAGAGAGGCCGAGCGCCTGACAACAGTCTTGATGCTCTGCAGAGCTGGTCCAAGGCGACTGTGAACTCTCTGAGTCTTGTGCCATGAGCCCGTTAGAGAGGTCTGAGCTGTGCTAGATGGGCTAAGACATTCAGAACTGCTGCGTTCCGACTGTGTTGACGGAGTCGCCGTGTCATCGCAGGGAACAGCCGGGGCTTCCGGAGTCAGAATTGGCGCATTGGCACAACCACTGGCTGTGGTACCGTAGCTTCCTGTTGCAACTTGTAGATTGGGAACAGCCAAGCTCTCGAGCTCCAGGCGTGAGAGAGGTCGAGAAGAGTAAATAGACGCTGAGTAGTAGTCATCGTCTTCGTGCCCCCCAGCGTTTCGTGTTTTTTCGAGCTCAGAGAGGCTCTCGTCGATGAACTCGAAGCGCTTGCGGAGGTTGGCAACGGTATCCTTGTACGCCGAAGCGTGGTAGTCTCCGAGTGCAAATTGACGGGATCCTGAGTCTGTGAACACGGAAGAGGCCCTCTCTGCTCGCTCCGAGTGCTTGTTCCATTGAATGGCGTGAGGTGATCCAACTGGGGAACTTGACCGTGACTGGATGCAGACCTCGAGGTCGGTCAAGCGCTCACTCTGGCTTTCAAAGCGATTCTCAAGTCGGTTGAGGGTGGCCAAGATTCCGAGGAGAATCTCAGGGCTGCTCAGTCTTGTATCCATCATGAAATCGATCAATTCAGTCTAAAGAGTTCAATTGTCAAGTAACAAAATTGGTCGTGCCTGAACGTCGACCTGATCGCGGACGCTGCTCCCCTGATGATCTCGTACTGAGGAGGTTTGGAACCTTTGACGTCGACAGACTCAGGATGCGTGCATAGCTCATATGCAGGTCCGCACAAGCTTCTATGTAGGTGATGTAGGCTGCAGCTGCTTCGAGCCGGGTTTTGCGGCGAGCTGTAAGCACTGTACCAGCTCGCTTAGTTGGGGTGGGGTGGTGTGCGGCTTACACTTGTACCGGTTGTCTTGGCTTAATCGGCGTGGGTGGCCTGCCTTTGATTGAGATGACCGTCTGCATGGGAATACTTGTAAGATGTGGCGTTAAAGTCAGCCTGAATCCGAGGAAGCCAATGAGCTCATATCAAATAGTTTGCAAAATATGCTTTGCTCTGTAGACAACCGACATCCTCAATCTCCGAACTCTTGCGCAGCACAGAGAAGAAGACTGATCCTGACACCCTGGTAATGTGATGAACTCGTCTTATCTGCAGTAGACTGAAGAAGCTGAGCAAGTATAGACAGGTTAATAGAACTACTGGTCAAGAGCCTTGTGGCGGATTCCTTCAACGCTAATTTCCTTGGACGGCGTGCACAACCATCACGAACCTAAGCTCTGGTGTCTGCCTGCGCAAGCGAGATGACAATATCCTTACCCTCCCTGAGAGACCTCATGTGATCCGATGCATTTTTTTCTTCAAAAGATAACATGATGATGACATGTGGTCAAGAGGATCAGAGTGGGGTGAGAATCGCCGATGGAGCTAGGAAGATCGTGAGAGAAGCGAGACATCTGGATCAGCGCAGCGAGGATAGAGGACTTAGAGTAGGCAAGCACGCGGTCTCGTCCAAGTCCACATGCGCTACTTGTATAAAGACAAGTTCGGTAGCGCGGATGGTGGATGGCTGTAGGCGCAACAGAGGCGTCGAGCTCTTCTCTTTCTACAACCCAGACCCTTCTTCTTCCACAGCTGCATTGGCATAAGCCCTCGTTCATACCCAGTTGAACCATGAAGTACTTACGTCTTGCGAGCTTTGCAGTCATTCTATCGCTCCCTCTAGCACTTACTGGCGGTGATGCGAGTGGCGGGTCTGATTGTTGCAAATTCACGATCTCGTCGGCGGGCACGTTTGAGTGCCCAGCTGGGCAGCTTCAGGATGGGCAAATCCGACTAAACGGGTCTTATGATACATCCTCCTTCTGTATTGATCAGGGAGGTGAAATCACGGACCAGCATGGATTCGGGTGTATAGTGACAGGTAAGAGACCATCAATCAAGTGACCTCATGCGATATTTGCATTCTAACGTTCTTCAAGACCCTCCAACGACGCAGTTCCAATGCGACCAGGGAAAGGAGCCCACCAAAGGGTTTTCTATCAGCCCCAACAACACGCTGCTGTACCAAGGCTCGCCGTCCTTCTTTGCCTGTCCAGCCACTGACGCAGAATATAACATCTACGTGTCGCCGAATTTCGGCCAGCAGAAGTGCTTCCCAATCACGTTGCAGACCAGTGGCTGCGGCTCCCAAGCGGGCCAGACCTGCTCTACGGCCACCACGACGCTTTGGCAGACACAGTGGACCACACAGATTGCTAATCATACTGTCACACACACGGAGACGACTACCCTGCCCTGTTCTACAGCAGCTAATGAGACCACGCCTGTCACCTCGCCCGGAGGGTGCACCAAAGGCACTGGGTGCACCCATCAGCCCAGTACCACGGGAATCTGGAACACAACGGCTCACGACATGACTACGCTTGCACCACCTGACACCACTGGACCTCGAAGGTGGTTTAAACGTGATTAATCGGGAATGAGAAGGCATTTGTTCTGCTGTCTAACCGGTATACTCTATGTCATTGATTAATTTGTCATGTGTGAGGAGGGACGGTCACCAATGTTACTAAGATATGAATACAGCAGAACAAGATAACATAGGCTTCATCAATTGTTTGGATTATTTCATCTCCAAAAGGCGCGGCTTATCTCCCCCTTGCCCAGATGATTTTGTCACCGCCGTGCCGTGCATTGGTGTCGCATCAGCGGGCGTCGATAACGTCCACCTGAGTCGCCGAGAGACAGAAAACCGGATATGAAAAGCCGATATGAGGCGGAAATCTACTATTGACACTCAAAGGTGGGGAGAGGATCTCTAATATTTTGCGACTTGCCATAGGCTTGAGGTGGTGGTCAATATATCACTTGTCTGAGTGACCGCTTTACTCAAAATGAAATGGTGTATGTGTGTGCTGCATATGCAGCTTGTGGCACGCTATGGATTTCTTATGCTGTCATTTGTGCATACTTCGCTGCACAACGCACGCCCCCATGGACCAATTTTCAAGGCTACATGTACATCCGGTATCGCTTCCGCAAGAATCGGATGAAACACCTTTCAATGGAGTATCTACAGATACGCACACAAAGCAAAAGTAGGATACATCGGGCTGCTACCCAACCTTCGGCCATTTGCCCCATTCGATCAGGCAGATGATTTCATCTACGGGGAAAAAAACGATATTCACTTCGGCCAGATCACCGAGGTTACCAATTTCATAAAATACTCGGTAGAAGGAAGTACAGCGACTGCGTTCGGCACATCTTCGGTTGCAGACAACATTCCGAAAATTAGACGTTTCACCACACCAACCCTACCGAGAAACTCGGGTAGGAATAGGAACGCGAGAGTGACGGCCAATTCTTACTAGGTGCACAGCAACAAGCTCATTCAATTACACATTTGACTTGGCCAGCGCAGTCGCAACACTTTGCGCATAGGCCCGACTCACGCTGTCTAAGCTGCTCCAATTCGCATACGCAGTTGTGTTGCGCACACTCGCAGGCAACGAGACAACTGCTTTGGTCTCTCGTATCTGTCAGGGATCGATCTGACTGCAGATGGAAATCTTGATATCGTCGGGCTTGTCGTGTATGTCGTAGTGGGGCGAGTTGTTCTTTCGTCTGCTTCCGTCCGTCTCCTTATTTGACGCAATACAGGCCCTTCAAGGTGACAATGTTGCCAGTCTATATCGCTCATGGAGTTTTGATTTGCCGAGTTTCGAAGAGGATTTACTGGTTCAATGCTACGAGTGCCGCTTCGAAGCTGCTGCAGCGTGACAGATCGAGTCTGCTCCCGGCTGGTTCAATACCATGATCAATTACTGCAAGGGGAGATACTCCACTTCTGGAGTGCTGTCTAGGAACACGTATCGATTCCGTTGAAAACAAGATCCACATGAGGTATGTGGTTCCCATGAGTAATCCGTTGGCAACCTCCTTCCAAAGCCTACAGTAGCACTCACACGAATCTGAAATGCGGAGCAAGACATGGGCCAAGCACGAATGACTGACTCAAAACAGCGAGAAATTATTCTGTATTGAAACGAGACATGTGAATTAACGCTTGAAGCCGGAATTACTTTTACACTGACGTGTTTATTCATATATATGATCACGGATAAGTCTGTGAATAACTTGAGGTACCAGTAGAGGTGCTCATAAGAGATAGAAGTGTTTGCCACCAAACCGTGTGGCGCGGCTAACGATCTCAGAGAAGCATTAAAGGTCTAATGATTGTTGAGCTAAATGGCTCGAGTTTGCTCTTTCTTGTATGAAGAAAACGAACGAGAAGTCTTGCAGCAGGCACTTTTGGTTGATTCAAGGCAACAAGTGAGTCAAGCGATTTAAACAAGAAATATCCACGGAATGCATGCACAGAATTGCGATATACCGCGAGCTGTAGTCGCCGTTGGTCAGCGATGTCTATGAGCATGAGCGGCCCCAGCCACTTTTGCGATTTACAAGAGAAGCGCGATCGGCTTGAGGGGATCCGCGGGTCCAGTCTTGGCATCTTGCCACGTTTGAGATTCATCGTGGCCTCCACTCTCTCGTAGTGTCGACAGGAGGACAGGAGCTCCGATGAGTGGTGGTAGGTCTTGGACGGCTCTGAATAGATGGTACAAGGTACGTTTCTGTGCCGATCTATGAGACGTCTCAAGCAGCCAACGGTAAGTCCATCTTTCCCCACGTGATGGCTGCTACTCCGAAGACCGCCGTGCGCAATTCTTCGGGCGAGGAGTCACACTTCTTGATTTCAAGGCTGTGAGCTTGATCCCATCATCTAGCCCACGGGAACTTATCGTGAGTCGGTTCCAATTCATGAGCGTCTGGCCAACTGTTCCTGGACATCGTTCACCAATAGCGGCTGAAATTGAAAGAGCGTGGGGGGTTAGATGGGGGGCAAAGCTTATTCCCGCCAAGTCCGGATGTTTCCCGGTAGCTCCCGCCCCCGATATGCATCATCCCTTTAATCGACAATACGCCAAGCACGTGCCAAGATGCCGACCCGATCAAACCGAGCCCAATCATCAATACGGCCGCGCATAGCCAGGCTGTGTCAAGATATAAAAAAATGGGGATGCTACCCGGAAATGATAACTCATGGGTTCAATGCTATGTTCACACCTAACATATCATCTCCCACCCCCTAAGACACAGTACGTCCTGGCCGTTCAGCGCTTTTCCGCTGCGAAGTACTGCCTAGCTATAAAGTGAAGAATCTAGTTATCGTAAGGTTATTATTCATACCCCTATGTGCCTATATCTTCGTTGTTCCTGATTGGAGTGGGCGAATATTCCAGACTTTTTCGGTGTGGCTTATACGCGGTCGTATTGACAATTGGCAATTCGGTAAAGTCGGGCAAGTTCGGAGACAATCTGGCTCATGCGCGGACGTAATCATTTAAGGAGTATCTCGACGACATACGCAGCTACGCGGCTCATCCAATGGTGGCGGGTAGAGTCCCTTTGGGATGATGAGCGATGGTACCCAGCCTTGTGTTTGGGCATGGATTTCTGCGGCTGAAAGTGATCCACTGTTAGGCATTCTCACAATGTCGGCTTGAAGCATGGTCCTTACCCGGTTCCAGCGCCTCATCGATATCTTGCCACTACTCGACATTAGTTCGTCTGGAACGATTGCCAATTTGCCCTTGCGGAAGTAAATGGGGCGAAGCGGTTTAGCGTTGCAGTCAGAAGTTACACCCAAACCCACACATGTCGCATTGCAATGCACTGTCGCTGCACCGGAATGACACAGGGATCCGGTCTCGCAAAGCCAAGAGATAGCCTGAAGCACGAAGTTGGCAGGAGATCTATTATTTGGTACATGGAGCATGTAGAGCCTCCTGATATCTTGGCATCACGGTCGCTGCCCTGCTGTCGAAGAGTATAAGATGTCGAGTGGCCGACTATCTCGATATTTGACTCGAAAGCTTCTGTGTCAGGAGACATTCGTGAGCAAAAGATTGTGACGATCTTTCCGCAATGAGCTTTACAACAACACCACAGACTGGGGCTACGCCACACATCCCCGCTATCTCAGAAGCAGATGCGCAACCGTCCTCGGAGCCAAGCACTCGTTCGTCTTCTCCACCTTTGAATTTGAATGTAGACTCCCGGAGATCAGAACAGGCGATGCCTGGGAATACCTTCTGGGCAGAGCCTTTGTACTTTGAATACTCTCCGAGTATCACTCCCGACAGCTCTCCTCCTTACACGCGACAGACATCTGTGGTTGACCTCGGGGTTCTCAAGCAGGAGCCATACATCACCTCCAAGCCAAAACCCATTCATGAGCCTGAAGAACTTTATCATGTCTTCTCACGCAGTAAGAAATGGGCTATCGTCATCCTTATCGGCATCGCTGGACTTTTTTCCGGCCTGTCGTCTAATATCTATTTTCCTGCTCTTGATGCAATAGCTAAGGTCAGTGCTACTTAATTGGAAGACAAGAATATGAATGGAAAAATATTCTGTAGCTGACCCCTTTTTGAAGGATTTTCATGTTAGCTTGCAAGCAGTATCCCTTACCATCACATCCTATCTCATCTGTCAAGCAATATCTCCCGTTATTTGGGGATCTCTTGCCGATGCACTAGGGCGCCGCCCTATTTACATGGCGTCATTTGGTGTTTACATTGTCGCTAACATTGCCTTGTCGTTTGCTCCAAATTATGCGGTGCTGCTGGTTTTTCGAGGCCTACAGGCGGTTGGAAGTGCATCAACAGTTAGCATTGGTACGCAAAATGATATGGAACGTTCATGTGGAATTAAGAGTTTCTAATACAGATCTTACAGGGAATGGAGTCATCCAAGATATTACACCCTCGTCAGAGAGAGGGAGTTTCATTAGCTTTTACCAAGCCGGTAAGTTCAACCCCATATTGAAATTTTCCCTATCGAGAAATCAATGTCCATCTCGGACCATTAACCATTTGCGTATTCCAGTTCGTAATTTCAGCATTGCTGTTGGACCCGTATTAGGCGGTGCATTGTCAAACTACCTTGGATTCCACGCCATTTTTGTGTTCCTCTGGATTCTCTCATCGCTTACGATTGTGTCTCTTGTGCTTTTCCTCCCAGAAACAATGCGATCTATTGCTGGAAACGGAACTGTCCGACTCGGCGGTATCTATCGGCCGCTGATCGAATGCTTCGGCGTCAAGCCAAAATACTATGAGCAGGATGCGCCAAAAGGAGCGAGCAGAATGAAAGTTGATCTGGCAACATTCATCTCACCACTGAAGCTGCTGGTGCAGAGGGACATCTTGACCAATCTGATCTTCGGCGGTGTGGTATACGCAATATGGTCCATGGTGACATCAAGCACGACGGGCCTGTTCAAGGATCGCTTCCACCTGGATGAGACCATGATCGGTCTGGCTTACCTACCCAACGGCATCGGCACAATAGTAGGCTCCGCCATCGTGGCTAAGCTGATGACGCGTGATTTTCGAGTGTACGAGAACACCTACAGGTCCGACAACGGCCTTCCAATGGACTACACGATTCCTACCAAAGCCATTCCCGCGGGATTCCCAATCGAGCATGCCCGATTGCGCAATCTCTGGTGGATAGTGGCACTCTTCGTCGCGTCTGTCACGGGTTATGGCTTCTCCATGAGCGTGTCACGATCTGTATCTAACCGTCCTGGTTACATCGCGGTTCCTCTAGCTCTTCAATTCATCATCGCGGCAACGAGCAACGCGGTTTTCGCTGCCAATCAGACTCTCGTCTCTGACCTTTGCCCTGGGAAGGGAGCTAGTGCCACAGCTATCAATAACCTTGTACGGTGCACCCTCGGCGCAGTCGGCGTTGCTGTTGTTGATGCTATGATCGAGAAGTTGGGGCCTGGGTATACGTTTCTGGCATTGGCGATTGTAATGGCTTGTTGCACGCCGCTTGCCGTGTTAACGTGGGTCTTTGGGCAGCGTTGGCGAGAGGAGAGGACTACGAAGACTATAGATTAGTGGCCTGCCCGTCAGTGCTCAAGAGTCGATGAGATACTGTGGGGATCAGAGAACAGGGCTGAGGAGGTTTACTGAGAGTCTTGTTGAGTGAGCGAGAACGCTAGTTCTCTGAGTACATCAGGGCTTGAAGTGATGTTTTCATTGTTGGCATGAAGAGCTCTTTCGAAGCCCTTTGAGATATTTATGATCGATGAAAGAAATCAAGTTTCTGGCAAGGAAAATGGGATGGCGCATGCAGGATAGATTCACATAGATGCTGGTACTTTTTCCGGTCCTGTCACGATTGTTAGATTTCAAAGCAATATTGTAAAGCAGCGTTGAACAAAGTGTCAAATAGACAGAATTTCATCGAAGCGAGTAATATTGCATTGAAAATCATCTAGCCCACGACAATCAGTTTTTAAGACGAAAGAGTTAATATGCTGCCATGGTACGAGGTATTTCCATCAACAGAACATTGCAACTTTGCATATCCTCCGAAAGCAAAGTGACACCTGGGTAGGGTAGGATGCATGTCAGGCAGGCAAACTTAACAGCCAGCCACGCATAAATTATTCCATGATCTTATTTTCGAAACTTTCGCAGAGCATTCAATGCTCGATCACTTCATTCTCGGTTCGCGACCTGGGTAACCGTCAGCAGGCGACTGCTAATCTCGAGGTATGGGCAGCAGAATGCTGCATACTAACTCACCAAAGTACTCAGGTGTGCCCTAGAATTAACGAGGCGGAAAACTCCTTTTTCTCAACGAACCTATGAGTAACGCCATCCTGATTTGGAATTTCACCAAATACCCTGCTTCCAAAGAGAATCAAGCCGCACGGTATAGACCTCTCGAGCAGGTTGACTGACAAGTATCATGAATTCCCCGTCTAGGTTGTAGTGGCAATATGTTTTTCCACCTGAATCCAATGTAAGTATGGGCTTAGAAGGCAAAAGTCTCAAACCACTGCCCCATCATGTAACGCTGTGACAGTGATACGAAAGCTTGATGCGACATTTGGCATTTTCTCTACTTGGTCGGTGTCTTGTTACCCTCCGTCGTTCCAGCACCTACTTTGTACATTGGTGAGATCGGCTCCCCTTCCCCTATGTCTACTCCAATACATATCTACACGCTTTTCCCACCCATTCACTTGCCTGATCGCCATCCGTCTCTTGAACTGAATTTGACATCAACTCAGACTCAATGTGGGTTTTCCCTAATAGTTGAAGGTCGATTTGTCTCATGAATCCTCCAGTATAGTTCATGGCACGCGGTTCAATCGTTAATAGAGTTGAACATTGTGGTCAGATCTATGTACAAATTTATCACCTTACCATCTACTGCAGCAGCTGGCATCGTCGCAATAGCACTCTCTTCATGTGCTCCGACATGTATGGTACGCATACTGGCATTAATCCCCCGATGGTCACTAAAATAAGCTGTATCACTCATTGTTTGGTGAAACTTTTACCCGGTCCTGCTACTTTATGAGGACTAACTTTCCTAAAGCTGGCGGGCATGCGTGATAATACTCCAGCTCTATATACTAAGTTGGCTGCTACCTCAAGAGTCTGCGTGATTTATGATTTAATCGTAGGGATTCTGAAACAGCAGGGCGTGTCTTCGGCGAATACCAATTTGTTGGAACCTAGCAGGAGTTGATGTCGAACCCTGCAGGGCAACACAGCGCACGACAATGTTGGATCGGCTGCATTTATGTTATCACTTTTCCGCCCGGATCGCTATTTTCGGAAGTAACAGCACGAAGCCTTGCTTGTGTAAGTCATTATTATCAGGGACAAACAGATTCCTCAACACAAATGAATGTAGGATCCTCAGTCTTTTTGCTGAAGTCCTTCGTTGAGCGACGCGACCAGCCCCATCGACGTGTAATTCAATGGCAGCTGGTGCAGCTTCCAGAACAGGTTTCATTTTGTTCGAACCTTAGGAACGAATGAGCCACATTGGTAGAAGACCGTTGTTTTTAAAGTTTCACTGAGGCGCCACGGTCGGGCCCAGAAGTTTTCACTCTAAATATAGCGCCTCTCGGACGCCGGCAAGGACCGCGACTTGGTGTGAAGGGTCCTACCACGAGACTCAAACTTTGTCCTCCGGCAGCCAATCACTTTTGGGTGATCTTCGAAACTTTCAAGAAGCGTATTTGAGTTTCGTTTCCATGACACTTAATTTTGCCGCCATCCCCATTAACCACACATCACAATCTGAGGCAGGTGAGTCGTAATAATTCCAGGTCTTAGAGTGCGCAAACATAAGTTGGGGATAAGGCGTCACGGCATTTGTTAGAATATGAGCATTCGCAACCATCAGTGAGACTAATTCTCTTAGGTGTTTGTACCTACACATAGCATGGCGGCGAACATTGGTGAAGTCCGGGGGGGTCGGAAAGTATTTACAAATAATTTGTCTACTTTAGTCAGATAAATTACTTCCCAGGGCCTTTTTGTCGATCTCGCAGTCTAGATGTGACTTGAATGCCCAATGAATGCTAAGGTAAGACATCGGACGAGTCGGCCCGTAGGAACGTCAGTGGTGGTATTCCTGTTTTCGGCTGTTAGGTTCTGGGCTTTTGGAAACTTCGACTTCGCCTACGAGGTCCTGGATAGTGTTTCAGCTGCAATCGAATTACAGTTGGCTTGGCGAGGACGTATCGGGTAGGTGGTCACAAATCAAGCTCCGGAGAAAGGAGTAATAAACAGCCTCACTAGTAACGGCTGAGCGTGCATCGTATGGGCACGACAGCTTTAAATTTGGGAGTTTGTTCAAGGTTTCTTTTTCTCGAAGTCCAATGTAACTTCAAGAACAAAGTCAGCCGTTATGAGCGACTTGTATTGGAACTTGGAGACTCTATTTTTGGATGACTTCAATTGTGCTATGGAATGCACTCGAGCTTGGAACTTTGAAGATTTGCTGGATAGTTCACGATGACTTGGCGGGGAATTTGAATTCTTTTCGCAAGACGTGCTGCCCATACGCCTTCCGCCGTCGTGTATAAATACGGAGAGCAGCCCACAGATGTCAACCAGGAGACTTTGTAGTTCATCTCAACAATCAAATTTGAGTCCGTGCTCGCTTGGTGTCTGGCTGGATTTATTTGTGTCCAAAACTCGAACGACACTCAAAATGCTACCCGCTTTCTGGACAATATTCGTCTCTCTCGTGGCTGCGAGCCCAGCCCTTCTGCCATCACGGCAGACGTCTCCGGACTATGGGACTGTGAACTTGTAAGAGGAGAATTGTCCGCATCTTTCTCCGTCACGACCAATAGACTGACTCTCCACCATCTGTCAGCTTCTGGGACACAGGTTGCACACAGCCTGCTGGAACCGAGTACCCCGAGAACAACGTGGTCATGCCTGGCCCCGCCGGTGTGGCCAGTATGGAATGGGTGCAAGTGACTTGCGTCAGCGCTCTTTGCACATCCAGTAAGCAGTAATTTATGCGCGAATAATGATTTGCGGCTAACAACTGGATCACAGACCCAACCCTGTTTGCCTGCGCTGATGATAATTGCAATCAAGCTGGGATTGTTCGAGTCGGGCAATGTGCAACTTACCGCACTGGCGTGTGGGCATTTTGGCAGCGCGAGTCTGCCACAGCTGGGGTCGGGACTGGTACTGGTACACAGCCTGCCCCTGCGCCTGCAAACCCTTTTCCTTTCCCCTTTACCCCTCCCGTGGACACCGATGGACAAGGCGATGATTCCCAGGAAAATAATTAATCTTATGAACGGGTGGAATAACGAGTAATCGGCGATGTCATTCCTGTATACTGCCCTCGGACGAGAAACATCAGTTGAGGGTGAACTCTGTCCGGAGATACTAGATGATGGACATTTTATAATTCTTTGGTGGGTGGAATCTTTCCCAATCCTCAGGTCAATGTTCTCCCCGGGACAAATGACATGTAAGAGGCAGAATGTAATTTAAGTCAACAATGAAATGTTGTTGAATCACATGCGGAGAAAAACAAAACACATTTCTGTGACATGGCCAATTGACGAAAGTCATAAGGTAATTTGTTTTTGTAGTGAATTAGACGCACTACTAATCGGATGGAAGAGCCATGGGAGATACTCGCGGTTCGCTTTAGTTCAACAACTTTGCACAATTGACTATCCCCCACAGTAATACACTCAACCGGCAAATATGTGTGGTTGGCACGCAAGCTATAAAAACATTGAAAGCGCCAGCGAGATGGTCCCCCGGATCACGACACCTCAGGGATAAGGACCACGACTACAAATCGAGTGACTTTCTCCCCGTCTTTCAATGGAGTCCAGTAGCTGACAAAATCCTCTGCCGCCCCGTTGCTGTGGTTTGTTGGCACTAGTCTCTCCAAACTAATGCTTTTGTGCAGAGTGCGATTATGGTGGGGCGAACTTGGCGTTGCGTCTCCCCCCAAGCCCAATGCAGAGATGCCGACTCCACTGGACTTTCTGGATAATGATAGGCCCCTAGGGCGGCGGAGGCTGTGTCCATTGAGCGTCAAGTCGAGCTTTGCTGTCCGTCCTTCGGCAATGTTCGCTCGGACGGTAGATTTGAATGACTTGTTCACCGATGACGAGTTCCCAGTCTCCGAGAGGACCTTGAAGATGTTGTTGCCAATGACGTCTGCCAAACACTTCTGAGTGCTGCCATTGTTCAAGCTGTCCATCACTGCCGTGGAACAGAATGCAACTGGAAGCTGGGACTTCAAGCTCTTCTTGTCATGAGAATGTGTTGATGGGCCTGCGGGAATGTAATCGAGAACAATGAATCGAGAGTATGGTGAGAGGACTGCATGATGAGTCGGAGTCGGAGACGTTGGAAGATTGATTGAGCCCCTCTGGTCCATAGGCGTAGATGGCTCAGAGGTCGACAGGTCGTGATTACTCTCGGTATCGACTGGGGATACGGGTGTATCACTTCGAGAATGACGTCTAAACGTCTTGAAGAATTTGTTGCGAGAGGTTTGCGGGGGATATTTGGCGTCCCTCTCCCGACCCGGTCGCTTTTCCCCCTTAAACGCATTCCGCCATGATCCGCGATGTTCGTGTTCATCAAGAGTCGGCAGCTTGCGGTCCCTCAGAGGAGGCACATAACCAAGTAGACCGGCGACGCCTTCTTGCGACTCCAGAACTTCTGTCACGTCGACTTGGCCCCCAAGATGGTAGCGAACTTGGCCGTCGAGCCCCATCAAGTGCGCTGTGAATAAGAGGTTCCAGAAAACCCGGCCGTCTTTCCGATAGTTCAGTAGTAGTTCAGACCACTCATTGTTCTTCGTAATAGCATCTCTGATGCGATCAACGCCACTTGCCCTTGTTCCCGGACCCTGAAGGAACCGACAATTTCTCGCCACCAGCTCATCATGTTTGTATCCAGTGAGGCCGGCCAGACCATCCGACACAAATACTATAGGGGAATCAGTTTGATAAGAATCAGTGATACAAAAGGAATCCCCGAATCCTGAGCAAATTTGGCTGGGTGAGTACCCTGGTCCAATAGTTTGCAGGCCGAGAGATAGTTGATTTTTGAGAAAGTCAGGGTAGATATCTTGTGCAAGACTCTTTTCGATATGTGACTTGGCATCATCGAAAAGGCTCTCTAGCCCGGGTAGAAGCGAGGTGGAGACGTTCTTGATGTCGGTGTTAAGACTCTTGGACACCGCCATCGGGAGTCTAATGGGTTGGGAAGCCGCTACGCCAGTGAACTTCATCGAGATATTTGCCATGATCGATGAAACTGCGTTCATCGTAGTTGCATATTCCTCAACCTTCATGAGGAAGTCGATATCCTTGTACCGGCCCCAAGACTGTGCAAATTGCCTCATACGAGCGACTGCAGCCAGATCTTTCAAAACGGTGTTGACGGTTGTCATCGCGAAGACATCCAGTATTGGGAGTTGTGGAGTGAAAACATCTTCAAACTGTTCCAAGTTGGTTCTGGCATCTGGTTCGCCAAATGTATTCCCGGTCCAGATACCGGGAGAAAAGAATGGCGATCGTGGAGTCCCGAGAGTATCATAATCCGTATATTGCCGCAGAGCCGACTCATTGACATGCGACTTCAGGCCCGACTTCCCCTTCAAACGCCTGGTCAGTGGATCCGGAATCTTTTTCCTTCGTGAGCTTAATGGTGATAGTGGCGACGGAGGGGGCGACAAGGGCCTGACAGGCTGATCAGAAGCCTCGTTTTCCATTTTGAACTCCGGGAAAGGCAGGGTGGTGGAAGATGAGTCCCGCCTGAATAGGCTACCATACAGGTGACGCCCCGCGTCCCCGAGGCAAGGAGTTGTGACACTATCGTCAGAGCTGTCTGACTTTGTAGCCGTGATCCCCAATGGGTCCGGTGACGTTTGACGGGGAGAGGGTGTCGTCGTCATTGTGGTGTCCTGGATGGATGTTTTGCAAAACCAGCTGCAGTTTGGAGAAGCTCTTCAAGCTAGACACAAGGGATTGCAAGATCATGATGCGCGGGGGCTAGGTTATGAACTTGGCTCACCCGGAGCTGAGCATTCAGTGCATCTTGTGAAGCTAAACTGCACAAGGCGCAGCTAAAGCGCCTTGGGCACTGAATTGAGTCTGAGCTGCAATTGGTGGCTTCGGTCGTCTGCTTCGAAATGGATCTATCGTGACAAAGACATGCACTCGTCGTCGGCACCATTCATAGCCGACATCCACTTCTGGTATAAGCATTGTGAGGAGGCCTGCTCTTTGACCCGCGGTCGCGGATTGACCACGTGGGGAACCTGATAGTAGGCCGCTATATGGCGAAGGAAGGCCCGTGTAGACACACTTATAAAGGGGAAACAAAGAACGTCTTCTCGAAATTGTTAGGCCGGTCTGTGCAAACCAGTTGGTGTGCTGGGCGCGACTAGCATGGGACGGTTCCTGACGCCGGCCCGAGGCCATACGGACCAAGAGCCGAGCAGCGAATCACAGACGAGACTAGCTCTACCTGTATTAATCATCTCTCTGAGCTTTGACACGGCTAATGCACAACATCGATGCGGTGTGTTTCTAATACAGCCAAGTCGGCTTGGGACAGGTGGGATTGTCGTGCCCTCATAGCCACAGAGGGAAATCCTACTCAGTTGCTAGGTGAACGCCTACTCATATATGAAGCTGCGTGAGTAATGCCATGGGTCAGCGTAAGAGACCTGTACCGGTATTAAGTTCCCAATATGGTAAAAAGCTTGTTCGAACTATCAGAACGTTTCTCGAAGGGGCCGTTTGTCCGTTGCATCGCTCCCGTGGCGTCTTTTATGACCGAGATCCGTCATTTCCAACCCGTTGTGGCCGCTTCCAGCAACTGAAGCCGATTTGTTCCCAGCCGATGAGCCGCTAAGCTGTTCATATGTGCCAACACGGTTGGTACTCATCGCAGCACCTAGGTCCGCTGGTTTGAATTGGCGAGATGTAGAGGGTTTCGTCTGTTGGCTGGAGACGAACCCGCCAATAGTGATGAGAGAGCGGGCTGGTGGCAAGGGAGTCGATGGTTCTTCTTCATCAGGGGCCCTTTGAGGCACCCACTGAATTACCAACCGCCGCAGCATAGAGAGACTGCCTGCCACTATACCAATCCCGCATTCGAACATCGACCAGATAATAACATTGGCGATGTTGTCTGCATAGTGCTCGTTAGGCTTCACGTCCTCCCAAATGCTTCATAAAAACATATTTGAGAGATAACTTACAAAGTTGATCAGCCCTGATACTCCAGTATTGCAGGTATGGAATTCGGACGATAGTTGACAAAGATGCACTACAAAGGAAATCAGCTATGTGGTAAACATCCTGGCCGCATTGAACATACCTGGCACCAAGAGCCAGCATGACCCATGTCAGTATCTTCATCTTACGGTCCATTTGCATATTCCATAGAATAAAAATCGGCAAGCCAGCGCAGGCAAAGTCCGTTAGAATAGATGTTCCGGTCACCACGAACCCGATAACCAAGACAGCGTCGTAGGCACAGTCCTGACGTGTAGCCGTGAGATCCCAATTTTTCTCAATGGGGTGACACACCGTCAGGCCTCCAATTATCCCAGTCAATCCAGTCATGATGACAATGGAGATAATTATCCAGAGTACGATTTTGTGACTTGACTTGGCCGTAACGCGCAACATGGTCAAAAAAATTGCACATTTGATGAACATTGCAGCTGTGAAATAAAGCAGTTCCCAGATAAGCAAGTACTGCAAATCTTTATTTAGAGCTGATCAAACAACAAGGGACACGAGCCAGTCTTCATGTCTAGCATTGCACATACCTTGTGTGCCTCAGAATATTGTACCATGTTGATTTTCGCATCGTGGGTCCCTATGCCGATGAAGCAGGCATATGCAGTCACACAGGATGTTGCCTGAAAAGTGACCATGCCGACGAGCATCATACCATCATCTGCCCCAAAGAGCTTCTCTTGCATGCGAAGCCAGCATCTTAGCGAAACGGTGGCGAGAGTCAGGACAGACAGAACTATTGACAAAGCTAGAGTCGCAAGCGCAAGGTCGTCGGAGGGTTTAAGGTAAAGAGACCCGGAATCAGCGAGCATCTTCAATGAGTTGGCGCCTTTGGCATGTCATTTTGGTCGAGGCTTGAATGCAAGTGACAGCTCGGAATAGAACTACCCTGAATCGGTCCCATCATGGCGCAGGAAATCGGGCCTCTTATGGCTGGTGCAGACACAGTCTTGCAAAAGCCCCCGTTCATCCCGTGGGCCCGCGTTGTAATCACCGTTTAAGCTTGTCTCAACAAGGGCCCATTCAGGACACAGGGGCTGATGTTTCATTCACGATCTTGGAGGCTCCATAGGGGCTTGATCCATTAAAGTCAAAGCGACACAGCTTTCTTGTCCATGTTGCCTGCATATGTCTTTCTTCCGTCCTACTATTGTGCCTGCTATTGCTAGCCCAACATCAAACTTTGGTCGATCCTTTCAGCTCCATGGTCTCGAAGTGCTAGGCCTCGATTAAGTGGTAGTGCGTCTGCCTTCCTCGGGAGCTGAGTCGTGTAATATGGATACGAACCCTAATCGGGCTCCGCATTGACTGCAGCCGTACGGCAGTGTGAAAGAACGCGCTTGGTATTGCCTAGGATCTCGTCCAGCATCGAGCGGGATTGGTCTGCGTTGTGCCCCGGACCATGTCACAAGACCCGCCTCCCGGGTGACAATCCTCTTACGCGCGGTGAATGCCGCCGCCCCGGGGCTTCCGGGTTCTTCGCGTCCGGGACGCAGTGGAGCCCAGGCCCAATAGCAAACACGGCAGCGGGTCTACGCAGGCGCGGCCTGTGCCGTGATTTGTTTTGAAAAGCGCAATGACTTGGTAAATATGTGAATTGGTTGATGATCGGTGTTTCGGGACGAGTTCGGAACCGACGCTGAAGGACCCACTAGAATATTTCAGCCCCGATGGGTGACGGCGAAAACACCTCTAATCCGACGGGATCATATACAACTTTTTACATACTCGGACGTTTGGAGCGAGAAATCACGATGCGAGCCTTAGAGCACTGCCTGCGTACACAATATTCGCCGAGCGCAGGCAAAAGTTCCGCACCGGAAAAGGCATTGAACTTAGATATTAGACACAGTAGATAGTGGTCACGTACCAAAATTTGTTTGAACATTTTTCACGAGATATCGAAGTTCGAGCTCGTATGGTCGAGCTCATGAGCTTAGAAAGGGCTTTGGAAAATAGGAGGAAAAGCTGATAACCTTGTCCGATTAAGGTACGCCTATTCACGCCAATTGGACTTTGTGAAAAAATACAACCAAGCTGCAGAAAACAGAACCATGAACAATGCAAGGGGTTTCCTTGGCCCTTCCAATCAATGCAATATCTGCCATTTGGCCCTTGGTAATTCTTCCGACTCAGCAGCTCTCTCCTCTCATCAAGACATTCCATCCTTCATCTGAAAACGCTTGTCCAGAGATGGGATAGTTTGGGGATGATTGACAATTCGTCGTCTTGCAGCACTGATCGATGATTGCCTCCACTGCGTCGCCAAGCTCCTGAGTACCCTGAGGAAGCTTTATCGTGATGTTCCGCTGAGGCCAAGATTCCATGTCAGGATACGCGTTTTCATTTGCAGCCGATTGGAGAAGCAACGGGACTTACGTCGTTGCACCACCATATCGCGGAGTTCTGAGCACAACTGACCTGGGCACAGTTGCCAGGCCCTGGACCGATGACCGCGGGCCCCGAGATGACTCCGATGGCAGGGACTAGAGCTGCGATATGATGCGCGTCGGCCATGGGGAAGACGCCGCAAAATTTAACAGTATTGACTTCTCTGCCGATGTTGTATCGTTGATCATGCGCCGCAGACCGCTCGGCTCGAGGCCGTGGAGGAAGCTGCAAGATTTCACTCCCCTCAAGATGGTCCTCGATCTCTTGGAGGGTCCCATTGATCAGGAGAGGCTCGCCGAATGCCGGTTTCAAGATCCATTGCATCTCATCGATGCCGTAGTCCGTAAGAGCAGACGTGACACGTATGTAATCCTGGGCCTGCAGGAAGGAGTTAGAATCGTCGAGCTGTGCAACTATAGAGAGGGTCTTACAGCTGCTTGGACTAGGCTCGTGGCTGCCGCGTGCAAGATAATCGAGAGCTTCATGATGTATCTGGTCCAGGATTCGTTGTGACGACAGGATATATCGGGTCTCGGGTTCGTATTCGTCAGTTCGTGTTTCGTCAAAAGGTAGTCAGGTCAACCATTGGAAGAAGACTTGGACTAGAAGAACGGTCTCAAGAGGTCTCAGGAAAACACAGTTCCCTGCTTCAACATTCAGATAAACAGAACCGGTCACTTGCCTCGAGGAAGGCGCATTTGCAGCGCCCGAACGAGAATATGAAGGAAAAGGAAGTCATCACTCTCTGGTAATACCTTCTATTTCTGTTCCGCTCTTCCGCTTTTTGGATCGTCATACCATTGAAGATGATTTGTGTAATTTACAACCTCCTTACCTGAAGGAGACCGTCTAGGGATGCATCTATATCCTTTTACAAGTCCGATTGGGATCAATGCGTAGGTACAAAGGCATGTCCCACCTCGCCAACATTAGGCTGGCCACGTGCGTAAATGTCAAAATTGAGAGTGACCCAGAAACTGAGTTTCTCTGATAGATAATACAAGCCAAACTTCATCTTCTTTCTGACACTGTTAGAGATACAGGGAGCAAGAACGTAGTCCATCGATTTGTGAACTTTTGATGAGACACCCACGTTACATAAAGACATCTATATTCAAATTACTGCAACATATAGACAGTGCCGAATCCGCCGGTCTTCCCAACTGTTCACCGGCTTGACCAATTCGACACCAAGCCGCCCTTGAAACTTTGGAGGAACGCACCATCGAGATGTTGAGAGACCTCGACCCCTCAGCTCCCAACCCCAACCTTGAGAACCTTGGCACTGAACGAGTACATGGGTGGCCAGAGGGGTTGTGCATACCAAAGATAGATCTTGTCACCCACAAATGAAGCAGCCGGAGAACGGACTGCAAGTTCGGATAGAGAAATCAACAATTCATTCATAGCCTTCTGCTCAATTCTTGTGACATCAACGCAAGGAGCAACTTTGTTGGATGCCGCCGTTCGTCCATTCTTTGCGTGACATTACGTCAGCAGCTCAGCCACCTTTTGACATCATGTTGAACTGCAAATATTCCCAGATCCACAAACACAGCTTTACCCTTATTTCTTCTTGCAACACAAGCCAGATATTGACTCTGGCCACACTCCGATAGTGAAATCCAGTCTCCTCTTCCATCTTTCTCCCCATTGTCCCCCAGGACCAAAGCTATGGCCTCCAAACGTGGCCTCTGCTGGCCCACCGACAACCACGGCCGAGACGAAGTTCTCGCATTCACCAAGCCGGGCTCTAAAGTCTCGTGGCTCTACAACTGGTCCCCCCACCCAACCCCCAATGGCGGATCCCTCCAATTCATTCCCATGCAGTGGAACCACGTCAACATCGACCAGCTGCACGACCACGCCCGCAACGCCGGTGCCCAAGCCATCCTAGCGTTCAACGAGCCCGAGCTCCCAGACCAGTCAAACATGCCCGTCGACCTCGCCGCCAACGAGTGGTTGCGATGTATCGAGCCACTACGAAAGGCCGGCGTGCGCTGTGGAAGCCCAGGGATCTCGTCCGCGCCTCATGCTGTCGGCTGGCTGCAGCAGTTCCTCGCCAAGATCCGCGAGGGCGGCTCCGACATCGACTTCTACTGCTTCCATTGGTACGGCGTTGAGCTGGGTCAGTTCTACGACTATATCTGGAGTACGCACCACCAACTTGGTCCAGATAAGCCGGTATGGATCACCGAGTACGCCTGCACGAACTGGAGCGTGGAAAATCCACTGCCGCGGGAGCACGTTGAGAATTTTGCGAGGGAGAGCGCCAAGTACCTTGATACCCTGGATTGGGTCGAGCGCTATGCCTGGTTTGGACCCATGAGAGACTGTGGGACTGTCGGCCGATGGGCCGGCATGCTGGATGGTGAAGGCAGGTTGACGCCCCTGGGCATAGCATATAGGGACGAATAGAGTAACATTTACTTATGCTCACGAATTTCCTCCGTCTCTATCATCACTAGAGTCTCGAGCATAAGTCCAAAACTAGGGCTTACCATGTAGCTCGGTCTGGCTGGGCGCCGTCGCTTTTCGGGAATTAATCATCCTCAAGTGGGCGCGTCCACAGGTCTGTCCCTCATTTCCAATGAAATCTGAGTAGAGTTGCATCCTTCCAACAAAGTTTATAAGTACAAAGTTCAGCCGCAAGTGAGTATTCCAAAAGCATTTCCCAAAGCAGATACACACAAATCCCAAAAGCTATGCGAAGGTACTACCGTAAATACTGAATGCTTGGCTCCTTCCGAAATTTTAGTTCAAACTTGACTTTCATGCAAATCCTCGTTCTCCCGATGATGGGCAGTCAAGCGATAATTTCCGTACCTCAATATTCATGAAGCAGTGAAAACTGGCCATCTTTGTACATACAAGTTGAAATGGGACGCCTTAGATTGCCTCGAAGTTAAAACGCACTCCTCTCGGAGAGTAACTGACGGTAAAGTGCTCTCTGACGGCAGGTTCTTGGAAGTCACAAGGCCGGGACACCTTGAGATTGTAGAAGAGGTGAGCGATGAGAATTACCAACTCTGCGTTAGCAAGGCTGCGAAAATTGTATGTTAGCATGATCTCTTACGTTTGGTCCTTGGAGCAAGAGAATCTTACTTGATACCGATGCACATGCGTGGGCCCTTGGAGAAACTGTAGATGTGCTCCCCAAGCTGTTTTGAATCAGGACGCAGCCAACGTTCGGGGTTGAATACTCGCGCGTCCGCGCCGAATATCTCCTCACTCATGTTCATAGTGTAGGATGACATCCCAACGACCGTCTGCAGAGGTGGAATTCCATGGTCAGATTTTTAACTTTCAAGGCAGGGAAGGGATAACACGGGAAAAACTTGCCCCTGGAGGTATGACTTTGCCATCAACAATGAGCGGGTCCGCATCATTGGGTACCACACGCGGAAGGCGAGCAGGCTGCGCCACCGCGCATCGCACGGATTCTTTCACCACAGCCATCAGGTATGGGATCTCCTCTAGCTCACTCAGCGGGAGTCTCTCGCCCCTCTTCCTGCCACGGGCTTTCAGAGCACTCTCTAGTTCAGAAACAAGCCTCTGCTGGATTTGCGGGTTGCCGGTGACGGCTGTAATTGCATATGTCAAAGTACTTGCGGTGGTGTCTCCTCCAGCGACGAGCATGCTCATCGCCTCGATAGACTTCTCACCATCAACCAAACCTTCGAGGGCGTCAAATATGACGGGATGATCGACTTGACCCTTGTGTTCTTCCCAGTATTGCACAGAATCTTCTGCATACTGCCTCATGCGGGTTAGAAACCAAATTGGCATAAATGGTGAGCGAGCGAGCGCTCATGGACTTACGTCGAGAACATTCATAAATTGTCCCACATCTCCGCCGAAACGGGCCACAAGCTTCCTGGGCAGCATATCAGACAGCGCCCTCAGGACCCAATATTGCCGCATGTATTCGACGCCATCGGCGGTTCCTTCAATAGCCGCGACGGCACGGGCCTTGAAGCCATCTTTCGACTCCTCAATCAGGCCAGCGGAGCGGGAGAAGGCGAATTGAGCGATGATCTCAGTGGTCAAGGCCCTGAAGGCATCGTACGCATCGACACTGGAGCCCTTGCTCAGGCGCAGGATCTTCCTCTCCATTATCTCGTATTTGTCGTGCATGAGAGACTCGAGCTTGAACATGCCGGCTCGAGAGAACATGGGGTTCAGCAATTTACGCCGCATGCGGTGGAGCTGCGGGTCGTACTGTCCGAAGAGGGTCTGGTGGGAATTGAACGCATCGTAGAATCCCGGGTCTTTAAGATACTTGGTATTCTGGCCATAGATGGTCTTGTAGAGGCCGACATCGTCAAGATGAAGTTCGTTGGGTCCGATACGAAGAGCATGTGTATCTACTAGGGTGTGAGCGGGTCTGTGATGCCCTGAGGTAGAGCATATGAAATCCACTTACTGTATTGTTTGTGCAGCCTTTCAAACACTTTCTCGGGATATGCGACCTTTTCTGTAGCAATCTTGTGTTCCCAATATCTCGATATGGCCGCGTCGCGTGGTCCTGGAAAGGCTGCCAGAGGATGGAAATGTATGCGATATATGGAACGCAACCATACGTAGACCAATCGGAGAAGGCTAATTGTGACCAACACAACCCCTGCACGCGCCACAGTGGACTTCGGCAGGATTTGTGGCGATGTCGAAAACATGTCCGAACTTAGTTCGGTGAAGCTTTTGGATAGAACAGCCATTGTTTGTGATTTTCCTGGTACTGGGATTCTGAAGGCGATTGCTTTGAAATGCATCAACTCTCATTCTTATACTATATTTACAAGTTGGACTGAATCGCTTTCAATTCACAATGAAGTCCTCATGGCTCGGACATCGGAACTCTTCAAAAATCTCGGGGTGCGGCGGCTCCGGGGTGCGGGTGCAGCATCGCCCGGGGTACCAGTTGAGCGGTCGCCACTACGGGCTGAGCGGTCGTCAGGGGTTAACCAATTTAGGACTAGCATTTTGTGCACGGACTCTGACAACCGCTCAACCCGTAAAAGTGCATACTGAGTTTAAACTCGAGCTGGCAATTGAATTTTAAAAAGGGCCGGATGGGGCGAAAGGACGAGCGCGAAGCGAGAGGCTGGTAGGCCGGGCCTGAGCACCACTTGAGGCCCAACCCGGTACTCTTTGTGTTCCTCTAAATAGTAAAATGCGAGTGTGAATCTGGTGTGAACTTAGTATGAACTCTGTGTAAACTCTGTGTATACTTGGCGAGATTTTAGCGCTAGCTTAATTTAGCTAGGGTTATGGTTCTCTTGGCAGGGTTAGGGGTAGTGCACGGGCCCTGACGACCGCTCAGCCCGTAGTGGCGACTGATCAAGTGTATGCCCGCATCGCCCAGCCTCGCACGGTACAGACTGCCGGACTGATTGGGCGGGGGGCGCGGGGTGCGAGATCTCTTCCGTCTGTAGGTGCGGAACGGGACGTCTTTGAACAGCGAGTAGCCTGGGCCAAAAGTCTCCATGATGGCATACTGTGACCGTCCGAGTCAATAGGAAGCGTGGATCCCACCCCACTCACGCTGGCTGCATGCTGTCGAAGCGGTGGAGTAGCTGTGTAGTGCCAATAAATGATTTTGCTATGCTTGTTGCTTGTGCATTGGTGGCATGCCTAAATGTTACAAAGTACCGTCCTGGTCGTCCTCAACCAGCAATTACAAACCTAAGTCACCCTCGTCCTCATCAGATTGTCAATACTACATCATGTCCCTTAGAGGCCGAGGAGTCCACCTCCCCCTTTTCCGCCACCTCCAAGCCCTAGGAGTCCGCCACCACCTCCTCCTTCCTTGCCTCCCTTGCCTTGCGGTTGCCCGCCCAATCCGCCCAGGACACCTCCTAGAAGACCTCGAAAGTGCGTTAGCTTTATGATGGCTGAAATGTGTGGGCCTCATGACACTTACCGCCGACTCCGTCAGTGACTCCGCCGCTGTGAAAGATCGTTAGCTGGTATTCCAATGCGGATAGTTCACGTCACGACGTAGGACCACGTTCAGATACGCGGAGTCCGCCGAGACAAAGATCAGTTGAGGTTGAAAGCTTACACGACATCGCCGACGCCGCCAAGTCTGTGAAAATGTCAGAATCAAGAACTTTCGATAAGGGCTAAGCTCCAACTTACAGGTCTCCTTGGCCAACCTTGCCGACGCCCTTTCCTAGGCCACCTGTGATTCCGCCGACAGCGTCGCCCTGTTTTGCAAGTCAGTATGTATGCATATCAAATGACTGTTGTCGAGGTGTAGTGTCAACGTACGAGACCACGACCGGCTCCGCCAACGATTCCGCCCTATTTCACACGAGTTAGTTTCACGTATTGGACAAATCGAGTTGATGATACGATATCCCAATTTTTTAAGAGGTGGGGAGGGGACGTAGCCCTATGGTCGCCTTGCTGCTCCCCAGTGGAGGAGCAATGTTTCATTGAAAAGGCGCATATGATGCTTGAGATTCATGATAGTGCCGGGGCTGGGGAGCGAAGAAGGTGGAAACTTACGACTGGTCCTGGAAGGCTGTCTCCGAGGCCACCGACAGCTGCAAATCACTCATGGTTAGTGTTGTTTCTCGCTTTGTGTCGACAGTATCCACGAGGCAGACTTCTGCAGACTCTTCCTCGGGCCTGACGTCTGGGCAAGCTGCTGGAGTGCACCCTCAGAGAGCGGCTGGCCTCGAGACAGCACTACTTTGGGTTTCGGGGTGGGTGGTGGTTGTTGCTTACTGCCTCCGACGGTATCTCCCTGTCAAAGTGGTCAGTGATCAGGTGTTTCACACAGGCGAGAATTAGGAATACTCACCAATCCTTTTCCTACGCCTCCGACGGTGTTCCCAAGGCCCTTGGTCGCACCGCCCAGAGTGCCACCAATATCGCCGCGGCCAAGAGCACCAGTGGTGTCGCCCAGGGTCTGTCCAAGTCCACCTGTGGCAGCTCCAACAGTCTGGCCAACCCCACGGGTTGCGCCGTTGACGGCCTTTCCAGCAACTGGCAGGCCCTTGCCGACGTCGCCGATAGTGAAGATTCCTTGCTGCGCAAGGTTCCCGGCACCGTCCAGAGCGCCCTTTCCGGTCTTGCCAACGGCGCCGAGTGCACCGCCTTGGCCCTGTTCTTGTCCCTGGCCCTGGCCCTGGCCCTGCTGTCGCTGCAGGGCTTCTTGCTGCTGCTTGAGGGCCTCTTCCTTCTTGCGCTGGGCCAGGATCTGATGTGTGGGGATCTTGGCATCGTCCAAGTACACCTTCTCCTTCTTGGGCGCCTGTGGCGCCTGCGGCACAGGTTTCTTGACAGCGGCCTGTGGCTGCTGGGGCAGTTCCTCCGCCGCGGGCTGCGGTGCCTTGACGGCGGGGGGTGCGGCCTTCGGCACCTTTCGGACCAGCGGCTTCTTGTCTGTGAGGCCGGGAATCTCCTCACCGCGCGACAGGGCTGCAGCCATGTCGTACTTGGGGGTGTGCCTGATCTTCTTCTTCTTCTTTTTCTTCTCGGTCGTAGCTTCTGACCCATCTAGAGTTGCAGACTCTGCGACTGCCTTCTTGGCCTCGGCGGCCGTCTTGCTCACGGATGGCTTGGCAGCCGAGGTGGACTTCTTGACTGGTGCAGGCGCATGGTCCTTGATGTCTGATGTGTCGGGCAGATTTGGCTTGGACTTGGATGCGGCGGCCTTGATTTCCTGCCTTGATGGTACCTTTGCCTCCACTTCGGGCACATCTGGCTTGGGCAAGGATGCAACGGCCTTGATGGCCTGCCTTGATGATATCTTTGCCTCCGCGGCCTGGTCTCGTGCCTTCTTCGCCGCAACATCATACGCCGGCTGTTTGGTTGAGACCTTTTTGATAGCTTCGTCCGTTGCCTTTTTGGCTGCCATGACCTTCTTAACCGCATCGTCTGTTGGCTTCTTAGCTGCCTTGTCTGCGGTTGAAGCTAGGGACGGTCCGTATTAGCGTATGAACTGCTGAGATGGACCGTGATGAGGCCGTAAAAAGTCAGACTAGCTTACGATGGAGAGCGGCTGCTTTCTTCAGAAGGGCGATCTCCTTCTTCAGAGCCTCATTCTGCTTCTGCAGCGCTGCTTCCTTCTTGAGGCGAGCGACCTCTCGCTGTAATTCCTCGTTCTGTTTCTGTATATCCGCCATGTTGATTCAAACTGACAGCGAAGAACTGAAGTTGTCCTGGAAAGAAACATCCAAAGGTTGGTACCGAAATTGGACACAAGCCATTGCTGTGGCTGAGGCGATGGACATATGTAATTCGAAAGCTGACCGGTGACGTATGGGCGCCACGGCGATTGAGGAGGGTGGGCATGAGGTGTGATGAGATGACAGCTGGGGTCTGCTGCCGGTGACGTCGAGCACAGGCGGTTTGATGATGCTGATTCGCTTAGACGACACCCTCCTTCATGCACGATGCACATCGCGCCTCGAACTCACTCGCCACACTTGAGCCAAACTGCACCAAGCAGCCCAGGCTTACGCAGGCCCTCGGCCACTCACGTCGCCTGGACGAGACGCTCATATGAAAGCATGCCCCCTGTCACCGCTATCATACCCTCCCACCAGCCACACGATAGCTGTGGGGATCTTCATTCATCTCGATCACCGGCCGAGACATTGCGGCACAAGACACAGGCACACCTGCACTTGACCGGCACCACGGCTGCGCAAAATCAAGAATTGTGGCGCTTCGACATCACCGTCTCCTCTTTTCTCATCGAGGTTTAGCCTACTTCGGCTTCGGGCGTGGAAACTATGTCACTCACAGCAGGGGTGTACCAGGTCTGGACCTTTCTTTCGGCCCCGATGTCCTCGCATCTCCTTTTGCTCCGCTATTTTGTTTGCTTTGGAAGACTGCTTCTAGGCTCTCAGGGTCTCAAATGGTCGCATTACCTTGGGGGGGAAGTGCAGAGATCGCTGTAGGTGCAATACATGAGCGCTGCATCAACTTGCCCGGTCACCTATATGAAACCCAGCCACTGCAGGATATTTTGCGCATCCTTTTGGAATGATTGTGTACTTTCACGACGACACAGACGACCGTGCTCGAAGATTACGGTGAGGAACGGGGAGTCGGGCGCCCGATGACACGTCGAAATCCGCACATGAGAATGAAAACAATAATGCATGGAACTAGGGATCACTAACACGGTATGTTCTCGTTTTATCTCCACACTAATTGTCCTTGTTCTATTCAATTTCCATATAGTATGTCTTTTACTGCATTTGCATCATCCTCTGTTGTTCCAAGCCCTCAGATTGTCTCTGTAATCACCATCCTGCCACATCTCATACCACTCACGCATCAGCACCTCTTTAGCACCATCCTCCTCCAAGCGCCACGCATCCCACATGATATAACCCCACAAGCGCAGCGGCCTCGGAATAAAGGTGCCAAACAAGTTACTGTACGCCTCGCCCCAGATCAAAACCCAAGCTAGAGGCGGTGAATCTAGGTCATCTCCTATAAAGGGCATCGGTCGACCCTCATCCTGCGCAGCGTCGCGCTCCGAGTAGGAAGTCTCCCATCTCTCATGCATGTCGGTATTTCCGGTTACGTCGCCAAGCCAGTACTCTGACGCGTGCTTGAACATGTTGGCTTGCATGGTGTTCACAAGCTCCTCGTGCTCGTGTATACGCGATATCGATGCAAAGAGCGGAAGTCCTTGGCTTACGAGGAAATTGCGACAGTTGACCCTGGTACCTACCAACGATGTAAGCGTTGTCACCATTTATCCACATATGTCGATTTCTTTGACGTACCGCCTCGTTCGAAGTCGAACGCGTGTTCCGGCTCGCCCGGGAACGAATGGCCGTTAAACCTGTGGCTACTAGGCTTGAGGTCGTCCGAGACCTCAGAGAGCCTTGCCTCATATTTCTCCTCGAAATAGGCATTGATGCATAGGATTTCTTCAGTTTCCCAGGGCTCATAGCTCGAGAGGAATCGAAGGCAGCCGAGATGTCTCGGTCGATTGGCTGATATGTTATGGTCCTTGAGCCTGTTGCCAAACACATCACACAGTATTTGAAAACGGTACATGCCTCTTTGAATCCGCATTTGCTCCGTAATGCTGAGAGGTTTTGACTTGACCGAAGTTCCGAGATTTGTCAAAGCCCAAGATGAGTATTGCTCGACTAGGGGCTCGACTATTGCTGCATGGAAGGTCGCCATTTGCACAGCCTTTTCCAGTGATACGGAATATCTCCAGGACTTGTCGTGCAATTTCTTTGCCCCATTTCGGTATGATTCCAGGAAAGGCCAAATCATACTTGGTTCATGACGCATCTTCATTGCGTCTCGGCGCTGCCTCTGAAAGTCATCCTGCATGGCGGCATGCGCAGTGCAGGCATCGATAAACGAGTCTCCAAGAACAATAATCAAACAATTTAATATGAACTTCTTGGGCTCTCTTCGGAACAAAGAGTAGAAAACCGGAGACGTGCAGATGATAGCGCCTAGAGACCCCAGGCTGGGAAGCCAAAGCATAATTTCCCTCTGGATCTCACCAGGCAGCGTTTCAATGCAAATGGGCGGTGGACCCCGATCCACCGAGCCAGATTTTCGTCTTTGCAAGTAGTTGGTTTCCATGGTTAATTTCAAGAATCAAAGATCAGATGGAGTTATTGCAGACACAAGAGTTTGTTTGGGCTTGAGCTACTTGTTATGGGGAGAAACCCCTCCTTGTCAGAGAATCGGCTTTCTCCATAGCTGTTATCGCCTGATAGGTCCCTCTCTGGTTAAGGGCGCAGCACACTGCATTGAAGCCCGAGATGGTGCACTGCGGGGAACGTACGCAAAATTGCTTGGCTGGGCTCAACGTGGCAGCGCCGCACACTCAGAAGACTAAAGCTAATGTAAGATTGACTCACAAGGGCAAACAATAATTCGCTATTGAGGTGTACAATCTGTGACTGAATGAATTCTAATTTGTTCCACACTGAGTTCGGTTGGACCAGGTAGGCATTTCCCTCATGTGCACTCAAACAGAACGATTATTGAGCAGCTGTTGCCGGACAGATGGTATAGATCTCACCAAAATGAACGAACAATGACAGCATCATGACTCCCCTCAAGGAGTCTCTTGTCTGAGTCCGACGTATTCCGCATGCTGACTGAGACCCTGATTCTGGAATGGTGTTCATTCTATCTTGTGGGTCTTCAAGTGACAATGCTCACGCTAAATGACCGTATCAATTCAATAAAGCGACTACTCATCTGATGTGAGGTACAATTGTGCGACGGCTAAATCTCTGCCCTGGTGCTGGCTTTTACTTCTTAATTGGGCTTGCATTGGAAACTTTGTGGTTATAAAAATTCCTTTAAAACACCCTCGCCACTACAAACGACCTTATGTCAGTGTTGATGGCAGTACCAGTCTTTTCCCTCTAGTAGACAAAGAGCTCGCCTTCATTATGCTCGCATTTCTCACGCGTTCCCGTTTTACGCCCCTCTTTGCACTCCCAAGTCGCAAACAAGGGTAGTCTCTTTGTCGAGCTGCTCTCCACAACGGGCGTGGTAACAAGGTACTATGTCCCAGACCAAGTCTTGACGCTGTGATTCATTGGGCACACTTTACCAGTATAAAATCACTGAGGAGCGGCATTGTTATGCGACAAAGCTCCCTAGCGATGCACGTTTCGGATCACTGCTGGCAGCAAGTATTAAAACATCAAGGATACGAAACGCATTCACAAGAGTGTCCGTGGTGATCCAAGCAAATCGTTGCGAACGTTCAGAGTACACCGGCAAACTATTTCAGCAAATATTTGCATCAAAGACCCGCAAAAATTACCAACTGGACATCGAAAACTTGACTGGATTGTTCTCATGATGGCAAAAGACAACGGGCACTGTCATTGCTTTCGGAACACGGTTTGGTTAGCCGTGACCGTTTGGATCCTATATGCACTCTTCAACTCAGAGCTCGCAGCACGACTTCAGGAGTTTTATTTCTCGGTTTTGGTGTCTACTATCAGGCTGTGTATCTTTGTTGCCGAATACCTGAAAGAACTTGGACAAGATGTCTATAGGAATTGGCAAGAGCACTCATGCCAGACAGCTCCATGCACTGCCCATCCGCCTCCCAACGTTGTATGTGCTCAACAGGCCACGAAGTTTGGAGCCGATCTATTTGTAAAGATAGCAGCTTTTCTCGTCGACCATGCTATCAGATACCAAGGCTCGGGCATTTTGGCATCAATTTACGTGTGGATGAAAATTGCAATCCCTAATTGAGACATTCCCCTTCCCATTACGGTGCATATCTCTTCATTTATGCCCATTTGGGCGATCTACTAGTCGTGGTCCTTCAGTCAAACATACGATTAGTCAGGCATGTGGGTGTCGGAAGTTTTCTGCGGTCTTGAAGATGAAGTAAAATCACAGAAGCGACATTGTACAGAAAGCTTTCAACTTCGTTCTTTTTTCTGTGGACAAAGAATTTACATATTGACTGTCTCCGTGTTTCCCATATCGTGAATAGGCCAGATTACATTTTATGACCCATAGCATATGCAGCTGTTGTTTCATCGGAATTTCGAATTGCTCGAAGATCAAACACAATCTGAACAAATAATATAGCGATACAGAATGATACACTCGAGACATACAACTTTGTCGAAATGTGTGGCAAGACTAACGAACCACGGCCAACTGCAACGACCTTCCTGACACTCGCAATGTTGAAAAGTCGTCAATAGTGGTGAAGCGGAAAGAAGTTGAAGTTGCGCATGTAGAAGAACATTTCCGCCACATATGTTACCACCCCGCCTTGCTGCACCACCTGTCCTTTGGGCCTATGGATGTTCGGCTCCACTTCAAGCTCGACCTCCCTGGACTTGTCTGCCACAACCCTGGGCCAAGTCTGCACTCGAATTGCCTCGGGGCGAATGGTCGTCTCTTGTCGTAGCTCTATAGCAGCAAATGCAACCTTCTTTTGTTTCTTGCCTTCTACTTGGCCCAGCTCAGGCTGGAGGCTGGGCGCTTGCTGAGGCAAACCCATTTTGGCGTACAGATTTGTCGGGACAGGACTTGGCTTATGGTGGAGCTGATCAATTCGAAAACCAGGTAGAACCAGTTACAGGTGTGATATTGAGTATGGCAAGAAGTCGAAATGCGCAGGCGCTCAGGACAGCAGAGGAACAGTATGGCGACGATGAGAGCAAAGCAAGCGTTTGCACTCAGGATTTGGTTGTGGGGCAATTGGCATCTTAATTCATGACCAAAAGAATTTTAAGAACAAAGGGATGATTTTTCCAATAGAATTACAGAATTTGGTCTACCAAAGGCAGGCATTGGGTTCTCGTCCTCTTTTCTCGGGAACGCTGACATGTCAGCCTCGCCTGCTGACAGTCAGCCCATCCGCCACCATTCATCATCAAGGCTGCCGCATTTTTGCCTCCTTGGGCATCATAAATCGGATTCGCAATCGCAAAGTTGATCCCGAAAAAAAAGGCAGGCTTCTGCTGCAGCATGGAAGTGCCGCGAGCTCAGCGCAGGTTTCAGATTGACGATCTTTACCAGGACAATTAAGGATGCTTCGAACCTCAGAGGCAAGTACAGAGGCGAGGTCGAGATCGGGACATCGGGAACCTTATATCCAAGTTGGATGCGTCAGGTCAGTCACCTCATGTGCAAGCTGCTGACCCGCGCCTGAGAGATGCCAAGCCAATAACCCATAAAACTATCCCCATTTCTACAACAGCATGCACCACAAGGAATTATCCGTCCAAAACGTGCCCCTCAAAACCATTCGCCAGGAAGAGATTCTTCGGGCCGACGCCATCTGGCAGAAAAGTAGAAGCTATTGCCGCCATTTAGTTGTGACCTACACGCTAGCATTTCTCTTACTTTTCCATTTCCTCCTTGGCTCAAGCCTTTTCTCACAACTCCTGAGCGCTTGTCAAGATGGGTGGCGTGCCCTCCGTCCCAACTGACCCCAACAGGACCCTACAGGTCATTGGGGCAGGCTACTCCCGGACCGGAACCTCGTCGATGGCGATCGCGCTCGAGAAGCTTCTTGATGGACCGGTCTGCCATGGTGGCTCACAGATGCTGGGCAGAGAGGACAGTACGTAATAAGCAGTGTCAATTGCAACACCATACAGCTGGTGACCCTGGTCTGACGGTGCGAACAGGCTATGTCCAGAAGTGGATCGAGGTCTACAGACAGCGTGATGCGGGCAACCGCCCTGCTTTGATGAAAGCGCTTCGGGAGGCGACACGAGGATTCGTCGGCGTTACCGATGTACCTGCTGTTGACTTCATTGGAGAGTTGATCGAGCTCTACCCGGAGGTCAAAGTAAGTCGGGACTACTCTAACTTGACGCATTTTACTTTCCATCTTCACGCCATCGCCACCAAGGAGTGACGATTCAAACTTGAAACAAATGCTTACAAATATTTGAAAAATAGGTCATGGGGGTTAGGCGAGACCCCGACGCATGGTGGAAGAGCATGGGCAACTTGAACAAGGTATCATCGCCATGGTGGCTCCAGTACTTCCTAGCACCTATGCCCACGTGGCGATGGTTTCCCGCCTTTATTGAGGGAATCAGAGGAAGAGGCAAGCTGGGAGCCAAAGTCTCCGGAAACGTTGTCCCCGGCCCCCGTAGGTCCTTCTCTCTATGTTTTGAGACAGCAGCTTCGCTGACCAGATTTTGAAAGATCTTATCGCACTTCACAACAAGACAGTGGAAAAGAAGACGCCTCCTGGACAGATGTACTGGATGGAGATCACCGATGGATGGGCTCCATTGTGTAAGATGCTGGACAAGCCTTTACCTAAAGAGCCTTTTCCCAGGGTCAATGATGCTGCGGCACTTAATGAGTTGATCAGAGGAATGATGCTGGCCACTGCGGGAGTATGGCTTGGGATCACCCTTGTACTTTTCACCGTCATTTACTGTGTGGCTAGATCGGGAGTCTTGTTGCCGTCAAGTGGCGGCTCATTTGTGGCATTGTCCACCGTTTAGCGGGACTTTTCTGTTATGCATTTATCCCTTGGGGAGTTAGACTCAGGTAGACTGCCTAGTACTATGTGCTAGGCCACCAAAACTAGAATGATCGAATTGCTCACTGCATCAGCGGGTGTTGACGCACCAGAACTCTCAGCAATCATAATCATCATGTCGAACGATGACATTCCAGCCACCTGGCTCGAAAATCTGACCGCCAGTCATAAGAGACTTCGATCGGTCGTACCAGAAACATTGGCGAGTAATATCCTCAGCAGCATCTGCAATTTTCCCCCACGAGTCCAGCGTTTTCTCTTGGTCGTTGTCGTTGCACCAGTAAATAGCCGAGTACTACTCGCAGCTGATTCTGCCACAGGATCCCGGGCCAGGTTTGTTCCCAGGCTGGCCTGTGAGATTACGAAGGTAACTGATTCCGTCGAGAGTGACCATGTATGCGGCTGGCTTCCACCGCCTAGTACAGACATCGCACCAACTGCAGAGCCTCGGTTCTTCTGACTTTGCTTTCAAAGAAGCAAACCCATCAAGAGGTGCCACAGAGGCTTTAGAAGCCCAATACTGGTCGAGAAGAGCAGGGTAGTTGGAATTGATGTCGATGAGCTGCTTCAGGATCTCCTGGACACTGCCATTGAGGTACACGGTGGACGTTGCATTGCCAGGGATAGATTCGACCACCCACGAGACATCAGTCATGGTGTAGTTTTCGAGAGGAGAAGGAATTCGAGAGGCAGGCACCTATTGAAACCTTGAAGTTAGGTTTGAAAAGTCCAATTTAACCGGTCATCAGTACGTGATGCTACATGTAGGTACGACGAGGACTTACGTAAGAAGCCGTCACCAGCATGAGACCAGTGCAGACTGCCACGATGGCGATGATAAAAGACTTCATTGTGACGAATTAGGAAGCGTGGGTGGGATGCTGAAGCTAGACGAGGAACTGTTGGGTTGGTTCAATCAGCTGGTGGGTATTGGGAAGGATTGAACTTTTCCAAATCTCAGTTGTGGTACGAAGAGAGAAGTCAGTCCAAATGGTCGCGGGGCGAAGTCAAGATTTTATGGTCTGAAAATGGTGGTTAAGTCAGTCACAAAGTGGATGATAGCTAATCACAAATCAACAGTCCCGGTCACTCATCTCTCCTAGGATTCAATCTAGATGTGTTTGAATCGTGGCAGTACTACCCTTACTGGCCCTGACCGGTCTCTACGGAGACTCAAAGCTTGATCCGGCCCATGAGCAAACTGCGCCTTTCCATCCTTTAACCGCGAGGTGATTTTTCATACTGGGCCAAGTCATCGTCCGCTCAAACGTCTTGCTTCACGGGGAACGTTCTAGGCTAGGCAGATTTTATTGAACTCAGTCGCTTGGGATTTGCCCCTACGAAGTATGTAGGTCATCGGGATGCACCGACTTGCGACGACCACAAGATAAGGACTGATAACTCCAAGTCTCAGACTTAAACCAGCGGCTTCCTACACACCCTCAAAGGTCAATGAAAAAGGAAAGATACATCCTGGTAATACTGTTTTGGTGTCTATCTTGCAAGATTTTACTTGGACCCAAAGTGGCCCGCCCATTTGCTCGTGTATACACCTCATTCTGAGACTGCTCCAGCTTGTGCAACTCCGAGATTGTCAAGCAAATGCAATCTTAATGAACAAAAGCGTTCTGAATAAAGCGACGTCAAAAGGTCACGTTAAGCGGGAATCAAAACGCTGTCAGATACATCATGAATTACCACCTGCTCTTCATCATTCTGGCTCTGGCTCTCCTGCGGCTTTCTCCTTCCCTAAATTCACTGCACTTCCCACACTCGCTGCAGAATCCAACATCGAATCGGCAACTGCAAACATTACACTTTTTGAGGGGACGTTTGACTTCGGTCTGAACCACAGCAGCGAGAAGTCCTTAAACACTGATTGGGTCCTCCCGGCCAGCAAATTATTCTGTAATGACTCATCGGCTTCAACAATCGATCACAAATACGTGTCGCACCTGGTCAACAACCCCTACGCGCGCAGGTCAAGATATTTCCTCCTACTTTCGCAGAGCGGATACATATTCAAGCGTGTCAACTTGGTCGGCACTCCAGTCCGAGGCACTCAGATATATCAGTCTCGTCCTCCACTCCTCGAATTGTTACAGAACGTCTTGCTCGAAGTCTTGAACAATCCTATTGAAGTCGGGAAGAATGCTCTTCTGACATCTAACAGACATCTGCAACTTTGATAAGTACGATGTTCCCATCAGTATTGCTGAATACAACATAGTCGACGGGATTTTGAATGATAATTGCGGAGATTTGGGCGGTTGGCTAATCTTTCCAGAATGGCACCTGTGGTATGTGTGCCCTTCACTTTGATATGCCAGAGCTTTACATCAGAATGCTTGTACAATTTCCTGTGGTTGTGACACTATAGGTAGCGACAACAACACTGGATGTTTTGCTTGCTCTTCCATGCGTCTAACTCAAATTTCTACTCCACAAATTCGAAAGTTGTTCTAGCGGAGGCTCAGGATTGGCCGAGACGCGACAAATGATGATGGGAGTTTTCGATGGGCTTGCGGCCTCCAACCATTGCCGGAGAGACAAGAAATCGAGGCACCACCGTCGGACGGCCAGAAAGGCACAGGTCAAGACGCTCAAAGGCGTAGGATGTTGGACGTTTGAAAATGCAGGGGATCGCAAACATCAATGAAACGGGACATTAACAGAGCTGTACTAGGATTTATCAGCCAGTTGAAAGGATGGTAACATCACATCCAAGTGTCGAAAAGAGAGATGATGAGCTTTTGCGTTGATTTCGACTTATCTGAAAGCCGTCGTCGGACTTTTTAAGACAGCTATTCTTATGGAAATACAAGTCTGCATCAAAAAGGTCAATTGAAGAACAGGTAAAGAGTTTTACCGACTCACCATACGCTAAGACTCGTCGTTCCATCATCAATTGAAGTACCTTTCTAGCACCGAAATGTAAGAAAGCCTGTTCGAAATACCGTCTTCCTAAAAAGAACAGGCCAGGCTCGCTAGGGTGGAATGTTTGGTGCGCCTCTGTTTGTCCGTGTATCTTGATTTTCAGGAGCTAGACCGCCGTTGGGGGTCGTACCACTTCAGTCGGGTGGATAAACATGCCGGTGGAAGACTCACCTCACGTCATGCTGCGCTCTGGCCATGCACAAGCAATCAATATTTCATGTAGAATCAGGAAGTACGTGGCAACGTATGGACGAGCCGCTGTCGCCTGCCAATGCGAAAACGAAAACGAAAATTAAACAGATTTGTGCAGCATGCATCTACCATAGGATTGTATTGTTGGCAGCCGTTGTATCCGGTGATGATTCATGGGCGGTCTTTAAATGAAAATTCATGTGTGGGCACCAGTTATGAGTTGTACGCCCAGCATTCCTTTCAATGTGGCTTACTCACCGTACAGTATGCCATCGCACTCCCGTCCTTGCGCGTGCAGCGTGGCTGAGGTGACAGCAAATAGCCGCCTTGGCTGCATTCAACCTCCAGCGAATTCATACATCTACGTCAGATCCTACTACTTCCAGTGTTGTGGGTAGGGTTCCTATTCAGTCTGTGGCGCATATGCTTTACCTTGTCAATGTCGATCACTGACTCCCAAGACTCCTAATTCTATGACCCCTGTAACCGGTTCTGCGTAGTATCTCTTGAGCCGGAGGATATTTGACAACCGAGGTAAGCGCAGCAGGCACCGACGTGAAGCTGAATCCGACATGCAGGCATTCTACCAACACGAACGGACCTTGCATTAGTCTCAAATTCGTACCGCCCTGTCAGAATGGGGAGATCTTGGTCCGCCCCGCGGCTTCTTGGGCGTCCCGCCCCGCTTGTGGAGCCATCCGCTGTCAGAAGAAATGACAAGCAAAGGATATGGGGTCCCAGGATACAAAGACATTGATATGTGATCAGATTTGGTTGTTTGGTGAGTTTTGTAACCGGGGTGTGTGAGCCGCAACAACATGATCCCGGATGCGAAATACGTGTATTCAGCTGGCCTATTCAAGACGTAAGCCACATTGAATGAGACGCAAATCAAAGACGTGTGCCCATTGGTGTAGTCGACAAGACATTTATGCATCAGTTATCGCACTCAAGTTCATCTGTACAATAACCATCCAAACGTCAGGTTGAACAAGAATGGGGTGGAATCTCTTGGCTACACGTTCTAGCCCTCCCGAATTCCTCTTCCCTGTTTGGACATAAGATTCGTGTGAATTCGTGTCTGTCCAGGATAGAACTACTCAATTTTGCCTAGTATACCAAGACGATGAAGAGCGCTAATGGGAACCGTAATATAGATCAGCTGGAGGATTCCGGATCCGCGTGGTCTTCGTGGGCCCACAGAAGACTTCTTCAAGACCGTCTGGCAGTGCCGAAGTCCGCCGCACCCGAAAAAGACTGACCAGTGCTACACTGGGTACTTTGGGTAATGCGGATCAAAATTGGGTCCCAACCTTGAAACTTTGAGGACTGGGCAGTCCACTTACCGTCTGGGCCCTTCCATTCCGGTACCCGGATAACGTGTCGCCCCATTGCAAACGGCAATCTGCATCAGTAGCGCCCAATAGTACTTTTTCTCAGCTGAACCGAAAGTCTGAGCATTCGAAATAGGTGCCACTGCAGACCCAAAAAGGGAAAAGAGGATCAAAGCTACTTCACAAACATCCCAATGAGCGATCTCGTCGAATGAAGCTGATGCCACTTGACTACCCGCAGAAAACCCCATGTCGGATCTGAAGAACAACCCACGAGTCCGTAGATACCCACTTGTGTACTGGCAAAATATAGTATAAATAGGAAAATCTTGCTGCCATCAGTTGTCCCGTTCTCTTACGATCAGGAACTTTGGTTGGCCCTTATCGTTGACTTTTAGCCGAAAGCTTGCTCGGACTGCACAAAATGAGACCCAATACTGTATTTCCAGTTTTGATAGCAGCACTGCTTGGTAGGGCCAAGACCCTCGATGTAGATCCGGCACTTCAAACCTGCTCCGACATCAAAGGAAACGTTTCCAGCTCCAGCGCTGTGATCACGAGCCCGTGTAAGTAGTGACGTGACACGTTTCCAGATGAATTATTGGCTCCCAGAGACCAGCCTGATGACGTTTCAACTTACTTTCAATTAGTGGACGCAAGATATTCTACCAACACTGATCACTGGTTCGCGTCGTCGAGTCAAAAACCAGCGTGTGTCTTCGAGCCTGGGACTCCCGAAGATGTATCCATTGCAGTATGTATCGACATTCTCTGAGCCAAATTATCAATTCGTTACGTGTAAATTAAGCCTCATGATACCACCTTTGTACTCAACTTTTGCATCAGATTAGCATTATTGGACAGTCGCATACCCCATTCGCCCTCGAGAGTGGAGGGCATGCCTCCAATCCTGGCCATTCGAGCACGACCGGTGTACACATCTCTTTCTCCCGCATGAAGCAGGTTGCCCTCTCCGAGGATAAGTCAACTGTCGAACTTGGAATGGGACTGGTTTGTACCTTCGCTTCATAAGCTTCCTGATAACACTGCTGATCATGTCGTCACCCCGAACTAGATTTGGGCCGAAGCATACAAGGAGCTGTCCAGTGAGGGCGTCAATGTCGTTGGTGGGAGAGTTTCCGGACCAGGTGTTGGTGGCCTGACACTGGGAGGAGGTTATTCCTGGTATGTGCTAGACCTTTGAATCAGGCGACATGAGTAGCGACTTACGCAAAAAACCAGGAAGACGAACCAATTTGGCTTGACATGTGATACTGTCAGGCAGTACAATGTTGTGTTACCAGTAGGTCAATAACATCTCCAGCATCTCCACGGTGACTAATGCAAAACTTCACACAGAACGGCACTATTACTACAGCCTCCGCCAGCATAAACACGGATCTCTTCTTTGCCCTAAAAGGTGGCCTGAATCGTTTTGCGGTGGTCACCTCTATCATCTACGAAACACACCCTCAACCTTCCCAAATCTTTGTAAGTATCGCCCATCAGTCCAAAGTTTTTCTTTCAGGCCGTGCGCGGGCTAATTCGGTCAACAGGGTGGACAACGGGTTTACACCGCCGACAAGGCGGATGCGCTTCTCAATGCCACCGAAGTGTTTGCACGTACAGTCACGGACCCTAAAGCTCAGATCATCCTGACCCTAGAGGGACTGCCTGCCCTTGGGCTTACACCAGTGGTCTTGATCTTCTACGATGGACCTGATCCGGGCAACAGCTTCTCGATGTTTGACGGCATCATACCCGTCACCGACGGCGCATATAAGCAGTCGTTCACGAGCTTCGTAGCTGCGCAGGCGACCGAGCTCATTAAGAACAACCGGGGAACCTCGCATACAGTCTCGGTTTCGACCATCACAGAGACGCTGCTAGCTGCCATTAAAACTCAGGTCCAGGTATGATGACCACCCTGCCGAATATGTGGATCGCTAACCCTGGCATAGAGCCTCACAGCCCAGATGGCTTTACACAGCGGCTCGCTGATAAGCGGCGGCGTCGATCCGTTCCTGCAGTACGGTCAATATGCCACGGATAGTGCTTACCCTCACGCAGACTCGCCCCTCCTGGTATGCAGCAGCCCCTATTCCTGGCTAAATACATTCATCAACGCCGCATACAACTGATATTAATTCTGCTGCTCTACAGGTCAGCTTGTATTGCGCCTGGGGCTTGACCGTTGACGATGAGTTCTGGATTGCTTCGGTCAAAGCGGCCATTGCGAACATCAAACAGGTCGCTGTCCAGGAGGGCATTTTCCAAGATAGCTTTACTGCGTATCCTAACTACGCGATTGGTGACACAACTGCCGACGAGCTCTATGGGACGGCCAATGCAGCAAGGCTGAGATCTATTAAGACTTCCGTTGACCCAGATGGGGTGATGGAGTTGGCCGGGGGCTTTTCTCTAGCTTGATGAAGCCGGAGATGACCCTGGATAATTGCTGAGGCGTACTATGGAGCAGTGAGAGCGTTGGCTCGCAGTGTGGAACACCATTTAAAAACTCGAAAAAGTCTTATATGAGAACTGAGCAATCCCCGAAAGTGGTTCATATTCGCTCGGTTTGTAATACAAGATACAGGGATATATATATATACGCTATTCTTATGCGTGAAACAGATCCCCTTCCCTTACATCCTAAGGACAACCGTAATAAAGGCATATATACCGCCTGTCCCTTTTGTTCCGGCAACATGTTTAGACTGTCTATTTCCTTATCCTGCTATACTGAGAATTGAGTGTCGCGAGGCGTCGATGAAATATAACCCGTGTGACCCAGTTGTCGAAGTCATGCTTCCATCCCCATTATTGGCGGTTTGTCCCTCCCTGTGAGGTGACCATCATTGTTCTACAATACACCCAGAGGTATGTAGAGGGTACGCAATACGGGCGGTCGGTCACCGGAGAAAACACCCTGCGTTTACTCTGCTAGTTCTTCCATTGAATTGACCGTCGAGTGGCCAGGAGGCGGTCGCGTTGATGTTTCCAAATCATTTTGCGCTCTCATTGCAAGAGCCTGGCGGTCTCCGCCACGTGGATAAGTACCGATCCGCAGACACCTGCCGTTGTGCTATTTTCACTGTATTTGCATAAAGTGCCGTTCTATTGGGGAGTTAGGTCTATCCGTTGTCCATAGTGCTGCCACTACATCGCCTCTTCATGGACTGCTGCCGCCGCTGCCAAAGAAAATGTCCATCCATCCGGCGAATCGACCATGTTTGCTACCACAGAAATCCATGAGATCAACATTAGGCTATACTTTGTCACGGCTAGATCGACCAGGTAGGGGTTAAGCAGGCCGAGATGAGGAATACGTCACGTGGCCCTCTAATCTTCTTTACCGTATTTGCTCCCTCAATTCTGAGTTTGGCTTGAAATTGATGCCCGTGTTAACCATAAGTCGCATTGGTAAGGATCAAGGCTCCCACCCCCGCCTCCGGCCTTCTCAACCGGTCTTCGCACCGTATTCGCATCTTGCAACCCGCTTCTACGATGATGAAAGTTCCTCGAGTGTTTGTACGCTGTCCCAAAGAGACACTGGCGTGCTCGATTCAGGGTCCATGACGAAGCATCTCTGACAATCACCTATACATTCAGGACATCTCTAGCCTCTGGTTCCTTCCAGACGCTCAATTTTCATATTTTTTACCTGCAGGAAATTGGACTTTTTTCCCTAAATGACAAATATCGCGGGCGGTGTATACTTCTCGCATAGTATCAAGGGGCTGAATACCACTGGTCTCTGAGGTCACTACAGGCGTTGAAGTTGCTTCATGGAGGTTCGGTAAAGACTCTGAAGCCTGCCATTTAATAATACTGAGATAGATACCATCCCTGTCGCTTCATTCAAATTCTAGAAAAGACATCACTTCTAGAACCTTGAAACCGCAAATTGGTGATCGGGTGCTAACAATGTATCGTACCGCCCTACAAGCGGTCGAGATCGAGCATCGTCTCAGAAAGTCTCACTGGCTATCTACACATCAAGACTAAGCTCGTCTGAGCTGTGGAGTCTTAGTAGCTGAACGATTTTCGTCCGTTTGAGCCTTTCAGCCTGTTCGAGAGGCGTCTCGCCGTTAACCTTGACAGTCACGTCAGCTTTACCTTTTACCAGCAGCAGCTTGACAACCGCATCCTGCCCTTCGGCCACAGCCCAAGACAGAGGTGTCCAGCCCGAATTGTCTTTCGAGTTGACATCAATCCCTCTCACTCCGAGTAGGTGATCAACGGCTTCCTTTTGTCCACGCTCTGCAGCCCACGAGAGTGCGGTCGAGCCCGTCCCCAGCCGTTCCTCAACTTTGACCTTGCCTGTGTCTACAAGTGCTTTCACCATGTCATGGTCGTTTTTATATACAGCGCGAAATAGTGGAGTGTAGCCATCTTTGCCCCAAAAATTGAGTTCGGTTTCGCCAGTCTCGGCCGCCTTGCCCAGCAGCGTCACGGCTTTCGCCTTCCTCCCCGCCAGAGCTCTTGCTAGTGGTGTGCGGCCACCGCCGTCCTCCAAATTGATATCGACCTTACTTGAAGCCATTAATAGCTTCACGATGTTGTCCTGGCCATAGCCCGCAGCTCTCGACAGTATTGTGTGACCATCACTACCGTTTGAGTGAAGATCGATTTGATCCATCTCGAGAAGCAGCCTGAAAGTATCCTCGTCATTATTTGCAGTCCAGGAGAGTAGTTGTTGGACGGAGTTGTCTGTATCAAGAAGTAACTTGATGGAACTTGCGAACTCCACCTGTCTGTCCTTCACAGACCGAAGAAGAAGAGCTGAAACTTTCTCCCTGTTCCATCCCGCGCGGGATCCTGCTGCAGCTTTGAAAATCCCCTCTGTCATGAGGACATTTCCTCCATATCGCTCCACGAGTAGGTCCAAGACTGCATAACCATCACCTGGATTGGTAACAGCAGCCTTGACAACCTCCTCTGTAACGATGATCTGATGTCCGGAGCCAAGTAATGATTCCATGACCGCCTTTCCACACTGTACGTTGGCAGCAGCGGCTTTGAGGATGCCCTCCGTAATTTTGATCTTGTTCCTAGATCTCTCAAGAAGTAGATCAAGAATCGCACTTCCGTTCTTGCTATTAGCAGCGGCGGCTTTCAAGATCTCTTCAGTAACATCGATCTCATCGACGTAATTCTGGAGTAGTAGTTCCATGATTGAAGCTCCCTGCTCTATATTCGCGGCAGCAGCTTTGAGAATCTCTTCAGTAACCCTAATATGATTTTTGTATCGCTGAAGAAGTAGTTCGATTAGTGGCTTTCCACATCTTCTGCTGCCGGCAGCGGCTTTGAAGACCTCTTCAGTGACACGGATCTGGTCACCGTAGCGGCTGAGAATAATTTCAATGATTGCGCTGCCATCCCTTATGTTCTCAACGACGGCCTGGAGGGTCTCCTCACTCACAGTAATTCGATCTCCCCTCATGACAAGAAACAAGTCCAGGATATCGGCGCCGTTGAATATATCTTGAGCCGCAATATAGAGGAGGTCCTCACTTATAGTGATCTGATCTCCGCGCAGAGCGAGAAGATAGTCCAGGACGTCAATGATATTATTCCCTTGTCTTGCTTCAGCCTCAATTAGACCCTGCGGAACGGTCTTTTCCCAAGTAAGAGCCACATCCCAGACATGACCCGTGACCCAAGACGGCCGGTATGCCTGATCGCGCCGCTCCTCCGATTGTGCTCCACGCTCGCTGTCTTCTCTGGTGACCTCATATTTGTGTGAAGAGGAGATCTCGGTCTGTCGGGGAGTCAACCTTGGGATGCCGACCTGCTCATCCGGTGCACCGCTTGCTGTGAGTTCAAGTTTCGGGTCTTTTGAGACACCCTGGGGCATCTGCGAGGATTGCATCCAATGCCACAGCAGTGTCTCTTGGCTCAAGCGATGAGAAAGCTTTCCGTTGATCAAGTCCTCCAGCTGAAGAAGTTCTGATGATCTTGCGCTCTTGGGTTTCGTCGTTGAGAAATGGTCAGAATCGAGTGGTATCGACGTCACACCTGGGAGAACAGCCCATTCAGGTGAGATTCCCTTCTAAAGGACGATGTTAGTACTTTGAAAGTCAAAGCTGAGGAGCTAAGCAGAGTAAATGATTAGGGCACCTAGGTATGTTTACTTACAAGGCTGTTCTTGGGATGAGATGACGCAAAGAAGCATGCCATTCTGGGGCCCGGAACAAGTGCGCGGAACTCTTTTTGCATTTCTGCGATCCTATTCAGATGTGTCTGGACATCTGACCAATCTTGCAGCTGAGGTGTGCGTGCACATGGTATTTTCAGCTCCTTTGCTGTGATCAGCAACCATTGTGCAAGTCCAGCGCGGAAATGCGGTGTTTCGAATAGGATAAGGCCCTCAATTCGAATGAAGTGGCGTCTATGCTTCTGAAGGCTTAGTAGGTAGGCCTGGTTTTAGGGAATACTCAGCACCAGTAACCAGTATCACTAGTTTGTCAACACGATGTTGAAACCAAGGAGTATATTACCTGCTCGCATATCAGACCGCCATAACCGCGGGCGACGATGAAAGGCGCAAAGAAGTGCCCCTGTTTCTTCTGCCAATTTTGCAAAGCTCTAACCAGTCTCAGAGCATGTATTTTTAATACATCGTATGCAATGATCCGATCCATGGAGTCGGCATAGCTTGAATCGTACTCGAACGTGAATGTGCGGAAGCTATCTGCCAATTGTTCAGGCCAGAAACAATCGTCTTCTGTTTTCCACGCCTGGCCGGAGGACTGGGCTATATCACGAATGAAGATGACGCTTCAGAATGTCTAGTCAGCACTGAAATACAGTAGAGAGGAACGTAGACTGGCAGGACTGCGTCCTTTTCTTTTTTTTTGGGGGGGGGGGGGGCGGGTTGAGGGACAGCGATGGTTGAACTCACTCTTGAGTCGGGCCATTCTCATTACTTGGCTTTCGAGATTGAGCAAGGCGCGCGGACCCCCAAGGGCGCATCGTACTCCGCGCGAATCTCCGAGGGCTGTCATCCCTATCGCGAGCTCGCTGAAAGGGCTTGATTCCGTTAAAGAACTTCCTCAACATTTTCCATTCTGCTGATCTTTTGAGGGTGGGTATATCCATTGTGGCTTCGGAAAGCGGTGATGAAAGACGCGAACAAAAGAAGCACAATTACGTGACGTAGAGGAAAGTTGAGAGAGAGGGCCACCCGACGCATTGCTTCTAAGGGCTGCCTACAGGCTGGTTGTCTGAGTAAGGAGGGATGGGGTGGGGGTTTGATGTCAGCTTGGTTGCTCGAAATGGTCGAATCACTGCATGACTTAACCGGATCTGATGATGGCTGGTAACACATACCTTGAGGGGCTTGCAGATGGGCTGACCTCGGGAACCTGACCCAATACAGCTTCACCAAGTGGTTCTGGCTGCATGCAGTGTGATTGATTAACCTACACGAAGCGCTGAAGAAACTTGGTAGCCACATATCATAACAGGTTGATTCGAAGGTGCATATGCGTGGAATCTTCGAGTCGACTGATGCCTTCGGCCAGCCTTTGACGACGCCAGACGTTGAACCTGCCGTTGAGTTTCTGACCTGTTCCCTTCCAGAATGTCCAGAGCACTGACATGACCAGAGTAAAGAGTCACGTTCTTGTCAATAAAAATGAAGAGAATTATTATCTGCTGCGATGGCACATCCAATACCGCATATCGGAGTGTGGAAAACAGTCCCCGTACGAATGTTTTCCGCATATCTTGTTATATAAAGCACACAGCCGACGATGGTACAAGTCAAATTGTCCTGTACCAGCCCGGAGTTGGGACCGCGCCTGGAAGTAGGCGGAAGTTGAACCAAGCATTGGGGAAAGGTCTGCGGTTCCCTTATTCTTGTTCTGGCTGAGAGTATCATTTATAGATCCAAAGTCGATTCAGGATCATCCCTGAGTAGCACCCCTCTGTTAACGTAGCTCCCAGGAATCGACCATAATATCATGGCAGCGTACCACTTCCTCTGTGTCAACTATGCGACCGGCGATGAAATTATCCTCATTGGCTTTTCCCGTGGCGCTTTCACAGTCCGCTATCTTATCAAGTTGGTTCAGGAGCTCGGCCTCCTAGCTGGTTTGGAGCTCGGAGATCTGCATGAAATATTTGGTCGCTGGTGGAAGACCGCAAGTGTTAGGGGAAATGTGAGCCTAAATCAGGAAGGCGATCATCCCAGGAATCGTCCTCAAATCCCTATCAAGGCGTGCGGTCTCTGGGATACTGTCAATTCTGTCTGGAGTACCGACCTGCAGACAGAGATTATGGGGGTTGAACACGTCTTTCATGCTTTATCTCTACATGAGCATCGTTATGATTTCCAGGTAGTCATGGCAAGTGTTCCCGATGGAGAGCAGCATCTTGAACAGTGTTGGTTCAGCGGATACCATGGGGATGTTGGCGGTGGCAGGGAAGATGACGCGCTGGCGCATCTGGCGCTAGCGTGGATGATGGGGAAGCTCGACAGGTTGATAGATTTCAACAAGCTTGCATTTTATCAGAAAGAGATGGTCAACTCGAGATGGAGAGCAGTTTTGAATCGTGATGGTGAGTTTGTCTCTTGATCAACTTCCTACTGACGCTATTCACGCTGACTGGGTGTACAATGGAGAAGGCAGGCGCCTCACGTCGATTGCACCGGATTCAAGGACTCTAGGATGGCGGGTATGGGAGACCATGGCATTGCCTTTTCGAAAGATTATGAATGTTTATAGACGACCTGGAATCACCGTTCCAGACATTCATGAGTACATCCACCGGAGCGTCTGGAAACTTACGTCACAACACTCTGAGTTCTTAAAGCCATGTTGGGCCCTGAAAGGAGTCACACCGGAGGACCCCACCAACGGGGTCAGGCACTGGACACCTCGAGAGTCTCTCCGACGCATGCAAGAGTCAGCACGTTGTGACGCTGAATGTTTGATGGTACAACTTTGGGTGGACACAGTACTGAAAGCTGCGCAGGACCATGCGGAAGCGGGGCAAGACGAAGACAGAAAGAACCTTCTCATCAGCTTTCAGAATGGCCCAGGCGTGGATGATGACCATGGAATTGTAGCTGGACAAGGCACGGTTCTGAGTCGATACCTTCTCGGAACTAGTGCAAGATTTGCCGAGAGAGTGAGGCGCCGATCAATATAGATAGCGGCTTCTCAATGTTGTTGATGGCACAGGCATGGAGTAGAGCCATGAAGCGCAGAGCGATTGGGGCCATTCCTATTTATGTCAAGGTCATTAGTTCTTAATACTTCCCAGGTGTCCTCTTCGAGGTGTGCCTAGTCGATTGATGCATGAGATATAATTATTTTCTCCAAAATTATGCAAAGTACCGCTTGTGATCTGTCATCAGAAGCTTCTGTATCAGGAAGGCGGATTAAATATTCGAGAAACTATGTGACAACTTCTGAGCGGCATACAAGGGTAATTTTAAAAATGAGCCCTCTGATTACGCTTGTTCCATCAGATCCAGAGGTCCCTATCCTCGTCATTTGAGTGGAATTCTCCAGGCATCGTCACTAACTCCAGTACTGGGCCAGGCGGCACTGCTGTTTGAATACAAAAGCCACTCCTCCGGCATTTTGGATCTTGTGTCACTACTCCTCAATGGTTCCTGGTGAAATCATGTGATCAGGTGAATATCTGGAGTCTAATATTCCCTGTTGACCAAACGGTCATCGGGCTCCCTTTCAATTGGAGAAGGGAAACCTCGATTGAAGAGAAGTAACCAAACATGCAAAGTCTTGCTACCAATTGTCCCGATTCATTCAGAGCCACTAGAAACCATCTCGCTAGATTATCTGTCTATCTTTTGGAGCACTTGAATGCTGCTGTAGACTTGTCTCTCCTCCTCTTCCAGTTCATGACCCGAGATATTCGGATTTCCTCTCTTGTGCTCTGTCATCATTGACAGTTCCCAAGGTAGCGACTGCTTGCTGCCTCTACGGAGTGACAGAGTCGTTGCGGCGTACGGAGATGCTGGCATCGTGACTGGGCTCGTCCTTGTCGGGGGCCCACTGCTAAGCGAACGGTCCTGTAAGTGCCGGCCGAGATGGCGCTCAATGTAAATGATGTAATATGACAGCATTTTGTAGCTGGATAGATGCGACTCTGATGTTCTAGAGCACGGAGCCGAGAGCTGTCCCGGGCATTTATTGCATGTGATCTCTCCGACCTGCGAGTTGATGTCCTTTTCTACAAGTTCTTGCAGGGGTTGAAAGTCTTATTTCGACGTGTGACTTTACTCTTGGCTGGGCATATTTATCGCCGAGTGACGGCTGGGCGGCGTGCTAGACTCTAAATTCTACTCGTGTCGTCACCTTAACTTCTGAGACTCTCTTTTACTTGGACACATTTTCATTCTAATTGACACCTTCTAAGTCCAAGAGATACAAACACGTGGAGCTAGTCTAAGCTCATGACCATTGTAATGCATATGACAAAGGAGAACTTATACATGGAATGACAATGACTTCCAACTTCACTGAAATACCGTTAAGTCATGTGAATGAATTCACTTCTCCATTAAGACTGACGACGCACAAGTGATAACCCCCATTGATGAACATTAAGGCTATATGGAAAAGGACAATGCCAAGGAAGCTAACCATCTAGATAAGCCGGAGTTATGCTTGTTAGAAGGAGCCGGTATGTGACATCAGAGGCCCAGTAGGAGATATTAACCTTGTGAATGAGCAAACCTGATGCATTCAATTTGGAGAGAAAAGAGAGAGTGGTTGCAAAAATCAAAATAGTCTCTACGACGGTGTGCACGGCAGCACACTAAATTAGTGTAGACAGTTATTATCTACTCAGGGTGATCATACCCATAAATCCTGTGTTGGGTTGAGAATACCGATTTCTTATTCCTCTGTTCAGCCGCGTGTAACCCTCCGATCAGGGGCTTAGTTATGCGACACGCCATATTCCTCCGCCCTGGGCCCTTAGGTATCAGACGCTCGGCATTGAGGTCGACTCCCCTCAATAAATACTTCTCGGGCGCTTGAGCTGCCCTCCCTTCTCCTCCTCGGCCCTTCATTTCTATCCCTTCGGCCTCCTTGTACCTTGGCTAATGGCAAAACACCCGCACGCTAGCTGGTCCTTGTAGCAAGACACCTGACCGATGAATTGTTTGAAACGTATCAAAGCGACACTATAACTACCTTTTCCTGTTATTGATTGAGTTCTCTGAGCTTGAACTCCCACCAGAACCTGGTTCGTGATAATTAACTTTAATCTTGGAGTCTTCCTGAAGCTCCTTGCTTAGTAGGGTGCTGGGCATCTCTTCGAGCACAACAGAACTTGGCTTTTCCCCGTTGCTATCCATTTGTGCACGACACAACCGCGCATACGTTTCCGCCATATCCCATTCCCCACGTGCTCGATGACTTTCGGCAAGGAAATTCAGAGCATCAGCCCTCCGAGCTCCTTGAGCTCCCCTGTTCAAGATTTGCAGGTACAGCTCCTCGAGTCTCGGGTCTAGGTGGCAATCCAGCCGTTTGGCCATATTGGTATAAATTATCAACTCGGCTTTGCTTTGCAATGCTTCGATGCATCTGATGTCGCGCTTGTCGTACGCTGCTTCACAGCTGGCCATCGTCCCGTCAATTATTCCCTCGATGATTCTAGAGAACCACATGCCATCCTTGACTCCCTGGTCGCCAATTTCAAGCCATTGAATCACGGATCCCTTGCTCACAGCGGATGAGCAATCTAGAAAAACAAGCTCTGCCCAGGACTGGCAAGTTACCATCCACGCTCTGGACGCAATCTCACTCAAATCGCTGTCTGGAGCAGTAGCAAGGCCCTTGATTATTACTTGTAGCGGGTGTGAGGTTTGAAGGCCTGGGGAGCCGGAGAATAAGAGGGACGCGGCGTAATGAAAAAGCGACTTCACAACTAGCCTGACTTGCCTGGACTCGGCGGGGGTGATAGCAGGGTAGTCGCAAAGTTTCAAAATGTACATGAAGAGGTTGACGAAAAGGGCGGTTGGCTCTGTCTGGACCATGGCGGCGACCTCTTCTGGTGCTCGGCGCATTTGGACGATGGCTTCGCCTAGATTTTGCTGCTGCATGAGGTCCTTGATTTTATCGGTAAACCTGAGCCACCGGCCGGTTATGGGCTCCTCCCGTGCGAAGAGGTCAAGAGCATCTGTTACACCTTTGATTTTCCCTTGGTATCGACCCAAGGTATGCGATCGGACGCTGTAGAAGATTGCCTCGCTGTTATAGAATATGTCGGGCTGGTTGATTCTGATGGCGAGTTGCATCTCCTTATATCGTCTTTTCCGCCGTAGATGTTGGTGAAGACGGCCAATATCGACAAGTTGCCCATTGGCTAAAAGGACCTTCTCGGCCTCGAGATCACCAGCGTCTTCCGGGCGTCTGCTGTTGATAACTTCTTGCACTCTGCTGGTGTCTATATCTGAATTGAATCTGATGTTCTTCCGCCAGCCCCAGATTCGAAATCTCCTCTTATACATCTTCGCCCTGTGAGGTTGAGTTACACCTGTACCCTGCTGATGCTGCCAATGCTACAGCTGGAGGGGCAGACATACGTTGCTTTGAAATCAAACTCATTCTCCAAGATCTCGATCACTTCTTGGAGTGTTCTGTTCTCGTCGATGTACAATCTTCTAATTATCGGCTTGTAGTCTTCCCAGTAGCTGAAAGGCGGCCAGTCACCCCTTTTCAGGGCAGCCGCTTCTTCCACCGCATATTTTGTCGCGGGGAAGCTCTGTGGCGGCAGGTGAGTCGCCTCGAACGTGGATTCTGCAGGCATGCCCTGCATGGGTAAGATGGAATCCTCTGATTTTCTGACAAGCGCCATTGTATATGGTTTTGGAATGCGAATGTGCATATGTACGGTAAGGTCTTTTTGATATCTTCATTCAGTGCTGGCAACTTGACTCTTGAGTCTGGTCAGTCACCTCATATCAAAAGCGGAGCAGGAGCCGCTGTGCCCCACCTAGTCCCAGAAACTCAACCCAGAATTGGTTCAGCTGGGAATGTTCCACTTAATTGGGGATTCGGCAATGATCACCGCCCAATGTGTAGTATCCAATGTATCAGTGTAATAATTGTATTGGTCTAGTGTATAAGTCTACGTAGCTATCTCGGATTGATCGACCGCTTGATCGATTGATTATATTCAACGTCTCAAATAGACAATAGAGACGTGCTGGCGTACTGTCGACATTACGTGTATGGATCAAAACTATGGTACAGCTTCCGTGTCACCTAAAGTTCCTTTGTAGTGCATTAGGAAAATATTTGTAAAGGAACACGTTGCCTTCATCCGTTTACAAAGTTGGGATGTGGATCTCAACGGTCCCTGACAAAGTCTCCGAGACTCGGTCCTTGGTCATAGGGATTGAATGCAGCAGTCGCAAACATGGCCTGTGCCGCAGTCCTCGTAGGGTGTGATCTTGGTGTGTTCTATTGGCATCGGAAATATAATCATGCGACCGCAATTCGTCAATACCAATGGTCCACGGGGATATTTGTGTGTAAAAGTAAATTCCTTTTGGAAATGAATTATGAAGAGAACAGGAGAGTACGTTTTCTTGTCCGCATTTGTTTGACAGCAGTATAGGTTTTCAAACCAGCGAGGCGTATGAGATTATCGTTATTATACCTTCTGTTCAAATCATGCCCTGGGGGATTCAGGACCTGCATTGAAGATTGTCCTGCTGGGACATGCTAATCCAGTATCCAACGTCAGAGCCTCCTCCCCCATCAATTCCCAATTCTGGCCCTGGTTTGCGGCTTTGAGCAGGCTGGAAAAGACGTAGTCTCGGATGGTAGGAGCACATGCTCGAAAATTCCGGCTTCCAGTTCGGAAGCCCAGTGTTGCGGCCGTGCTTGCTAGCTTCAAAGTGATAACGCTCGAACGGCGTTGAGGGGAGTCCCAGCTCAAGGTCGCAAGTCCTTCCCATCTGCGCGAATTGGAGGGCCATAGCCTCCATCAGACTCGCAAAGTACTTGGTGCACTCGTAAGCAAGGGTACTACCGTATTCACAGCGAAGCAGCAGACACGTATCGGGCCAGAACCCGATATAAAACTTCTGCAGGCTTGGCATAAGGCGGGGAATATTAGACATCGTGCGTTCCAACATGTGTCCTTCACACCTTTCCGCCGGTTCCAAGGCGTGATAGTCCTTGTAGCCTCTGAATAACTCCTCCATAACGCACTCCACCGAGGTGATTCGTGACAGGATGGTTGCAGGGATCTGCGGTACGAGACGTCCAAGCAGGCCCATGCTGGTGGTACGGACGTGGAAAGTGTTGCTACTGTAGAGGATTGTAATACCCTCATCGTGCCTATCAGGTTAGCTGTCAGCGCAGGCAAAGCCAACCAGAGCCTCGGATTCATAGAACAGGTAGTGGTTGATGTGTACTTACGCACGCCGGCAAGTAAGAAGCCAGCCAATGACCCCAACGGCGAGCTCGGGTGGACTTCCGCATGAGCACCCACCCCCTCGCAGACGTTCCGCCAGATTACCTACACAGCTGTCTTGGGCTGGTGAAACGTCGGGCTGTCGGCGGCAGACACGCCCGCACCATTTTATCGGGCGCCGAGCTGGTCGTGTCGCCTTCCTCTTCTCCTTCGTCTTCGCTCTGAACAGTCTTCCGAGCCGCTGCTTCGCAGTGCCGAGAGCCCCGCGTGATACCTGAGGTACAAAAGTCGGAGCCTCCATCTGCGATTGTAGCGACTCTGGCTGGCACTGCTGTATGTGCAAAGTCCTGCCGCCCAGGGCGGCAGTGAGGATGGAGACGCGCAGCTCGGGCGGCAGAACCGTAAAGAAGGGGCTATTAGCGGTCGCTGTGTCGTTCATTTTAGCCATTCTATGTTTTTGAGTGCGAGAGATGCCGCTTCAGACGATTCCTCAGCGTCGTGCTGGAGACGTAAGATAGTGCGGTGTGAAGATGGGTAGAATGACTTCTTGCCGAGGAATCCTTCGAGGTAACATGCCAAGGCCATCTGACAAAGCAAGCCTGGGGTTGCGGTATACAATGTGCTGAAATTTCCACAAGTAACATTTTTGCTAGTTTTAAATTCTATGTGTGGTATTTTGACCTTGGCTTTCTCGTTTCAACGATATGAAGTGACTAGAGCGTCTCAGAAGCCATACAATGACGGCGTATAAGGAGTTGGGCACTTCTGTGGCTTTTCTCTCAATGGACTAATTTCGTTAGAAACCATGTTCCTTAATCCCTCCCTCCCCAGCCCCCCCCCCCCCCATGAATTGGTTTTAGAAACGGGTTTCCTGAAAGTTACCAATTTCCCGGTTGTTTTCAATGCATATTTTGAGGTACTAACTCGACAAAATAGCCATCCTTCCCACATTTGGTCAGCCTTATTTCATCAACAAGGTACATAGAAGAACTTACCGGGTCTGCAACCATGGCGACTTGCTTGATTGTGTTCTTGTAGGTTTCCACCATGTCCTCGACACCCACACCACGCTGCCTTTCCCACTCTGTCAACGGAATACTTGCACGACCATTGAAATCCGTCTCCTTAAGTACACGAACTCCCGCAGCTCTGAGTCTGTCGACGGTGCGCCGAACATCTGGAACGGTGAACCCCAAGTGACCAAAACCCATATTTGGGGGAGTATTGCCGTTAGAGATCTCAACCCCACCTTCCTCCACCGGCTTTTCGGACCCGTGAATATGTTTAAGTTCCAAGAGGCCCTTGCAACGAGTGAGGGTATTAATATCGGAAGTGCGTTCTGCCCAAGTGTCCAGATCATTCCTTTCAGCATCTGTAGAGGGGTATCCCAAATAGTAGATTGTGAATGGACCCGTGTTCATCGTCCAGACAGTTCGCATGCCCATAAGATCTCTATAAAAGTGTAGGCTTCGCTCAGGGTCTCTGATACGTATCATTATGTGGTTCAAGTTGATGCCGATGGATGGATCCGTGCTGCGCAAAGGTGGATCTTCGTAGTGTCCGCCGACATGGAAAACACCAGCAACTGGCTCGGGCCATGATCGGCCTGAATCAAGGTGACTCGATTGCATGATGTTCAAGTTAGGATATTTTGATTCAGAAATTGATCAGTTATCAGAAAGCTGAAGGAAGGATGTTTATGAAGACATGTGTAAGTATGAAAAGATAATGTTCGCGTTGGCTCGCGCGATGTCGGTCATTTAGCAAAAGGCGAACATCCGACTGCATGAGCTGCGAGTGAGTCTCGCTCTCCATCGGCATCCGCAACGAGCTCCAACGAGCTCCGAATTCGTAAGCAGCGACAAGCTCCAGAAGCGAAGGTATAAAAGATCAGTGTTTCTTGAGATCTTTCCAAATGTGTCTAGAACTTCGGTACTTGACAGGCTCCATTCCGTACTGTTTACACTTTCACGCCGAAGAATTGACAAAAATACTGAAATTATTTGCCAGCATGGCACATGACGAGAGCCGCCGTGTTCTGATCATTGGCGCTGGTAAGCCTACAGCTGGTTATCCGTGACTTGGCAATAACCCATTCATTTAGGTGCCACTGGCCTGTTAATCGCCCAAGGACTGAAGAAGGTGAGCGTGCTCCCCGAATAATCCAGCTGTTATTGCACGTTATCCTAATGCATCATAAGGCTGGTATACCAGTTGAAGTGTTCGAGAAGCAGCCTTTCGACAAGTATCAGGACAGAGCTGGCGTCTGGGGAATGGCACTGCATTGGTCTACTTACAATGTGGAAGCCTGTCTTCCTCCTGAGATTTTTGCGCATCTGAAGAATGCCCAGACGGATCCATTCACCGAAGTCTCTGACCAATTTTCCAAGACGATCCCGCTGTACAACGGAAAGACAGGAGACCTGATCACTCATGTCGAGGCTGAGGGACCGAGGCGTGTTCACCGTGGTCGACTCAGAGATCTCCTACGCACCGGCTTGAACGTCCGATTTGGCAAAGAATTGCATGCTTTCTCCGTAGAGAATAGCACTGTAATTGCTTCGTTCAATGGCGGGGAGGAGGTCTGGAAAGGGGCCTACCTAGTCGGAGCTGACGGACGTAAGCTACTGCGTGTGCAAAATTGTAGCTCTCGTTGTATGCTGACTTTTGTCTCAGCCCGGAGCAAAGTGCGCAGTAGTACCGTCCCTGAAGGGGAGTCTCAACTGGAGCCCGCGCCAATTGTCGTATTTGTAAGTGTACCAACCAACCAGGTGAAGTCTTTTTATACTTTGCCTTGACTGAGCTAATGATACAGAATTTCGGGGCAACTTTCACCGCGGATCAGGCCTTACATGTCCGCAGTCAAATTCATCCAGTGGCAACAGTGCGTACTAAAGGATTTTGTTCACTGAAATAGTTGACCGTTGACATGGCATAGTTGGCTCCTCATCCCGAGCAAAAGACCTACTTTTTCATGACAGGTATGGGGTTTATTGCGCTACCATCATGCACAGTTCTAACATTGATCAGTTGGCGACATCAAGGACCCCGACCATCCTGAGATGTGGATTTTCCAAATTTCATTCTCATACTGGACAGATGCAGGCTACCCAGCAAGCCAGGAGGAGCGTATGCGTCTTTTCAAAAAGCTCGGATCGCACTACTGTGAGCCCTTCAAGACAGTGGCAGATTGGGTAAACCCAGATACTCATCTTCCCATTGACCACGTGAGTGACGAAAGTTTGGAAGAAAAATAGTCTGAGACATTAATGAGGTTTAGTTTGGTTCATGGACTAAAATACAGCCTTGGAATAACTTCCGAGGCCGAGTCATACTTGCGGGAGATGCAGCGCATCCTATGGTGCCTTGTGAGCGAGACTTCCCTGTGTCCTGTTGATCTGAGCTAATGTATAACTAGACCGCGCCCAGGGTCTGAACAACGCCCTTGAGGATGCGGGTCTATGCGTGCGGACGCTCGTCGACGTCATTAATGAAGGGAAAGATCTTGCCCCAGCTATAGCAGCGTACGATGCGGATGTCTTTGGTCGGGGAAAGTCAGAGATCAGTCTCTCAAACACCCAGATGTATGCTTGCCACCATTGGGATACTTTGATGGGGAGCAAGCTTGTCCGCGATGGCTTCTCTAGACGCTAGGCACTACGGCTTTTCTTTTGAGTTCCTGAATCACGCATCAGCTTGGATGAGGTTTCCATATATTTGCACCGTCTAGATAGTCGGTAAGGAAGTGTAAACAAGTTACACTGTCACAAAGATGAATTCGAAATAAAACTCGTCAACCTTTTTGGACTTTCTTTACAGTGAGCCCATCGCCGTGCAATGCTTTCTTAAACCCTAGATATTGACGGGGACACCACACTTCCCTTTCGTGATCGAATAGCCCTACCCCAAACCGAGCATAACTACCAAAATCGCCGTGATCATCACACGACACTGCCCGCTTACTCAAAAGGAAGGGACTTCAACGACTTACAAGACCTGGACGCCTGAGATTTTGTTCTTGCTGGGGTTTTCATTGTATTAGAAACAAGCCGGGCCCCGAGATCGCCGGACCCCGTCGCTCGGCCGGGTCGCTCGGCCGGGTCACTCGGCCGTGACATCGCTTGGCCAAATGTACGACAGTACATTGATAGTGAGGAAGGATATCCCAAATATAGTTCAATAGTAGGCTTTGCATAAGCCAATTGACCCTGGCGAACGCCTTGGCAAGACGACTTCCATATCCAGTAGCTTGTAAATATACGCGGCAAAAGTTCAAGAAACAGATAATACCAATCGAAGTCGGGGGCCGTAAAATGCGAGGAGAGAAAGCTGCTTGGTCTCCGCCACCGAACCATGGACGGACTTTTGAGATGCCATCAGGGTGTCTATAAAACGAAGCACCCCAACTTCATTGGAATAATGTCATCCAATCAGCAAGACACCAATTCGACTCCTGGGCTCTCCTTTTAAATTTCTCAGGCTGCAATATCGAAATTCATCAAGTGCGTCAACGAGATGTTAAACACGCCGACCCCCGGATCTGGGCATGTCGCCCGAATAGTCGTTGCAGCTCTGGCCATAGCCGGAATACTTGTTCCGGTTGAGGGAACCATTTTAACAAACAGAGACCCGCGGGACTGTCTTGTCAAAGCTGTCGAAGGCAAAACTTCGCAGGTTAAATTCGCCGATGAGCCCAAGTTCTATGAGACCGACGTCCGCCCATACAACCTCAACCTTCCGTACGAGCCCTTCGCGGTCACCTACCCAAAATCTACAAAGCAAACCGCAGCTATCGTCCAGTGCGCTGCCTCGTACGGTTACAAGGTGCAAGCCAGGAGTGGTGGTCACGATTACACAAACAAAGGTATTTCAACTCAGATCCCTAAACAGCGTGGCCTTTAGACTAAGTCTTGCAGCCCTTGGCGGTGCTAATGGAGCTATTGTTATCGACTTGATGTATCTCTCGAGTGTCCAAGTCGAATCAACGGGACTTGCTCAAGTAGGCCCAGGTAACAAGCTGAAGGACATCGCCGAGAAGCTGCACGCCGCCAATGGGAGGTATATGCCCCATGGATCTTCTCCCACTGTCGGCATCGGAGGGCACGCTACGGTCGGTGGCCTTGGACTGCATTCCCGCCTCGAAGGCACAACCCTGGACGCCATGCAAGATGCAGAAGTGGTCCTCGCAAACGGAACCATTGTGCGCACGTCGTCAACCCAACATCCAGACCTTTTCTGGGCCATCCGTGGAGCCGGCGCCAGCTTTGGGATCGTGACCCAGTTCACGTTCAAAACCAAACCGGAACCCAAAGAGGTTCTCAACTTTGGTTTTACCGTAGCGTCGACAAGCCCTGCCAATTTGTCTGCATCATTTAAAGCCTTCCATCAAATCACCAATGACGTTGATCTCGACCGTCGATTCTCTGCCGCCGTAGTGGTCTCGAAGGATCAAATCCAGATCGCCGGGGCCTTTTTCGGCCCGGAATCCGACTTCAACCGCATCAATCTAGAGGCGCGCATTCCTGGTATCACCAATGGTACGGTCGTGGCAGGACTGAGTTGGATGGAGCACATGAACCGCACTTTTGACAGCATTTCATCCATGTTTCCTGCACAGTCCTACTTTGCGGCGCTGGACACGTGCATTACCCGCTCGACCCTCCCCAGCAATACGAGCATCGACAATATGTTTCAGCACATCCAGACCGCTGATGCGGGATCTGACAGGTGGTTTGCCTTGATCGACCTGTACGGAGGGGCGGTCGGCGACGTGGCCATCGATGCAACCTCTCTGCCCCATCGCGAAGTATCATACTTCTTCACGCCATACGCAATCACGGATTCACCCACCAACGAGACGACGCGAATGTTCATCGAAAAGGCGGTCCTCGAGATTCAGGGCAACGAGCCTGAAAGATATCTGTCGTACGCCGGCTACACCAGCTTGCCATCTGGCTTTGTACCACAACAGAAGTATTGGGGCCCGAACCTCGCGCGTTTGCAGAAGATCAAGGCGTCCATTGACCCAAACGACGTATTCTCGACGCCGTATGGCGTCAAAGTCGGCTAAATTCCTTCGAGATGAGCCACACGGGGGTTGCGATATGATCGCACGCCCCTCGTCTTGGATTTCTTTTGCCCTGGAATGGAATGCTCCAACAGATCAGGCCTGCAGATGACCCAGCTGGGTATATGAACCAGGAACACTTGACGCGCTTAGTTCACGGGTGCCGAGCGAAGATTTCAGCTGGATAGGAGGCGTTCAATGTTTTGTAAGAAAATGATTGATTTCCAAATTTCGTACCCTCATCTCCCCCTTAAAGACGTAGCCAGTTCCATAAGTGAGCGCCGTACTGCATCCGCGCCACTGTCGTCCCCAGCCGCTGTCGGCTTTGCCGCCTGCGCAGTAGCCTCTATCCTAAGCCAGAGATCGGTCCGTATTCATAATGTCCTGTTCACTCCAGTCACATTGTGGAAAGTTCCTCGCATTGGGGTGCCGACGTGTGCCCATTCCCTGGCCTTCGCCCCGGCAGAACCGGTTGAAAAATTTGACGCGGCGGGACCCCAGACACCTCTCACAGAGATAGCAGTCTCTTCCTCCGCACCTGAAACAATTCTCGCGCTCGGGCGATCGGCCGCGGCATTCAATGCAGCTTGTCATTATGCCTGAGGCAGCACAGGCGTTGCAGTCCCCCTGACTTCCGTCAAACAGGACCACGGGGTGAAGTCCTGAACCATCGCAAGCGTCACATCGTACAACTGCATGGGCGCACTCGGGGCAGTCCATCTCTACCTTTATTGCACACGGGCGTTCGATATCCTTGTGGCAGGTTCTACACGGATCCTGAGGCGGTAGACCGTGTCCAGCGGGAAGGCTTGTGGACGCGGAGGCGCTCATATCGAGATATGTAATGGCTTGTCGATGGACGTGTAGAGTCGATGTTTCACTGACAGTGTCCTTATGGTACGTTAGTAGCGGTTCTTGGAGCATGGAATCTGAGGATGCTACAGCTTACCTCTCGAGACCTTCTTCTCAACAGGCCTCGAGTATTATTTCGCGTTGCAGTTTTGCTCTTAGATTGCTCACAGGATCTTGATTCGAGTCCTTGTCTTGAGGTTGATTGCGTCCTGAACCTCCTACAATGAGGCAGGACGTCTTTATATACCCCATGTGGGCATTAGTCACTTGTATCTTCCTGGTATTGTTTTCAATACTCACCGAAATTCGTCTAGAGATATACATGACCAAGGCTATACATATCCATAGCCGTCATGGTCACGACTCACTGGCACTCAGTGACAGGATGGAGAAACAACGTTCAGGATAGTCGCATTCTTGATGTATAAGATCTTTGTGGGACAGGCAGAATCGCCTCCTCGCCCCGTCTATTGAGCACTGATTTCTTTTAAAGCCAGACCAAACGCCAAAATTCAATTCCCGCACACATTTTCTACTCATCAGCAGGCCCATTTCCCAGTCTATACACGAAAACCCACGAAAGACGGTCCCATTCACAGCCAATCAACAGTCAGGCACACTGACGGGGATATTAAACGGCACGCTCGTAGCAAGTCCGCTCAGGCTAGTCTCCTTGAACTCATTCCGCATGCCCTGCGCGGTGAGCCTCATGGCGCGGATGGCATCGTCGAGGCGCACCTTGGCGGTGCCGGAGCTGCTGAGGGCCAGGTTGGCGCTGGAGATGGCCTTGATGGCGCCGAGGGCGTTGCGCTCGATGCAGGGCGCCTGCACCAGCCCGCCGATGGGGTCGCACGTCAGGCCCAGGTTGTGCTCGATGCCGATCTCGGCGGCCTGCTCGATCGTCTCCGGGCTGGCGCCCATGCAGGCTGCGAAGGCGCCCGCGGCCATGGAGCAGGCGACGCCCACCTCGGCCATGCAGCCGCCCTCGGCGGCGGAGATGGTGGCGCCCCGCTTGTAGAGCATGCCGATGGCGGCGGAGGTCAGCAGGAAGGTCATGATGTCGCGCTCCGGGTCGTCGCTGATGAACTCGACCGTGTATTTCAGCACGGCTGGGATGATCCCCGCGGCGCCGTTGGTCGGGGCCGTCACTATCCGGCCGCCGGCTGCGTTGGTCTCGTTGACTGCCATGGCGTAGACGGCCAGGTAGTCCATCGCCGGGAACTCGGTGCGGCGCAGAGGAGACGGCATGACTGGGTGGCTGAAGGAGCCGTGGACACGGGGCGGGCCGCGCTTTGGAATCGTCGTAATCTTTGACTGTGTTGTTGCCGTCGAGGTCAGATTTGTAGACCCGGACATGCCAGTCGTGCCTTCCAGTCTGCTCTGCCCAGGGGCTTCGGCAGCAGAGGCGATTTTGTGTGCGCTTGCCGGGTATAGACCGCGGGTGAGTCGCTTGTACAAGGCTGGTGCGCGTCGATGCAGGTTCAGAGATCCCGGAAGCGTCGTATCGGCGGAGGCTTGCACGCCTTCGAGGATACTGTGGTCCATGACGTGCCAAATGCGCATGATCTTAGTATAAATCTCCTCATCAGTATATCCGTGACTCTTTTCATTTTCGTAGACCAATTGCGCAATGGTGAGGTTGTGCTTGTGGCAGAGAGCCAAGAGACTGGTCGCATCTCGGAAGGGGTGACTTGGCTGTGTCGCGCCGCCGGTGTCGTCCTCTAATCCTGCCACATGCTGTGCATCTCCCCCTGAAGAGACGACGACGGCCTGGTCCTCAGCCTGACCTGACTCTAAGAGCTTTGCATCTTCCTTTGGCTTGACCTCTATACCACTTCTTCGGTCGCCAGCCGCGTCGGACCGTCTAATTTCTTTGTAAAACAGGTTTTCCCCCAGATCCTTCGGGTGTGTTCCTGGTGTTGGAGCGCCCGAATCTTTGTCCATCGAGATGGATGGCTCCTTGTGAGATGCTGAAGTGGATAAAGCTCCGTTGACGACGAAGCCGCCGCCAACGCTAAAGAGGTCATTGGTTGCCAGCATGTCGCCGTGCTCATCGAAGACCATGAACCTCATTCCATTGCTGTGCATGGGCAGTTTTCGGCCCCATTCCCAGACGAACTCTGTGTCGTAGTCAAAGTCGATCTCCTTGCCCTTGCCGCCGGGAAGGCCCTGACCTAGGAACAGTTTCTTGGTGGCCTTGATCTCAGCGAAACGAGCAGGCACGTAGGCGGTGTCAACGGATTCCACATCGGCACTCTCGAGGCCCAGGACCAAGGCTGAGAGGGATCAGTCACCACTTTAGCGTTGATGCAGTCAGGAGATGGACGTACCAGACGGAGTCATGTGGCCCTCACCGGTGAGGGCCAAGCTGCCATAGATGGAGATTCGAATCTTGTGGACCTTGTGCAGTAGACCAGCCTCAAGGAGATCCGTCACAAAGATGTTCCCAGCTCGCATTGGCCCGACAGTGTGAGATGAGGAGGGCCCGATGCCGATGGAGAACAGGTCGAAAGTCGAGATGACGGCGTGTTCATGATCAGCTTCGCTGTAGGTGCCTGTATCCTCGTCCTTCCCGTGACCAGCCTCCTCGCCCTGGGCTGCAGAGGTGCTCAGATGCCGTCGCCGTGTTGGTTGCAAGTGAGCGTATGGTGTGAGGTTGGTTGTGCCGACATCGTGGCCTCGGCCCGGCCTCGAGCTGCAGGACCGCATGCATGTCCTCACCGCGTCGACAGCTCCCAGTGACTGTTCCTGACGCGACAACGACACGGACAGACCCAATTGCCTCGCATAGGGGGCACCAGCAGAGCCATGCAACAGCCTGAGCTGCCGCAACGATGCGCCCCGCATCATGAGGCTCGGTGTTGACAATGGACGATCGTGTCTTGTCTTTGTCGACAAAAAAAATCTCCCAATGAGTCGGGCATTGGAGGTCAGTCAGCAGCAAGGTGATAGCTAGACATCAAGGTAGCACGGCAGCTCCACAGCTGGCAGGGGTCCGATAACACATGCAAGATTATGTCACTGCCCAGCTGGAGTTACAGGCCAATCACAGCAACGATATTCTCAGCTCCTGGTGCTGCCCCTCCACCCATCGGCATCAGCCCCTCCTTGTCCGATGGCCGACAACACCGAATTTCCTCCATGGGGCGTTGTTACTATTTGGCTTGTAAGAGACGAACAGGCAAAGCTGAGGGGGATGCCTACAAATATGTACGTAATTAGCAGCTCGAGGATTGATCATGCGCCTTGCCAAGAGACCGGTCTGATCCCTCCCTCAAGTGCTCAAAATGTCTCGTCAGACTCGGTACTTGCCATACGTAGATCAGCTTGTACCTAACAAGGTACCTGGGTAGATAAGTGAGCAGCCTCGATGTCTCACTCATTTCGCTGAATAAATTGTACGTCACATAAATAGTGGGACAGTGGGAAGCAAAGATACGTGGACCATCGCCCGCAGCAGGTAAATAAAATCGAGTAGGGCGATCCGAGGCCAATTGATAGAGACTTGGCCAGCTGATGTGGCACGGAAACTGACAACGCATGCGGCTGATTTTAAGATGGTTTGAATTTGACATAAGGGGCAGGGCGCTCCCAAATAACGGCGATGGTCAAGCCCACGTTGAGCCAATCGTAGGCACAGAAGCTATGCTTACTTACTCTGATATATAAGCACTGTATAGTGTGCCGGTTGACATGTCTACATAGATCGACATGCTGGTACTTAGCGACATCTATGGAGGACCGAACGCTGTATCGACAATTACACCGACCCGCAGTCCAGCACACCAGCCACCTGCGCTGTACGTTACCTGGCATCACCCCTAGCTTTCCTAAAAGGCTACCTCGTCGCTCACCACGTACAAATCGATCAGGGCATCAATCATCATGCTCAACAAAGGGTGCTCCGTCTCAGCGAGTGCCAAGACAACTTGGCGCCTCCTCAACCACCGACTACGGTACATCCCATCTAGAAGACACAAGACGGTCTTTTGTTATTCGCTTCGATGATGATTATCTGGAATGAGATATGATGGGTATCGTTATATACTCGCGAACATGCATATCCTGACCTATTGTACGTCAAGTGAGTTTGGAATTTATTTTCCGATTCGACCGCTTCGCGGCCACAGCTCCAACGAAGACCACGAATTTACAGTGTTGTGTTCATGACTAACAACGAGTCAATCAGTCTCCAGCACCGCTTGAAATCTATATCAGACCTATTCTCATCGCCCCTGATTGGTTTCAGATTGCGTTGAAGGCTGTGCATAGACTGGTGAGGACCGCACATAAGGTTGCGAGCCTTGGTCACGCCAACATTCCCGGTCGAGGACGGCAACCAGGTGTTTCTTGTATGAGCTTTGCGAGCAGAGCATAATGATTCATAAATGAGATGGGGTAAACGTCGACCGCGGCATGTTGTCCATTGCACAAGAGGTGTGGCGCCCCTTCGACCGTGACTGACACAGCGCCTTGAGTGCTGCACTATAGCCAGGGCTATTTTCCTACCAAAGGGTCAGAGTTCGTAGAGGCTGCAGACCCCTAACCACCGATCACCTGTTGGTAGGTGTGGCTTGTAAATCGCTCTCTATGGCTCGACCAGCGAAAGGAGAAACTGATAGAGATGCTATATAGGATCCTACGCACACTATATGTGTTTGGACGCTGGTACCTGAACCCATGATCAAAAGCTTATCCTGGTCCGCAAACTGGTACGCATGACAGGGTATTCGCTGCGGACGGAGATGCAACGTGAAGGTGCTCGGATGGTGAGCCACGGGTCTTGGCGTTGTGGGTTCAACTGGATCATTTCGGCGTGTGGGGAGGAGCACTGATAAGCTGCGCCAATGAACATGAGGATGGGCCTTGTGACCTTCTGACCGCATGTGGCCATCCAGAGATACTCATTCGACTTTGATTAGCATAGAAGGCCAAGTCTCATGGGATCACGTCAATATGACGGGTGAACGCCACAGCTAGGAATGGGTGGTGGCTTCACACAGACGACAGAATAAACAATACGCCAAAATAAAGTTGGGGGATCTGATAGCTGATGATCATGCGGGCCGCAGATCTGCGGGCCAGAACTATTGTAAGCACGAAACACTTGAACGTGCAGGGCTTGCTTTTGTACAAAAGCTGTCCAGAATACTGAAGACTTGACGGTATCACGTAATTGCACAGAATAGTGGCGTTAAAATTACTTACGCGCTGTGCAACTGAACCAGATGCTCTCGGCGCAGATGCATTCCTCCTCTGAGCGTCCCGGTAATGAGACCATGCATGAAATACGAATGTCTCGCGACAACAGCTTTCGGGATTCCGAGATAGAACAGGGTTAAAGCGTCTCCACAGACGCACATACACGAGAGTCGAACGAGAAGCAGAATCCTTTGTCCTCCATATACGTGCTTCTTGACGGTAATTGATCACAATGGCTACAGGTAGTCCCTAGTTGCGATTAACAAGTCCACAAGAATCTCTCGTCAGCGACCACCGGCGGTAGTTATCCGGGCCGAACCGCCATGAGAGCTGCACTCTATCTGTATGTTTCACGCCCAGGCTGCTGGCACAGAGGTGATTGGTGGCAGCCGACCCCTTTTGTATGCAAACGATGCAGCGGTATCTTATCACGTCTTCTCTTGGCGGCGCCAATAATCACAACCGTGCCTGGCCAGATGTGGAAGGTCGCGGTGAACTCCACGTGAGTACCCCAGTTTCGACAGTCGTCGCCTGGCCCCAGCAATGTTACCCTGCTGGTCTGCTGTCAGGGGCCGCCTAATGAGATTGGCAACATGGGCAAACACCATCCACTTGTGTGCAACCTCACCACCAGCACCTCATACCCTCATATCAGCACGCGCAGGTGGGACGCGTACGGCCTGCTGTACCGCACCGATACTAATGCGACCTATTCCTGCGCTCGCGTTCCTATCTGCGGCTTTGGCCTCCCAAATGGCACCCTGCATCGTCCCCGTCCTTCCCAGATTAAGCAGCCAAGACCGCCCATCCTGCATCTGATGCTGCCCTCTGGTCTATGGTCGGGTGAGCTCTCCTTGCCACCTCCACATGCCGAAGAAGAAAAACGGTCGCGATGGATAGCGTCTGCTGTATCTAGCATTGTGTGTGCGCGGCCGTATATAAGGGGCAGCATTCATGATATCGCAGACATGTCCGGTCCACGCCTTGGTAGGTAGCCAGAGAGGCGCGTCCCCCAGCCCTTCATCTTCTCTTCCAGTTTTATAGTCCCTTGTGACACGCACGGTTCGGCCATGCTTCCATTCTTTTCTATACTCCCCTTTTTGGGCGGAGCTCTCATCTCGACCGTGTCTGCGGCCAGTGCAAGGGCTCCCAAGGGCAATGCTACTATTCCCGGCGCCTACATGGTCGAGTTTGAAGACTCTCACGTAAGAGATAACATCAAGACGAATTCACTAGATACATTCATCTAACAAGACGTGGCAGGACATTCGCTCTTTCTATGATAGTCTCAGCTCCAAGAACATTAAGTTCTCCGAACGCTTGAACCTCAGTTACAGCCTCTTCAAGGGCGCGTCGTTCAAGCTTGAGGACCTAGTTGATGAGGCCCAGACTGTGGACGAAATTGTGTCCCTGGCGACGGTCAAGGCCCTGTGGCCAGTCCGCCGCATCAACGTTCCTATCGAGAAGAAGATCACCACAGGGACCAGCATCACTCCGGAAGAAGCCGCAAGTGCGCTCCGCAAGCGGCAATACAACGGCACTGAGGTGGACACCTTCTCCACCCACGTGCAGACCCAGGTCGACCAACTCCGCGCTGCTGGCTACACCGGCACCGGCGTCAAGGTCGGCATCATCGACACTGGCGTCGACTACCTCCACCCTGCTCTTGGAGGTGGCTTTGGTGAAGGGTACCTGGTATCGTACGGTTACGATCTTGTTGGCGACAACTATACTGGTTACAACACACCGGTGCCGGATCCTGACCCCTATGATTGCGCCGGTCACGGAACGCACGTTGCAGGTGAGACGAATCCAGACTTGGTCTGCGGTACTCCTTGGAAGTTGCTAATGATAGTCCAGGTATTGTTGCTGCTCAGCCAAACGAGTACAACTTCACCGGTGCTGCGCCTGGCGTCACCCTAGGGGCGTTCAGAGTCTTCGGATGCGATGGCAGCAGTGCAGACGACGTCCTGATTTCTGCCTTCAACCTAGCATACGAGGCTGGCAGCGATATTATCACGGCTTCCATCGGAGGTGACTCTGGCTGGAGCGAAGAGCCCTGGTCCGTAGCCACCCAGCGCATTGTCGAGGCTGGCGTTCCCTGCACTCTTGCTGCTGGCAACGCTGGTGAGTATGGCCAGTTCTTTGGCAGTGCTGCCGCAGACGGAAAGGGTGTCACCTCGGTCGCGTCCTTCGACAACTCGGAGTACCCCGAGCTGTTGACTGAGGGCACATACACTACAAGCGAGGCCAACTCTTCCACCCCTTTCGGATGGGTCGCCAGCTCTGTTCCCTTTGGCAATGTGACTCTGCCTCTGTGGGCTGTGAGCAACACCACGACTGTAGTCGATGATGCCTGCTCGGCTCTGCCAGCTGACACCCCTGACCTGTCGGGCTACATCGTCCTGATCCGCCGTGGAACTTGCACCTTCGCAACCAAGGCAAACAATGCGGCTGCTTTCGGTGCACAGTATATCCTTTTCTACGCCAACACGGATGAGTAAGTTCAAAAATGCTGACCATTGTCATATTGCGACTCATCATGCTTACGATTATTCCAACAGAGTCATCTCGGCAGACATCACCGGTGCTAGCTCTATCCTAGGAGCCGGTATGGTCTCGGCAGACCAGGGCGCCCAATTCGTCGAGGAGCTCAACGATGGCTTGGACGTCATCCTGACTTTTATCGACCCCAACTATGCAGGCGTGTTCTACACCTCAGTCCAGAACACGCTCACCGGAGGCTATGCCAGCACATATACCAGCTGGGGTCCGACTTACGAGCTTGATGTCTACCCAGATGTCGCTGGAATCGGCGGCAACGTCCTCTCCACCTGGCCTCTCGCTCTGGGTGGATACGCCGTTCTCTCCGGAACTTCAATGGCCACACCCCTAGTCGCAGCCATCTACGCACTTGTCGGCCAGGTGCGAGGCACATTCGATCCAACGACTCTCGGCAATCTGATCACTACCACCTCCAAGGCCAACTTGTGGAACGACGGTACTGCTACCTACTCTGGGCTCGCTCCAGTGGCTCAGCAAGGACCGGGCTTGATCCAGGCCTATGATGCAGCTTTCACCACAACATTGTTGAGTGTCGCTAGCATCTCTTTCAACGACACCGAGCACTTCGTCGACAGCTACACCTTCGGCATCGAGAACACAGGTTCCGACAGTGTGACCTACACGCTCAACCACGTCCCAGCTCTGACCGCCTATACACTCACTGAGCCCGCGTCCTGGCCAGCGTACTTCCCCAACCCAACAACAGACGTCGCCGCCACCCTCGCCTTCTCAGACAGCACCATCGAGATCCCCGCCGGCACCACAGCCAACATCACCGTGTCCCCGACCCTCCCCGCGGGCCTGGAAGCGGACCTCCTGCCCGTGTACAGCGGCTACATCGCCATCAACGGCACCAACGGCGACAGCCTGACGGTCCCGTACCTGGGCGTCGCGGGCAGCCTGTACAACGCGACCAACCTCGACCAGACCTACACCTACCTCACCACCTACAGCGACCCCTACCTGAGCTCCGTCGCCGCCAACACCACCTTCACCGTGCCCTACCCCACGCTCGCCGCGGCCGAGAGCCCGGACTCCAGCATCGCCTACCCGGCCGCTACGTACCAGCTCGACCTGGGCGCGCGCATCGTCCGCGTTGATGTCGTCCCGCTCAGCTCGAACTACACTGGCAACACGACCGAGGTCCTGGGCACTACTATTGCGGGCAGCGTGTACGGATACCCTGTTACCTACCTGCCACGCTACTACTACGTTGCACCGTTCACGGGTCTGCTGGCTGATGGGACTGTCGTGCCGCCTGGGCAGTATGAGCTGGTTGTCAAGACATTGCGGATCTTTGGTGACCCCGATGTTGCGGAGGACTATCTGACTATTGAGACTGTGTCTTTCAGTTTGGCTTACCAGTGAATATCAAACGAGGGTTCGTTGTATTGAACTCTAGACGCTTCGAGTGGTCAGTGACTCTGGGCGTTCGAAAGTTTACAGGAGGACTGGAATTGTAAACACTGTTTCGTCAAGCACACGCTGAGACTCTAAATGTATTTATAGTTAAGCCCATATTTAAAAGATATCAGGATTGACTAGAGAGCTCGAGGTTACTTTAGTAAAATCAGTTGCAACCTGCTCGTGCTAGATGACATTGATGTTTTGGCCCTCGTTCCTTCACCCAGCCCATACGCATATTGACTGCAAGCGTTAGTACAATCTAGTATAGCCCTCGAGCTTCACCAAACTCTGTGTTTCCGATGACCAATCCACTGATTCCAAGTACAAGAGACTTTCATTTCCGGATTCGCGACTGGATTGCGCAACCCACTCCATCAACAATTGTAGTCCACCTTCGGTAAATCGGCCATTTCTCTCTGTACCTGTCGCTTGAAGCAGTGGCTTGGAGCCACAAACATCCGTTCTCATCTTAGACGTTTCGATGAGCTTCACAACCTCTGCGCCGTCGAGTCGAGCTCGTATTCTTGTTGACGTTTCAGAAGCATTTCGTCCCTTAACCCCCCTTACTGTCATCCACACCGATATATTCAGACTGGCCCTGGATTGCGAAAGTAATTTCATTACCTCCAAAGACGCTTCTATCCACTTCCCTGAGCTGCGAAAGGATCCTAAGTTCTGCCTGAAGATCTCTGCAGTGGCAATGACGCACACGGGAACCAGTGTCTGCGCATAGCGTATCTGCTCATTGTTTTCAGATACTCCGCACAGCTGGGTCATTCCCTTGCCCAAGTTCAACAACGCCAAAGCCAGATTGTAATGCTCCCCGCTCAACGCTGCTAAGAGGATGTTGCAGCTCACAGATGTCTCGTTGAGCTCTGTTATGTCTCTGGTACTTTCGCGAAGGACGAAACGATCGAGCCCGCAGTATGCAGCAAATGCTATGAATGAGACTTTTGCTGGGCCTTCCACCGGTGGTATTAAAAGGGTATTTTGAACTAGTCTGAGCATGCGAGGCGGCTCCAAGTTTTGAACCGGGAGGTCGAATTTGCTAACCAAGTCAGGGTCCGCGTTCTGGCGGACTGACTGATCGAGAGGCGTGAAGATATGACGAAGACTATGAGGATTCTTTGAATGGCCGCCGTGAATAACTTCTGCAAGAAAGATTCTTGTATACAAGTGAGAATTTTCAAAGTTTGGAAACGACCTGAGCATGGCACGGCGCCTGTCTTCAGTTTGAAGTAGATAATCCCGGGCGGTTCTGTGACAAAATTGAACCCTGATTCTGAAGAGCCTTCCTGTCTGTCCTTCGTTCAAAGGACCGTCTGTATAGGTTTGAAGAAATCCTCTCGCGAGCCCATTGATCTGTTTTGTGACGTGGTCGAGTCTTGTGGAAATCTCGTCTTCGGAGTATGGATCTAGCCCACTTGCTGGCGGAAAGTTGGGATTCATCAAGCCGCCTTGGTCACATTCGTCCAGCCAGGAAAATGCCATAGCCGTCAAATTTGAGGGACCAGGACTGTGTGTCGCAAGTAGGAGCATCCGATTTGACCTCGTCCTCTGGATACTGTCAGTCTCGATAGACTCTCTCAACTTCGCGTATAACTTGTCCAGATCGGATGGCAATGCTTCGAGCCGGGCCAGAAGGACAGAATCGGGATCGTGCTGGCGGAATCCCATGAGCAAAATGTCGATCACTAGGTGAACCCAAAGAAAAACGCCCTGTGCTTGCTCAAGGACCTTTTCAACCAATTTTCGACATAGTTTGCCTCTCTTCTCAGCGTCGACATCCTTTCCCAAACGGTCGAGGCAATAGGCTCTGATGTCAGACTTGTTGAGCTCGTGCAGCTGGATCTGTCTGTTCCCGGGAAGTGCGAGCGGCCCCATGAATTCCGAATACGGCCGGGAGCTGATACAAAGCTTTACGGCTTCTAAATTGGCCCAGCTTTGTAACATCTTTGCCAAATCCTCATGCTGAAGCTTGTTGCCTTTGCATTCGTCAAGGCCGTCGATGAAGAAGCATAGCCGGTAATTGTCTGGAGAAGCTCGGCTCAGAAGTAAATTAAAGGCTTCTTCGATGTCATCTTCATCAAAGCCTTGAATTCTCTCCACCATCGCGTCTCCGGTGGAGGTTTCCATTCTCCTAATTTGCACAGGAAATACTTCTTCCATGAGTTCAGGACATTGGGTGAGCGCTTGAAAAAGGAGCGAGCTGTAAAGCCCCGTAAGGGTGCGTTGCGCCATGGATCCTGGATTCCAAAAGTAAAACACACAAAATATCAGTGTCTTCGATGCCGCCCATGCCTTGAGCTCTTCCTTAGTTCGTTCATGCTGGCTGACAAACTTCATCAAGGTCGATTTTCCCGATCCGGCATTTCCCGAGACATGAAGAATCTTGTCTCCCACCCTCAGCCATTCAAGAAACACTTGCCACGCATGTCTGCGTTGATCCAATTCTTCGACAGGACCATCTTCAACAGTCCATTTGTAAGTGTCTTGCGCAGCTTTGGGGATCTGATAGGCGCGTGAATTCATGTTTTCATAAACAAGCTGACGAAGAACTCGGTGTTGAAGGTGTGTTTTATGAATTTCAGCTTGCATCTCGAGAAGCAATTTCGAGATATCTACCAAAGAGAATTCACTCGTCAAATTCGCTTCATCAGTGGATCCGTTCAAAGCTTCTATGGCATCCAAGATTTCATCTTGTGTGCTAGTGATTTGATTTCTGAACTCGATCCTCAGCTGGGAGCAGTCATCTTTGATCTTGGCGATCCCTCGACCAAGGCTCGACTGCTCCTCTCTATATCGTCGTCAGAACATAATCAAGGAGGTATATAGCTGTCAAGATATGAGCTCACCTCAGGAGCATTGTAACATGGAGGAGAACTTCTGAGCGGTACTCCTGCAGCCGAACCTTCAAATCGGCGATTTCTTTTCGACTCCTAATGCTCGACCAACTCGCCTTCAGACTTCGCCAGAAGGCTCGTTTATTCTTGCCACCTGCAATCTCTGCGAGCAAGTCTCGAAGCGTGTTGGAGTCATCCCGGCAGTCTTCCGCGATCCTGGCGATCCTCCTTTCAGCTTTGGTTTTGCAAGGAGGTTTCACGCCCAGTAGATCAGATAATGAGTCAAGGTCATCTTTCACATCATCGAGACGCGCATTCTCGTCAAGAGTCCCGTCAACTGAGCGATATATTTCCACTGCACCTCCGAGCAGGCTCCAAGCGAAATCCACGAAGGTGAGAATGGAAGATGCCAAGCCAACAGCAGAGACGGGGTCCATGATTTAGGAGCAAAGAGCAGTGGAAGAGATCCTCCTAGACTCTGCAACTGCAATAAAGAAAATCGATGGCGATAGACGGAATGCCAACAATTACCAAAATCGAGTTGTACAGTATTCGTAGGTGTCGAGACTATTGAGTGAGAAAACGGGAGCTCACTGGGGCACGAGGGGTTGATGCTGCGTGACCTTTCAGCTCAGCTCAGTGCTCTGTGGCTGTGGGAGAAGTGGCTGTGCTGAAAGTGATGGTAGCTGAATGGTTTGTGGTAAGATTGCCTGCTTTCTGCCTATGCCAAATCAAGCTTATTATTACCTGCCAAAGCTTGATTTGGCATAGGCAGAAAGTAGGCAATCTCATCACGAAAATACCTGCAACATGCTGCGGCCCGACTTGGTGTGATGCGAATTTCTAACGTATCTCGAGAGCACTTGGACATGGATATCCAATTTTCACCACTGATACGGTGCTGTCCCTCCTCTGCTCATGGCACCGGGCGTGCGGCAGATAGCTCCAAAGAATTATCAAGAGTCTCAAAACAAAGAAATTGTAAGACTTCCTTCGTTATTTTGTTGATTGTATTACTTGTCGTTATCTTATTCGGATCTCATTAATCATTGAATGTATGTAGCATTGCTACTCCATGCGGATTTCTTGAACCTCCCAAGTTCTCTCCACCAGGATACCGAACTCTCCTAGAAAATCAGCAGCTCCCGCTGACACGGGCATCTCCTTTCTCCTTCTTCGAAAAGATGTGATGATGGTCTTTGTCGCACCTTCATTTGCCGTCAAGTCTGCCTGAGGATCATGAATGCCTGCATTCGACGTCCACGAGCTTTGCTTCTTGGAAAATAGCTTGAACATGCTATCCCGAGAGCCACTCGCTGCCGATTGATTTTGACCGATCAAGTCCACCTCGCTTCCAGAAATATGATGGGGTATCTGCTGTGTCGGCCTTGGCAAGATTCCTGCTGACACAGAGTCTCTCTGGTTTTCAGGTAAGCTTCTCGATAACAGGGTTCTCATGTTGCGATCTCGCAGGTGCCGTATTGTTGCCAAAGATGCTGTGATTACACCGACACCGATCTCAGCAATTGTCCAGCATGCAGTACTCATGTAGCCTTTAGGTGGCGCATGAATGAGACTGTGGATACGACCGGCCGAAATAATGGGAACACTGAAAGTTGACTCAGTTTAAGTACAATAAATTTAAGAGGGTGGACCAAGCTTACATTGCGCCGATGCCAAGTATACCAAATACAGCCCACCATTGACGACCGCGAAGTTTCAGACTCAGGACGGTCGGAAAAGGCAAGAACAAGACGATCACGTCGGTCAGAATTGTTCCCGATGAGTTGATGTATGTTGACACGAAGGCTGGCAAACACACAGGATCGCGGATGCCATGATTCCAATTGGCTTCGATAGGAACGCAGACGAAGACCGCGAGGAAGATTTGCGTGATACTCCAGGCTCCGACGATAAATATCGCCACAGTGTAAACAATCCTCATCACGTAGACGTTTTTGAAAATGTGATAGAACTGGAACAGGAATGTCATCTTTAACGATGCCATGGCGACGTTGTATGTAATCATCGTAGCGTAAGCAATCTGTTTGCTTCGTTAGACAACTGCAAATCAAGGAAGAATCAAGCGAAATACCTTCGCACCCTCGCTATTTGCGGTCATCGATGTCATGCTAGGGAGGTAATTTGAAACAAAGACACTCTGCAAGATATTGACCGCACATACGGCCACCTAGGAAGACGTGTAAACAAATCGGAACCAGCACGAGCGGAGTCTAGGTGGCATACCATTGCAATCACTGCCCAAACATCATCTATCCTCACCCTCCTTATGATGAACTTGTGGGTGTATAATCTTGCGACGACAGACACCACTGTGAGAGTCGTCACAATTGCACCAAATGCAATTGTCGCCTTCGCTTGGTTGAGGCTGTAGACGAAGTCCTCTTGAGTGGGAGGCCCCATGCCTGGAGATGACATTTTCTTCGTCGGAGCCGCAACGGGCGACACAGGCGCGTTGGCTATAAGATCATTGTAAGATAAAAGGTCGAATGTCGTGCAATGGTCCAGCAGCGAACTCGCGGGGCTCTTTGTAAATCAGGTCCTCACTTGTAGATCAACGAAAGTGGAGAAAATAGGCTTGTCTCAGAGATATGGAGACAGGGTCACTTTTCGTGCGAAAGAAGGGCTAGCACCCGGGGCAGCGCACCCACAACGGAAATGATGTCCAATGTGCTCCAAGGACTTGAGCCCCAGACAAACTAATCTGCAGTGTTTAAAAAGTGGTTCCATCACACCATGTCCTTAGTTCCATTTTCGTCGGGGCTCCCGCGCTACCCCTTGTTTTTCACCTGCTCACTACGGTAATATGTCCGGTCAACAATTCGAGTAAGGCTTTCTTCGAGGCGGCTTGCAATCACCGCCAATTCTCACAACCGTTCTCTACAACTACTTTTAGCACAACGCCTGTAGTCAAAGCCATAGTTCGGTTCCCAATCGATTTACACTACTTGGAGCACTATGATTCTCAGTCTTCGGCACCTGTCTATAACGAACCACCAAAATGCTTTTCTCGCAACCATTGTCACGCGTCGTCATCCGGAACATGCATCGATGCTTGACCAAACCTCGTACTACCAACTTCATGTGCGCTGGGACAGCACACAAATCTTATAAGGTCTGAAAAATATCTTTCGCCCAGCTCTTGTGCAAAAGTGATGGCACTATTAGCGCTGTTTAGGCCGCGGTCTTTGGACATACTGGGGCTGGTCCGCACTAAGACGACTGATACGTGGCTCGACCCCGAGCGCAGGGGCATGTCAATTCTCCAAGGATTACAACAACGAATCAAACGCCAAGCAGGTCGTGAAAACAAACGAGAAGGTCATGTCAACCAGTCACAAGAATGAAAAGCAGGCTAAACCAGAGCCGCAGCAAAGGAAAGTATTCACCTATGTGAAGCACCGTGGATCACGTAGCGAGTAGTAGAGCGTAAATAAAAGTATTGTTATTTTAGCTAAGTTTACTTTAGCAAAGAGCAAGCCCTTAAAGTATAATTTATAGGTATTTTAGCAGGTATATACTCCCTTATAATAGCTTTTAGCAGCTTATATATACACTAAATTTATAATATATTTTCTAAATATTATTAAGTATTTATTTAAAAATAATTTAAAATTAATTATTATAAATATAGCTAGTTAAAAGGAATTTTAATAAAGAAAATATTAGTTTAATAAAATATAATACTTTTTTTTAAAAAAGCATTTAATAATTATAATAAAGTATTTAGTAATAATAACTTTAAAGTATTAATAAGCTTAATAATAGTATATACTAACTATTATTTTAAATATAAAAATAATTCTTTAAAATATATATTTTAATTTTTAATTCCTTTTATTTATAATTATTAATTATATTAATAATAACTTTTTTTTATTATTTATTTTATAATATATAATATTTTTTTATTTTTATTTATAAAAACTTTATATATAGCTATTTAAATTATAACTTTTATAAGTAATTAATATATTTTAAACTTATACTTTTATAAAATAATTTTTTTAAATTATTATTTATATATTTATTAATAAACTTTTTTATTAATTTTTTTTTATTATAAGTTATATTAATAAAAATTATAAATAACTAATTTATTATATATTAAAAATTACTAAATAATATACTTTTTAACTTTTTTATTAATTTTAAAATACTTTACTTTTTTTTTATTTATAAATACTTTTTATTATTACTTATTTATTAAAATATTACTAATATATTTATTTAAATATAATTAAACTTTTAGCTAATAAAAAAGCTTATATTATTATTAAAAATAAATATAAAAATATTATAAAGCTTTAAAAAAAAAGCATTAAAAAACTAAATATAAATAGTTTAGCTTTTTTTAAAAAATATATTTTAAAAGCTTTTTATTATATTAGCTTAAAATTTTAAATATTTAGCTATATTTTACTTACTATTATTTATAATTATAAAGTACTTTATAAATTATTTTTTAAAAATAAGCTTAAGCTTAAAGCTATAATTTAATATAATAAGCTTTACCTTATTTATATATATTTATTTATTAATAATAAAAGTAATAATAGCTATTTTAATTACTTTAATAATAATAATTATTATTTATAATATACTTATAATAAAAAGTATATTTTTATTTTTATTATTTTATATATTAATATTTAAGACTTTTATAATATAGCTATTAATTTTAATAAAAAGGTTTTTATAAATACTTATATTATTTAAAAAAAGTACTTAAAATAATATTTTATTAATAAGTTTAATAATATTAAAAATAAGTATAATTTATTTTTTATACTTTTAAATAATAGTTTTAAAAAGCTTAATAATAATATTAAAAATATTAATATAAAAAATATATTTAAAAATAATAGCTTATTAATAAATAATAATATTATTAAGGCTATTAATAAATATATTAAATTATTTTTAAATATATTAGCTAATTTTAATATTAAAAAGTATACTTTTTAAGCTTTTTATAGTTTTTTAATTAAAAGCTTTAATAAAAAAATTATTTATTAAATTTAAACTATTAGCTTTAATAGCATTAAAAATATTAATAAAAAAAATTATTATATAATTAACTTTATGCACTATATAAAGTATATTTTTACTTATATAATAAAAAATATAATTAAAAAAGTATATAATACTTTTATATAAAGCTTTATAAATTATTTTTATTTAATATAATATTATTTTTTAAAATTATAATATAATTAATACTTTAAATATTTAGCTATTAATAAACTTTTATAAGTTTAACTAAATAAAGTTTATAAATATTAATATATATTATTTAACTTAATTTATTAATACTTTTATATTATAAAAGTTTAATAGTAATTAAAAGTATTTAAATTATTTCCTTATAAAATTCTTTATAAGCTTATTAGCTAGTATTTTACTAATTTTAAAGTATTTCATTTTAAACTTTTTTTTTAATATTATTTTTTTAATTATATTTATTAAATATTTAAATATTTTAATTAAATTATAAGCCTATTTTTTATTAATATAATAAGCTAAATAGCTTATTTATTATTATAATAAATTTCTTATAATTTATTAATATTTAGTAAAATATTAATAAAAAATCTTTAAAGTATTATTATATTTTTAGCTATATAGTTTAAAATTATAAGTTTAGTTTTTATAATTAAAGTAGCTATTATACTTTATTTAATTATTTTTTAATAAATTAATTTACTAAATAATATAATTATAAACTTTTAAAATAATTTTTAAAATTTTTTATTATTTATAAAAAAAGTATTTTTAGTAATTAAAAGTATATTAGTACTTTAAAGTTTTTTTTTATATTTAATTTTTAATATTTTTATTAAATAAAGGTATTATATTAAATAGCTATTTATATTAAAATATATAAGTTTAGGGTTTATAAGGAATTATAAAAGCTATATAGTTATATATACTATATTTAAATAAAGCATTATTATAATATATAATACTAATCCTATATACTTTTAATATTTTTTAATTTTAATATATATAGCTTTTCTAGTATATTTTTATAGCTTACTAGCTAATAAAAAAGTTATTAATAAAAACTTTTTATTATTTATTAAACTAAATTTAAGTATAATCTTTTTAAAATATATATTATATACTAAGCTAATTATCCTTTTTTAGCAGTTTTTAATTATTTATATATCTAAAAATTATTTTATAGCTTTTTAATTTACTATATTATATATATATTTAATACTTTTTTTAATTTAAAAAGCTTTTATTTAGTATTTTTAATAATAAAATATTAAAATATTATTTATATAAAAAATTATTATAATACTTTTTATTTATTTTATAAATAAATATAGTTTTTTTATTAATAATAAAAGCTTAAGTTAATTAAAAATATAATTAAATTTTTTATATTATTATAATAGTAAATTTTAAAGTTTATATAAAATATATTTTAATAATATATATTTTTTTAGTTTTTAAAAGCTATTTAGTAGCTTATAAAATATTAGTTTATAATTCTCTTTTATAATATTTAAAAATACTTTAATTATATTTATTTAATTAATTTTTAAATTAAACTTTATAATTATTATAATAACTATTTAAAAAGATTTAGCTATAAGTATTATTATATAAGTATTTTATAATAAGTTAAGTATTTAAAAATTTCCTTATATATAAATTTATACTTTATATTTTATAAAATTCTTATTTTTATTAAACTTATAAGTAAATATTTATTTTAAAAATAAAAGTTTTAATATTACTTTTTTTCTTTTTATAATTTTTTATATATTTAATTTAATTAATATTTAAATTTTAATATATATAGCTTTAATAAAATTATTTTTTATTAAATAGTTTTTTAAGTTTTACTATTTATTTAATAGTTTTATAAGATTACTTTAATAATAAAGAATTTTTTTTTATTAATATATTTATTATATAAATTATAGCTTTAATAACTAAATATAAAGTATAATAATAGTTTAAGTAATATTTTTTTATATTTTTTATTTATTAACTTATATTAGCTTACTTTAATTATAATATACTTAAAAAATAAATATTTTTTTAATTTTTTTTAACTTTTAAGTAATTTTAAAATATTTAAAAAATAAATTATAAATATTAAAAAATAATTAAATTTATTATTTTTTTATATTATAAGCTAATAGCTTATATATATTAAAGGTTTATAATTTTTTATTAACTCTTTTATATACTTTATAGTTATTTCTAATAATAAATTTTTACTTATTAAAATATCAATTTTTTTTAATAATAAAACTTTATTTATTAAAGCTTAATTTTTTTTTTAAACTTTAATTTAATTATAATTTAAATATTAAAAAATATTTAATTATTAAATTAATAAGTTATAATTTTAATTACTTATTTTTAAAT